AATACAGTTATAAGTAAGTTTTCCTTTTTTTTATTTCTTTTTTATTTAATATCTCACCCAATTTTCAAGCTATTAAATTAATTTTTGAATAGGAATGACCAGCGGATTTCACTTACCCGAATTAATTAATCGCGAACGCAAAAGACCCTGAAAATCAGCGTCAAATTTAACAATTACTCCAAAACCCTTTAGAGATTAATCGAGCAAAATTCTTCTTATTCCCTTATTTATTGATTGTTATAATCATTATATAGGGGGAGTAGATTAAGTAAATCAGCTCCGAGCCGCCTTTACTACTCATTTTCGTCGAAATCTTAAGGAATTCTTTCCAGGAGTTTTTTAGTGCCTTAATTTAGCTGTTACAAATAGCTATAAACTCTATTTAGCTATTAACGGCTCTAAAACGACTCCAACTGGCAATCAAGACACAAATCAGCATCAAAACTATATAGAAGATCTTGTTAATCTTCTATTTTGTGTGAATTCAGAGGATTTCGCTCAGAAAATCACTAGAAAACCTAATCCAAAATATTAATCTCAGCCTCATTAAGCCGGACGAAAACTTGGTTCAAAAACAGATAATAGAGTTCGGAACTCTATTAATCAGTCAACCCCCTCCCCAGAAGCACTAGAGCCTTTATATAAGCATCATACTCATTCTAAGATATCAAAAAAAGGCTTCTTTAGGTTTTATGCACTAAAATCAACAAACTCATCAAACAGGCAGGATTTAAGAGAAGAAGACCTCTCTATTTCTGTATTTCGATTTGATTCAAATCAGAATATTAATATAGAGAGGCCGAAGAAGTTAAGAAGGGATCAAAAAAGAGGAAGGTATAGTTATTAGTTATCTTTATAGATCTCTGTAATTATTTACACCTAATTATTTGTGTTTACTTATTAAACTCTTACCTTATATATAAAAATAGAGAAAGTAGTGCTAAGAACTTTAGCAAAAGATGTAATTACTTATAACTAGTCTTTATTCTTCTTAAGGGCAATCCTTAAAGATTTAGTAAGGGTAGATATTAAAAGATCTTTGCTAGAGAGGCGTCTTACTATAATAATCTCTTTTGTAGTCTCTTTTAGTTCTCTAAACTTAATAACCGTTATTATATCTTATATACTTCTCTTTTTAATATTCTCTTTTTCCTATTAATTCTTTATAAATATTTTTAGTTTCTTATATTTGGTTTTGATTATTTATAACTAATTAATTATATATATAATAAGAGGCAACAAGGATAGGGAGGATGCAGCGACTTGGCTCTAGCTGGTTACAGCTAGTTACGGCTTTGTATAGACTTGTTTCATAATATCTTTAGTATTTGCAAGGATTCTTGATAGCATTGTTTTTAGCGCGTTCAGTGGCGCGTCATAGACTGCTTGGAGTTTTGTGCTCCATTTTTCTAAGGTTGAGGTTTCTACCTCTCTCATGCTGATCCCTCCTCTTATTGTCTCTTCGCTTCCACTTGTAACCAGTTGTATCTCTTTGATGATGGCTGAGAGCAGATTCTTCAGTATTAAGGGTTCCTGTTGGTCAGGGGAGCGGAGCCCGCGTCCCCTGGCCTCATTAGAGTCCATACCTTCGCTTCCACCTACACCGTGTCTACATGTGCCGTAAGTAAGTGTAGCTGAGTGTAGGTGACTATAGTAGTTTGTATCTTAACTGAGAATCAGGTTTGTCTTCTTTTCTGACCAAAAATTTACTTATCTTAAGTTAAAGACTTTTAAAAGAACTTAATTATAATATAAAAAATTAAGGTTAAAATAAATAATAGTTAATAAATATAATTATAATTATTAATAAAATCTTATTTAATAATTATTTATATTTTATTAGTATTATTAATATAAATTATTATATTTGTCTTTATAAACTCTTTAAGAAAACTCTTATAACTATAGTTATATTAGAGTCTTGCTTATTTAGCGAGTTAGAACGCTCCTTAAGGAGAATTAGTAGCTTTAGTAATAAACTCTCAAAATTCTGTCTGTTTGGCTTTGCAGATAATAGCTACTTTATAATGCCTTACTTTCTAATATAGTTCTTTAGACTTAGGCGTATTAGATTATAGATAATTATAATACCTTATTTATGTTTCTTATATTACTTATATATATTTAAAGGACTAGTAACTTTTTATAAATTATAAGTTATTTTATTATAAGATACTCGCCTTAATACTGCTTATAATTATATATATTAGCTTATAAATATAATTATCTATTTATAACTCTAATATAAGGGTATTAGCTAGAAGATATAACTCTGATAATATCTTATATAATTTAATTACGTTTAACCTCTTCTAATATCTTTTATGCTATATTATAACTAGTTGTATCTAAAGCTTTAGAGTTATTTTAATTAGTATATAATCTAAGGATTATGTATCTAAGAAAACCTAATAAATTAGACTACTTATCTCCTAAGGCCTATAGACTAATAGCCTTACTTAATATAATAGGCAAGACGCTAGAGTCTATTATAACATAATAAATTATCTTCTTAGCTAAGTAATATAATGTTCTCCTAAAGACGTAGATAAGAGTAAAGAGCAATTACTTAACTAAGGTAGCGCTAGAGCTCCTTATTAAATAGATATATATAGTCTAGAACTAAGAAAGAGACAAGATTTATATTGTGGCTGTGTAAAATTATTATAAAGTTGTAAGATAGAAGAAAAGTGCGCGGGTCGCTTGTATGCGCGGGTTGCTTATAAACCACGTTAACAAAATTAATTTTTTAAGTATTAACTATAAATAATTTGTCAAAAATAAAATATTTAATTACTTTATTTATTTTTATTTATATGTAAAAAGCACTCTTATTAAGAAAATGATTAAGCTAAACTTCATAATTATATATATAATCTTATGCTAACTAGTAAAATCTATAAACAAGATTAATTAATAAGCTTAAAAGATCTTAAAAGAATAAAAAAACTAAATTACTTAAGATAAAGACTAATTATTAATAGTAATCTCCTTATTAATTACAAGCGATAAGAGAAATAATCACAGCTATAACTTGTCTACATTATAAGCAGAAGTTACCCGAATAAAACTAGCAAAGGGAAATGGGGGCGGCGAGCTCGGAAGACGGCGAAGGCGAAAGGGCGCCCAGCACTCTATTTAGTTAGTTAAATAGTCCCCGCATAGGTCTTTTGAGGCCTGGACACGGGTATGAGGAAATCAATCAATCAATCAATCAATGTCAGCACACAATGGTCTCGTTACAGGATGGAGCGAACCCCCATCTCGTGACACGATCAACGCCATGCCCCTGACCACGCCGACCAGCGGCTCAGCGCTCACGGACATTGTCGCAAGCGGTGCCTCACAGAGATTTGGACCCGTACTCGCTTCGAGCCGCTCTGCTTCCCCAATGGGATCAGGCGAGCAGTTAATTAACGCGCATGATTACCATGACAGATCGCGCCCCTGGAGAGCGGTTCTCAATCAGGCAAGCCCCCTTTCCAAGCTAGACCATCGCAAAGACCTGACCTTTTCGCAGCTTGGCGAAGCTAGTCACGCATTGTCCATTTGCAATGCGAGTCGTGATAAATGCCAGTACAGGCACTGGGGATCTCCAGAAGAAGTGCGCCCGCCTGGCTCTGTTAGAAGAACAGTCGAGGCACGAGCTCTACCGAGGATCTTCTTGGCATTCCGGGATAGGCCACCCGCCACGGCCAATGTGCGATGAACTTGTCAATTTATATCTTTCTTCTTTCGAGAAAGTCTTCAGGGTTTTCCACGTGCCTTCCTTTCAAGACCAGTACGGGCGGTACTGGGAATGCCCCTAAAGCTCAGCAAGCGGAGTTTTCTTCCGCACTCTGCACGTCGTCATGGCCATAGGAGCATCCATTCACCCAGACTTCAAGGGCTTACAGTTTTCTCTGCGTCTGTATGCTCTAAAGTTTGTTCTCGACGCTCAGAAATGGATCGGATCGATACTCGAAGAGGCCGACGTTAGCCTTGCGATGCTGCAAAGCTACTGTCTTCTTCTCATCGCCCACCAGACTAGTGCCTTGGGCCAAATACCATCTGGATCTCGACCGATGCTCTAGCTCGTGTTGCGATGCGTCTTAGACTTCACCATACGGAGCAACTGATTGGTTCCGACATGACAGCTGCAGACGTGCAGCTTAGGAAGAAGCTGTGGAGCACAGTCGTGGAGTTGTCGGTTCAGTCCAGTCTAGATTCCGGTCTTCCTTCGTCTATCATCCCTGCGGACTTGCAGCTTGACCTGCCTCTGAATGTCAACGATGCCCAGCTTGCGAAATATCGCTGAGAGTCGCTCGAATCTCCTGGATCCTTGGCACATCCGACTGACACCACAATTCAAATCATGCTGTCCGGAACTTCATCTGTGCGACTCAAGATTGCGCACCATCTTTATGGTTTCAGCGCGGACGGTTCGTACGAGAAGACCTTACAGCTAAGCAGAGAGCTTGGTGAGAAGTGTCGCTCGAATGCCAAGATCCTGCATTCTCTACTGTCTCACTCTTCTACGTCCCAGAGCAATGCAATAACTGGCTTTCACATCAGATTGCTCGACGTTCTGACCCTCGGGTCCCTCATGGCCCTACATAGCCCTTTTGCGCTTCGCGCACGGGGCAATCCAGCCTTTTACTTTTCCCAGAAAGTCTGTTTCAAAGCGGCGTGGACGCTGGCATCTCGATCCATGGCACCATGGCAACAGTCTTGCATTGCGCCCGCTCAGGATATCTACTACCGGCTGCGTCTTCACGCTTCTGGCTTGTTCGAGCGAGTGCATTCCCAAGCTACAGAAGAGTCATTTCTGTCCAATGAGCTCTTTAACCGCCAAGCGGTATTCGACACGATTCAGCACAATATCGACCTGTGCGCTGGCCGCATCGAGGAAGGAAGTACCGATATCGCTTCCCACCTGATATTTTCATGCGCACTCGCGCATGTGCGAGCACTTGAGAGTATGGAGAAGCCGGAAGTGTGGGTCGCAGAAGCTGCAAGACGAAGCCTCAGCACATGCTTGGAAATCCTTCAAAGAGCAGCTGCGGTTGTCGCTCCAGACGCGCCCGGGTTAGAGGCGGTCATAGGGAATGTTGAACGCAACGTGCAGCAAAATTTCGGCGTACTCGACGAGCAAGGGTGGTACAATTTTGATGCATTGGATCTTCAGATAGATCAACTTCCGCAAGTGACTTCTTTCGAAACAATAAATGGACCAAGGCTGTCATTGAACTTAAAGTTGCATAACAATTCAATGTCATTCGAGATGCCAAACATACGTGTTGCCAGCGAATTTGCCGTGGACACCTCTTGAAAACCGTCACGACTTTGAGTAAACGCTAGCGGCTCTATCAACCAATGAAAAAAATGGCAAATTTTACGAGAGAAAGGTGGATAGGGCTTCTATTCGGCGCACAGCAGGCGCGCAGCAATCGCATGACATAAAACGTTGTTTTTAACAATATTTATTGTATATTCCTTTCAAGATAAAACTTTTGACTCCAAAAGATTCAAAAATCAATATGTTTTCAAAATAATACAAAGTTTATTAATAACTATCTTTATTGGCTAACATGTGATCTAGATGACTTGTTGACCCTTGCTGTCTCGAAGTCGAAGTTGAACACACAGCTTACATCAGGCGTGTCATAAATGACATGCCTAGGCTGGCTTGGAGTGATCATTTACGAACGATTCACTGAGCATGCTCACAAAGTATCTTGCCCGCTGGGGGTCAACGAAAGCACGCCGGGACGTGCGTTCTCATATCCGAGGCATAGAAACAGTCTGACCCCCTCGAGCTTATCAAGGACTACTCCTACCGCAACTGTCCAAAGGGGTGGCCAGAATAGTTTGGCCTTACAGATACAAAAACAGATCTCATATATCACCGTCAAATAATCCTAGCGACCGGCAATCACACCAGATTGAGATGTCACGACGGTGATTACGGGTGCACATTTGCCCAGGCCATATGCTAGTGACGCAAGGAGATGTGACCACCAAATGAGGCTCGCTTTGATCGTTTGATGGGCTTTTCAGGACAGAAGATGGATTCATCTCATCTCTGTCATTACGGGTACTCTATCGACCATCGTCATATTGTATGGGAACCCAAGTCTCTCCATTCTGGGCAGGCTCCTGTGCTCGGTGAGCGCACGCTGGTTTCGCGACAACGGACAGCTAACCCCAGAGGGATGTGGACAACAGAAGCCTCCTTGCAAGGTGCAACCCGCAGCGATTGAGAACATTGAAGTCCACTGGATCCAATTCAAAGTCATGTGCTCGAGCCTAAGACATCCACGCCCATGTTCTCAACACAAAGAATGCCAAACGAAAGATACCTGACCCTCGAGATATCCCTGCCACTTAAAGGTCCCCACTTCAGTCTGGGTGTAAATCTTCTACCAGAAGACCTCATTACAAAGGAGCAGAGGCAGACAGCACTAGTGGGACAGCCAACTTTTAGTTGTCCGTAGTGTACTAGTCCGTTCAATTTCTCCGAACTGAAGTACTTCCTGAGCCATCTATACCACGCCCACAAGAAGGATCATTCGATGGAAGTCATCCTCAAACAATTCCACATTGCTATACCCAAGTTCCTTCGGTGGCACAACAAGCAGGCCAAGCCCACCGAGAACACCAAGATCAGGAAGATCATAGGCAGGGTCCCAGCCGAGGGTTTCGTCCGCACTGATATTGAAGGACTGAACCTCAAGGGCCAGTCTCAGATGTCCAGTGAAGCCCTGAAGCCCACGCCAGTCGAAAGACAGGCTTCTGGCAGCGTGAGAAATATACGGTCCGTCAGGAAGGACTCTTCTGCTTCACTTTTGCGCGCAGACACGGCTCTTGACCTTCTTGCTGTGGGTACCCTGTTACGCTGAGCGGTTGGAAGCCATGTGCTGGTCTGTCCGCTCCATTGCTGGTCCTGGCTCGAGATGGCTTGCCGACAACGGATACCTCAGCGTGGATTTACGCCTCAAACGTTCCTTACCTCGTGTGCGTTTAGCTTAGTCTTTCATCTGCTCGTTCATTTCATGATCCACATCCAGTTCTCTCATATGTCCTTTGAAGGCCGCTTTGTGTTGTAGAAGTCTTTTTGTTAGATGCCTGCTTACGACTGGCAAGACTAGATCACTTCTAAGACTCTTCTGATTCATGATCGATACCCTGAATGATACAAGCACCTTATTATGGTAATCCGATCTGATTCCAGCTTTGCTCTATTCCTGTGCTACTTGGCCATCTGAGATGTAATAGCTCATAGTGATGGAGGAAGACAGTCATGAACCGAAAGAGGCATAAGACAGGGAGAGAGTATCTTCTTTCACGTCGGAGGTAAGCACAGATGGTGCTTGGCGTCAAGAGCATCTGGCTGGATCCTCTCTTTATTTTCAGAGTGGAGTGGGTCTTCATTTCTTCTCCTGCAGCAACAGAAGAGGTAAAGAGATGATGATAAGGCCGTCAGCCGAGACAAAGACCATACATCGCCCATGAGATCGGCAGGATTCGCTCTACAGTCCTTCCAGGCATAGCCAGTAAGAAGAGATTTCCGTTCAGCACCCCCAAGGTCGTCCGAGATGCCACATGGGCCGTTGATAAGGATGAAACATATTACGTAAGGGATAATGTCAATCTCGCAGTGTGTAAAAGCCACTTTGACTGGCACGTCATTCGATTTATTGCTCGAGTCGTGATAAGTGGACTGCGCTAGGATGCGGACTGGACCGTTAGGGACAATACAGAGGGTCTCTGCATGAGGGCTGTTAGACTGCTGCGGGGGATGATATATCAGTTTCAAGAGGACATGAAAGGGGATGAGGATGCATCTTGGGTGACCATTACTAATGAAACTCTAAGTGGAAAATAGACCAACTTCTAATCTCTTATGTATCTTATCTCTGAAAGTCTATGTAGTTGCAAATCAAGTCTTAATCATTAGAGTTGAGATGAGTTTCTACTTGAACCTCTAGTTAAGATTTGACTGCTCCGTACACATCAAAACTTTGCTCTACCAACATGAAATATCTTGCGCTATGAATACAATATGATCAACTATCGTCCACCTTGTCAGGTTAAGGGCAACTTGGCCGAGTGGTTATGGCGCTAGTTTCAGGTACTGAAACAGAAAGACAGTTTAGAGAAGTAAAATCTTCTATGTCTACTAGTGGAGCGATCCGCGTGAGTTCGAGTCTCACAGTTGTCATAAATTTAACCTTTTTGCTTGCTCTCTGAATGCTCATCGCTGCACCGCGATGTAGTTGCATTCTAAGGACGATATGGACGATATAGACGGGAAGCGACTATAGGCTATGTGCAATTTTTGCAGGAGAAGGAGAGGTTTTGATGGAGTTATACTGCAATAATGAGAGTAGGGCATCGTGTGGTTGAGTCAATTGGCCACAGCTCATTGCATTCAGAAAGGTTGAAGCACTAGGACTCAAGGCTGTAGGGTCTAAGGGCCGGAGGGCTAGACACCGGCTTCCTGACAAGCTGGTGAGGGGATTAGATGGGAAGGGGGGCAGGAGGAGGCGGCGGCGGCTGAATTGCAGGCTTCTCCAATTGCTGCAGGTCCGCATCATCAGATCCCGGGACATGCATCTACCCATACCCAAGCGCAGGTCGCATGATTGACACATCCATCCAGCTTATACCAGGCCATATATATCCTACCACGTGTCTACGAATACCAGGAGCGTTCTGTAAAATCTACTGCTGCTGATGGAGAAAACGCACACCGGACAGAAACTGACACGATGATCTCACCAATCGCTTCGAAACTGCCATGCTTAAAGGCACCATTCATATTCGTGCTCGCAACATTCTGCGCTGTCTACTCATGGCAACTTCCTGCAGCATTGGCACAATTGGCCCCATCGCGACAGCAGACTGCGATCAGCTCGAACGAGGTTGTTGGAAAGATTGTACCATATCTGGCACGCAGTGAAAATGATACTAGTAGTAGCCTTCCCAGCACTCTGAATGCCTTGCTGGATGCCATTGGTGTGATGCAAGAGAAATACTTTGATATAAGCACTGGTACATGGCCGGAGTCAATAGACTGGACAGCCGCAGTCTTAGGCACTCATGTCTCTGCCACTCTCTCCACGTTGATCTCGTCAACTGACCTGGGTACCTCCACCTGCAGCAACATACTTGCATGGAACAATCTCATCAACCGCTACTTCAGTCATACCTCCGTCTTCTATTTTGGTGAAAATGCACTCAGCATTCGCAACCAAGCCTACGATGACATGCTCTGGGTTGTTCTGGGCTGGCTGGAAAACATCAAATTCATTGACCTCTACTCCTCTATGCGCTCAAATCAAGCTGATACCGACCCAGCCCTCCAAAAACCCTGGCACGGCATGCAATTTAAACCCGCAGTCGCACATCGTGCTCACGTCTTCTACAACATCGCCGTTCGTGGGTGGGACACCTCCCTCTGCAACGGCGGCATGGTTTGGAACCAAAACCTGCGGCCCTACAAGAACTCGATCACGAACGAACTCTTCATATCGGCAAGTATAAGCATGTATCTCTATTTTCCAGGCGATGACAACGACTCTCCATTCTTCACTACCACCAGCAAGCAGCAACCCCCTGAGTCCGAAGCACCACACAACCCCACCCACCTTCAAAACGCCATAAAAGCCTATGCCTGGCTCAAGTCCTCCAACATGACCAATCCCACCCACCCCGGCCTCTACGCAGACGGCTACCACATCTCAGGCTGGCACCGCACACCAGATGGCCGCATCAATCCCGGCACAGGCAAATGTGACGACCTGAACACGATGGTGTATACCTACAACCAGGGCGTCGTGTTGACGGGTCTCCGCGGTCTATACCTCGCTACCGGCGAGCGCAGCTATCTCGCAGACGGACATGCACTGATTGAGAGCGTGTTGGCTGCGACGGGGTGGGCTGATACTGAAAACATGGCTTGGAGCGGATTAGGAAGAGGAGGCGTGTTGGAGGAATACTGTGACAGTAGTGGAAGCTGTAGCCAGAATGGACACACGTTCAAGGGTATCTTTTTCGGACATCTGGCGGAGTTTTGTAGGGATTTGTCAGCGGTAGAGGAGGGGATTGTTTCGGACATCAACGGCGCTGATGAGTCGATGCATGGTCATGGCAGTAGTGCTGGGTCCGACCAGACCTGGCAACACCATCTCCACCGCTGCAAGCGCTATCACGAGTGGGTTGAACATAATGCGCACGCGGCGGCGATGACAAGAGATGAAGAGGGGAGGTTTGGCATGTGGTGGGGAAGAGCTTACCCGGATGACGGTACTGGCATTGAAGAGTTGGGAATCAAATCTTCTCTACTTCCAGCCGGGGCGTTGGATTATGCCAATGATGATGGTGCACTGGCGGCAGAGCGTTCAGATGTGTCTGGTTTAGCTGCTCGCAACTTCCGAAAAGCTGTGGCTGGGGATGGTGGCGCGAGCGAGAGGCGAGATCTCAATGACCGCGGACGCGGCCGTACCGTCGAGACTCAAAGTGGAGGAGTGGCTGTCCTGAGGGCGCTGTGGCAGTGGGAAAGTGCGCATGTCAAGACGGAGAAAAAGGAGGACATGGAGTCGGAAGCTGAGTTATGAGATGCGTGCTCTACCATGTGTTTTGTATACATTTGGGACATTGACGATATTGGAATTTTAGGGGTTGACGATTATGTTGAGATCTGGAGCATGTCGTATATGGGTATACTTATCCGTCTATATGTACGTATATAAGGGTAGATGAGGCACCCGAAGGCCTTGTAGATCAATGGCATAGATGAGCCACACAGGTAACCTGTGCAAGCTATAAACCAATCCATGCTGCAATCATGATACTATTTGAAGAGCTTGGTGGGAACTGAATGATGCATTCGGCCTATGAGTACCTGTGCACTGAGCGACATCTTATCTCCAATACCCGGGAAGAGGGAAACACGGGCAGAGATTTAGCCGTTGTACGTTCATGATCAACATCGTGCGTGATCAATCTGATACTACCTGACTTAAGTCGTGCAAAAAGCTCAGGCGGTCTTCGACTTCACCACAAAGATGCCCTTGAGCTACCTGTGTGACATAGCGACTTGATTGGCTTTCTTACGTTTGTTGCGAACCTCTCTTACCCTGTAATCTCTTTGATCTCGCAACGTGGTTACAAGAAGCGACCATTCATTGTGGGCCAGCGACTGAAAGCCCTCAGACTTGAGGAGGGGGTGGCTTTAGGCGCTCTGCTGGGAACGGCTCGTTTGTTGCTGGGTCGTGGGTCCTGCGGTTTGAATTGTTGGATGTTTTGGATGGACTTTGACAGCTTTGAGGAAATCTCTGGCTTGCTAGGCAGAGGCGGATATAGGTTCTGTTGGTGTTGGAGAATGGAGTCAAGAAAGAAGCCGGAGGAGAGGAAGCGTAGAAAGGGAAATGTTTGACGAGGGATCTCTCATATCATACAGGTTTGAGTGTGAGAAAGGGATAAAGAACTCACTGTGTCGTGAGCATATGAATGAGGTCTTCCGAGGAGAAATGATCTTCGGTAACAAGCGTTGCCTTCCACATCATCTTCTTTGGAGAACGAGGAGCGCATCTATGAACTGGTTTTTCTCTAATGCAATGATCATGCAGCCACTTGTCACGAAGCTTCCAGATAAATTTGGAGAAATTGACTTGCTCGTATGGTGAACTCGCTTTTGGAAGGTAGAAACACACGATCTTCGTTCATACATCTGTTTTGTCCACATACCGGGCGAAGATCTTCCTCCCAGCAGAGTACTGCAATGATATGATCAGTATTCAGCGTACCTCAACTACAAAAGTCACAAGTCTGACTTGAGTAGCTGAAGAAGCAGTCACAGCCGCCAACAGTCAGTGCTGGAGCTCATGCCATGCAATGCTATGTTGATCTTGTCAGTGTTGAGCTCAGAGATTAGTGATCGAACGGTAGACGTGAATAACAACTTATGACACCTTATCAGGCCAAGCCTCGTTCCTTGAGCCCAACATGCCAGATCAACCTTGCTTGAAAAGAACCCAGAAAGTTATCTTTGATTGGATCGTCTCCTCAGAGTTTCTGTTCTTTGGTCTAATCAAGTATAACAAGGCACAAAGGATGGTTCAAGACCAGGAAGGTACATCTTTTCATGCTTGGCTCTTCCTCCTAAACCACGGTTGTAATGTCAAAGGAGTACTTTTTGAACAGAAAACTGACCTCATCTCTTGGCCATCAATCTCGGGATACTGGTGGTGCTGGTCCCAAAAAATTTGATCGACAGAGGATTATACGAACAGCACCTACTACTGAAACCGGCATTTTAGCTGCTTGGGCCCACAAGGTGCTTCTGTGGTGACTCTTGCATCAATAATGTACGGATAAGTTCGGCATCTGGTGACCAGGCTGATGACAACCACTGGTGACATTCTGTTCAGTTGTTCTCGTACCCGATTCTCACTATCCCTGTCACACAGCTCTTTTCAGCGAAGGGAGCAGCAAGGGCGCCGTCTACTGGAAGGCCGCAGTCTCATGCTGACGGGCGTTAGCCCTGGACAGTAGCAAAATGTACGGCTGAGAATTCTGCTAGGAGAGCCGCTGCCTGATCCAGCAGCTCAGAGGACATCTTGCACAGACGCAAAAGGGCTTGTGATAAAGATGATCATTGTGATCAACTCTGACTAGCCTCCCCAAATCCGAATGACTAGGCCTCGTTGATTGCGAATGGAATGGAGCAGAGTAACCTTGAGGGGCCGCCGCGAATTCTGTTACCCTATCCGAGGACAGGGACGGACCAGGAAAGGGATCCAGCAACAAGGTTGAGTAAGTCAGAGAAGGGCTAAGATCTTCACGGACTAAGATACTGTTCTTGATTGATGGGCCAAGCAGTGGAAGTGAACTTCCGGTCGAACCTGGTCCCGATTTCAATTCATGGCATAACTAACGTTGACATCATGCATTGACGGGTGCTTGCCTGTGGTGCTCGTACGTGATCAGTCACCAGTACCTCGTACTATTCTGGCATTCTGTACCCAAGGCTGAAGGAATCACTTTCAGACAGATGGGTCAGCACATTTGATACTGCAGTCATGGAGCAGCTGGTGGTTATGGGTGGTTGGTGAGACCTCAAACGTTTTGCTGTGAGTGAAAGTAATGCTACCTACTACGTCCTAGTAGGCAGCCAAGGTAGCCAAGGTAGCCAATAGCTACTACTCCTTTCACGTACAGTAGTACCGCAGTTCTATTTGTACTACACGAATGTTTAAGCGGGCGATCTGCCCGACTGTCTGCCTAATCCAGATTGTGGTGCCGCTGACCGCCCCCAGTCCATGCGTCATAGTCTGACCCTGTGGGGTTGATCAACCCTGGTTAAAGAAACCCGAGACCACCACAAAACGTGATAGTATAGCACTGCTTGAGTTAAGCTCATGCCTGCAACACGAACAGTAATGGATACTTGCAACAACAATAATAATGAAAATGCCAGATCACATTCCAGTTCAAGTGCACGCGACTGACACGATGCAAACGCATTGACCAGCAAAGCCGCTTCTGCAAACATCAAGTCAAACAACTGGATCCCTTCCCAACCGCCCAGCCATGTCTGCGTGACTTAGGCCGACGCAGTTTGTGCCAGAGGATTATCCAGCTGTAGTTCAAGTTGTTGCAAGGCAAGAAAAGCCTTGGACTTCGGCAGGCTTAGGTGAGTTGCTGGAAATGCTTGGTCAGTTAGAGTGGGTCGTTACTGTAGTCTGTGGTACATCGTCATTTCCCTGCAGGTCCCACTTGTGGGTGGCGCTGCTCTAAGAAATTCAGGGTCCACTTCACACCTCTCTGCATCACACTAACTTCTGCTATACTCCAGTACTGAAAAGCCCACCTGCACTTCCAGCCCCGTCTAATGCTGCAAAAGACGAAACCCCAAGATCCAACGACATCGAGTTCACTAGCAGATCTTGATGTACCGCGTCCAGGGCATCTCTGCTGGATAGACTGACCAGACCCTTTTTTTCGGCCATCCAACAGTACGCCCCCTCTTCAGCCTCTGGTTATGACATACTGGTCACGAGTTACTTGCTCTGCGCGTCTGCAGGATCTCGAGTGCAGACTGACGGCCTCGAGCTTCCTCGCCTTGCTGGCGGTATGGGGCTGTTCGATTCTTCCGTAAACGTTACATCTCCTCATCCAAGCTCAACCATCTCAACAGGCGCAAGGTCACCAACCTCGTCCGTCTCCTCCTCCGCCTCAACCTCAGAATCAGAGCAGGAACCATTTCGAAGACAGCGACTGGAACGCCCTAAGCTCAGCGCTCGCATACCAAGTGCGTCTATCATCATTCCCAAAGGGAGAGAAATTCAACAGCAGTTCGTCGAATATCCACCAGATGATGCCAGAGCTATGAGCCCAAGACGAAACTCGGCGGACTTGGAAAGATTAGGACAGGAGGCAAGAACGTCACTAAAAATGTAAGGCACAGGTGGTTCTCTGCTGTTGATCTCAAATTAATGATTTCTAGTCAAGCACAAACGTTGCAATCATCGCTGCAGGCACTAGCTGAAAAGATAGATGAGGTCAAGTCAGATCACGACAAGCTAGAGAGCGAAAACAGGTTTCTCCAGGACTACATCGGCGGTTTGACAAGGACGATGTCCAAAAGCGACATACAGTCGACGTCGGGTTTCAAGGGAAAGAAATAACATTTGCCACACACCCTACCGCAACAGCGTTTAGTTGGTCTTCGCAGGCTTGCAACAAACCGACCAAGATCAGCAATAACTGCCTTATAGGCATCATATGCGTCACAAATGGCGCCTCCAAACAACAACCACAATCATTGCTATTTAATCAATACCCTTCACAGCGAGCATAGCCTTCACAACACACAAGCAGTTGTGGGTGGAATCATCATTATTCGGCGGAGCACGACACAACATGACATAGAGGCAGAATGATCAGGGCAGAAAGACTATCTGCATATGGCCTTGCTGGTATAGGTCTGTAATATTAAGATTGGCATAAAATGTTATCACGTTAGTGATCAGAGCAGTCAGGAACAGTCCGGCTCAATCACAAGGCATTACCAACGATGTGAGAACTCGCCTTCTGCGCTTCTTTGTGAACCTTTTCTCTTTTGATATTGTCACCTACTTCTCTTCCAGGTTTCCATTTTGAAAGTCAACTAGCCTGTCACTGCATCAATTACCTGGTCATTTCACATATTTCAACAACAGCCATCTGTATCGCCACGCAAAAGGTGTATCTCCTGTGGAAAACCCAGAATTGGTTGTGTCTCTCCGTCTCACTCTCATTTCATGTTTTCCAGCCACTGGGTTCGACATTCTTGGAAAGCTCTCTAATGGCAGTTCATCCTTCTGTGTATTAGCATATGTGCCTACCAACCTTCTTCAATACCTGGCATAGGACCTCTCAAGCGTCTTGTCTGACAAGCTAAACGCTACCCAGTCTCAATTCAAGTTAGCCTGTGCTTTCTGTTAGTGTTGCACCTCATCTTTTGCTTCATGTCATTTCTTGTCTTTCTTGGTAATCTAATCTTCTTGCTCTCCTCTCCTATGGTATATACTACAGTCGCGTTCAGAGTCTGATGGTTGCTCCCACTATCATCTTTTGTTTCACGTTCCCATCTTTGTTCCATCAAGTATGCTGCACGTGAAATTTTATCCTCCATCCTCCTCTTCATCGATGAAAGCTTTCAGACTTTTTCCGTGTTCAGGATCACCCTATGCTTCTTTGACTTGACAATAAGACCATCATCTACAGCTCTAACATCTTACCTGCATCTATCTTCTTGCCGACACATTTATAATCTTTCATGAGATTAACTTCCACGCTGGAAAATCACTATCCATCTTCCTTACCTGCTGGCAATCAGTAGCTTGCCATTCCTCCGGGCATCAGCCCATCTAATCAGAATAAATAAGGGGTTGCTTTTTAACACTAGGAAGTAAGTTACTGGCTTTGTGTACTCATTCCTTTTCTTTTGCCGTTCACTCTACATTCTCCTCTCGAACGATCTACAATGTACATCTCTTAAAATATATCTAAGGGACTAACAATCTTCACATTCTGACCATCTGTCTCGCCCGTCCGAACTTAGCACTATCCTACCAGAACGGCGGAGTGCCTCGAGCCAACAACTCAAAGCAAATCAAAGACCCAGAGGATGCTGCAAAAACCAATACCCAATATCTAGGAGAACTGCAACCTGATCACGCGCTATGAAGTGTAAAGTCAAGAAATTCTAGAGATCTCTTTCCCCCACCTTTTCCCTTTCCATGCTTATCACCGCAAACAGATCATCTATCTACCTACCACTCCAACAACACCACGAACCCATATCCACAAATCCCCAGATTCCCTGCTACTTCTGCTACCCTATCACATCGTACCAACCCTGGAATAAGAATCCCAAATTTTCCTATTCTGAGTTCTGTCTGGCCGGATAACTCCCTCCCTCCACGGTGGGTAAAAGGCCCACCCCTACCCCGACTGACTTGAGTACTCGTCTTTATCTATGAGAAGAGCCGGGGGGGTTGATATGAACAGCAAACAAACATTCTGGAGAGAATAGAGTATCCATATGCTTCCCCTTCAGGTAACAGGGCACGGTAAGAAGGACTTGATGAGATCATTGATCTTGTATCAACTGAGACGGGTCATCAAGGTACACAAACTTGACTATTTCTCCATCCGCTCGCTCGCTCGCTTGCTCGCTTGCTTGCCTGCTTGAAAGTTTATGAAAACCAATGCCGCCGAATAGAAACTACGAGCATTTTAAACCCCACTGGAAGAAACATCTGCACGGATATCCTTATCCTTGCCTGCAATCGGTTGTAATATTATTACGTCGTTCGCTCATCGCCCACCTCCCTCGTTGCCATTAGTTGACTCCTCCAAACTCGGTGGTAGAGTCGGTCCCCTCGCAACTCGTGCCTGTGGCGACGTTTGTGCGGGCGGATGAGCTCCTTGCCCAGCAGCGGCAGTGTGACCATCCGCTGCCGTTGCGGCGCCGGCACCAAACTCCTCGTCATCACTAGAGCTCTGTCTTGAACTGCTTCTAATCCCATTCCGGTTTCCGTTCCCACTGCCATTTGCACGTCTTATCGAGGCTGTTGCTCCGTTCTGAGGAAATAGCCGCTCGCTGACCCTTCGACCCAAGCCGCCAATACCGCTTCCGCTGTGAGCGCCGCCGCCACCTTTCAAGTCTGAACTAAACCCACTATCGCTCCTGTCTGGTGGAATTGGGATACTGTATTCGCGTCTCGGCCCGTCCACTGGTGCGATCTCGTCTGCCATGGCGTCTTCGTAGCTCGGTGGGGCTTCGTCGTCGTCTACGCCGTCTGGTAGCTGGGAGGGACGAGGGGGCGGGAAGTATGAAGCTGTGTTGCCTGGTGGAGCCGGAGGTTGGTGCTGGGCATAGGAGGGCGTGATGGGCGTTGGTGGGTAGAATGATGATGGGCTGAGTTGATTGGAGGCCGGTGTTGCTAAGGGTGTGGCTGCGAACTGGGTTCTGGGTGATTTGGAGTGTGGCGTAGCAATTCTTTGGAGTAGAGCTGCTGGAGGAGCTATTCCAGAGTAGACTTTTACTGCTAGACGTAAAGGAAGGACAATCAATTCTGGTTTTAACGAGTCACTGCCGCCGCCATGGGATAGACCGACACGGACTTCAAGCTGGTAGGTGCGGGAGATGTTGCAAGTGTCGAAGGAAGGGCAAACGGTATTAGGAAGAGGTTTATTTTCCCAGTATCTCGACGGGACTTTCCATTCTTTGCCGACAGGATCTGAGGGCTCGCCCAGTGGGATGTTCATGTTGGACTGGCTCATTATTACCCAGCTTTGGCTCTCTGATCTGGTGAGGTCGTGCGCTCGGACGTGGGTGTAGCCTATCAGCTCTATGTGAAGCATACTGAGGAAGACGGTCTCGGTGCTTTCGCTAAGCTTCTGAACTAGTATTCGCAAGGGTAAACGCTCATTGCAGGTCAAGATCGAGGGATTGGGTAAGCGTGCATCTACTTGGAAGATAGGTGGTTCGCTACTTTGGAAGAGGGCAGCCTTCTCAGATGCAGGAAATGTTCTGAAACGATGTTAGAAGGGGCCCGTATCCGCCAGAGACTGACTCACTTTGCGAATTGCTGCGTACGGCGTGCGAATGTCTCTTCCAGTAGATGCGGCGGCCTGGGAGGCTCAATAGGCAGAAATTTAATGTCCAACTGTGATCGAATGTTTTCCTGGTAGAACTTTGGCCGAACCACTGTTGCCTTGACATAGTACCTGATTTCGGCTTCTCTGGAAAAGCCACTGAGAGAAGGCGGAAGGGTCTTCTTGACATGCTTGACATTCAAGTCTGGGTTGAAAGCAATGCCCATACTCCCAACTCCCAGACCTCGCATCATGCTATTGTTTTGACAGTTGTTGTTGAATGGAAATTTGAATCGAAATGGGTATTCATAGTGACCGGCTAACAGCATGTAACTACTCGTGGCATTCCCTGTCTGCTGCTGAACATCTCGAGTGGGAAAAAGGGTCTCGACCTTGTAGAGCAGCTTAGAGCATGTCAGCATAATGACGCTCTTTGGAGTCGCAGGGAGGCACTCACTCACCTTGTGCCACTCCAGCTCTGTCCTCCGTTTATCTGACCTCTCATTATTATATGTCAACTTGGGCCCCGAAAGACGAGTGCGACTCTCGCCCTCAAGCTTGACGGTGACAGCGGATAAGGCTGCATCTGCAACCAGCTGGACGATGACCTTCCCAGTGAGGAAATCAAGATTCGTGAAAAGTACTTGTGGTCTGTCCAGCTGTATCCTGACTGACATGATGCTGGAGTAGTGCAGGTTGGTTCATGAGCAAGACTGGTACCAAGTGTCTACCTATGGCCGACTACTACCCAAAGCGATGCGAAGGGCGGGGATGACGTGGGGCAGCGGCACAGATGTGAATCTATGGCATAGACGTATAAACATATCACATGGCAATGTAGAGGACGATCGCGGTGGCCTAGGAATCATTCTCTTATATCTGGCCCTGCAGCAGTCACTTCTGGAAACATTGTTGATCGTGGGTACCGTGAAGGGCGCTTTCGTCAAATTGGATCGCACCGCCATTACCTGCTGCGCCTCGGCCACGTACTTGCAACTGCTCCGTACAATTGGCAAATATTTATACAGTCTAGCTTGGATGCAAGTCCCTGAAACCACAACCCCAAATTGACCCTGCATCAATCTCTAGCCGAGACCTTTTCTAGTGGAGTTCAGATTCGAAGTCATGTAAGTATTCCTCAGTTGGCACGCCGCACTGTAGATTATAATTCCATTGAAAGGTGAAACGAGATGGGTATTGATTCCGACGGCGGTTAAGGGACTATTCTAGCACCACTATCACCAAGCTTCAGCGTTTTCAATTGACATTAGAGTGCTACTAGTTCCTATGCAGGTCAAGGTTTAATGATTACCACACTGATCCTTATTAGGTTGCCTAACCTAGTGCCTCACCGTTATTCTGTCTGAACAATTGTGGTTCATAGAATGAGGAGCTACGCCAGCTCTCGAAAACAATCCACTGACGTACGCTGGCCTAGAGACAGCCGCAGAGGAGAAGATGGGGCTGAGACATGGAGAGATTCGCCAATAGGGTGAACGGTACAAGCGATTAGAATTGCGTTCGGCCCCTTCTTGGCCAGGACGAAAGAGCAGCACCCTACATACGAACGGCGTATGGCTTTCAGAGGGAACAGGCTCCTAGAGCAATAGTTGAAAGTGTACTATGAGGAAAAGGGCTGCCTAGGATTCGATTTCTGGCGCGAAGTCGTCTTGCCTAGTGGTAAATGCCTGAGAAGGCGTGCCCTTAGCCAACATGGTTGTGCCACGAAGCTTATGTTATGGAGACCGAGTTCCATCCACATACCAATCGAAAGCGCTCTGATCCATGATCCTCTACACGCTCACAAATGCATGCCTTTCTGGTTCCAGCCAGTCCCAAGTCCATACCGCCACAAAATTTCCCCTTGTCGTCTGACCATTTGGCTTCTTATCCCGCCCAACTTGCGAAGAAAATGGCTAGACATGGTTACGAAAATCTCTTCGTGATCTTGGCAATGACTATTGGGCTATGGTCAGCTCCTTATCAAAGTTGCAGGCCTTGCACTCTTACTGTGTAATGCAACCACGCTCATAATAAAACCCAGGCTCAGTACCAACACAACCACTGGGTCTACTCGGAAGCCCTGGCTCTCATCGGTGTATAACCTCAGCATTGTGCCCGAGCTGCCTCCTGCGCCTGCGGCTCTTGTCGATGAAGGGCGCGCATTCTTGATACTGTCCTTGTGATCTGCTGCGGCACGTCGACGAATGGCAGCGCGAGGTCCTCCTGGCGGCGAAAGTGGTCGGGCTATGCTTGATCCCGAGGCTGCGGCATTCGATGAGGGTTTTGAGGATGGGGTATCAGGGCCTGAATCGGGACCGGAGGTCAGAGGTGATGCTGGTCGGGGAGAGGCCTGTACGTGAGACACATGTTAGACTAATTACGAGATATGCAACTGATGCAAAATTGTAAAGGTGCTATTCCTCGAAATGCGGCAGAATTGTGTTGCATAAGGGCGAGCAGCAAAAGGGTGCACACCATTTTTGGACGTGCTATCAAGCTGCTCTGTAGGCAACTCAAGTAAGCAGTAAGGTCTAAGTGGAATTAAAAGTAGAATGGATGAGGAGGACGGAGTTCTGCTATTTAGGAGCTTTTCGTGTTGAAGCACGATCTTGTCTGCGGTCCCAATCCTCGCTCAGAGGACACGATTGGAATTTGGCATAACCAGGACGTTCTCAGACCCCTGTACCTTGGCAACAAGAGCGCCTTACCTGTGGTGGATTAGAGCTATTGCTACCACCATCTTGAATTACTGTTTTCTGTAGTTAAAGCTTATCACCCTTGGGAGGGACGCCTATTGAGTCTGACGCGAAGCGATGAAGAGGCATCTCTTCGGTTACGCTGTCATGGTTGATGGTGTGTGAGCTCGTTCTGAGGCCCGTTATGCATTTAATTTAGCATGCACGATATTGCAATGTAGGCCAAGCCTACAAACAGAATCGGCCCCAGGTTTGCAAGCCTTCCAAATGCTCGGGCGGCAATCCTTGTGGCGTATGTGTGACCATGCCACACTTCAGAATCTGGAGTCCCTAGGGAGGAGCTCAAACTAAGCGCCACAGCGGGGACCATCAAAGAAGGAGGTTGGGGGGGCTGGCTTACAGTGAAGAGGAGAGATATCATGAACGTCGGTCTGCTCGGCTATCATTATTCAAGCCGTTACTTTGCCTTGGTAATCTGGAAAGAGGTGATGCGCAAATGGTAAAGTTTACATGCATAATTCACCATCAGCTTACCGGGTTGTTCTGGGGACACCTAGGTCGTCGTATTCTGACCGCAGATGAAGCAAACACATGCAGCTTTGTCACACAACGACGGCTATTCGGGTTAGATCTGGGTCCTCTGGTCCATGACAGGAGCTCTTCCGTCGGTTGGGGCCGAGGGTTGTTAATGAAATATAACTACGGAGTACCTTGGACCCGAAAGAGCTGCTTTTCTCGAGTCAAGAGTCGTTGCGGGACAAGCAAGATCTGGCTCTAATTCGCAGTCAATTGGCACCCGAGTACTCGGTAGTAGTGTTGTGATGAGGACGCCATCCTCCTGAGGAGCCCAGGGCAGCTCAGCCTCATCCATGGTTGAAGGTAGCAGGTACGGAGTAGTACAGAGTAATTTCCTACCCCAAGTACCAAGCTATGTAGAGGGTAATTTCCTTTTGCGCCGAGGCGAAGTGGCCCTAAGCAGCGCTAAGCGGTAACGAGGCAAGCGACTTGCTTCCTCCCACCCGCCCCATCCCAAATCCACGCCTCACGACTGCTACTGCCAACTTCGGAAAGGACTCCGCCAACTTAGTGGCTGTATCCCAAGTCCCAGGCTCATCTACCCAAACTCGCACTCACTACTACAACCACCACCACAACTCAGCCCCCGGCCTTTCATTGCCCTCCCTCGATCCCGCAGGCGCTGCATCTCTTATACTTCTTGGATGCTGGATGACAACATCATTCATGCGACAGTCATAACCCACAGCCACGCTTCCTGCGCGAGCAGCCCACGTTCCTTGGCGACCATCCCAGCCCGTTCCAACTTGGATACTCGATTGTCTATCACACCACTCGAGGACAGTTGCATTGATCATCTACAACACCGCCAGCGTGCATAACGATATACGACGGCCTCTCTGAGGCCAATAACTGCCCCTCATGAGCGCCGCGACGTCCGGTAAAGAACCTGGTCTGCCGGCTGCTCAGGAAACATCTGCCACTACCTCTTCTACCCCTGTCTTACCTGGTACGTATTTCCGTCGGCCATTAGACGTCGCTGTCCTTGCTGCAGACGGATCTGGGCTTCTGGCTTTGTTGCTGATATATGACGTTTACCCAGATAATGTACAGTCCGCGATAACTACCTCCGATCCCGCTCAACAAGTATCATCTAATGAGGGACCGTCAGCTTCATTTACTAAGGAGAACATCGCGCAGCCAGGGGCCCAGGTGTCCGAGAAGGCCCAGAAGAAAAACTCTCTTCTGAATGTTCCATCGAGGACAACCTCTCAGACAAAGCAGGAGCCTTCATCTACCTCTCCTCCATTAACCGGTGCGACTGTCACAGATGACTCCACAAGCGTTGGACGTAATTCAAAAAGGAGCATATTGGGCAAGAAAAGGGATGTGAGCAAGTCCAGCAGCCGGCGGGCATCAAAGGAGCAGAGGAGTCTCGATGCTGGCAGGGGAGCTCCGCCAGCGCCAGCCGTTGCACAGTCAGATGGGGCTACGGGCGTAGAAAAGAAGGGCACCTTTGGTTTCTTATCATTCCTCAATTGCTGCAGCGGCCATCATAACACAAATACCATGGATATCGATGATCAAGCATTACCGGCCAAGAAGTCCAAATTACAGCCTGTGCGGCAGAGACCAGACAGCCAAGCCGAGAAAACGAGCGCTATGAACAATACAGAGAATTCAGGGAAAATGTGGCCAAAGACACTTCTGAGGAGAAGCAAAGCAGCAGAGAAGAAACTGAGAAGCAGGAAATCCCGGTCGCAGAGGAGAAGAAGCAATGTGATGGCAACCCGCCACGGATAAGTCCGAGCGAGAGCTCTCGAGAGAAACCGATCGTTCCGTCCGGACCAGTCGTCGCGACCGAAACTGTGGACACTTCTGGCAACTTACGAGATCAACCATTATCAGCCCCTGTTCCTGATGCCCAGCCTTCTCCGGTCCCTCTCATCTCGACCCAGGTGCTCCAAAAGCTCCTGCTGTGAACGTGCAAGCACCAACCCCTATAGTTGGCCAGGAGGAAGTAAGTCCGACTCCGGACTGGACACCGGACCAGAGTAAAAGAAATAGTGACGTTGATATGCCGGACGCGCCATCACAAGAGAAAGAGGTAGCTGAGCATGAAACCACAACATCTCCAGCTCTGCCAAAGGTCGAAGCACAGAAAACCGAGCTACCCCCACCTCCTCCTTTGGAACAGCGACAATCCCAGGTGATCAATAGAGAAGCGCCAGCAGTGCCCAGCTCGTCACAGGAGAAGGAAATCTGGCTTCTCCCACCAATACAGCCACATCTACAGGGACGCAAATGTCTAGTCCTTGATCTGGATGAAACACTAGTACACAGCAGCTTCAAAATCCTAAATCAGGCCGACTTTACCATTCCCGTTGAGATTGAAGGGCAATACCATAATGTGTACGTCATAAAGAGACCAGGTGTGGATGCTTTCATGAAGAGAGTTGGAGAACTCTACGAAGTGGTCGTGTTCACTGCGTCCGTCTCCAAATACGGCGATCCCTTACTAGATCAACTCGATATCCATCATGTTGTGCATCACCGACTCTTTCGGGAGAGCTGCTACAATCATCAAGGCAATTATGTCAAGGTAGGGTGAAGCCTAGCATGTTATAGGGCTGTCGTTTGCTAATACAAGGGCAGGACCTCTCTCAAGTCGGGCGCGACCTTCGCGAAACAATCATTATTGACAACTCACCAACATCATATATCTTCCATCCTCAACATGCTGTTCCTATCAGCAGCTGGTTCTCCGATGCGCACGACAACGAGCTGTTGGACTTAATACCTGTCCTCGAAGATCTTGCTGGAGCTCAAGTCCGCGACGTGAGCCTGGTGCTGGATGTTGCATTATAGTCTAGGCGGCATCATGGCCTTTTGCGCTGGCAGCCAAGGCTTTTGTTCGATTCTTTGTTGGTATTAAAAGCATCTCATCTAAAGGCTCAAACAAGGGACATGGATGACGGCTCAGCTCGTGATCGTCAAGCATCAATGGAGCTCAATACATCGCGCACTGGATTCGTACACATGGAAAGAAGGAAGCAGCGAAACTCTAGCCTGGAATTTCCTAGCGATACCCGTCGAAGACCTAATTAGCATGGACAGCGCCTTTGTTTTCTAGGCTGGCATACATTGTATGGATCCTTCTCGCCTGGAAGGTTCAAGCAGCTCGTGGCGAGTTGACTCTTTCCACATGTTGTTGCATATCCAGGGCGTTGTCACGTCCTTTGGAACACTATCAATTTTACATTTTCGTCGAGACCATACCCCGAAGGATGTTTGTGCTGTCGTGTTTTTTTTTTTGGAAGAACAACGCAGGCTCATCCTCCTTTTCTCTTCTCAGATTACAAACCCTGCGGGTCTTTTTATGTATTGTGAATCCTGGGCAAGCAGACGGCGTGAGATAAAGATAGAAAGAAAGAAGTAAAAAAGGACGGCATGTGCGGATAGCGATGGGGCGAATGCCACTGTTAGGTGGGAAATCGTAATTATTCGAAGGATTAATTGTACCTTTTCTTTTCTTTGCAGGGAAAGAAGAAGTCGGACGGATCTAGTCCGTGTTCATCATTCCGTCTCTGTTGACCACCACCACTACTGCTGCTGCTGCTGCTGCTGCCTCTTCTTTCTTGTTTCTTGCAAACAGGACGCTCTGTACCCCGTTTCTGATCTTAGGAGCGTACATACGCGGCTCTTCTTTCCCTACCTCTACCATACTCTGCCCTCCTCTGGCCGCGTCACGGACGTGCGCTATAGACCTCTCTCTCTCTCTCTCTCTCTCTCTCTCTCTCTCTCTCTCTCTCTCTCTCTCTCTCTCTCTCTCTCTCTCTCTCTCTCTCTCTCTCTCTCTCTCTCTCTCTCTCTCTCTCTCTCTCTCTCTCTCTCTCTCTCTCTCTCTCTCTCTCTCTCTCTCTCTCTCTCTCTCTCTCTCTCTCTCTCTCTCTCTCTCTCTCTCTCTCTCTCTCTCTCTCTCTCTCTCTCTCTCTCTCTCTCTCTCTCTCTCTCTCTCTCTCTCTCTCTCTCTCTCTCTCTCTCTCTCTCTCTCTCTCTCTCTCTCTCTCTCTCTCTCTCTCTCTCTCTCTCTCTCTCTCTCTCTCTCTCTCTCTCTCTCTCTCTCTCTCTCTCTCTCTCTCTCTCTCTCTCTCTCTCTCTCTCTCTCTCTCTCTCTCTCTCTCTCTCTCTCTCTCTCTCTCTCTCTCTCTCTCTCTCTCTCTCTCTCTCTCTCTCTCTCTCTCTCTCTCTCTCGCTCGCTCTCTCTCTCAACTAACCAGCTCTCCATCCCCAAATCCGCTGATATCCAGTTCTTTATCGAAAATATCACAGACTGTACCAACTGCCACCAGTACCCGCAGGCGCTCGAGGCCCTCCGAATATATAAACCCTCATACGAAACCCGAGAGAAGATGACTCAATTTGCAGGCGCACCACATCGATCCGTAATTTATCAGAAGACAAGGTGGAGGGATGAACTACCTCCTTCCCGGGTAGCGAACAATTATCATCTGGACATACGTGTGATGGACGTTAGCTGAGCCGGGGTAGATCTTGAGCGGTAAATACTAGTACGCATTGGGTTTTCGGATTCCTTGGTACCCCCTCAGCGGGCTCAACAGGGCTGTGCTGATCTGCGACTGAAGGAAGGGAGGAAGGGAGGAAGGGAGGAAGGGAGGAAGGGAGGAAGGGAGGAAGGGAGGAAGGGAGGAAGGGAGGAAGGGAGGAAGGGAGGAAGGGAGGAAGGGAGGAAGGGAGGAAGGAAGGAAGGAAGGAAGGAAGAAAGGTTAAATGATGACGATGAAGGACAACCGAATATAAGAGTGTGCTCTGCTGTACTGGATCCTGTCCGGGGTCGGGTGTGGTACAGGAGAAATGGGGGTCGAGAAAGTGAGGACGATATGATAAGCAAGGAGTTGAGCAAATGAAATGATGGGCATTTCGAGCTGGTGAAATTTCTCCACCCGGCTTGGCTCACAGAGGCGTCTATGCAGTACAGTAGCAGTAGGAAGGCGATCAAGTTCTTCATTCATTTCGATATCAGAATGCGCAGCGGATGATTCCTCCCCTCCAATGTGTGCAAGATGATAGAACATCCTCTGCACCCGCATGGATCCATTTGAGACCCGAAGAAACTCCATTCATTGCGCATCCATCCCGTCCAAGCCAAATCCCTGCTAAGAGTCATTGCTCCAAGGCATCCTTGACCAAAGCCATATAACTCTCCCCAACCCCACTCCGACCATACACGCCATCGTCCCTCGCGCTCAACACCCCATACGCGCCGTCCCAGAACATGACTCCACCCAGATTGCCCAACCCAACCTCCTTCACCTCCTCCATCAGCTCGCTGAACTGCTGTCCGCCGACCCAACCACTTCCCGCGGCGGGGAACGCCGGCGCACCCACGTACATCCTCGGACTGGTGACACCGTTCCCGGCATCGATGAATCCGGAGGAGTAGGAGGAGGATGAGTGAGAGGAGGAGGAGAGATTGGTTGCAGAGAGGTCATCAGACCAGGCTTGCAGGGCCGCGAGGAAACCGGGCGAATTGAGGTTGCAAGAAGGGTTGTTGTAGAATTGGACGAAGATAAAGTCGATGGCGGTGCGCATAGAGGAGAGAGGGATGGAAGCGTCGGGGCGGGGACATTGAGGGGCTGCGGATAGGTAGTAGGGCTTCGGGTAGGAGGGTTGCGAGGTTTCAAAATAGGTTCGGAGGGTGGAGATCAGGGTTGGCCAGTACAGGGTGGAGCCGTCTTCGTTGTCTGTGGATGTGGAGGAAGGATCAGAGAAGGTCTCGAGAATAAGAAATTGGGCGATGAGCTGTGCTTACCAATGTCAAAGCCGTCAAGGATAACATCACCAAATGGTCGTATAGCCATGATGGTCTCGTTGTCCATTCCTCCTGCTCCGAAGAGATTCCAAATGTTGTCTGCGATTCTCACGGCGTCCTCTTCGCTATCGATCGTCGTTTCACTATAGTCTACCGCACCACCAATACTCAATAACACCTTCTTCCCACTTTCTTGACAGGTCTTGACCTGTCGTGCAAAGCCATCACTGACGCAATCGATGAGACCAGTGGCACCCTCATTTACTTGAGCAGAGCTGGCTGCCCAGCAACGAGGCCCCATGTTGAGGGTTGGATAGCTAGCCGGGCCGGTGGACAGCTTGTTGACGAAAGCCAGGATGATTATATCGACATCGGGGTCATCGCAGACGGTTGAGAGTGGGACCCTGGAGGTCTGATCGGTTTGACCATAGTAAACAGCTACATTGGAAGTTGACATCGGGTCAAAAGAGTAACGAGTGGCGGTGGAAGTGGTGGATATAAAAGTGGAAGAGGCTGAAGCAGCAGCATCGTTGAAGCTGGAAGATGAGGTTGCATTTCCGCTCGAGCTTGCTGGTATAGGGTAAATCGTAGTAGATGGACCTGCTGGAGTGGGGATTGTGTAGTATTGCGTTGATGTTGAGATGGCTGTGGCAGGTAAGGTCGTAGTTTGGGATTGTCCTCCAAGGCTCGACGACAGAAGTTCATAAAGCGACTGTATTGTTTCATTGAGATCCTCGAGCGTCTGCTGTAGTTGTTCAAGGGTGAAGCCAACTGAATCACTGGTGGAATTGCCACTGTGGTGGTCACGATGATGGTGGCGGTGCCCCCATCTCTTCTTTCTCGCTGAGCCTTCCCCATCTAGTAACCGGATTGCAGAATCTCTCACGGTGAGCTTTGCGTCAATCTGTGCTTGTAGATTTATGATGCGCTGTTGCTGCGTGTTGGAGTGCTGGGACTTGTCACCGCCGACCGAATGCCTTTGATTCTGATGGAGCAGTGTGCGCCGCAAATGACGGTGTTGGTATGCATGAGACGTGCACAATGTAAACTGTAGGAATAAGAATATCAGGACCGAGACTGAGCGTAAGTGAGCCATTTTCTGGTGTTCAGCTCACCAGATTCCTCGACACTGCCTCCAAGGAGACTTATACCTCCCGCAATGGCTGGTAGCCTTTTCGTGCTGGAATTCGAGCCTCCAGTTCGAGATCCGTACTTCGGTACATAATGCAAGGGAGGATAGACCAAGGAAAGGCTGGCTTAAGGTTGAGACTTGCACATTCCACACATTCTACGGTAAGACATTCAGAGGGAATGAGCAGGGCCCAGAATTCCAGCATAATTATGACCGAGTTTGACTTCGTACTCACAAAGTACACGAGTAGACCCATAATATGTGGTTGGATTCAGACGACTGTATTCAGATCCTGTCTCTCTCGAGCGTTCGAGCTCACAAGGGGGAATGCGACGAAATGACTCCATGGATTGAAGGATCAAAATGTGCTGTCCGACCTATTCTGTACGAAAGAGATCAAGCGCCTCAGAGACCAATCACCTGGTAGTCGGGAACGTCTTTGGTAAATAAAAGAGTCCCTTGGTGGATAGCTGCCCTTGGGTGTAATGTTAACCATCTTTCAGGGCAATGAGTGTGCATCAGTCTCTTGTTACTCGTGATCCTTTGTTGTGATGAGAGATACCAATGTCTGTTTTCAAGGTCGCATGCATCTCGGCTACTCTATCAGATCTTGATAGCGCATAAGCATGGCTTGATATGTAGCACCTTGACAGACCTAGGTCACCAAATACGATTTGTGTAAGCAACAGTTCCACGGGTGATTAGCTCTCTATTGTGGTCTGAGCATCATGCGTGGCCCCGTTCCTTTACAAACGAGGTATCAGCATAGCAGAATTTGTCCCTTGTAGATATCATGATATCAAGGACAGCGGATAGATCGCAATATAGTTGGAGCGCGGATAATGCTGCCAGTATCTGTCGCCAGGCTAGAATAAAGAAGGAGAAGTGTGTCCAGGTGCAAATCACATTGAGAACAGGACAGAAAGTCAGAAATACTGTGGCAGAGTACAAGACAGCAGCGGACAAAGCGACTTGGTTAGGTAATGATTCTGCCTAGTACCCACTCGTAAGAATTCAATTGAGTGACCGATAGCATTTGAGATGTAGAGGTGTTTCCGAAGTGTGTTACGTTGTGACATTGATTTCATCACAGTTTAGAGCGGCCGCCTTTAGGTAAGATCTCAAGGCACGTGCGTACACCTCCAAAGCGCATTGACTACAGAGTGGTGCCCCAAAGGTAGTTGGAATACGCTGTCTCATTCTAAGCATTCCAGGGGTCACAGCTTACAGAGGAGTCAAATGACATTATTGCCAAGAGTGTACCTCTTGACACATACAGTATCCTTAGCGTATTTCACTACTTTTGGGGCACGACTCTGTAGACAATCTTGATTTTCCATCGGCGCCATGATTTTCCTAACAGGAATAGCTTTCCCAAATCACGAAAGAATGGATGATTCGTTTCCGGCGTGGCTACAGTTCAAATTGATGATTGATGGTTGATGATTGTGCTCCGAGTCTCCCAATGCGGCCAAGAAAGGATGGATGGGTAAAATCCTGTCATCATCATTGTCCTCATTATTGCGGCCTCCTTGCTCTGACTCTGCCAGGTGGGCCAAATGCGGCCAACTGCACAGACCCAAGGACCATCGGACCCAAGGTGTCGCTTAGTGTGTCTAAGTACCTGCTGTGAAAAACTTGCTTCTGATACCTGCCTGGATTGTCCAAGTGATTCTTCATCAAGCTTGGATGTCTTCTGCTTGAACGGAACTCGTAATGGGTTCTTGGACTGCAATTGCCGGAGCGAGATCTCGCGCGAAGCAGTGCCTGGGATGGAATGGTGCTATGTGCCAATATGGCAGCACTGACACTCTGTCCATTTCCGAACAAAGCACCTATTAGACGCTTTGTCTGTTCATCGTAATCTGGGTTTTCCCACTCAATTGTCCCCTATCGCTACTTCCCTGTATGCTGATGCCCCCCAAGTCAATCTTATTGCATCTAAGCTCGGGTAGCAGAATCTTGTCGTTTCTTATAGTTGCCTGTCCGCAATTGTCCATGTCTGACGTACAAGCAGAATGCCTCCCAGACTCCCAAAGACCTTTCGTGAGCGTTGGGAGATGTGGTGGCAAGCAACTCTCCCCGGAGAGAGAGTCCAGACCAGAGATCCTATGGAACCAGCAAGTCATCTTGACCAGACGACGCAGACACGTATTTCGCTCTTCCCTGAGATGAGCAATTTCCTCCGGTCTCGCTTCGGGCTTTCACGAGAAACCGACCATCAATGGTTCCCTGTGCGGCCTCTGGGAAAGGGTGGCTTTGGAGGAGTTGCAGTGTGGGAGAAACGAGATTCCCTCGGCAACGTGGTGGAGGAAACTGCTCTGAAACAGTCAAAGTGGGACCTCTCATTGGCATTGCCGGACCAGCAACACAATGCAAGAGAAGGTGCCATCATGTATCAGCTGAATCACATGAACTCAGATTATATAGTCTTCATGAAGGCCTTCAGGTGTCTGATCGACCCGGAAAACACGGGGGCGACCTGGAGATTCTATTTCGAATATTGTCCCTACGGGGATCTTGGTCGCCTGAAGAGTCGATATAAAGCATGGGGGTGTGTACACCTCAACCTCCTGTCTCGTAGAAATGCTGACATCTTGTATAGCACCTACCTTCCTGAAGCATTCTTATGGAGAACATTCCATTCAATGGCGGAGGTTGCTAGGCTTATGAAAAATGGGAAATTCAGAGAACTCAACATGGAATCCGCTCCTACAATTCCTTGCGTTCTCATACATTCGGATATCAAACCGCCCAACAGTAAGTACCTCCCTATCTCTTGATTCCGTGTGTAAGAGATGCGATACGATGGATATCATCAAAAACTTCGGAGACTTCCGATGGCGACGAATCAGCTTCATGATGCTGAGATTGTGCCAGCTGTCCAAGGAGCTGCACTGGCAATGTTGAGTAATGGACTGCAAGATGGCGCCTCGCGGACTTATCTTATTTTAACCCATATTTTCATACGTTACACCCCACTAACACGTCCCATACCAGTATTCCTCGGGTATCACGCACACCCTAAATCTCCATGGCACGTGTATCCTGTCGTGAAGGTTGGGGACTTTGGACTGGCTAGTCTGACGAATCACCTCGACCCTAGAAATCCTCAGAGTTTTGTGAAGAACGGTACAGCATGGTACCTTCCTCCCGTAAGTGAACCTCCAGCCCAGAGTCTGATATCTGCCCAGAACGAAAGGAGCGTCAGCCGGATTCGGGCTTCTGCTACGTTCAATCCGTCCCAAGATCATCTTTCTAGTTTAGTGTCACTGACTCTTCCAGGAATCCCGTGCTAAAGAATATAGAGATAAGTACAAGGAGTGGGAAGATCCCCCTTTTGATATTGATGGCGCTACAAGCAGCGACTACAAAGATGCTGAAGGCAAGCCCGACTACAGCAATCGGAAGGTCGACTCTTCGCACAACGTTTGGGGTTTTGGGTTGACGATGCACGAACTGCTGACGCATCAGGAGGCTAAAGTCTTTTCTGATCACGTGAATGCAGTGACAGAAGACGAGTACAACGCTTGGGGTCGAAACACAATACCCAATTTGGTGACCAAGAAGGATCCAGAGTATAGCTATGAGCTTAGGCACCTTGTTCGGCGATGCTTGAACTTGAAACCTAGCCTCCGACCAACCGTGGAGCAGATACTGGAAGTGACTGGAGCAAAGATAAAAGAGTATGAGACTGAGGTTGCTAAGATTACTCGCGGGGCGACTGATCCCGTGACGCACGCGAAAAATACCTATCAATTGCCCAAGCTGTTTTTCAAGGAGAACGAAATCAATAATATGCCGCTTGGGCCTCACATGCAGGAGTTCGGGTGGGACGATCGATACCTAGCACTTTTTGCCTTCGACGAGGACCGATACGCTGCACCTGTCTGGGGACCAATACAGCATCCGAATCGTCCTGCATTTGCGCGTTACTATAAAGAACTGATGCAACAGAAAGAGGAGAAGAAGCAGAATGCCAACCGCAAGAGGGTTCAGAACACAATGGACCCGACCGCGGTGGATGCGGCCCCACCAAAAAGGAAGAAGCTTTCCGAGCCGGCGCAGAGACCAAAGAATCCATACGGGCAAAGCAAGCCGGCCAGGGGAAAGCTGGCCCCTAACAGAGATAAGTTTACACGAAAACCGCCAACTCGACGACAAGGCGGCTTCATGGCTGTTAATACCAACCGTGGCCAACGCGCGGAGCATGAAGCTAGGCAGCAGCCACAGGGGAGACGATTGGACTCGGTTGACCGAGCCTTGCTCGCCCTCAGGACCCAGGCCTCGAAGTGACAACGAGCCGCCAAGGAAAATTAGGAACAGGAGACCGCGTTAGTGGAACGATCAGGTAGTGGTGCCTGGTATCCTCCCCGGTTCGCGGCGATCTCAACCACGCGGAGAGGATGGGTTAGAGACATCTCGGGAGGTTATCGAGGAGAGTCCTCGGGAGGATGTCTCAATGTCCAAGAACTAAGTACACGGAGCGCCGAGCGATGCTTCCCAAATGAGTGATGATGCAAACAAAGCCTTCCCTATGCCGCTCACACTCGTCATCCAAGGCCTGTTATATCCGTTTTCCCAACTGAGAATTCTACAGGCTTGCTCTTAGTACGTTAAAGGACAGCTTGCCTTCTGTTCATTCATAAAGTCCCACTCAACTGCCAGCGTCGTCCCGGACATGTTCTTCACTTTAACTGGGAGACTGTTGTTGATATGTAGAGTTGTACGGAGCCTCACCGGTATTTTAGGTGATTTTGAAGAAGCGAGAAGAAGGGAGGATCCAGGTAAGAAGGACCTTACAGCGCCAGAGAGTGTGGCAAAACACAGCGCATACGCCACCTTCTGGTAGGAAAGTGTTAGTATCTACCTTTTGACCTCCGCTCTATCGTTGATATCAGTGCTGGCGCAGTAATGTCCTCGATTGAGAAAGCTTCCGTTTTGGGTGTCTCAGAGATAGGTGCTCTTTAGCCCGGCCTGCCTGTTCCATCATCACATAATTTCCTTGCCTCACGGTCTCGATGATCAGCATAAGATTTCTGTTCGAGCCGATTTCGGTTGATTTCGGTTGATTTCGGTTGATTTCGACTTCAACCAGATATATACCATTGTTGCCTCAGCCATGTTCTGGTCCTGTGGAACTGGTGCCAGCTCGGACTGAAGCGGCGTTAGAATCTTGGGAGCCTTGACCAGCTGCATCATCCGAATGCTGGTCTGGTGATACTGCGGGAGCTGCTGAGTGTTTGAGAGAGTATAGGCCGATTTTCTGCGAATATTGCTCAGCTGCGTAGATTCGAGATGCGACGAGTCTACAGCCGCTGGCTCCGATACGCTAAGAATGGTTTGATCGATTATGAGCAAATAGTTAACTAGCGGGGATTGACTGATGCGCTGGACGAATAGCTTTCAGTTTCCTCAAGCTGAGCTGTTGGTGGTCAGTAAGGCCGCATCATCGACAACGGCAAAGCACTTGCCTCTGTAGTCAACGTATTTGGACCTCCATTTGGGTATGACGTTTTGGTTGAGGGCCCTGGTTCCTCATCAGTTTCATCGCCCCATACTTTCGTCAGCTAGAGGCTTCTCACTTCTCGAAACTCACAGTGCGCGAAGCTAGAAGGTTTATGAGATTATTCGAGATAACTGGCAGTTAGACGGTCAAACGGTATGAAAATTGGGAAGTGAGCGTATGACAAGCAAGTGGAACAAAACAGCGGAAAAGCAACACTAGCAGAGACTGGCAACTATATGAAGCAAAGGTTCACGATCATTCTGCAAAGCGGGTAACACTTGGCTACTGATTAGTTAGCTCCAATTTCCTCAGCAAGTAGATTTCTAAACAAGGAAGGGGGAATTTGGCGACCAGATTCAACCAATGTCGATGATGAAGGCAAGCTCTCTGTCGATCAGAGTCTGGAGACCGAATGAGTGGTTCTCCAGAAGCTTGACTGTCGAGCACCGGCATGGACTGATCGTTGAGCAAGCCACTCCTGCTGCGGAGACCTCACTGGTGGAGGGCTTTCATAGTCATCATGCATGTTTGCGGCATCTGGGCGTGTTGCTTCTCCCTCCGAATGTTCAGTCTCCAAATAATTCTGTGCTTGATCCCTCTCTTTATACCGCATTGGGTTGGGCGGAGCATGTTCATGGATATTGGCAGCCCGCCCAGCCTCTCGCGACGGCAACAAGTCTTGCCCACGAAGCAAGAGGGTTCATCGGAGCACGGTTCTGTGTGAATCGAGTTCAGTAACAGCCACATGATGAAAGATATGACTGGATACTATCAGGACATTATTGAGTGGTCTGAAGCATTGTGAAATCTGAAGAACAGGCTGCAATGGTGATATTACTGGCGGCTGAAGAGCGACAAGCAAGAAATATCCTTGGCGCCACCACCATGCAGGCCAAGAACTGCTTCCGGCTACTACCAGATCTGGCTTAGCCATACAGTCAGCCCTACAGTGCGGAAGATGTGAACATGTTTCGCGGTCCAATCACTATTATGTACTTTATGTTCAGGCACACTCGCCGCACACCAGTTGAGCAAAAATGCCTATCAAGCCCCTAGCCTTCAAGGGCGACAAGAAGTCCTCGTCCTCTAAGAAGCGCAAAGCCGCTGCCGCCGGCCTTCACCATGACGCCCTAGATGGCCCTCCTTCAACCACCCTAACCACGTCCGCACCGTCAACTCCAGCAGATGTCAACGCCCCAGTGGAAGACGACACTTGGGTCACCGCCGACGCGCCAACAGATCTCACTGGGCCCATTATCTTCGTACTACCTACCCAACCTACTCCCTGTGCACTTGCCTGCGACGACGCGGGCTCGGTCTTCACTTCACAACTAGAGAATCTGATCGAGGGTGATCCTGCGACGGCAGAGCCGCATGACGTGAGGCAGGTGTGGATCGCTACGCAGATTCCAGGAGCAGGAGGAGGGAATGTGTTGGTGAGTTTCAAGGGGTCCGGTGGGAGATATTTGGGGTGTGACCGAGGTGGCTTTCTTAGGGCGGACGCTGTTGCGGTAGGGGTCGGTGAGGGCTTTAGGGTCTCGGTAGCAGATGCTGAAGAGAATGTTGGGAAGGGCAGGTTCCTGGTTGGGACTGATGCTGGCACTGGGGAGGGGAAGGAGAAAGAGCAGAAGATTAGGTATGTCTTTGTCGAAGAGAGGAGGGAGGGCAGTCAAAAAGCTTGGGAGATCAGAGGTGATGGAGAAGGGATTACTGATGCTTCAATGCTACGGATACGGATGCAAGCTCGATTCAAGCCGAGGTTAAAGGCCAACAAGGAAATGAAGGCGAAGGAGAAGATTAGCAGGAGGGAGTTGGAGACGGCCGTCGGAAGGAGGTTAGAAGATGATGAAGTGAAGAGGCTTAAAAAGGCCAGGAGAAATGGAACCTATCACGAGGAAGTGCTGGATGTCCGGGTGAAGGGGAAACATGACAAGTTTGCCAGCTGATGAAAGCTATTACTGTCGTCACAACACCTCAGCTCTGCCCTATACAATTCGCTCTTGCAGACAGGAGGTCCTCTGCTTTGTGTCCAAAACAGCAGAATTGACTCGGTCACGGTACGGTCAAAGTCGACCATCTGAAAGACAACACGCCATTCATAATATTCGTGCACTACTCTCACAGCGGTGCTGCTCTCTCAATACTGCACGCTCTTCCAAGTCCGGACCTGGCAACCCGAAGTTCAGAACAGCATTTTGCACACTCCATATCAAGGCGGAATGGCCAATTGCCCTTTCATCCTTGTGGAAGGGTGGGTTGGGTAATCATCCGAGCTTTTCTGTTGCGCACGTGGCGTGATCACGATGATCGAAACTGATCAATCACCTTACACAGCAAGGTGGTAGTGTATAGTCTCTGCTAGAAGGCAGCAGCTTCTCCACCTCTCCGTTGCGGAATATGAGCGAGGCCTTAGGTGTTGTGAAAAGTGCTATCGAAGCGGAAAGGCGACAGTAAGATTCTACGGCTGGCTTGAGGCTTCCGTGATCGGGCGATATGCGGGTAACATGCATCCGCTACAACGAGAATTTACCGTAATCATTGATGAGAGGTTCCATCTTTGCTCGAAACATCGCATGATGTCTACTGTAACTCAAGGCCTCCTCGAGTTTCCTCTTTCTGTCTTGAAGCCTGGTAATATGCTCCTGCAGTTGGCCCCTCTGCTCCCCCTTTAGTCGGTACATGGCTCTAACCGTTTTTCTGTATTCATCATCATTTATTTCAAGATATGAACATGCTGTCTCCAGTTCAGGCATTCCGCCCTGGGCCCGGGATGGCAGAGTGTCTTGCAAGTACTTGATCTTGGTGCCATACATATCGATCAGTTTCCGAATGTGGGCTAAGTTATTTGTGTGTGGATGGGCGGTCAGCTTTAGTTCTATGAACCAGGCGCCTTCACCCAAAGCCGGATTAGGGCATTCGCTCAAGCCAGTCTCAGAGTTTTTCGTATCGGCGCTCGAGCGTTGTGGGCGCCCACAACCCGAGCTCGCAGACCTATCTGACTGTACAGACGAAAGGGATAATCTAACCTGAGGAGCCGATATACAGATTGATTGCGGTCTTGAAGGGACAAGAATCAATTCCAACGAAGTGATCTCTGAAGATCATCTTGAGAAATTGACTGATGATACGGAATACACCGGCATGATATACACCAAGAGTGTAACAGCCACAGCCGCTACACTGGCGAGGTCAATTATTCTCTTGAAACACGCTGAATGGATGCCAACGTAAGGGACCCCAGGCGTTTCTGAATCACAAAATGTCCTGTCGCACCAGTGTGTCTTGTACGTGGTACGGGAGGTCCTGCCCGTCGATCAAGCTAACTAGAGTAACCTGGACGATAGTCAAACACTGAAGCATGCAAAGAGAATCCCATGCAGTGGTTTGGAAGCCGCCTTAACCTTGAATGGACTCAGTGCCAACCTTCTGGTAAATAAATGCTTTGCGTCACCTGTCCACCACAGGAGAGGTATCGCAATATTACGATGTGCTGTATTTCAATGCAAGCTGACCTAAAACGATTTGGTTGCTAATTGGGATCGGGGATGAAATCCTTCATGAACCACCATCTGTAAGTCATGATTGCAACCACAATTCGTTCAGTATGACCATTGTGTGCAGTGACAGTTTCACCGTGCAGCGACTTTGTTAAAAAAAAGTTTAAAACATTTAACTATCTTTAATGAACTATAAAGACGTATAAGCGACTTTTTAAAGCAGCTTTAAAAAAAGAGACTTAAATCACTTTAATTAATTTACTAGGGTCAGGCTCACTTGGAGATGGCTCTTCTGCCGGCCTACTACCGGCACCCCAGCAACGATAGCAAAGCACTAGTCAATCGGTTAATTGGCGATAGGCCACCGAGAGTATCAATCAGACTTACACAACACTTCCGCTTGAGAGGTCTCTTTTCAGTACTATGCCACCGGCATAACAACTAGATGGAACTTTTTTTAGAAGATAGAAGAATAGAAGCATAGGAGGATAGGAGGATAGGAGGATAGGAGGATATTTCTTTTGCGCGTTATGCGTATAAATTCTCTGCCCCTTTTCTGCGCATTCTGCGTGCGAATTCTGTGCCCTCTTTCTGCGCATTCTGTGTGCGCATCTATGTGTGCATTCTGATTTTTGATGGGGTGCGGCTTGGCAAGATTCTGCAGCCTTAAGTAGCACCCTAAAACACTGCTTATTTTCCGCCATAAACTCAAGAAGGCTGGAAAGGGGAACTTTATCCAATCAAAAAGATGATTTCTACCGCCCGGATTTTCCAGCTTACTGTACTTTGCAGTCAATTGATTGAGCTTGGTGGTGGGTTCACATATGATAGATGATAGATGATTCGTCTCTTTAATATAGATCCTTTATACTCTAATTAATAAAAGGCTTAACTGTAAGGGATCACGTTTTTGTATTACAGTACCCCACCAAAAGTATTGGGACAAAACGCGCTTTTTTTTCTACACGCGTTTTTTATCGCCTTTTTCAATCAACCACCATGAATCAACGCAAGGCTTTGGCGCCTCTAGAAATCAACAGGAGCTATGGCCAGGAGCTATCTCCATATCAGCGCGGTCAAATTACAGCCTACTATGAGGTAGGCCTATTAATTAGGAAAATTAGCAAAAAAGTAGATTACACTAGATCTACTGTTTTCAACACCCTCGTACGAAATCCACTCCGCAACGAAGGCAAAAGCTTGCCACGTTCTGGCAGACCCCCTGCATTAAATTGCGTTCAAAAATGAAACATTCTACGTATTATTTAAGCCAATCCGAGAATTACCTATGCAGCTCTTTAACTTGAAGCTAGGGTAACTATTCATTACAATGCCCTTTACTAAATACTTAAAGATAAGGGCATTACTAATTAGCTTGTTAAAAAAAGACCTCTTTTAACTTCTAAAGTAGTTGCTAAATACTTTGCTTAATATTTAGAACAAAAAGATTAGATGTAGGATGACTAGTACAGAATAATATTTAGTAATAAATGTTCTCTTAAAAGAGGCTCTAAAGCCTAGTGAGTTTGGAACTTTTATACACTATAACAAAAGTAGGATAAGGATATAGTTTAACTATTTAAGAAAGGCAAGGATATTAGCGTCATGATATAGGGTGCTATTTATAAAAATAGGCATTTAGATATTATTCTTTTAGAACGTGATCCTGATTTAGAGAAGTCAGGATATACTGCTAACTCATATCTCACTATTCTCTATAAGCAAATCCCTTAAACGTACGAACCTGGCCGGATTTTCATGTAAGATAACGCCTGAATTTATACTGCAAAAAAGGTTATAGCCTGGTTTGAGGAGGAGGGTATATCTCTGCTTGATTAGCCCCCCTATAGTCCGGATCTGAACCTAATTAAATACCTTTAAGCGCAACTTAAGTAATGAATTAATGACTACTACCTAAACTTAATCTAAATAAGCAAACCTCAGGCTAATTATCAACGTCTGTTTACCACTATTCATAAGGGTTAGGACGCTATTAGGTAAGAAGCTATTGATGCCCTAATCAAGAGCATGGATACCTGTATAAATGCAGTGATTAGGGCCAAAGGATGGTATACCCGCTTCTGATATCTAGCTGCCTATTTAGGAAATTAGTACTATTCGAAAGAGCAGATTTTGGCGCACCATTTAATTGATTCTTATAGGATTTCAATAAATACCGGGCGTACAGTAGTAATTTGTATGGGAAGAGTGGAAAATGTTGAAGGGGTAAAAATGCGGGGTGTCCCAATACTTTTGGTGTAGTACTGTATTAAGCTTTACACGTGCAATATTGTGACTCCTCTGCTCCTGTTGTTCATACTGCCACAGCAATCTACTTATTATTCTGCACATCACGTTGAGTCCCGAAAATTCGCCGCCAAGTTGTCAGCCTCGCAAGGCGGAAAACGCAATCAGCCTTGTTCCAAGCATCATCTATAGAGTATGAAATCCCACAAGGACCTCCAAATCCGGGACAGAAGTAACATTTTGAGCTTACTGTAACTATTTTGTTGTTTAATGATTCTCTTCCTATGGATCACTGGCGACCTCCTTGACCTAGCCTCTGCACAAGATGAGTAAAGTACGCGAATCACATAGATACTACCATCAGCCGCTCCAATCTTCAGAATTCGCTATCAGGCTCTTTAGCCTTAACCCGGTGGACGATAGTTATTTGTTGAGCGGCACAATAACATCTCACAACCTGAAAGCCTGTGGGAGTTATGTCGCCTTATCTTATGAATGGGGCGAGGAAGATCCCCAGGTTGAAATCAAGATCAATGGCCGGTTGTTCCTGATCAGGCATAACCTATGGCTCTTTCTCAGTGTCATTAAATCGAAGCAGAACTCTGATATATCACTAACCGACTTACGGTTCTGGATCGACGCCATTTGCATAAACCAGCAGGACGTGCCCGAGCGGAATGCTCAAGTGTCCATGATGGGGAATATATACAAACAAGCAACCTGCGTCCTTGCGTGGTTGGGTTGGCCTCAAGGCTGGGATCCTACAATGACCTTTAACTTCATCAGGAACTGTAATAGTGCGGAAGCTGGACAGCGCTCAGTTGAGACTGAGGAAAGGTTCGGGGGACGGACGTACATCGAGATGTTACGTATGGTTTTTCAGATGTGTATGTGTCGATATTGGTCAAGAAGATGGATTGTGCAGGAAATTTTGCTGGCCAACAAGGTTAGCATTATGTGCGGTGAAGATGAGCTCTCATGGGCTTCAATGTACGCTTTTGTTCAGCAATCCGCTGATTTAGGTGTTCTGTATGTGCCGCGGACGGTGGAAGAGTATGTGACGATTAAGGTGAGGGGCTCCAGGTGTGAAGGTGTGAGGAGGAAATTGGCGGAGACGATACCGTTTGTGATGAGCTGCTTTTGGCGCGAAGGAATGCATCAGCATACTTTACGCCAGCTGTTCCTTGCGTTTCAGGATACCAATTGCGAGGTGCTGCATGACAAGGTCTACTCGCTGCTAAGTCTCGCAAGTGATGCCAGCAGGATACCCGTCGATTATAGTTGTTTACCACAGACCCTGCTGTACAGAGTGATTGTGCAAGGAGACTGGTCTAAGGATATTGAGTTACAGATCTTGGCGAAGGCTTTGCAGAGCATTGAATTTCCATACAAAGTCAGAATAGGCGAAGGACAAAACAAACTTGACGGCACTGCACCCTTACCCCTACATCTGGAAGAGAATCGTTTCATCGGTCATAAAATATTGTTCTGCAGCATTCAAGTGAGTCTTTGCGAGGTTGGTGTGTCAGATAGAAAGCAAATTGTTGCAAACTTTGAAGAGGCTGTGGACGGAAAGAGCAGACTTGGAAGCGAGTTAGAGGAGACTGATTACGGGGAACTCAGTAACGAGAAAACCAAAAGACGCCGCCAAGAAGTGCATATTGGTCCCGGACGAGAAAGTCCAAGAATTTTTGTCTCCAATAATGGCAGCATGGGGGTGTCATGCTCGAACGCAAGAGCTGGGGATGTTCTTAGCGGCTTTTCCAGCGGGAAAAAACTGGTTTTACGTGTCGACCGTGAGGATATTTTTCGAATTATTGGCACTGCAGTACTTTCTCCGCCCTGTATATCACCTTTTTTCCAGTTAGCCCAACCAGTGAGGGTCTCCAAGAAGGCGCTGCAAGACGAACTTCGCTTCCTCGAATTTTTGCTGCCAAACTGCAGTCCAGATAGTTCCACTCTTGCTGACATCCTCATAGAACAGGAGAAAGAAGTCATGTTGGAACGCATCGAGCGTCTTGCTGACATTGTATCATCTTTCGAGGCTGGCCACCATGCTTCGAGTCGTCATCGGGTGGCTCACTTTTTTGAGCATGTGGTGTCAGAGCGAACTGCATCTCCCTGATCCTGCCAGGATCCCAAACCGGATCCGGACCAACCATTATTCCGCCTCAGCGCAGCCACACGGAGGTCCCTGTCGTGACCACGCGGCATGTATCAGCCAGGCCAGAACACGATCTCTTGTCGACCCATACCACATCTCAGATAGGGGGCCAGGCTTAAGGAGCGCCATCCGGCACTTTCTTCGTTACTCAGCTGGGTGGGTCAATCGAGAATGTCAATGAAGGCTGGACAGGGACCATACCAGTGGAAGGTCCACGGACACAGCCAGATTACTCCGTTGGATTCCGGCGATTCTCATTTACGGATGAGCAGCTCAACAGGCTCGATCCGCTCACCGGCAGCGTCTATAATACCTCTTTTCCATCGCAACCTACCGGACACTTTCAGTTTCTGAGCACTTGATGTCGCAGACCGACAACGCTCACAGTATGACTGTTGCCGTAAGAGGTGTCGTCGAGCTCTACAAAACTGTAAAGCGTGAAAGGGAGCTTCATCGAGCGCTGGTGGCGCCGTTGACGCTGGAGCAAGGGAAGGAGAGGAAGGTGAAGTTGCTGGAGAGAGCGCAGAAGGGGGGTAGACGCAGACGTGGTGGAGGCTGAAATTAGTGTCGATCTGAGGGGCGTCCACCAATGCCTCACGGTGACAGCGGTCTTCCTCGTCGTATCGCAGCGTCTGCTTCTTGAAATATTCTTTCTTATGTGTATGAGGGACGCTGCTATTTCGGATAGGAGGTGGGGATCATTGCTGAGTCAGGTGAACTCCACAGTCGTATGGAGAAAACCGTATCTACTTGGCCGGCTTCCATCCGGAACCTGGAAAGTCATCATTTCCCGAGAAGCCTTCAGCCGGAAGCTCCCCTGGTAGAGGATTCCATTAAATTGTTCAGACAACGCCTAGTTGGCCTCACGGAGGAATTCACCTCGATATTGATTGAATGCGGCCACAAAAGATGAAGACGATCTCCGACGGCAACCGCTCAAAACTGTTCTCGATCAACGGGACGACAAGGCCGACGGTGGGAAACCTACCCTGTTGGTCGGAGTATCATAGGGGACCAGGAGCAACATCCGATCCCAAATGCTTGCGTCAGCGATCGCCAGTTTCGTGCTGCCTTCAGACGATTCTGGAGCCGCGTCTTACATTCGATGTAATCTTTGTCGGTGGCTTGGGGTCGGCCTTTCATCGGTGGCCGCAGTCGCGGGTAGCATTCTGCCATCAGCTGCGTCAGACCATGGCTGTCTGGCTTGTCCAAGTGCTGAGAGGCAATATTCTCGTTGAGGCTTGTTGAGCTTGTTTACACTCGCCTTAAGTCCTACTTAACCATCCCATGCTGTGCGATGATCTCTGAGCCCGGTTCTCGACCTTGCACTCGTCTTCGAGCTCGACACGCCGATCCAAGAGCTAAATCAGATAGCGTTGTCGGATGATGGGACTCGCCATCTTCAACTGGTCCAATTTACCCGATCATCCGTGATAGCCGACCATCTTACACGATGGTGACACATTTACTTGATCGATAAGGAGCCGATGTCCAGATTACTGAGGAAGTGGTGGAGGTAGTAGCAGGTAATTGAGGAATTGGGAAAGAGATGATGACGTTGTTACTAGACCGACTGGAGTGGGTGTTCAAATCACCGGAGAAGTGGTAAAGATAGCGGCCATAAATTTGAGAAACGACAAAGAGGCGATGACGCTACTGGTCGATCGACGAGGAGTCGATGTTCAGAGTACCGAAGAAATAGTGAAGGCAGCAGCAATCAATTCAATAAAAAGGCGATGTCGCTTTTATTGGATCGACGTGGAGAATTTCGGATCACTGAAGAAGTGGTGAAGGCAGCAGCAATCAATACCATCAAGCAGGTTTTGACTTTACCACGGAATCGACAAGGAGCAAATGTTCAACTAAGGAAAAGAGGTATTACTGAAACCCAAGTAAAATTGTAAAGAGAAAGAAAAACATTTTAAAGAAGGAGTTACTGAATAACGAGAGAATCTTTTATCTCTCAAAGATTCATCGTTAATACTGACAAGTGGAGGCGTCTCATGGTCATTTTTGGATGATAAGACAAATTTAGGGCCCCAAGTTCATGAACTAGGCCCCTTAGGTATCATTGACAGAAAGACATAACATGACGCTGAGATCACGATGCATGACTGGCTTGTAAGAACGGAAGGAAAAGGTGACTGAACAAGGAGAGGGGATAAAACGAATCAGGGTTCAATTTCTGTTGGTGTTCGGTGCATAACCACTGGTCCTTTCTGGACTACATGGAGATCCCGCCCGTCAGAGACATTGCATGTGACCCAATAGGGAAAGGAGCTGATATAGGATGTCGTGCTTGATTGATACTAAGTAGCATGTCTTTTCGTCCATAGGACGTGGCTAATCACGCCCGTCGGAATGATTGTATCGTCACGTCTATCAAAGTGTGCTGTGGTTGAGTAAACAAGTATTATATCTCATCGTTTTTGCCAGGGCCCGGTCATGCAGCATTAGCTTCCTCACAGCCTCGAGGCTGCGGTCGAACCATCTTGGGATTTATTACACCAGGAATTAACAGGTGAAAATGCTTCCTTCTACGTTAAGATGTCTTCAGAGACATCTCTGGGCATCTTGGTCGACGAGATCGAGGCGCATGCCTTGCTAGCCCACGATCGATGTAAGTCCAGACGAAATCCACTTCCCAACATGACTGACTGAACGTAAAGGCAGACATGCCTCCTCAGACTTTGACACGGTCGAGTGGGACATCACTTGTCTTCGTTTCACGCTCAAAGAGATTAAACACGAGTTGTCCAAGCCGGTTTCCAAGATAAGGAGTGCGGAACAAGCGAGACAGGAGGCTCTAGCTACCATTGTTAAGAGCTACCGGCCTCTTCTGCATCAATTACATCAGTTTGCTACGAAAGATCAGGGTTTCAAGAAGAAGCGGATATGGAGAAGTCACAAGCCCAACTCAGCTGTACTTGACCGCTTCCACAGAGAACTCCAATTTCAAACCCAAACCATCAATTTATATCTCTCAACTCTCACGGCGACGATTAAACCCGGCCCAGCCCAAGAGGCCACTGATACACTGCAAGCGGTCCATCAGGGCTCCGAGGTTGATGCACAATGGTCGCTGCTGAGACTCAGGCTAATTGAAGACGGCATCACAGATACTGACATTGAGGCCCACACTACCTCTATTCGAGCACTCCTACGAGAAAGATTGCCTTCATATCATGACTTGCCTTCGGGACCTGGTCTTCTGGAGACCGATAATTCTTGTGACACATCAGCAGGCTCGCACGAGAACGTGCTGCAGAGAGTCTCTCAACCAGAGTATAGCGCATCGGGAAAAGGTAGATACAGTGATCAGGTCGATCAGGATCAGGATCAGCATGCCCATTCTGGTGCTTCTACATCCTTCTCCCTGGGCGTTGCGCCTAATGCAAGGAACGGGTCGACCAATAGACCACTTCTGACCAAGGACAACGAACATTTGTTGACCCGCACCCCTAATACCCAACCAGCTTCCACACTTAATAAGTCTGAAGGCGAGTAATCTACCCTGCCTGCCTCCCACACACTGCTAACAGCAACAAGGAATGTTTTATATTGGTGATAGGTGCCTACGGCCTCACTTCCTCTGCCCTTTTTCTTGCTGATATTCCTGCAGCACAGATTCGGAATCTGAAGTCTTGCATTTTAGTAAAGAGCGCCATGCCTCTGGTCCATCGAGTCCACGATCCACGACTAAAATGATCACTCCTATGCCACAACCAACGCTCTCTTCACACAAACATCAATCTTCTGCTTCTCATGAGGTCGCTCTTGATGGCGTAATGTCGGAGCATCATGACACCATCGTTGTTTGGTCCTGCGCTGCAATTTACCCAGACGAAGCTGCATTCTTCGACAGTATATACAACTTATCGGTGAGTGTATGTGGTCTGTGTGGGGAGTTGGTTCGTAAATCACCAGATGTGACGCAGCGAAAAAAGCATTTGAGCAATATCCACAAATGGCATACCTGCAATCGTGACCAGCTATTCTATCGAGCGGATGACTTCCGTCGACACCTTAAGCATACTCATTATGCAGTGCCAGGTTGGTGGTCTCAGACGCTAGAACGCAGTGCAAGACGCAAGGTTCACCGACCTCAAACTACTGATGCTTCCAACCATCCCTCACCCCCTCAAGGCAGTACCAGGTCTCGTTTGCGTGCACAATCTTCCACTCATCATCAAGATCTTCCCAACCCAAGTAATGCCGAGGTAATGCAAAGACCATCATCAACTTTTAACGGGACGGAATCTATGCACCGCGTTCACTCTGACATATCCGAGTATGATGCACAAGGCAATCTCCTGAAACGTACTATCACGGACTCGTATACTTCTGTCGCAGATGCTGCAGCGCCATCGTTGGAGCGACATCGTTCAAGTCCCCGACCACACACCAAACAGGTATTGAACGCAGCGAAAAATGCACCATCCAAAGAAATTACTCAGGGCAAATTCGCTCCACCTTTGACGCAAGACCAAAGCCATCTTGGCCACAGCTGTCCTTTCTGCTCAACGTCTCAGAAGTTCTATTCTCGTGCTTTATTGGCTCGCCATATAAGCGTAACACACAAAGATTTCGTTGCGCGCCCGATCCAGGCTGTAAAGCATCAGAAACTGAAGCGTGCATATAAAAAGCTGCACTCGACACTGCAGTCGTTTTGCCAAAATATGGCACAGGCCTCAGATACTGGCAGGGAGGGCAGCGTGGTAACAGATCATGTCATACAAGTGCTGGATGAGCTGGATGACGAATTTTGGCCAAGCAGCTCTGAAAGCTCTGAAAACTCCGAGAGTGGTGAACATCCCAGCCTAGATGACGTTGATGTCTCGGACAAGGAGGAGGCTTACTCTTAGACTGCTTTGGGAGAGGTCTCGTCCAAAGTACATGCCCGCCTATGCACAGTAATGGTGGAAGGACCGCAGCCATGGAAAACAGAGTGATGTCAGCTGCTTGATTTTCACTGCTCCTCCAGTGCATCTGTTACTCGCTCGGTGTTCAGAGCACCATGGCCATCCTATGTACGGCTCCTGCTCTTAGTCCTAGGTCTACTGCAAGGATATAAAGCTCACAGCACACCGCAGCCTCTCCAAATCATCGACCCATACTATGTCGGCTTCGCCACTGGCGGGACAAATAACAGAAGATCACCATCGCAGCTCGCAAGGCTTGAGAATGGTGAGTGGTACAGAAGGCATCGCTGACGATCGGTCTGGAAATGGGTTCGAACCATAAGTTATGTAAGCTGCGTAGAAAAGATGGATGCATGTCATCCATTTCACACCACGTCAAGAAATAAAGTGTACATTTATACATGTAGATAAGTCATTCATGATGAATATATAGCATCGCTACTGCAGATGTACGCTCACTTCACTTCTTGCCTCTTGCTGCCAACCTCGCTTTCCAACCTGCATATATTCATAGATGCAAGCATGGCATAATCCTGAACTCCATCGCTTGACCCGACACTCAAACAATCACATGGATCAATAAAGAGATACAAACCCACAACCGAATTCCCCGCCTCTTTTCGTCTGGCGAAAGCTATTCCAACTAGCTAGGAAACAACCTCTTCCACCCCCTCCTGAACCACCCCATACTCGTTGCGGGTATCTCCTCTACAGCCGGCTCCGCCGTAGGAGGCAGAGTGGCAGCGAGACGCTGTCGGCCCCACTCCCTACGTTCTTCGGGGGAGAGGGCCTGGATTTCTGGCGGGAGGTCTTCTAGTGTGGGTAGCGGAAGAGGGTCTGGGCTTGTTGTGGGATTGGAATTGGAAGTCAGAGTGCCCATTTCGAGATCGGCCCCTACGCCTGCTGCTGGTGAGGGTGATGCAGCGGTATCTGTAGTGTGTGCCGGGCCTAGCGAGGTTGGCAACGGCGTATCGATCGTGGGTGTTCCTCGCTGTGGTCGATCTGGACGGGTTAGTCTATTGGGCCGGTATCCTTGTCGATCTCTCCTTTCCGCGCCCTGCCGGGGACGGAGCCGTGCTCTCAGGAGCCAGCCCGGTAGGAATCGCTGGACTGATGCCGGAAGCATGGAGGATAGGGGTGAAGAATCAGTGCCTAGCTCGCGCATGCGTCGCAAAGCGCGTTCCCTTCGCACCATGGAGGTAGTGATGTTTTCGGGGCAATAGCCGGTAGGTAGGGCGGATTTCTTGCACATGGGACAGAGTGACGAGTTGGTCCGGAGGAACTCGTCGACACATTCCGGATGGAAGATGTGTTGGCAGGGCAATTCGCGGACGACGGTTTCGTCGTGTTCAAAGTCGTCGAGGCAGATTGGGCAGGTGGTTTGGGAAAAGGGGACGTCTCGCTTGGGTAGATTTTTGCGTTGGGTAAGGGACGAGCCTTGGGTAGAGGTGGGTGTTGTTTCTTTGGTAGGCGAGGTGGTTGGAGCAAGCTTTGAGGTGTATACATACAGTGGCATTTTATCGAGAAGTTTTTGAGGAACTTTTTGCCGTTTGATTCCCAGGATCTCTAAATCGACTTCGCCATTTCCTATTCTCCTGCGGAGGTCGCGGCGCATCCTTCTTTGATTGATGTGCATGATGAGAGACGTCAAACCTGTGACAACACAAAGTATGGCAAGGACGAGAATGGCGAAAACCCACAGTCTGCCAAGAACTGGATTGCTGTCTCTGGAGGTGTTGAGGGCTACCCGCGCGAGTAACCGCGCTGCGTCGGTTGGCGGATGAACTCGAGCCAGTTCCGAACTGAACGGAGCATCAGAAACATTGCCAGAATACTTGCCTAATTCTTGAACCAAAGTCGCTCCGCTGTCCGGAGGTATTGCCCATATCGGAAATTCAGCGCCAAGCACCCAGTCATTCCACGTTGATGCGTTTACTCCCCAGTCTGGCGTATCCCATACGGGTGCAGCGAAGGCTGCGTTGGGGCGTGTTGGAAAAAAGAAGAGTCCAGCGCTTGAGTCCGCCTGTGTGGCGCGCATGTAGGCCAACGCACATTCAGGATGGTCCGACACCCATGGTGCGACTGCAACCAGCGCATATCGCTCAACACTCGGTATGTTTGCTCTTCGCGTAACGTTTTGAGGCAGAAACTGCGATGAAAGATCGGCGCATGGGTCCGAAGCATTCAGATTGGGCACGTAAAGGAGTCCCTGAACCATGCCCTCGGGAGATATTTGAGCGCCTCGATCTGATAGTGTACTGATGGTGGAGTTGCCATCGACTCGAAAGGATATGTTGGACTGCAGAAGATATGTTAGATACTTGATTCAGGAGCTTGTACTCAAGATGGGCGCCCTTACTGGAACAAGATCGGCACTTTGTGCATAGACCTGTACGGGCTGCGGGAGCACAACGGTGAATGCATCCCAATACATTGCAGCTGGAGCTCGTTAGTAGAGCGTTCGAGCACCCACGATCTGACTGAATGCGTACTCATGGTGACTTGGCCGGCTAAGAACGAATCAAGCGCGGGTAGCTGCGAGGGATGTATGCGGCATCAGGGAACATAAGATGTAAATAGCTGATAACAAGAAAGAAGAGAATATATATTAGCAGACTGGAATGATAGGCAATAGACTGAAAAGGTAGGGATTTGGAATCAGGACATTGAGGCTGAGTAGTTCTCGATGGAAAGGGATACGAAGGCGAGTCGAGCAAAGTGCATGACGAACCATGTCCTGACTGCCAAATCCAGTTTCTCCAAGCGATCCCGGCGTTGCCTTCGGCCGTGCAGTGACACTGCAAGAGTGCTTATTCATCCGGGGGGAGCGGAGATAACGGGGACAACAGGGGACAACAAGGACAACAGCTCGGCGCTATCGGCAACCTACTACTACGATAGTAGCAGTTGCTATCAAGGTCTATCAGTTAGGCCTGGTGGACAGAGGCCCAAGACGATCTGGCGCCTGATCGATCGCCTGGATCAGCATCAATACGTAGTACTTACGTAGTACTACGGGTAGGGTCTCAAGTAATGGCAGCTCAGCGCTAGTATCTTTACTTGTAAACCCTCTCTGTACAGAACAGCTATGCTCAAAAGAAGTTAGATGAATAATGACATTATGTTGTCGTATTAAGAACTAACTGCTCTTAGCTCTACTACGTACTAGTACGTAGACCAACATTACTTCAGGCGCCCCGTAGTACTATGTACTACTAAGTGACTAGTAGCACGGAGTACTCCGTACCGTAGTTATAGTAGTAGATCTTGGCTCTGAATGCCAAGTCCGATATTCAGACCTCAAACCATGAAGTGCAGCTATTCCAACTGGGCTGTTGAGATAGTATAACCCTGGCTGTCCCGTTTCTCACCCCATCTTGTTGAAGTGGTCTCAAAATGCCGCCTCTTGCGACCAAGGGCAAGGGGAAAGGGCGCGATGCTCGGCGTTCAAGAAGTCGCAATACCACTCCTAATTCCGCTATTAGTAGCAGCGCACTTCCCTCAGCACCCACCTCGACAGCCTACCTAGGCATTGGCACGGCGCTCCTGCTCGTGCCTTCAAGTCCTCAATATGCAGACATGATAGAAAAGTTGGAGTTGAAGCAGGGAATGCCAGAGCCAAAACATTTAGATATACTTGTTGAGCAGCTCAGACAACTTAGTGATGCCGCAGAGGCCCGTTCGCAAGCATGTTATCTTGCCATGACCGCCCTGTCAGTCAAACGTAAAGATATTGCAGAACAAGAGAGAGAAAGAGAGAGACTGGAACGGGAAGCAGAGTCACGGCGTGCACGAATAAGAAAGGAAGCAGAAGAGGCCGACGAAGATGCTATTGTCAGAAAGGCAGGGAAGGTGAAGAAGCGAAAAGATCGGCCAAGTGTCAAAGAAGAAAGACCAATGGCACATGGGGCGCATCAAATTGCACGACAAGATGGGGTTGATGTGAAGCAAGAGGGTCAGTTCACTTTCCTTGTACCGTAATACGCATTGTGTTTGTTGTCTGGGCTGCCGCGCTATCTTTTCCACCACACAGTCCACCATGTTCTTCAAATTACACCTTTTGTAGTACTACAAATTCTCCGTATTATGCTTTACGTACTCCATCGCAATCATGAGGCTTGTTATCGACAACCGTTTCCGGCGGCCAGAAAAGGTGAATGGCCGGAAATCGTATCGAGGAGCTGACGCAGTGACAGACGAGGCGGAGAAAACGAGAGCTGTTCGTGCAATATCATCCCCAACGCCTATAGATCATCCATCTCCGTCTAAGAGAGCAAAAATGAGTCCTGGCTCTTCGTCGCTATCGGAAATGGCACAATCACCTGATGTTACCATTGCCGTCAACGACAAATCAACTCCGAAGAAGGTAGAGCCTTCAGCAGAAACCTCCGAGGATGAGCGCCAGCCACCTCCAGCTCCGCCAGTAACTCAACATGCATTCTTTCCTGACCCTCTCGCCCCAGACCCAGTCATCTACCATATACGAGAAGTGACCCCGGGAATGACTGATGAAGAAAAGAAAGAGATCTATAGCGTCACTGCATTTCCGACCCAAGATCTTAGTGATCAGATCGCAGGCACCCCACCCGACAAAGACTTTAGTAATGCAAAGCCTACCAATCAAGTTGCACCAAATACTTTCTTGAGCTATGTTGAAACCTATGTCCGTCCACTGACAGAGGAAGATATTGCCTTTCTACGTGAAAGAGTGGGTCAAGTAGATGGTATCGAAGTAAGACACTGCTGACAATACCTAGGGTGACCGTACAACCCCATTTGTCATTCCCTCTCGTGGAGAGCGTCACTACTCTGAGATCTGGGCTGCTGAAGATACCAACACTGCGCTTGTTTCTTCCAATGACATGAATTCAGTCAACAAACCTAATGGCAGCATTGAAGACATCAACGATGACACAGTCGGCACTGACAAAATCTCTGGTGGACCACTAGCCAATCGCCTTCTCTCCCTCCTTCGTTTCGAACACCGCAGCTCACCCACCGAAAACGGCATCACAACAAACGGCGCAGGTCCCAGCGACACGAACCTCTTCGGCAATGACACGAGCATGGATCTCGATCCCTTGACAAACGGCCACCTCGACCTTCCCGACCCCAAACCCCTTCCTTCCGCCTCCTCAGTCGCCGAGCAACATGCCCCTAAATCCAGCAACAACACCTCAAACGGCGCCAGTACCTCTACAAACGGCACCGGAACCGGCCATCCCCCACCCGACGACCGCATCAAACTCGAGCTCCGCCACCTCGGCTTCCTCGGCGTCGACGAAGAACCCGATTTCGCCGGCCACCACGACGACGACATCTCCGTTCGTCTCCGCCTCCTACAATCCGAACTCAAGAAAGTCATGATCACCAATGGTGCACGCAAAGCCAGACTCCTAGATATTGCTCGTGAGCGACTGGCATACCAGGAATACAGCACCATACACGAAGATCTGGATAGCCAGGTGCAGCAGGCGTATTTGAAGCGGACGAGGACACTGGGGAAGAGCAAGAAGGGCCATCATGGACAAGGAGGCACAGGTGGGGGCGTGGGGCGACCGAGACCCGGCAATGCTGTTAATGGTAGTGTTGCTGGCGGACAGGTGGGTGCAGGCCTGGCGAGACAGAGGGATATCGGTGATTCGGCACGCATGTTGATGGATCGACGCAAGCGCTGGGAGGATTGTATTGGGCCTGTCTTTGAGGGGATGAGGCAGGGCGTTCCTAAGAGTGTCGAGGCTGGTGGGGAGACGTTGTGGGATGAGAGGGTCATGGAGAGGTATGAGAAGGCGGAGAGGGAGGGGTTGGAGGATGAGACAGATGGATGAATTGGATGAGAGAAGGGAGCTGAGCGTGAAAATGGGAGGTTCTGAATGGCTGGTGGGTGAGAAGGGTGCGTGGATCCAGTACGGAATGGCGCTTGGTAAGGCAGTCAACTTAGGACTCAGTCAGGGCAGGCATTGAAACTTAGTGATGGCGCTCGCTGATGGTTGACTGGGAACAGCTTATGCTCTAAGCTCTATCAAGTATTGCATGAGCAGGTAGGTATCAGGCTAACAAGAGCCCTGGCTTAACAGTCTATGGCAAATAGAGCAATCAATAACAACTAGCTGCTAGTACCTCTATCGCATTGCCTCCACCTATCTACATATATTACAGCAACGAACGCCGATGAGCTACCAATGACTTTCTGGCCCCGTATCCGTAAATGCATTCAATCAGTGAAAGAACAAGCTCCCTCCAGTCTATCGCGCGCAGGGCGACCGCCATTCTCTGAGCAATGCTGATCCTCTCAACAGAGAATTGAGCCAGCCAAACGATAGTCAAACTCCTTAAAGGATAGCCTTCGCAAGTTCCAGCCTGTTCGATTTCCATAAACAACCTCTAGAATGCATGTCGTTCCAGAAATCCAAGTGCGGATGTCTGAGCCATTTGCAAACCCCACGCTCCCTGTGATGGCGCCGAGGTCGTAGTTGAACGGTTATTGAGAAGAAGTGATTATCTTGGTACCACGTCCGTCATCATGAGCGATTACTTCGTCGTTGTCATTCTTTTGTCCTTGGCCGTTTCGTTGATCCCGGTCGAACCTTTCCTCCTCGAAGAGATCACCAGGGTCATCACTGTTAGGGGTGGTGTGAGATTTAGCGAGGACTGCAAAAGCTGTGAAAGACCCAAATACCTGCGGCCAATGTGACAATATGCTCTTTGTATAAGGATCTTGATGGGCATTCAGCCGGCCGCACGTGCAAACAGTGATGATATCTCTGTCTTGAAACCCGATTACTGGTACTGATTGCTGAATGTGGATTCGAAATATGTGCCAGGAAATAGAGATAGGCACGGACACAAGTAGCAGACGCCATATTAGGCCGCTAGAGCTTCGTAGATGCCGCGTATGTCTGTTACAACGTAGTGCTTGGAAGAGTGTGCCCAAGCGGTAGATGCTATGGTTCTCCTTGATAGTCTGCATGGACTTCATCTCGATGTTCTACCTCTGCTTTCTTCATGCAAACACGCAACAAAGGAAGACGCCCCTTAGGGAGTCCCTGTTCTGTAGGATGCCTTGGCTGATGACTTCTTGCAATAAACCTGCTTGTTAGGATCTCCACCGTTTCCGTCGACTTGCATTTTCTGCCGCACTGTTTTAAAATGATATTCACAGCTGTCCTATCAATCCACATGACGTACGTCGCCCTGGACGAGCTCTTTGCTTTCCCTTCATAGGATGCTCCTTTTCCCATTGCTCATCAGCTTTGAAAGCTTCCACCGCTACTTCCAAATCGTACTCGCTACCCTTCAGGTATAGTTTGGCAACATCGTAGTCTGGACATTTCGTGGCAACCATCCACCTCCGAACTTTGTTCTTTCGCTCTTCCTCCTCTGGATCCGGAGGCGATGACAGAGGCGGACCTTGATAATAAGAGCGCGGTATTAAAACCCACTTCCGTGCCGCCATCAGGTTGTCGTTATATACACCATTATGTGTCCGAAGGACGGCTGCAGGTACTTGATACGCCAGAGAGAGGGAGAGAATAGAGTCATCCGCAGTCAGGTAGTGAATAACATCATCTGTCTCAGGTGGCTGGCTTCCAGCGGCTGTTGTTGCTCTGATCGATGTGTACGGAGGAGGTAGATCCACTGGTTGATGTGCGTTGCTGTTTGAAGACGTTGAATATGACGGTGGCAACCGCAAGCCATTTGAAGGGAGTGGATTAGGACCACAGGATATTTGGCAAAAAGGACAATAAGTCTGGAAGCGAGGATTGTCGTACTGACAAGACGCACAAATCGTCCGGCCACAGCATTCGAGACTTCTATCAAAGGTCAAAGGCTTTTCTGAATCGAGAGAATATGGAATCTTGGTATCTGAAAGCAGGGTGGCGCATGTGCAGCAAGCTGCGGCTGGAGACATAGCGCTTTGAAAAAAAGATAAGGAATTAGTCTATGAGTCTACCGCAGAAGATGTAATGAAGAAGGGATTGGAGGAAGAGGATCAATGGACAACGTGGCTGACTATTGAATGGCAATTTGGATGACGCTGACGATCCGTAGAATCTTATCTAAGATCTTATCTAGTATGTAAGCACTGACCTTAGATAAGGGTTAGCCGAGATTCTGTGCTTGGCGTGCACGTTGCTCAAAACTTTCTTAAGTCGTCTATCACATCGTCAATATTTCGTATCAACTTGAAATCGCAAATCCAACTCGACATCTACAATCTCCAGAGGTATGTAGAGTTCCAAGCTCAGCTCAGCCCAGCCTGAGGCAATATGTCTCGTAATACCGTGAATGCGGTTATTGTTCGGATGTGCTCTCCTTACGACACGAGCTGAAGAACCCTTTGCTGGGCACTCTTTGCGCTCGAGGCTACTGAGGACTAATTCATACTGGTTATGCAGATACCTCAAGTCCTTGCGCTCGTGACTTGAGAATCTCATCTACCGTCGATTCACATCAACCACCTTCGTACCTACCAATATGGTCAAAACCTCCGTCCTCAACGATGCGCTGAAAAGCATTAACAATGCCGAAAAAGCCGGAAAGCGCCAGGTGCTGATCAGACCGAGCTCGAAGGTTATTGTCAAGTTCCTGAGCGTTATGCAAAAACACGGTTAGTCAACATCTTTCGTTTCAGTATGTAGCGCTGCATCAGCCTTGGATCAGTTTCTTTCTACGCAACTGGTCAGCAGACAACGTTGAAAGGTGGGAGACATCGGGTTATATAACTAGGTGGTGGTCTACAAAGCGCTCGACGACCTTTGCCCTTTAAGAATCCGAAAGATTGATGAATGTTTCCACATCCAGCGGCCGATCTTACACGTTATCTTCTAGGTCTCATGTTTTCAAACGTTTATTCGACCGCTACACTCCCCCTTAGAGAAGAAGGTCATCACTAATCGCGTCATTGCTCAGGTTATATTGGCGAGTTTGAGGAAGTGGACGACCACCGAAGTGGCAAGATCGTCATCCAGCTCAATGGCCGCCTCAACAAAACTGGTGTGATTTCTCCACGGTACAACGTTCAACTTCGGGATCTGGAAAAGTGGGTGGTGAAGCTGTTGCCAAGTCGACAATTCGGTTACATTGTCTTGACAACGAGTGCTGGCATTATGGACCACGAGGAGGCAAGAAGGAAACATGTTGCTGGGAAGATCATTGGGTTCTTCTACTAGATGACTTCTCCTACATAAGGAGGGACGATAAATCGGAAGAACGTATCTTGTTAGCATTGTTGCATGGTGCTTCCATGAAAGCCTCGATCCCTGTCATTTAAGAGAATAGTGATCCTTTTTTCAAGCCCAAACTCCCACTACCTCTACCCAGTCCGCGAGCTGTCACATGTATGCCAAAGCAGTATAGAATGGACAAAGCAGTATAGAATGGAGTGTAGAATTCTTAGTGGAAAGTGATAGGCTGCTGTAGCTTCATCATTTTCAGTGCTCTTGCCAGCCAGCCAGCTCTGAACACTTCTGTGATACACATTTTGCAAGATTGGGTCTTAGGGCTCAGGGTTCATTGCCATCCGTAGTGCTTGGCATTTTCCACTCCGTATTTGAAGACAGGTCGTGTTGGGTGCAACAACTGTATCACGAACCAACGTTTACCACATTACAACAATGGTAAGCTTTCAGCCTTCATATATTCCTCCGTATCTCGCTAATACTCTGCGTAGGCGCCAGCAGCAGCCTCCGCGGGCAAGAAGCAGAAGAAGAAGTGGTCTAAAGGAAAAGGTACGTCAAGCATTATCCCATCCGTCGATGCTCATCTTGACCAAGTGTGCATCGCATGACTATCATCGAGTCCTTCGGTTGTTCGCAAAACTCGCATTACTAACACTCTATCAGTTAAGGATAAAGCCAACCACGCCGTCGTCCTCGACAAAGCCACTTCAGACAAATTGAACAAAGACGTCCAATCATATCGACTCATCACAGTGGCTGTTCTTGTCGACAGATTAAAGATCAATGGCAGCCTAGCGAGAAAGGCACTGAGTGATCTGGAGGAAAGAGGTGTTATCAAGAAAGTTGTGGGACATTCGAGAGGAAGCATTTACACAAGGGCGGCTGCTGGTGGGGATTGAGGATTTCTCTACAGAGTGGCGGGTGTTGCGTATTTACGGCATAGAGCAACCGAAGACATGACAATTACAAGGAGGTCCTCAGAGAGGAAAAGGCTATCAGCCTGCTCCTCAAGGGTTGTACTGCATAGTCCCGCTCAGTTTGGTGAATGACATCCATTATTCGAAATATTGGGTGATTTTGATTCTAGGTGCCTCTTCCAAAATCCGGAATTATGAGAACTTTGACCACGGGAGTGCAAGGCACACACAAGGCATTGCTTTGTCCAACAGTCGGCAAACGGATTATAGCCTGCCGCTCCTCTCCAGCGCAATTGACAACAACTGCAAACTCAATGCACGTACGGCTTCACTTCACTTTTCCCTTCTTATTCCACCCTTCGGGGACATCCCAAGTCCGTTTCCTAGGTTGCACAATACTCTGAACCTGTCAATCCTGGCATTGCTTTGGGAGCTCGTGTTGATTGGTAGTAAGATGTATGCCGCCATGTATGCGTCCGCTCGCTGTACGGAGCATCCATCTATTTATCACACTTTCTGCACGATTATGCGTCCGGAGCACATCTCACTGTTATGTGCTACTTGCACGAGGGCATTCATAGTCTTTGACCAATTCAATACCGTGCCCATCAGTTTTGAAGGACGGAGGGGAACTGAGAAGCACCTTTTTGATGCTCCAGACTCCTTCCCAAGAGCAGACAGATTGTCCAGCTTTCCATCCGTCGTATTAGAAAGAAGTGTCCTAGTAGTGACGAGTCAATCATTTGCCGCAGGACGGCATATTAGGCATCTTCCTCTGATAGAAAGTGATTGGAACAGGGAGGGGCAATGAGGCCGCTGCAGTACTCCGCCCCCGCGCCCCCCTTTCCCTGACAGTGGCACGTGCGCAGTTATTCCTGGCATTCAGTTGTCGGCAATCGTCCACCGGGAAGACTGTTCTGACCTTTTCCTCGACGAAATGACTGACAAGAAAACATTGAACCAATCCTGTTTTAAGTCAAAGGTTGAGATCTTTATCTTGATATTCGACTATAATATGTTGGCTCGTGATTTTGTCGCCTACTGTAACTTTCCTTCCTGCTGGCGGTGTTTCAGTGTGAGTGTTTGCTAACATATCATGTGTTGCTGGGAACAAGGATGGCACTCCAGGCGAAGATGCCCCAGGTCGAGGTGCCTCAACTTCTTTGGTCACAGCTGCGGTTGATTGCACTGTACATCCACCGGCATAATGAGCACACATTCAACCCGCAACAACGCTCCGCCACCTTCTTCTACCGTTTCAGTCCGCTAGTTCCCCTGCGAAGTCCCTGTCGGCCATCTTGTAGTACCCGTCAGAATAACGTCTAACTGGACCATTTGATGGGTGTTTTTTTTGACACTCTCTTTCCTTCCATTCCCTTGAATCTTTTCTTGAGTCACACCTCTTCCCATCTTCAGAAGTCCTCATCGGCCTGCCTCTTTACAACCCACTCGATTTTAGCGGTAGCTGTATAGCTTTCTTTCTAACAGCTCGCCCACCTCGTCACCTCAAAGACCTGCCATCATCATAATGGTACCGCAGCCAAAAAAGCAGGCGCCTCAACGTCAGCCGTTGACTGTGGCCTTGCGGAAGATATGTCGTGATTATCCGGCTGGCGCTGGTATCCTCAAGGAGTTGCTACAAAACGCCGATGACGCTGGTGCCTCGACTGTCGTATGTTGGACCTGGCGCCCACCAAGTTGTATCACGATGCTAACATGTTTAGAAATTCACCCTGGACACACATTTTCATGACACTTCGCCCTTGCTTCATGAAGGTCTTGCCGAGTACCAAGGTCCGGCTTTGCTGGCGTTCAACAATGCGCTTTTCACCGAGGAAGATTTTCAATCTCTCACATCTCTGGGAGACTCCAAAAAGTTGCAGGACAAGGTTGCAACTGGAAAATTTGGTCTTGGGTTCAGCTCAGTACGCTCTTACTTTTGAGAGCCTTTGATGCATCTTTCAGGTAGATTCTCCTATGCTAACTATTTATAGGTCTTTAACTGGACTGACTGTCCTTCGATTCTATCCGGAAGTGATCTGTTGTTCTTTGACCCGCATCAGTCTTGGTCACGAAGTTTTGAGCCTCCTGGAGGCCCCTTCTATGACATATCAGCTTCCACGGAGGATGAATCCATGATAACCCAGCTCGATGGCTTTTCACTAGTAAACACTGAATGGGATCGTCCTTTCATGGGGACTATCATTCGAATACCTCTCAGAACTGCTTCTCAGGCTGCCGTAAGTGAGATCTCTAACAAGGAGACTACTACAGATGATGTCAGAGACGCGCTTGACAGCTTCGCCGACGATATGGGTTCGAATGGCTTGCTTTTCTTGAAATCTGTCCGCCGGATTGTCTTGTCTATCAATGACCAGCTAATGACTGAGGTCAAAATTACCAGTAAAGATAGCTTAGCCGAGTAGGTCTCGTTTCATGTTTGATTTTGCCTTTACGCTAATCCCCCAAAGGCCTGAAGGACGTCTCCGGACTATTCTCAGAAGCATCATAAACGACGAAGACAAAGCTGGTGGCGAAATCTACCACGAGGTGGATCTTTCACACGAAGTCGCAGGAGGAAAAATCGAGAAAAAGTTTGGCGTGCTGAACCTAGTAACAAGATCTAGTAATGTTCCTTCACTTGACAGCTGGGCCGCCTCAGAAAAATTGTTTCCTTGGGTTGCGGTGGCGGCGCCCCTCAGGGTTCGTGTTTCTTTCATTATTTACAACTGAAGCTCACAGCTACTAGGATTGCAGCAGCACCAGCAACAGCAAGGATGGACGTCTGTTCTCTACTTTGCCTCTTCCATGCTTGACGGGTATGCCTATCCAGATTCATGGGTTGTTTAGCATCTCTGCCGATCGTTCCAGACTGCATGGACTTGATGATGGTGGAGTGCAGGACCATAGGCCGAAAGAATGGAACAAATTCCTCTTCGATCAACTAATTCCAATGGCATGGGCGAAACTCCTTCAGAATATATGCCAAAATACCCCGAGGCAAGACCATTCGCACTTGTGGCCTTCGAGTAGGTCCGATGCTCAACAACTTTGGGATGGCATGTGTCCAGCCGTTGTGAATCAAGTGTTTGAAAACCAATTCCGTGTTTGGTACACTAGTGCCGGCCACGTGGCCCTCGAGGATGGGCTCCTGGCATTGAATTCAACCCATTTGAAGGAGAGAACAGCTTTTCGTGAAGCAGATCTTCCCATCATTTTCGCGGAGCTCCACGTTTTCGAAGAGGCTCGCTGTTTACCAGGAAGTCGAACACTTTGTCCTCGTACGCTTTACCAGTTGCTTCAGCAGACGAAGAAGGTAGACAGGCTATCCAGACCCTCCAGACTTGTGCTTTTGGAATACCTTGTTTGCGATATTCCTATCACAGAACTTGGGACTCTGGAGATATTTCCTTTTGAAGACGGAAGATTTCGTTCACTGAACCAGTCGACGGTCTTCTTACATAAAAATAATCTCGAGAAGACACTGTTCACACAACAAACAGGGGCTACCATTGACACAGACCAACTGTCCGCAACCGCGTCGGAAATCATGCATGATCAAGTGAGAAAGGATGACCGGATGGTTCGCTATCGGAAGCCTGAAGATCTTCGCGACTACTACTTGAAACATATTGCCAATGGATCTGGCGATAGTGTCGTACTTGATGAGAACGGGAGATCAAAGCTAAATCTGGTCTGGAGGTGGATGCTACAGTACCACCTGAACGAATTGCCCCTGGCGGCCCTTGGGTCTCTCTGGTTAGTACCGCTTCGAGGATCCCGTTTTTGAAAACTGGTTCCTGCGCAAGCGTCGAGTTTTGTGACGTGGTTCCGTCCTGGCGAGGTAAACAACATTTCCGTAAAAATCTTTGCTTCAAATCCAAAGAACGCCCCAAACATTCTAGCAGACGATTTTCTCGATGTTGACATCCAACAACGCTTACTTGGCTATGCGGAGAAGGAGCAATCACTAGGTATCAAGGACGGAAACAAATTTGGAAACTTTCTCCAGTTTCTCGCCCAACGGGGTACCTTACTGCGAAATGAAGCGGAAGAAATCAAATATGCCGTCCTTCGTTTACTGAAGCAATTGTACTGGTCCCCAGGTTACACGAGTACCGAGCAAGACCGAAAGGTGCTAAAAAGCCTTTGGATCTTTCAAGCGGTTGAGTGGCCAGCGGACGGTGCCGACACGTCCTTAATGAGGTGGTGGACGAACATGAATATCAACAATGTCACTTTCATTGGACTTAAAACGCTTGTGCCGATACCATCGTCACCAAATGATGTCTTTATAGACATGACTAAGGAGGTCTTCAGTACACTTTTCGAAGGCCTAGGTCTATTGAAATGCTTGAACGATGGACAAATACTGGAGGAAGTGGTCATACCGGCTTTGCATAGTGGCAGTTACGACTGCCTGAGTTCAGCACTTCGCCTCGAAGCCGTCAATAGGCTCTTCCAAAACTACTACCACATCTCGGCCCATGCGCGAAACTGCTTATCAAAACTTGAAGTCGTTCCATTAACGCCACGAAGTAATGATGGAAACCTAAATTTCGGTCGCCCAACGGATGTTCTGGATCCCCAGCAACCTGCGCTTAGAAGTCTCTACTTTGAAGATGAGATATGTCTACCCGAGAAACAATTCTACACTCGGTTTGGGCCAGTTCTGGCACAGTGCGGGATTATGCGGTCCTTGGATCAAAGAGTCATAACCGATCGCATATCATGTTTTGGGAGAACAGGGCAGGAGTTTGCTGCGGTCGCCTCTCGGGCCAAGAGTCTTCTCACAATGCCGTTGCTTAATACTGGAGAGGCCCTTGACCTCGCTAACGTCGCTCGAAGTACCAAATGGCTGCCAGCACAAAGCCCTGCAAAATCTAATTCCTTCACAACTCCCTCGGAGTGCCGAGACATCGACGAGAAGCTCATCGTCGGCCATGTATGGCATGTTTTGCCATTTCAGATTCATGAAAGTTGGAGGCCAATATTAGGCTGGCAGTGTGAGATCGACGTTGATGTGCTGATGCGTCAGCTCGTTGCAAGTATAGCTGCCTTTGATCTCGAATCACTCGAACAAACTCTCTGTTACATCCGTCAACATCACTTGCTGGAACGTTGCGCAGAACGCCTGCTCAAGCTGAGCTTTATCCGAAGCAGTACTGGGGAGCTGGTCCGTGCTGACAGAGCGTGCCGACGAGGTGGCGAAAAGCTGAGGCCGTATCTCTACACAGTGGAACCACGATTCTGGGATGTTCACACAGATATTATGAAGATGATGAATATCTACAAATATCCCAGCGTTGAACAGCTTATGAGTGTGCTAAACGCTCTTGGTTCTGAGAAGGCTTTGAATGAAGGAGAGCTCGATGTAGCTGTCGAAGTGACCCGTATATGGAGTTTGCTATACTGTAGTCGTCTCGAGGGGTTGAAGATGCCTGACACTCATGGTATGCTTCGTGATACCAGTGATTTGGTTTTCAACGACACACCTTGGCTCTCGGCGGGAGAACGCGCCATAGTGCATCCTAAGGTCTCTCGAAGCGTCGCAGACCGATTGATGGTAGAACCGCTGAGCGTCTTGTTGATGAACGGAGTTCTTGGTATCACAGATCTTGACGATGATGAGTTCTGTCAGCGTGAGGAGGTTGCGGACGGCATTAGGGATACTCTGGAGCGTTATACAAGAGAATCCACCTTTCATGAATATCTTGCTAACGCCGATGACTGCGGTACCGCGTCCGAGACCAACTTCTTGATTGACCCGAATACTTATGATACGAAGTACTTGCTCACCAAGGAGCTGGGGGACCTCCAGGGACCTTCGCTACTGATCCACAACAATGGGGGTAAGTAAGCTCTGTACTTACACTCTCTATAGATACTGACACAATTGATGGCAGTCTTCACAGAAGAGAACTTTGAAGGCCTGAAGCGTGTGGGACGTGGAAGTAAGCGAGATGACCCAAACTCCATTGGTAAGTTTGGACGAGGGTCTCAGACAATGTATCATTGGACCGACGTACCGATGATTCTATCCGGGAGATTCCTTCTGATCCTGGAGTAAGTGCACTTCCGAGACGTTTGATTGGTCGCTGTACTGACCATTCCACCAGCCCCCTACAGACTCGCTTACCTTTCAATTACCTCACTAAGCAGAAGAAACCTGGTATACTCTTGGAATATGCTAAGATCAAATCAGCCTGCTATGACCAGCTAGCTCCATTCGAGGGTCTATGGGGCTTCAACAGCGATCAAGATTCCTACAACGGCACAATATTCCGCTTCCCACTGCGTAAAGAAGGTCAGGGTTCTGAATTACTAGAATCACGGCGACCCCCCGATGTGTCAACGACAATTGGAATCTTTCACAAGTGTTTTGATGAAGCTCGCTTGGCCCTCCTGTTCCTACGAAACCTCGAAACCATCGACTTCAGTATCAAGGGTGGCGCCGACTTCGAATGGAGAGTTGGACGTCAGACTTGGCCGCAGAGCGGTGCCTTTTCAGACTGGGCCCATGTCCTGGTAGAGCAGCATAGTCCGCATGGAAAACTTATCTCCACGACCGAGCAGTGGTGGCGCGTAATAGTTGATGTGCTCGACCCTCAAGAAGACCTGCAAGACCGCCATAAACGTAGGATGAAATATGTTGAATGTGGCATTGCCGAACTTGTACCTTCAGCAGACAAAGCCATATCTCCTCTACAACCTTTGGCGTCACGGTTCTTCAATTGCCTTCCACTCAAATTTGAGTCGAACTTACCAGTACATATCCACGCCACATTCTTGCTCTCAGGCGACCGTCAGAACATCACAATCGAGGAGAGCTCACAGGATTCTGGTTCGAAATGGAACAAATGGCTCCTCGAGAAAAGACTGCCGCGCGTCTATCTCCAATTCCTCGAAGATATTGGAAGAAAGATTGGCCATGACGTCTACAACTATTTTCCGACTGGAACCAGCGGCAGAGAACAGCTGTCCGATCTCATCCGCGTTTCTTTCTGGAAAGAGATAAGATCGTCTAGCTATCGACTGTTTCCCGTTGTAAATGCGGCTGAGGAAGTTACCAAACTCAGAAGCAGAGGTCGAAGCAATCGTATACCCCCTAATTTAGTCACATTTGAGGCTGCACTGTTCGATACCTTGGACACCCAGAAGTCCAATGCTCTTCGGCCGATCCTTTCTAATTGTCTCAACAATTTGGTATGTCCACCTTGGCGATTACGGGGGCATTTCAAAACTACACCAGAAGGCCCTCAGATCAAAGTCTTGACTCCTGCCATTGTCCGAGGTGTTCTCAGATCTACTCGAGCGAGGGAGCTTGTTGAGAAAACGAAGCAAATGGACAAAGATTTTCTAGATGTGTTATTATCTTACATCGTGCCTACGACTACAGACGAAGTTGTCGAACTTGATGGTTGCCCAATTCTCCCCCTTGCGGACGGAGGATTAGGCACACTTTCGTTGAGGTCAAGGATGAGCAGCGACAAGGTGTATTTTGTCGCGGACGCTGAATGCCAAAGACTGTTTTCGTTCGCTGCTTCCCTGTTCTGTGGCAATGAAACAAGATACGCAAGCTTTGTGGGCAAGATCTTGGACTCTGGCTTGCTCAATCTAAAGACCCTGGCGGAAGGCGATGTTAGTACGGTGTTGGGTCTCAAGGGATCATGGGCACCCGGTCCAGCGTCAGAAAAGTGGCTTGTATACTTCTGGGACTACATAAACTCGATCACCGTATCTATGGAAGCAGCCATCGAGCCGAAAGAGGCATATTTGAACTCTCTTCAACAATTTCCTCTTCTATTGGTTCGTACTCATGGCGGCAAAGCAGCAATAAACAGCCTCCACTATTTTTGGAACAACGCCTGTGTTGTGCAGTCTGCGATTCGTGAACAGGTCAATCTTCTTGCAGATTTTAAAGGTCTAGGTATTGTCGACTCAAGGACCCTGCCTGCATCTACTCGCCGTGCCGAGAAGTCTTTGCTTGATCTAGCTTCGATAAATCGGTTGATACGAAGCTTGAAGTTGCTAGCAGGAAAAGAGGGCAAAACCTTGAAGGAATTTGTCAGGGCAACTGTGAAGGAAGAAAACATCAAGGTAAAACAATCATAACTCTGATATAATAAGCACTTTACTAATAATCTCAACAAGACCTTCCGGAACATCATTGCAAGCCATCCTCAGCTGCTGGATGAAAGTGCGAGAGATCTTCCTGTGTGGCCGCGTATCTCCTCCAAATCAGGGTACCTAACCGCGAGAGAGGCCTTTCTAGCACAGAACTCCGCTTTTGTTGTCCCGTGGATCAAAGAATACCATCAATTTACGATGTTTAATCGATATCACCAACACGCCAGCATTGACGATGTCGGAATGCTTGAACGGTTTGTTCTTCTGAACCTTCCAGATTCCATAGGTGGGAAGAACAAAGAGCCATACACTAGATTGGTGGACGCCATAATGAATAGCACTTCGTTGAAGGGTAAGACAGGCAACAGAAACAAAAAAGGATCTCTGTTGGTACCTTTAGCCGCCTACCGCCTCGCTGCCAGGAGGGATGGCAGACTATGTTTGGCTTCCGAACTCTTCGATCACACTGATCCTGTCTTTTCCGCCGCTTTCGGTGCTGAGGCCACAGACAAATTCTTGATGACCGGGGTCGAACACCATTTGTCCCCCTGGAAGGAGCTTGGTATCCGCTGTCGTGAACAGGGCAGGTTTAAAGGCAGAGACTATCTCGCCTGTCTACTGCTCTACAGGGCAGGTTAAGCGGTTCCTATGACCAAACATCGACACATGATATTGAAACAGTTCTTCAACCTCTTTGCACGAACACAGGAACCTTGACTGATTTGGATCCGTTTGCATGGAAAAGTATGGCCAGCCTGCTTATATTCCCTGTGAGTCCGGTGTCAGAACGTGAGCCACAATTCCGAAGACTTCGAATGGGAATACTGGCGTCCCAGAAACGGATTCTCAGCCTTAGGGACATTGTTAGTCGAGAATACGCTGCGGTCTGCTGGAGCCAGATTCCGTTTGCACTTCCTGAACCCTCAACGATTTCGCTTGTAAAAATTGGGTTGAATGGCCAACCAAATTGCGCTACGGTGTGGCAGCACTTGGCGTTCCTTGCCGAGTCTGCCCGATTCATAGATGATGCTACCGTTGGAAGCTTCATCGAAGATCTGCGCAGAACCTATGAATTTCTTCAAACCAATTTACAACAAAGTAAAGCAACGTTCAACCAGCCGGCGACTGCAATGTGGCTCAACATAGAGGCGACAGTTGCAAGCTCCATTCCTCTCGAAGTTCTCAGAACATCGTGGACCAGCCTCGAGAAGTTGCTACTGGACAGTCCGTGCGACGCACCACCACTGATGACGGTCCAACCCTTTCTAGGCCGCTTTTTGTCACTGCTCAAAGATCTTGGTTGCAAATCACTCTATTATCCACCAATCACGCCCCCCTCTTCTGGTGCGGCAAAGAGTACGTTTGGCCTGCTACGAGAGCTATGGCAAGAGAACATCCTGACGGATGTAGAATTCGAGGCCGAAGGGAGCACGATTTCTGCTCACAAACTCATCTTGGCTAGCCGGTCAATGTATTGCAGGACGCAGTTCCACGGGCCCTGGGCGTCAAGATCTGAAAGCAAGGGGTCAACTGAAGTCATTCCTATTAAGGAAATGACGTACACCACTCTCAAGATTTTGATTGACTTCTGTTACTACGAAGAACACGACTGGGCTGCTGACATGCGTGTCAAGGAGAACGATGACTTTTCAGTGATTGAGGACAAGCTTGCCTCGCTCGGTGCAACTCTGGAGGCTGCAGACAGATGGTTGATGGAAGACTTGCACACTGACGTGCAGCGTCATCTGATTCCCGGGATCAGATGCTTCATTCGGCCTGACAACGTGGAGGACTTCAGCAAGATCGCCGAGGACACAAACGCACATGACCTGAGGAATTATTGCGAGGAATACCGCCTTCGAAATGCTGAGACCGTCTTGTTCGCCACCGAGGCGGATAAATCATCCAATACATGAACACGACGAGACGCCATGGACAAGCACTGAAGGCCAAGGAAGCCTAGATAACGAGGTGTGTGCTCTCGAAGGTCAATAGGGAGCTTCCTCTGCTTTGTCTGTCTGCTTCTTGGACGATAGCTCAAAAACCAACTGACACATATGGCTAATGCCTCATACACCTTTTCTGTCTTCGTAAACGTCTTTAAATCATCAAGCCGTCTATCTTTCGTAATTGCGACCACGCAGCAGAGCTATTCACTGTTCTCCCCCTGCGTAGCCTGACTCTCCTAGGAGCCTGGTTCTCCCTGTAGCATTTTGTCAGAGAGCAACCTGGGGACAGGCGAGCAGTGGAGAGACTTCGATCAAGTAGATGTATTCCAATTGAATATACTAAGCAGATGATACGCATGCGGATCGCATGCGAAGAGCAGTGTAAAAAAGTACAGTGGGGAATTTATTACTCAGTCTCACAACCATAGAGTCTGAAGCAGCGGAACAGGCTCTGCGCGGACGGACGTCCTTTTGCACGACCCTCTGATGCAGCACATATCATGACGTATATATGGTTCGCTATTCATTGTCGAGAACCAGACCGTCGTTCCCACCATCACAGTGTCCAAAATGCTCGTTGAGAGGAACTGGCTCAGTACCATCACGGTAGCAGGCAGTATTTTGAGCGGCCCAATTGCGAAGTGCCTTCCAGCTTTTGCACTTCCTCAGCTGACCATCACCAGTCGAGTTTCGACCCCACGAATACAACAAAGTATCTCCAGCTGTGCACACCACGTATTGACGGATGCTGTCGAAGCAATGTGTTGAATGGCCAAGCGGATAACTCAGAGGCTCGCGACGGGCCAGCTGATAGAATGTTTTTCTGATTATCGTCTACACCTTGTCAGCCGTTTTCTGAAACCTGGAAACCAACGTACCAGGCAGTGAAGTTGGTGATAGGCATCGATTATGTAGACTCCTTTGGTTGCGTCACTCGGTAGGCTTAGCGATGCTGGAAGATGTCTTTCAGCAGCCCAAGTGTGGTCGACAGCGACAATGCCATGGGCTGGGATGATATTGTCCCAAGCTTGATCAACCACTGGGGCATCTTCAGGTCTTGATGAACTGTATCTTGACCACCATGTGAATTGAGTCCATGAGAATTCCTGAGAAGCTGGTGGATTTTAGGAACTCGCAAAATCTCAGAGGCTGGTCACATACTGTATTCAGATTTGGGAGCTTCAAGCTTGACTCGCCGATCGAAAACCGCTATCGAGAGTAGGGTGGTCGATATAGCTAGAACAAACAAAAGAGTCTCCTTCCAACAGGAATGAAGGGCATACAGAGATGTGTGCAGTCTGTTTGTCTTCCTGTTACCGTCATTCCATTGTAACGGAGAGTAAGAAGCATCGGAGAGCGCCATTATGGCGATGCAGAGAGATCAGAGATTCACGTTTCTTGCTTCTCGGTGATAGGGAATTCTGTTACGTCTGACAACGGTGTTTGAGTGACAATAGCAGAGCGAACCTGCTAGACCATGCCAAAATCACTGCCAACCAAGATCACAACCAAGCAAGATGCAATAAAGAGCATTGTACTGATATTAGAACGAGGTCAATATCTTACACCGGCGCTGAAATCGCAACAAGGAGTTACATCGGAGTCCTCAAGAAGCAGAGTTGCGTGACAAGGCCGAGGCCTGAGCCATCCCAGCATGCATCGCCATGGAACGTATCGTCTTGCAGGAAGTCATTCTGTAAGTGGTCGGAGAATCAGAGAAGGTGCAGGTTGGAGAAGTGACTTAATTACTAACTTTCCCGCACTATTTAGATACTTACACCAATGATGTTGACTTTTGATGCACACCTTCTTGTGTACTTACAGTGGTATTCAGACGTCAGGCCACCATTGTGTTCCCAAACTCACCCATGCACCCGCAGAATTCTCGTCATCTTCCTTGCTACTACGTATGTGTAAGTTACACCAACGGCGGTTCGGCCCCCACGGACTTTGCAGCCACAAGGGACAATGCCGGCCCTTCGGCCCCATGCCTGACGGAATGGCATCATCCATCACATCTACTAGTTAGTATGCATGATTCTGCCATCACGGGGCTATTGCATGCGTTATCATGGGGACGACATCTGCTTACTGCTTCTCAATTGTGGTAGCTTGCCTAGCTTGCTTTCATGTGCCTGGCAAGGCTCTGGATGGCTGTATCGTCATGCTGGACCTACTGCAGATCCCGAGCGATGTTTCGAGGCAAGTTGCACGTCGCTCCAATATTTTTCTTTTCACACATCCCATGATAGCTTTTTTCAAATTCTCTCACTCAGGCCTCCATAGTAATCCTTGGGGATTTTACTTTTCAAACCAAATAGTCAATTCAAAACTGTCAAACATCATGACTCCAATTCCGAACTTTTCGCCGGTGTCGCCTCGATCTATTCTTGCCGTGGGCGCAGTCCTACCCTCACTGGCTGCTATTGCGGTCTCCCTTCGATTCTACGTCAGGCTCTCAAGGCCAACCAAAATCTGCGCGGATGATTGGTTGGTGTTGGCTTCTCTCGTAAGCTTTTCTTCGTTTCCTTGCGTATTCATCAGTTCATTGCTGACTCGGCGCCTGGTAGGTACTTACTATTGGGCTCGGTGTAATGTTGATTGTTGGTGAGTGGCCTTTGCATTATTCTTAGTACTGTTTCTTCTCACATCTCGATCACCACAGGCTCCGCTGTTGATGCCTTAGGTCAACCCACGCCACTGGGTGATGGCCCTATGGGCTTCATGTTTGTTCTCAATCGAGCCATTATCATCACAGAGAAGGTCAGTGGATTTGAGAGCTTTGTTTCAAATATTCAGACTGATCGAATTTCAAGATGAAATGGGCCTTCAATTTAATGCAAGTTTTTGTATTCGGCACAGTCAAGCTCTCCGTGATCTTTTTCTATAGAAGAATCTTTCGAGGGGTGGGTTTTGATGTCTGCTCAAAAACCTTGATAGCCATTGTCTGTGCCTGGACAGTGTCTTTCTTCTTTACCGTCCTTTTCCAATGCGGAACCAATCCGTGGGCTGTTTGGTCAACTCTAAATGATTTCTTGACGCATTGTTCCAACGAAGTGATGTTCTTGAAAGCGCTCTCGATCTCGGACGTAGTCACCGACGGTCTCATACTGGCATTACCGGTACCAATGGTAAGCTCCGAACGAGATATGGGGGGAGATATCATCTTGCTGATTTGTGCGTCAGGTCTGGAAGCTGAAGATGTCTCCAGCTCGCAAGCTGGCTGTTACAGCAGTCTTCTTCCTGGGCGCACTGTAAGTCTTGCTGGTCCCTCCACTGCTATGTTTCTGTGATGTGGTGGAAAGTAACACACTAGAACAGAGCCATTGCGGCGGGAGTGACCCGTCTTGTGATATTTTTTCAACAGCTGAACGGTATGACCTGAAATCATTTAAAGTATTGACGGTTTAATGCTGACTGACATTGTAGATAGCTATTCTGTTTCGCAAGGAATCCGTGAGTTTACAAACGCCATGTTGCCAGTTGTGCGTACTCACGGATTTCGGCAGTCCTTATGTCTACCTATATGTATTGGTCCATGGTTGAGATGGGATTGACCATCATCGCAGCCTGCTTACCAACGTTGCGGCCCCTGTTTGGCGAAATAGTACCGGGCGATATATCGAAAATTTTCAGGAATTTTTTGTCACTGCGATCATTTCCATCCGATGGGTCTTTCCGACCCAAGAACTGGAAGTTGCGGAAGGAGTCTGAAAACACTACGAATTTGTCACAGACTGAATTTGCCCAGCAGAAGGATCATAAGGTCGCCACCGAAGTTTATGCTATGGATGACATTGAGGCGCAGAAACATACACATCCAAGAGGAATCATTATTAAAAACGACGTATCTCATACTTCTACAGCCCGCTAGAAGAAGACGGGATTATAGCAGCATTACCGCCGTGAAAAGCGGGGGCCTCGCATAACAGAGCTCACGAGGATGATTCGCAGATTTGAGCTGTGTTGAAAGATACCTATCTGGATGACCTTCAGCTGAATTTTTCAGTCTAATCTGTTAGTATGTAGGCGCCACCGACATGAACAGAATACCTGCAATGATTCGAGTAGCTTAGTCGAGCCATACTACTTAAGATCCTTAGTCCCGTCTCTCGCCGAGTACTTTGGTAACTTTCATCAATAGACTTCGAGATGGCGAGCTCAGCTAAGACAACGATGTTGGTGTACATAAGATAGAAATTAGAGTGAGCCACGTCCCTAACACTTTCGTCCTAACAGTGGAGTTTCTCAATCAAGGTTGCGTATCAATTCAACATCTTTCTCAAATGAGAGACATAATGTTCCGAATTACGTCTAGGATATCCAGCTGTAGAGGATCATCTTGAGCTATATCGCTCGAGTTCTACCCAATGTTCGGAGAGCCGCCATCTCAAAGGATGTCCTGATGAGAAAAACTACTGAAATAAGTCCATTTTTTAGAAACCCTCCTGTTGCCAGAATGGTATCAGCCAGATCTGGCCGTTACGCAGGTTGGTTAAAATGGTATCTTATAAGACATTCACATATAAGTGTGCCTTTGGTATTCATCCACAGTCCATAAGACTATGAGCAAATTTAAACTGATTCACCACACTTCTGCAACGTCCACCGAACCATCACTTCTTGGGATTTCTACTTCAATCCCAACACCAGCAGAGCGCTTCCATAGCTCTGCAACATCGACTGAACCATCAGTCCTCGGAATTTCGACAGCGTCTCCAGGTCGAGCAACTAGAAAGTATGAGCCGATTTCTCCTGCCGGAGCTAGCGGCAAGAAACTGACCTGGGCCCGCCAAAGCACCAAAGGGCATGATGGCAATGACCAACGCAAGTAGGTAATGAGGTAGCATCATAATATGCTAGAAGTGAGATGGAATTTTTCTTGACTGGGAGATCAAGAGATATTATTGGCGAAGCTTGATGTTGGACGAGCCTTGCTGTTCGAAGAGAATGGTGGGCTCGCTCTTTAATTATCATATCCAAGTGCTCACAAACTGATAGATATGCATAATGACGCCGCCATTCTTTTGGTGGGCACGGTCTCGGAAGCTGAATCCGTACGACTTTTAACATCATTGTGACAAGGATGCATGTGCACCACAATTGATATGATGGATCGTCACCCTATGTTCAACGAAAATCCTGTACAACACAAGCCCGCTTTCAAGACGACGCTCAGCTGCCTGATGTGAAATTCGCACATCAAATAGAGAACTCTCAATTCTAGACCGCGGGGTCCGGATCATGGGGTGCTTGCAATTTTCCGGAAAAGTCCCGGAGACCAACAACCTAATCAGATACACTCGATCGCTTCCAACATTGTGGCAAATTTCGCCCCATGTTGGAACGCGAATATGATCTGCCTACCTTTGATAGTTTTAATGCACGAAATACCGATATTACGCAATGTAGTAGCACGGTCCTTCCGCCTTGCAGATCGGCTGGCCCTATCCCTGTTATAGGCGATGGATCGAGTAGCGTGCTCGGCGCATTTGAAGTTCAGGTCGCATTGCATGTCGAAATCGACATGTGATAGCGTGCAAAAGGGGACTTCTTTGTTGGAGTTCTATCGTGATATGTCTACTCAATAGGCTGATACTTTCGTAGGATCAATAGTTTAGAACTAATGAGGGAGACACTTGACAAGTCAGGACAGCGGACGAGTCAGGACAGCGGACGAGTCAGGACAGCGGACGAGTCAGTTTTTAAGGGAAGACTGTCTTTCTTAAATCAACTAGAACTTCTTTAGTATTTGATAAATACGTTTATTAACTAACTTATATCTATATATTATCAAAGATAAAAGATATTAAAATAATATATAGTGTTTATACAAGTTTATCATTACTCTCATACTTAATAAATACTTTCACAACTGTAAATACTTCACTTTGATTGTTTTACTTGTCTTAGCAAAGCCAAGTACATCTACTGATTTGCTTTGCATTCGTGTTATACTCTTTTATTCAGCTTTTGCAATTAATTCTGTTCATTAAACCCTAACCTCGGATCTACATCTACGACCTAGCTACAAGTACGTGATGTTTCATCTACTGACTCGCCAAGTGTCGCCCCCCCGTTAGGGACTGCGCGCTAATCTTAAACCATGGACCTGCGGGATGGACATGCCGGGAGCCTAAATATGCAGCTTTTATGCATGAAATGTGGGGGCCGCAGGGCCTCCGAAGCTTCCTCTCTGAGCCATTCGATTGAGAGCATGTTCTTTGGGATCTGCAGCTACCAAGAAAGGACCATCGATCTCGGAACAGACGCAACATGCTACTCCAACTTGTAACAAGTTTACAAAGCGCTGAATTCAAGTTCAATTTCTTCCTCCACATACATCGCCTTCCACATCGGTTGTTCTCTGTACCCGAGAGCCCACTATGGCATATAAGCAATTGGGAGACATCGACACAGAAAGCGATGAGAGTCGTCTTCTGGAGTCTTCCAGCTGGAAGGAGTCGTCAGCCGTCTTGCATTTCAAGAAGAGCTGGTATCTCTTTCTTGGAGCCATCACATTGTTATTTGTTTTCCTTGGCTTGTCGAACGTTGCGATGATTATACGACTGGTCGACTTGAAACAGAGTTTGGGTAAGAACGCTTACAGTGCGATATGATCCTTCAGCCGCTCAAAGCACTGGCTGAAACAGTTACAGTGGGGCTCGAGTCAATGCAAGAGACCTGGCAAACGCTACAAACCTTGACCGAGTACAGCTCCAGTGATCTTGCCACTGCGAACTCTGCTTGGGATAGGTACAAAATCAATGGCTTTGTTGCTCTTCCCAAGGCTTGGACAGCGGATCGCCAGTGGCCCATTGCCAGAGACATGCCAGATGATACAGACAAGGGTATCTACGTCGTTGACGGCTTTCATCAACTTCATTGCTTGGTGAGCTCGTCATTGACAACTGCAATCTATCCTTCATTGATGTTGCACAGATTACGATACGGGATACCGTGGCGGATCTTCTGGACGGAAAGATTGAGAATCGTACTCACGTGGTACGCCATCTCAACCATTGCTACGATGCTCTTCGGCAAGCCATCATTTGTAGAGCCGACGATACGCCCCTTTATGTTCCATTGGACACCTTCTTTGCTGGCGATGGACAGCAGCGCCGTTGCAAGAACTGGAATACCCTACAAGAATGGGTCATTCAGCATACTGCTTGCTATAACACCGTGAAATGCGGAGTCTAAAAGTAGTCATAGAGCTTTGGCCATTGATGAAGAACAATTGATTGGACGAATGCGGTCAGGATGTGATCGTGGATCGGACTTTCTTAATTGAATCACTGTCTGGCGTGATAGAGAGATGTGCATGTCGGGAGCCGGGAACTAAAGAGTGATAAGACGCACTGGGTGCCTAAAATTTAGCTGCCGGACATCTGATGAACACCCCACCGAGTGATATGGGGCCAAAAGCTAAGGTCACTATTCAGGTTAGTCAGTTGTCGGTTCTTTAACGTAACTAGTATACTTGTAGCACCCTTGCAATCGAACACTTTTCAAGATTATTCGTAAGCGTCCCTGCTGCTTCCGACACTAGTATGTACCTGGTAGAACAAACATCGTTCCATGATTCTTGTTCTCATTGTCAAATATTTGAGACAAAGATTTACCACTCTTCTGTAGACCGTCGTGTAAAATCCTCAACCAGTGGACCCTGGCTTTGCTCACATCGACGTTCTTGTCTAAGTAACCCTCTCTCTATTCACTTCCAGTCACCCATTGAAGCAACAAATCTCCTCTTATCGCTGATTCCGCCTCCAGGCCTCACTTCTCGCAGCCTCAACAAACGGGATGCTGGCGTCTTGGGCTGAGATAGTTGCTGCCGTATGTATCCTCCAGCTTGGATGGCTCCTATATGGCGTGGTGTATAGGCTCTTTCTTAGTCCACTCGCCAAGCTTCCCGGTCCAAAGCTTGCTGCTTTGACCTCCTGGTATGAGTTTTACTTCGACGTCATCCAGCCGGGAAAGTTTGTGTGGAAGATAAAGGACCTACACGAGCAGTACGGTACGTGTATGAGACCCACTCCATCGTTCGATTGCCGATTCTCAAATCCAGGACCGATCATACGAGTTACGCCTTGGGAGGTGCATATCAACGATGTTGACTTCCTCGATGATATTTACGCACCATCTCACCGCAAACGAGACAAGTATGCGTTCCAGCTCAGAACACTACCGGTCTCGCTGTCGATTGGGGGAACCAGAACACACGACCTCCATCGAAGGCGACGCGAGGCGTTGAATCCGTTCTTCAGCAAAAACAGTGTTATGAGCCTCGAGTCGTCGATCAATGAAAAGGTGGAACAGCTTTGCCGTCTCATGGAAGATCGCCAGAAAAAGAATACACCAGTGAATCTGTCTGATGTCTATTACGGGTTTGCCTTAGAGTAAGCCGAAGCATAGAAACGCTCATGGAACTTGCTCACCTCAACCAGTGTTGTCTCCCACTACAGCTTTGGACACGATGACAACATTCTGGCAGACGAAGTGCAGGCATCTACCATGCGACGTAATAATTCAGAGCTACTGTTGGGAATCAAGTTCAATCAGCACTTCCCATGGATCGTTGACGCATTGAACATGCTTCCAACGACGATAGCGAAGAAAATCATGCCACCTGGCGTCAGAGACATGGTAGACTTTTCCACCGTAGGTCCTACTACCTGCTGCTTGCCCCACAATTGACATCAAGGCTAGAAAATTCGTGGCGAGATCCAGCAAGTACTTGAGGACAAAGAGAACGCCAGGAAAGGCATCAAGCGATCCATTTTCTATGAGCTGCGTGATCATCCCACTTTGCCATCAGCAGAGAAAAGCTTACTACGGTTGGAGCACGAGGCAGTTCTCTTAGTCATGGCCGGTATATCCATCGGAGCTGGGTCTGTTGGGCTGAAGCTGATGACTTCGAATCTACACAGGAACGGATTCTACCGCCAAATCCATGGCTGTTGCGCATTTCTACCTTCTGGCCAATCCCCAGGTCATGACTCGCCTTCGAGCCGAACTTCAAACGTTGTCCGCCGCCCCGTCTTGGGCAGAGCTTGAGCAACTTCCGTACTTCAACGCTGTCGTTGCTGAGGCCAACCGTTTATCTTTCGGAGTCACTGCAAGACTTTGCCGCATCGCCCCAGAGGAAATTCTTATGTACAAAGGGTACTGCATACCTGCTGGCACGCCCGTGAGCATGACAACTCTTTGTGCACATACAAATGAGACTAATTTTCCCGATCCGTGGACTTTCAATCCGGATCGGTGGCTGGGTCCGGATGGGCCACGGAAACGAAAGTATCACATGGCGTTCAACAAAGGAAGCCGCATCTGTATTGGCATCAATCTTGCTCATGCAGAGCTGTTCCTCGTTATCGCGGCTATGATGCGCTATGACATGAAGCTGTTCGAAACCGATATCAGTGACGTCCAATTCGAGCACGATTATCATGTGGGATTTCCCAAGCTAGATTCGAAGGGCATCAGAGCAAAGGTGCAGGGAAAGCATGATGGCTAATCCAAGGCATAAAGTTGTATGCGTAGTTTCGTTCCTTAGAGGAGTGGCTGCAATTTGCGGCGTTCATCATGGAGATTGTGCAAAAGCTTTTGAATTATAGATCGTTCTTCTCTTGCAATCCATATCATCCTCACGCTACACAAGCTAGTTGGATGTAGAAGTATGTGGTAGAATGAGGAGGCTAAGGCCACGGGAACGGGAAGCTTTGTGAGTGTTCAGGGAGGGTTTAATTTGCAACAAAAAGGAGTCAAGAAGGGCCGCATATTAATGGAATTTGATAGTTAGATATAAGTCTTGACAAAAGAAATATTAAACCCTTGAAATTTCATTGATCATTTATTATTTATCTAATGTCAAAGCACCGCCAAGCTCAAGTAATAAATTTCTCTAACCAAAGAGCTAGAGAGTAAAAGTAATAAATAAATGTCGAGTAATACAGCTTAACGCTGGTACGGCCATATGGCCAGCAACCTCCTTGCAGGGCAGCACAAGCTGCCGCAACTGCCAAGAGAAGTTGGCTGTACATGTACAGCCTAGATAGATGTATGCACAACACCACAGAGTGAGAACTTCAACAATAAAAGCAACTTCAAGTTATGATGCGCGCTAAGCATGCCAAGCGCGTACGAAGCGCGTACCCTGCGCACGTATAAGGGCCATAAGGGCTCTGGTAGATTCTGCATCATTCTACGCAGGAGATTCGTTGTGCTACGCATCAAAGGGCTTTAAGTAGTATTTAGTACAATACTTAGATCTCTCTCTTTTCTGGATAGATTCTAGTTCTCTGCGCTCAATAGGTTAATCTATCAACTCTCTACTATTCTATTGCCCTTATACTCCTAAGATTCTAAAATAATAACCTACATAGATTATATTTTAAAATATAAGATGATTTATAACATATTAGAAATTAAAAATTATCTTTAGTTATTTTAATTGATAAGATTATTTATTAAATTAGTATTTTATGTTGAATTGCTGCCAAGCCGCTAGCTCAGTAGTCGTCACATGACCTAGGGCTATGCCGGAACAGGCATAGCGCCATCAGCCACCAGAGTAAGATTGCACTTGAACTTTGGACAGGAGTTGGATACAACTTCTGCACAAGTTACCAAATCAATCATTTTGATTGAGTGCAGACATCCATAGATAGCAGAAGCAGTTTTAGCGTTACTTTTAACATTTTATAATTAAATATTTATTTTCAAACTTAAAGATTAAATTTTTTAGTCAAATATTAATTTAACTTAAAGAAAAAATAATAAAGTTATAATACATTTCTGATAATCTCCTTAACTGATTGTCTTTACTTTAAAAATTTCCTAATTCTATGTACGAGCCATTCCCTTTAACTCTGATTTATCCTGCTTCCGGAGACCTACGGTCGGCGATGGCGTAGAGTCCGTCTACCGTTCTCTCACCCAGCGCTTTCTGCTTTCCGCTTTCCGCCGTGATAATGTCTAGGTCCAAATCCAATCTGACCTTCCCACGACAGAGATCCACCACGAAATCTACCACCTCGGGCAATTCCCCTACCCCCTCTTCAGCTTCCGCCAACCAGGACAAAACCACCAGCAAAGAAAGCAAGACCAGGGCTGGTATCAGTCTTACGGACCTCGTCCGCACCCTAACCACCCTCCTCGCCGTCTCCCTCTCACTCTCCTACTACCTCACCTCCGGCGACTCACTGACCTTTCACTACCGTCCCTGGTTCACCAAGCCCACTCAATTAAAAGCATGGATTGTAGGTTCCCCTATTTGCCCTCCTTTAAACAATCTCACTTCTTCTCCGATCCTAACACTTTTTTTTTTCGTACAGCGCGGTCCTCTACTCCTGACCCCCTCGGAGCTGACACTCTACAACGGGACCGATCCGCTCCTACCGATCTACCTGGCTCTAAACGGGACGATCTACGACGTCTCCGTTGCACCGCAGACCTACGGACCGGGGGGAAGTTATCATGTCTTTGCCGGACGGGATGCGACGAGGGCGTTTGTGACGGGGTGTTTTGATCTGCAGCATTTGAGGGGGGAGGTAAAGGGGGTGGAGAGGATGTATATCCCTGTTGAAGATCTGGAGGAGGAGGAGGGGGAGGGTCAACAGTTGACTCGGGGGCAAAAGAAGGTGAGGAGGGAGCAGGAGCTGAGGGAGGCGCGGAGGAAGGTCAGAGCTGAGGTGGAGAGGTGGAGCAGCTTCTACGCGAACAGTGAGAAATATTTTAAGGTCGGGAGGGTTGTGGTCGACACGAACAGTAAAGCTGAGGGGGAGGTGCCGAACCTGTGTGAGGCGGCGGAGAAGGCTAGGCCGAAGAGGAGTCAGTTAAATAAGCAGAGGGCTGAAGCTGGGAAGGGAAGTGGAAAGCCGGTATTCAAGCCGAAGAATGGAAAACCGGTTTAAAGTTGAGGGAAAGGGCAGAGGAGAAGAGAAGAGAAGCGAAGCGAAGCGCCAAAAAAATGCGTGAAGGCGCCGAAGCGGGGCTGAAAAAGGGGGTTGAGGACATGAAAACCATCCCAAGCTTCTGCCCGTGCAGAAGACTTCAAGAAAATAATAAAGAAGAAGAAAAGGGAACGTGTAGACTTCAAGGTATGGCCGGCCATATTGTCCGGATACATGGACCAGGAGCACGCAAGGCGGCCCCCCAGAAACCCACGAAGATGCCCCGACTTTCAAGAAAACAAGAAAAAAAAAGGAAAGGACAGTTTTTGCGTCCCCCTGGAACGCAAAGAATAACTATCTCACCTCATCTGACCTGATCAGATCAGACCTCTCCTATATCACGGGACAAAACCCGCCAAACTGCCCTTCACCCACTCCCACTCATCTTCTCTACTTCTTCTCCTCTATCGATCACAACATTACACATTACACATCACACATCCCTCTCTCCCTCTACGCTGTTCCGCTCTGCCCGCTAGAAGAGAGAGGAGAAACCCCCCAAAGGCCGGAGGACGACCGGATTCGAGCTGCTGCTAGGTTGCCCTCCTCAAGGAGGTGAGAGAGAGAGGACACCCATACCCTTACCATGGCCATGACCATGACCATGGGGTGGACGATCAAGCTACCTACCCGCCTGCCTATATTGGGGTGGGGGCATGGCCGGGCTGGCAGGCAGGCAAAGCGAGGCAAAGCAAGACGAGAGGGGCATTCCATTCCTGAGGAGGAAGAGAAAGGGGACGCACTAGTGCTTGGTTTGTCTGTGGGGATAACACAAGGTATATCAAAGTAGCAGTACGAAGATTTTACGAGCTTGCTTACTTACTCACTGGAAGGAGGTGACTAAAGTGCGACACGGTTGGGCATGATTAGGTCGCATGCAGGCCTTGTGGGGGGGGGGGGGGGTAAGAAAATCGAACAGGGCACACGGTATGAAAAACTGGGGCCGCATCCGCTGGTTTGCTCTTGCATTCATTCATTCTTACGTATATGATCAACAGGTTTAAAAAAAGACGGGCTAGATGGGAGGGAAATGCCAATGCTAGGGAAATCTGCCTTGATGCAAGTCATCGGCGCGAAGCTTAGCTGGCGAGAGACCCTTGCTTTGCTGTACTTGACCCACTGGCTCAAAGGGTCAGAAAAGAAAAACTGGCGGCATGGATCAATCATTTTGCTCTGGGTCACATGGGGAGTTCGTGCTAGGTTAGTCTTTTCCCTGCGGCCTCTTGCTATTGCTATTGCTGTGGTTGATGCTATTGCTGTAGACGATACCATCAATACCGGAGTGTGAGTATTTCCTAGGTGGATTCATTCGTTGTCCGTTTACAAGGAACGGGTTGTTCTCTACTAAGACAGAGACGATCAGCGGTATGTATCGCACAGCGCTAGGTAGCCTCCGACCCAGTGGTTGCGCCTGGTATGAATGAACAGCGGCAGCGAGGTTATTCTTAGTTGTTGAATCAAACCGCTGTCTTTTTAGTGTAGAACCGTGACCTGACTCGGCCAGCATCTCATGTGGCTAGGCGGACGATGACGACGAATAACACGATGCTTGTGTCCATTGCTTCAGGCTATGGAGTAGCGAAGGTTTCCGCGAAGATCTCAGCCGGTCCCAATGTCCCTCTAGTCACCGGATTCGAGAAGATCTTATGAAGAGGTGGACTGCTTGGTTGGCGTCCTGATTCATTGTGTCATAGAAAGTCCTCTTTGAATCCGTGAAGTTAGGCTGCTTCAACTCGCCGCCTATGAATTCGGATGTTGATAGAGTGGCTACCAGATCGGCTTGAGATCGAATCGACCTTTCTTTGCTCTTGGGTGGGAATTATTGAGTCTTCCTTGTTTGTGGACAGTGTCTGACAAGCCGACATGGTTCCCGTGTCGCATTGCTTATGATGTGCTCGACGAAGCGCTTTCCCATTGCCTCATATGACCCTTCTTGTTCGTACTGAAGATGATGTCTTAACAGCAACGGCATAATTTGTTGTGATGATAACCATGATGATGGGATACAAAGCCTGCCTGTCACACCTTCTCCGACACATCAAACAGTTATTTGTGGTTCGTCTTCCTTGTTCTCTTTAACACTATTCCATTCCATAGGCAGACTGGCCAACAGTGCCATCCCCGCCGAGCCAATGGCAAGGTAGAAGACTTTCTGCAGGGCGGCATTGTACAGAACAAGAAATGCAGGTAATAATTCCTCCGGAACAATGGTTTGAAACCTCGTAGCACCTGCATTGATGACTTCACCAACATTGATCTGTGCAAGAACTCCAGTTGTGCCACCATTAACAAGTTGGTTCTGAAGGATGGTATTCCCAACAGAGACGAAGACGGCGCCGCCTAAACTCTGGCAAGCAACGATTGCGGATGTGGCGATGGGAATCTCTTCTGGCTTGACCACAGTTTGCACAGCTGTGAATAAAGTTAGACCTATGAGCCAGCGCTTGCAAACCACTCAACTTACCAGTAAAGCCAATCTGTACGGCTATACCAAGGCCTCCCGCAGCCAAAATTTCATATCCGATCCATTTAGCGGTGGAGATGTCAACGTTCAAGGTACTGACGAATCCACACCCGATAGTGGCAATGGCACATCCAATAATAGCAGGAGGGGTAAAATAGCCAGTCTTGGATACGACAATGCCGGCCGAGAGGCTGCAGAGAGCATTAGCGATCATGTAAGGAATCATGTTAACACCAGACTCCAATGCACTTGTGCCCCTAACTGCCTGAAACCAGATGGGAAGGCAGTAGCCATGGATCGTCATGACTCCGTAAATGAAGATTGCGGAGAGACAGCTTGCAATGACGGTTCTCTGTGTTGCGATGCGAACAGGAATCAGAGCAGCATCTTTCTTCCACCACTCCCAGAAAGCAAACAGAGCGAATGCCACCCCAGCTCCAACAAGCAGTCCAATCACTCTCGCCGAGTTCCACCCGATGACCTCTTCGCCTAATTGAAGTGCCAGGAAGAACATCACAAATCCACAAAGCAGGATAAAGGTCCCCATGTGGTCAAGCGCCGCAGCTCTTTGCAAGAATGGTTGACGATTGATGCACTGCTCCTTTGCGTTGACGAAGAATAGAAGCACAGCGATGGTGGCACCGCCAATTGGAAGGTTGAAAAAGAAGCACCACCGCCAAGTCACGAGATCAGTAAAAATACCACCGAAGATTGGACCGGTCATAGATCCAAGTCCAAACATCAAACCGACAGAAGCGAAGTATACAGGTCTCTTGACCATCGGTACACAATGTCCGATAATGACGAAGGAGCCAGTGACAATGCCAGCACTGCCGAGACCCTGAACGGCTCTGCCGATTATGAGCACTGCCGAGTTCGGTGCTAGTCCGCAGACGAGAGATCCTAATTCAAAAACGACGAGGGCCAGCAGGTAGGAAATCTTGACATGAAATGACATGAAGATTCGTCCATATAATGGTTGGAAAGCACAAGCTGTCAGCAGATATGCACTACCGTACCAGCCAACATCATCGTAGGAGCGGAACTGGTCGGTGATACGAGGAATTGCCTGGGACGAATTAGATGATAGATAGGAGGGAGAACAGTGACCCTCTCAATCATACCGTGCTGACAATCCCTCGGTTGAGGGCGATAATGTAGACAGACAAGCACACTCCGAGGATAATCAGTGCCAACTGCAGTCCTTGCGGGTACTCTTCTAAGCTCTCCTTTTGCCCACCCTCGCGCTTTGACAGCCGGCTTGTCTCTGCTCTTGGGGGTGATGACAACACTCGTGCTGTACTGCATCGAGACGAAGCTTCTCCATAGTATTTTTCCCAATCCAAAAGTTCAGAATTCCCTTTACCTAAAAATTCCCGGAAGCCGCTGGCCCCAGTGCCATTTCTATGAGCCGACATCGTCCTAGTATATTCATCCCATCCCTCTTCAACAGCCGGCGGTTGTGCAAAGGGAGATCCCGTAGAGACCATGATATCTTGTAAGACAGAATCCAGGACATTGGTCTCCGTGGCTTTCTTGGAGCTGAACATGATGGCTTGATCGTCAAGGACCCTGTGATTCACAGAGAGCACGGGAATAACAGTGAAGAACAAGGAGAGTGAGAATTTGAAATTGTAGTGCACCGGAAGCAGAGAACGGTCAGTCGTGGTCATAGCAGCATTGAGGTGAGGAGAAGCCTTGCAGGCACCAGAGCCATGAGCTGGACAAACCCTGGATTCGCGTTCAAGCGACCGGCCTTGGAATAAGGTAGCAAGCGGACGACTAAACTCACCTTGCTCGGACAGACCAATCTTAGCACGAGCTTTAGCACGAGCACGAGTTCATCGTTGCCCAGATAGGAGAGGGTGTAGTAGAAGTCCACTCCAGCTCAATTCCCAATGTGACGCGACAGGCGATTTGGAATATTGATCGTCCATTATCAAAAGTACCAGCGGTGCAGAAGGTTTACTCGAGATTCTTTCGGCCGCAGCTGAGCCTTGTTTTACTTAGGGCCCAGCAAGCTTTGAAATCCCAAGGCCGGCTGATCGGCACAGACGTTGTACGTAGTAAGATCACCATATCTTACCATATCTTAGTATGAAGAAATCCTAGCATGTTGATCGACCAGGGGCGAGTAGATCATGCGGAACACCGGACTGAATGTGGGCTTACATAGTACTAAGGCTGAAATTAGCTTAGGGAAGTTGTTGGGGGAAGACTTACTACGTACCTGATTGATACCTCCTATGTAGCACAAAGACGCCCCAGACAGCGTGTTGATCTCATTAAGGCCTGGCAGTGACACTGACGTACTATAGTACCAGGAGAAGGGGTAGCTAAAAACATGAGCTAAGTCCATTAGTGGAAATGACAGCTATTCTGTCAAATAACCACCATACTAATGTGGGGGAGTAATTGCACCGAGGTCGCTTCATTGGCCAAGTTACAGGTATTTGAAAAGATGCGTCGATGCATGAGCAAAAAATGGCTTCTAGCAGCTTAATTGACAGGAACCCCGACAGGTATCATGCTAGGACATGCTAATCATTGGGAGTTCTAGACGCTCTCATGCTCACCAATTTATGGTTCCTCTTAGAATCTTCGTGTCCATAGAACAGTGTTTGTCCCATCAAGCACGCAACGGCCCACCAGAGGAAGAGGAAGCTACTGTTGTACGCTGCTGTAACTACGCGTTGTACGCTTCGCTTCACTTCCCTTCTATCCGGGACGCGGACTCGAACGCTGGGGCCTCTTGCAGGTAGTTGAGTTTAGTGTCTCAAAATGGCTAGCGCTCTGAATGCGGATTATAAGGCTCATAACTGTTGGACCAAAAGAACCGCGGCCCTTAGAGGACAGTAAACTAGCTTTTCTCTGACATAATATGATAAGAGAAGCATATTTTGACTGTACTATGACCATACTGTGACCATATTTTCAGTAAAATACGTTGTAGATAGTAAGATTTTATTGGATCACAGACGACTAAGCTGTATGTCCTTGTACTCTTTAAGCAATCTTACGATTAGGCATATCTAAGCGCATTTTGATGGCTCCCCTAGCATTATTTTAAGTTAGTAGTTAAAGGCCTTCAGCCGCGATAACGAGATCTGATAACGGATTGACTCGCCCGCATCCACAGAACATGTACATCGCTTAGAGATACATGGCGAGTAGAACAACTGCTTGCGAAAGAAGCATAAATTTAACAGGGAATAGTATTTCTGATTTGTTACGGACAACAATGTAGTAAACCGTACACTAAGTCTTGTAGGTATCATGTAAAATGTCAGAAACTAGTAAACGACAGTCACAGAAATTGCGTGCTGCTGAGTTTTCCAAGCTGCGCCAACGTAGTCACCACTCCAGTGATACCAGTCCCATCAGTATGTCTGCCCAAGGCATCAGTGTCCGAATTGAAGTGATCCTCCAATGTTTCCTGTTGGGCTAGATGGTTTGCAATTTCCAAGCCACGTAGTCGTTGTTAGAATCCCTGCGTTTATGATACGTATCTGTTACGTACTAGCATGATGGTACAAGGTCCCCGCATGCAAAACGCACGAAACGCTCTTGTAACTGTTACGCCCTGTTATTTATGGCAGTGAGCATTGCTATACGAATTGAACGCCAAATGCTGTTTCTGAGCTGTTACAGTAATGCGCTTCTATAGCTATTAGTACGAGCAAATACTCCTCTTGATAGGAGTAACTCAATCAATTCAATTGGTATCTCCGTACGCTATTTGCTACATCCTCTAACAACAAGATGGTCCATCAAGGAGATATGCGATCTTGGCCCGACAGCTACACTTCCCACATAATCAATACCACATACGTCAATCCAGAGGTTGGTTTCGGCGTAGGGGAGAGAACCCTGCAATCGCTGAGATGGGAAATGATCATTGTACAAGCTTTCTTTCTGGGGACGTCCGCCCGGGACTTATCATGTGCCAATCAACGTGCTTGGGTTTCTCAGACTGTGTTCGGGCTGACCATCCAGGGGAGTGTTTCGGCATGGTCGACAGTACTAATAAATCGGAGGCTCGGAATAGCCCTGAAACTCGTGATTAATGCTGCGGTGGTACTCCGTACTTAGTACAGTTACGCCGAAAAGTATCCGACCAAAACCGCGTTTTTTCTACACACGCGTTTTTCTACTCCTTTTGCCAACAACAACCATGAATCAACGCAGGGCTTTGGCGCCTCTAGAAATTAACAGAAGCTATGGAAAGGAGTTATCTCCATACCAACGGGGTCAAATTTCAGCGTACAAAGCTCAAGGGCTGACAAATCAGCAAATAAGCGAGAACTTGCATTGCAGCAAAACCACTGTTTTCGATAATCTTGTACAAAATCCACTGCGCCATAACGGCAAAAGCTTGCCTTGAAAAGGACAACCCCCTGCCTTGAATCGCGTTCAAAAACGCAATATTCTATGTATTGTACGAACTAATCCAAAGATTACCTATCACGTATTAGCCCTTGAACTTGGGGTGAAGGTTTCTCGATCTACCCTTTATCAAACACTCAAAAATGAGGGTATTACCAATTGGATCAGCAAAAAGAGACCTCTATTAACTCCTCAATTGGCTGCTAAACGCCTAGCTTGGATAAGAAAGGCAAAGACATCAGTGTTATGATATGGGGTGCTATTCATGGAGAAGGTCGTTCGGATATCGTTCTTTTGGAGCGTGATCCTGATTCAGAGAAATCTGGATATACCGCCAACTCATATCTAACTGTTCTCCATGAGCAGATCCCTCGGATCTATAAGCCAGGTCGCAAATTCATGCAGGATAACGCCTGAATTCATACTGCTAAAAAGATTATTAATTGGTTTGAAGAGGAGGGAATAGAAGTGATGGAATGGCCGGCCTATAGTCCTGATCTCAACCCAATTGAACACCTCTGGGCGCAACTCAAGCAATGGATTAACAAGCATTACCCAGAGCTAATTAATATGGGCAAATCGGAACAGGACTATCAACGTTTGTTTAGCGCTATTCATGATGCATGGGACTCAATTGGCGAAGAAGTTGTACGCAATTTGATTAAGAGCATGGATACTCGCATTAATACAGTGATATCAGCAAAGGGTTGGTACACCAGATACTGATATCTGACTTCCTATTCGGGAAAATTGGTTAGCTTCATTCCCTAGGTATTAGCACACAGTTTGAGCTATTTTTCAGCAAAATCCGTAAATTCTGAGAGTTGCTATAGTAATTTGTATGAAGGAGGTGAGAAACGTTGGTGGGGTGCGAAAGTGGGGTTGGTCGGATACTTTTAAACTAGTACTGTACCATTAATAACCTGAAACTATTTACTGAATCTGAGCGCATGCAAAGAGATTAGCGAAGCGGGAAAGGTTGGTGGCTTTTTTATTTTGGCGCCGGGGGAAGATATTAGAATTTGAGCCACTGGAATAGGGTCTGTGGCTAGTGGCCAGGGGCCCCACTCTGACTGACTGCTGAGAAGTTTCTTCTTGTGTCACTGAAAGTATATCTTCCTATAGCGCTATTAGGCACCTACTACGTAGTAGTGACTACTACTCCGTACAGGTACAGGTACAGGTACAGGTACAGGTACTGGTACTGAGCAGCCTCGTACGCTGTACTGCTCTGTGAACCATTCACAGGATGATACTACATATACGGAGCGACACAATTACCAATAACCCATTACCAACACAGTGACCCTTGCTATTCCTTTCAGGGCTGGTCGTAAACAATGAGGAGCCCTGTTGGCGACTTTTTTACTCCCTGCACATGTCAACTCAGGTCTATGTCTGAATTCAGACAAAGCTCTCCTATCCACTACGAATTCACCGGCTTTTCTACTTCTTGGCTGATTCTACAACATGGTCAATCGCCCGTCTTCCAGACCTCCGGTACCACCAACAAGATGGTGGCGTCGATCGGCGCACGTTAGTTCCACGACAAATACCCAAAGCTGATCACTGGTGGCTTACTCTGGTATGAGGTTTTCCAAGGGCAAAACCAGGAAAGATTAACATTCCCCACTGTGAAAAACTCACTTATAGCACTGGTACTTTCCTCAACCTTGTCAGCTTCATCTATCTTTCTTCCAATTGGGAGTCCTGCAGCTTCATTGTGTCCATCACCAAGGGACGAGAGATTCTTACGTCGATATACTATTTCTACTATTGCAGGCTGTGTTCTACAATGGAGATGTTTTCTGTGAATGGCACTGAAATGCCTCCTGCCTTCATGGTAGGGGCTGGTGGTAAAGTGGCCGAGCTCTCCTCAACAAAGCATACCTTAACTCCGACCTCGGTATTGCAATTTACTTCCCCCTGGGAGTTTCTTGATCAAGCATGGATGACAATATTCGGCTATCACGCTCAAGACTTTCAGTTCACGCCGGGCCAGACCCCTCTCTCGACCTTGAAAGGGACCACCACCATGCTCGTTGTCTATTACTCCGTCATTCTTGCCGGTCGAGAATGGATGCGAACCCGACCAGCATTCAAGCTGAATACTCTTTTCCTAATCCACAACTTCTACCTCACGGCAATCAGCGGCGGTCTTTTGGTTCTCTTCATTCAGCAACTTGTTCCCCGACTTTGGTCTCATGGTCTCTACGATGGCATCTGTGGTGCTGGCGGCTGGACCGACAAACTCGTCGTCCTCTACTATCTGAATTACCTCACCAAGTACCTCGAGTTCATTGACACTTGTTTCCTTTTGTTAAAGAAGAAGCCGCTGAGTAAGACCAACAAGATGCTTTATATCATCTGCAGGGACTGACATCTTCGGGCAGCCTTCCTTCACACTTATCACCATGGTGCTACAGCAGCACTGTGCTTCTCTCAGCTTCTAGGACACACTCCCGTGTCCTGGGTTCCCATCACCCTAAATTTGTTTGTACATGTCGTAATGTACTGGTACTACTTTCAAGCCGCTCGTGGCGTCAAGATTTGGTGGAAAGAATGGATCACCAGGCTTCAGATCATCCAATTCGTCCTCGACCTTGCCTTCGTGTACTTTGCGTCGTACAACTATGTTGCCAGCACATATTTCCCAAGCCTTCCGAATTACGGCTCTTGTGCGGGTAAGGAGTTTGCTGCCTTTATGGGATGTGGTATTCTAAGCTCTTACCTTGTTCTCTTCGTTTCTTTCTATTTAGCTACGTACAAAAAGGGCAAGACCGCGTCGAAGAACGCAAGAAAATCGATGAGCAAGATGAGCAGAACAGAAGTGCCAACTGCTACTGAGACGTCTGAAAGAGCGTCGGAGGCTTTTGAAGCGGCTAAAGAGACGGTCGTGTCGACTGTTAACCAGCTACAGAAGGCCGGTTCAAAGGATGAGTGAGAAGCTGGGGTTGGATAAATTTCAAGGCGGAGGTGTTGTTCTGATGTACAGCGTGATTGAGGCAAGACGTTGCCATTCTATATACATACCGAGGATTTATCATGGGCTTAGATGGGATGGAGCAATCATATGCGGAAGGCTAATCACCTAATGCTGCATGGAGTACTGAAGGCAAGTGTGTATAGTAATTTCATCGTGATTGTTAAACGGGTATACGGATTGGAACAGCTACCGACACTATTAACGGTCACAACTTGCATGCAGAGTGAGATCACAGTGCATCTGCACACCAAGTGCAGATCCTGCTAGCGCACGGATCACGTGGTATTTCCTGTGCTGGTGGCACAGGAAATCCTGCACTATACCTGATTAGGAATAACCTGGTCAGGCAATATTTGGCTGTACACGTACAGCCAAATAGTGCAGACTATAGTCTGCTGATCGGCATGCATTCTCAACAGTGACGAACATTATCTCCAATATAGGCCTGTTTGCATTGTGGCACTTGCTTGACTTTGTCATCCATATTCTGCAGCCGTCACGTGCTTTTATTGCAAGTAAATAATACATAAAGATTAGCAGACTTCGACAATACATGTGGCGGTACGGAGTACGGGCTGCGATTTTAGCAAACCCGACTGACACCAGACCGACCCCAGGGTTGATCTTCAACTCCAATCAACGAAGCGGACCTCTTATCCCTACTGTTCTGACGCCACTTTTTGTCAAATGCTGCCTTTAATCTGTACGGGGTATTGCACTGTAATCATCATCGCCCCAGCCCCGAGGATGCCACCTTCGCACATTCGCGACATAGATATTGTCGAACTTGCTGACTAATCGACGGATCAGTGTTGAAATAGCAAGTTGTTCTATCTAAATCAGCGCGCAGAGTGCGCATTTATACGTACAGATGCTGCGTAACGTGAAACGCAGATACCAAAAATACATGCAGATCTTATACGAAATGCGTATCAGATCTGTTACAAAACGTATATAAAACGCATAGTCAAACAGCGCTCAAACAGTTCAACAGATATATTCCCTGTGGATCTTGCCTCCTGTTACACCACTACTGCGAAGTAAACATCAGTGTCGCACGAAAACCCTGCCAGCCGCATGATAACAAGACGAAAGACAGTAGGGTTATCTCCAGCCGAGCGGCTGGAAACCTGCTTCAGAAAAGAATCGATGATCATATCATTTCTATCTCTTGACTGTGTCTTGACTGTGTTACCAAAGAGCGCTATGTCGATCACTACTCTGAACGGCGAATCCCTGTCAGCCGCAAGCCTGCTGATTCATTTCAACCTTCGTCAAATCCGTGCTTGACACATTTCGAAGCTCTCCACGAATCATTCCAGCGAGCCACAAGGCGCTCTGAGTCATTCAAAGGATTCACTCGTCTGTATCGCTCGTAAAGCGAGTCAGCCAGATAGACGTATTCGAGCTTGGTACTCCGTACCGCAATTCCAATGCTTACCTTTTCTTCATGTCAGTCATTTCTATTATTGGCTTGGTCCAACGCCGCCCCTTAGCCTTCAATCTATAGTGTCGTACGTTGCCAAATATCGTGCTTGAGATACAAGAAATTGTCGATTGAAAGTCGAAATTTGATGCAGCCACGAAGGGTAGGAGATGTTCCTCTATGATACGGCTAATCCTTCAGCGTAGGAGACCCTTTGTCACTTCGCAAATATTTAAGACGGTTGCACCTGCATTCATCTCCCTATACATATTCCACGACTGAAGATGGAATCTAGATCATGATTCCATGAAATTTACTTCTCGCTGCATATCTTGCTCACATAACTAGTATGACCCGGTGCGTTTACATGGAATGCGGACAGAATCTAGCGTGCAGAGGCCGTACTGCGTCTAATGTCATCAGCAATACATTTTTTGTGCCCTTCGAAGGCATCAGGCATGTCTGTCCAGACTCCACAGACCAGAGCACGAGAAGATTTCAGTACACTATCAATACAGTGATACTGGAAACAGAAACAACAATCTCCAAACTGTACTCTTTTGACCTGCAACATGTGTCCAAAAGCAGCCAGCTGATGATCAAGGATTTTCCGGAGTTCAGCAACCTTAAGTCAATCTTCTGCCATTGTTGCTCTTCTCGTGGGTGAGCCATCAAAACTGGCCATCGCTTCCCTAGGAAGTTTGCCTCCGATCTACAATTTTAAGAAGAGGTGTGGCATCGGTCAACGTTGGTGAAAATTTCTGTATCCACAGTCTAGCAGGCATCCAAACAACCACACTTCTATACTCCCCCACCCTTTCCGACCCGAATTTCCTTACTCTTCTAATCGAGCACCATTTTCCGATTTCGAGCCGAGGGGCCACCATAAATGCTTGCATAGAAAAATGCAATAGGATAGGTGATTGACGGCGACTTATGTGCGTGAGATGACTAGCATCCATGAGGTGTTTTAAAATCCCTTAGTTACGCTATTGAGCATTTTCAAGAACAGCCGAGTCTTCTTCCATCCCGATTACCGATTGAAAGGAAAGGGCCCCACAGCCCGCTCCAGACCGCAGAGTAGGCGGCGGAAGGTTTACGTGGAAAGAAGTAGCCTTTTAAGGGTCCGCTTCGCCAACGGTTGTGTCACCACACCTTCACCTAAGACTTCCTCAATACTCCATACTTGGCAAAAGAAAGCGTTGATTACCTAGCTCGGTCAACCTTGCACATGAGCATCACGTTGGGAGGGTGCAGTTCTGATGCACGAAAAGCGGATCAGCCCATTCCGTGTTCCCATCGACAACTCCTTGACACGGCGCTCCTTAGCCATGGCTCTCACTCATGTGAGGCAGCTGGTATCTCCCACCACCACAATGAGAGTTCTTCGCATATTGCGATCGCTGAGGGACCAATAGAGACAGAAATATGAAATTAAAGAGGGACAAGAGAATCAAGCTGTCAGCTACTGCTCTTCCCACCCTCTTCGAATCTCGTTCGACAAATTCCCCTGTCATAAGATCATTGCAACGTACTCCAGTAGATTATACGAGTGTTCAAACTGGCCTTAGCACAGCTGGCTTGGGACTGCCTTTCTCTTCAGTTCCTCCTTATACATACTCGACTACTTTCCGTCCCTAGGAATGGTCATGACGGATCCATCCACTGCATGGGCAGTGCCTCAGTTAACGCAGATCATCCAGTTATTAAGCTCCGATGGCTAGGGCGATCTTAAAAACTTTTCGCAACAATCTCTTGACGGACAAGCATTTAGTATATGTGTTTCAAAGATGTCTAGAACTATCTGTTCTTAATGATGTTTCCTTCTCAAAGGTGACTGGCGAAGGCCTTGACATGTAAAACCATAATAACATCAAATATCAAATGACTAAGGTCAACGGCGCTATTTAACGTGTTCTTGACTCCTTGCTATACGGGGGTTTATAATGAAAGCGGTTTCAATTCTTGTTCGCGCTCTGATGGCTCAGTCATTTTACTCCTCTTTTTTCCTGCTTTGCCGTGGAATCATTACAAGATGTTTGAAATCTTGCCAACATCTCGCAATCAAAAGTGCTTTCAATTCCTTCTGAGGAGCTGTTTCGCGCGTTGGTGACCTGATGCTGCCTCCAGACCAGGAGCTCGGCGACAGCCTGCGTAGCAAAAGTTTCTCCCTTGTTGATGCGGGGCGGTTCTAAGGCATCAAACAGCTCCTGCAATGCAAGAGACTTCGGCAGCCCTTGGTGCTGGCTTCGCTTCCCCCTAAGTGCTCTCCCGTTGAGTTCGGGGGTCATTCTCTTTTGAGCAGGCCGACCATCTTTTAAGCGTAAATCGGCAATCGTGGGCCTGGACCGGTGCGGCAATGCTTTTTCACCCATCCCACGTGGTACAGGCTGCATGGAGAATATTGATGGTGCGTCAGGCACTGGTGTGCCGATACATCTATAAGTCGACAGTGTTCATCGCTCACGCACGCCTCTAAAGGCCTAGTGGATGTCCGACGTGGTGATTGTCGAGTTGTTACAGGCTGCCCGGATTTTAGTGATCGCACACCGGCGCCCAATGCGCCACTACATCTTATTAATTGACGATCTTCCTCACTCAACCGTGCCTCTGGAGGCCTACTACCTGTCTAATGTGCCGGTTGTTGACTTTCCAGGGCCTGCACAATCCGCTGGATGGACATATCTATCAGTTGGTGGAGCCCAATGTCCAAGATCTATACAATATCTTGGAAGGCAGTCCATCTGCTCTTGGAGTACATCGGAACTGACGTGGGGAGCTGACTCATGATTTTGGATTGCGTCGAGGTCGGTTCGTGAATTGATGCTGTTAGATTCTGCACCTGGGTCTCCTCTTTGTCTGGGAGCATTCTGGGAAGGACCGAACAGAAATAGTTATGGGTGCTGGCGAGGTGTGGTCCTGGGCGTTACATGAGTGTGAAGGTAGGTTAGGGCTACCAGGTTCATTGGGCATGCTCTCGGCAGCTGGTCAGGGAGCGTAAAGGCAAGCTACCAGAACTATTAGACTGTAGAGATACTGGAGCACGCCAGATAATAGTTTGTAGACAGAAAATGCAAAGAGAGTGAGCTGTAGAAAATGCATGCTCTTATCGCAGAGCCACACCTAGAAATCATCATTCTGAATCAAATGTCGAATATGCTTAGCATCGTTAAATCGTATTTTCGGTACCATTAAGTTCTCCACGTCCAAATCCAGGTCTCAAGTCTCAGGCCCCAGGTCGCAGGTCGCAGATCTCAGAGTGGCAAAAGCGTTCGAGATTGTTTCCAATCTAGAAGGCTCCTCCTTTCTACAGTCGTTTAGTGACAACAGAGAAAGCAAACGGTCGAAGTCAGATCAATGCCAATACTTATGTGTTAATTAGAGCTGCTCGTAATCCAAGTACATACTTGCAACGGAGACACATTAGAGGCCGATGGAGTGTAATATCACGTGACTCTACCGTTGGCTAAGCAATAGCCTTTACGGCGGACTGTTATTGGGTTGACGACACATCAAATTTTTGAATCTCAAAATCAATTTTCAGCTAGCAACAGGGTTATATGATTCTGTTTGAGGGCCCTTAGGATAGGGATAGAGAGAAGAGCACTAAAGAGACTTAAAGAGCAGGGCCTGAGAGAGGAGAGATTAGTAATAGGTTAGAAGAGACGGACAAGGGCAGTATTAGCCAGCTAGAAGATACCCTCTTGAGATACCCTCTTGAGATAGCGGTACCCTCTCCTCTTAGGGCATCCTTTTCTTTCCTCTTAGGGGCACTCCCTTAGGGGCACTCTCTTAAGGGCGTCCTCTTAGGGGCACCCTCTTAAGGCACCCTCTTGTTACGCCCTCTTCTGCGTCCTCTTCTGCATTCTCTTCTACATCCTCTTCTGCATCCTCTTCTGCATCCTCTTCTGCATCCTCTTCTGCATCCTCTTCTTAACACACTCTCTAATTAAGATACCTTCTATATATACATACTGTGAGAATGGACTTGCATAGCTCTCGTAATAACTCAAAACTGATTTTGAAGTTCAAAATTTTGATGTGTCGTCAACCCAATAACAGTCCGCCGTAAGCCTTGGCCATTGGGCAGGAGACAATACCCATATGACTAATATTAACAGGAAAAATCTAACTACCGCATACCAAATGGCACGGAATTCATCGCCATGGCTTTCCAGTGCGAAGCCCTGACCGCTCGCTTGATCGATGCATGTATTGCACAACACTTGACACAGAACCTTTACTTATAGTATTCTCAGAGAACCTTTTGCCCCTGCTTCTGTAACATCCCCAATCGACAATTACTATTAACAAAAGTAACCCGACTTTACACTCTGTATTCATTTTTGCCCGGGCCAAACGGTGAGAATGGCGCGTTTGCCCGATCAGATAGGGCTAGACCCGAAGAGGCAGCGCAGCGGCGACGATTTTACAGATAAAAGGGTACGTTGCTGCTCCTCCAATCTGCTCCACCTCCCCCTCGTCACTCCTGACTTGACTTCTCGGCCCAGCCGGTTGGCTCCCCCCCTTCCCTCCCTTCTGGCCAGAACTTAAATATCCCTCCAAAATTGAGAATCTTGGCACTCTCTATACTTAACTTGGACGTATTGATCCCCGCGCTGAAAGGTCCTGACAGGAAAAAACGTCCTCCCCTTGAGCCCAGTCCCTTGTGACTGACTGCTTTTCTTTGTACGAAAACATGTTCCGACTTTTGTCTGTACGTCGGGAGGGTATCCAGTATCTTATCATGGCAGGCTTTGGGGTATTTTCTTGTTCCAGGTTGTTTTTTTTATGGTAGTAGTAGTTGATGGTTCGAGATTCTGTCTGCGCAGGATTGCAGGATTGCAGGATTGCATGAATCTTGCCCAACGTTCACGCCATTGCCAACGCGAGGGGCCGAGCCGTAAGCGGCGGGTTTGTAGGTTCTCGGGCATGGAGATGGGATTATTTTGAATATCGGTTCGGGGCGGATGTTAGGACTGGGAGAGGGGAGAGGGGAGAGTCTTGGGTAGTCTGTAGGTGTGGTTTATGATTTTGAGAAGCTCGTTCTTAAGAAAATTTCCTGGAGAGATACTACTATCAAGCTTTTGGAGATATTCGGAAGAATAGGAAAAGCAAAGGGAAAGAGGCCAAGGACAACTTCATATGATAGGGACAGATTCGATAACAAGAGAATGACTCAGTTTAATTCAAAGAACTACACAGACGGCAAACAGGCTCGTTTTCGGTCGAGCAAGAGCTCAGACAAACTAATATAATACACATTCCAAGCAACACTCACGAGTATTCCAGAGACTCTATGCACCTCAAGATCATCCCTCGATCCAACTCTTAGCAATCAAACTCACACCTGACCACCGCTTTAACTTCACTCCCGACCTGTTCGCACTCACCCTCAAAATTCAAATCCTGACCGGCAAACTTCATGAATCCCTCGGACAGATCGTCCCTGAACATGCGCACCTCGACATCCTCCGACAAGCCGGCAGGGACGAAGATTGACTCGTCGGTGTTAAACTCGTCCATGAAGCCGAGGGTCGCGCACGCATCATCATTCTGGCTTGAGCCTTTGTTTCCTTCTGGTGAGACAGCGCAGTCGCGGGTAATTTCACCGAAGCCAGGTCTCGTGCCTGTGAGACTGGTTCCTGTCGGGGCGGTGACGAATAGTTGGCAGCGGTTTTGCGCCAGCACAGCGGGGGCAAGGAGGCCGAGGACCGAGAGGGGGAGGACGAGGAAGCTTGTGGCGTACATCTTGTGATTTCGAATGAGATGGTTGTGCGTCAGTGTGTTTATTGATTGAAGAAGAAGGCTTTCGGATGAAGCTTTGAAGTTGTAGGAGGACAATGCAGAAGTTCTGTAGATAGAAGAGACAATGTTATGACGATGAAGAAAAGACTTTTACCTGACTGTAGCTCACTCTTATAGAATAATCATCCACCCTGGCGGTGGCCACAGTCCACTCCCCGAATCAGGCCACTTTCAATCCATCCGATACATCAAACTCGGAAAGCTTCGACTTTCCATTCAAGGAATTGGAATAAGCAGCAGGCAGGACGAGGAATTGCGTCAGTGAGCCGTTTCAGAAGCTCAGGATGAAAACAGATGAAATCCAACCGAGAAAAGAGGACCAGGGGCAGATCGAGCAGGTCATGAGCAGTATCAAGATTGCGAAAGGAGAGAAAGGCTGGTGGCAATGACACGCTCAACGACGCGAAGTCGTTTTGAAGGATTGAAGGCCGAACACCAATTGAAAGGAGATGGCTTTTCGGCCTGTCGGCTCATACCGTGCCATGCTCTGGCATCAAGGGGGAAGCTGATTCATCGCACAATGAAATGAGAGGCAAAACCGTCGGAGGAATAAGGCCGAAGGAGGATTCTGTCAGACAAAAAGCTAGGTTACGGGCATGTGAGGGCCGCGGCCCTTTTGGTCAAGCAGATTCGTTCTTTGTGTGAAGCACAAACCCACAAAGTCTCAATTGGCTTCCTTCATCTAGCCCACGAAACTCATCAGGCCACTTATTCGTGGGACGTGAAACTTGGTCATGGTCGAATGTCTTGCAATCTGGCCCGTTATCAGAAAACACAATGAAACCAAAGTAGCGCTGGGGTGAATTGTTGGTGTCAGGGATCGAGGCATGACTCAGAATCACTGAGAAGATGGAATTCCGAATAGATCTCGAGGGACCCTCAGACGAAATGAGACTCGTCTATATTGGTAGAGGGCATAGGAAAGGATTATGGCAGATGAAGAGTTGTTGTCTTTGTCTCGACACCCAGCCCTCTGCTCGGATTTCGTTTACCCGTTCTGGGTGCCTTCGGACCGCCCCAAAGGGGCCAAGCGGGTAATGCGCCATACCAGTACTAGTAAAGAAAGGGGTAGTGTGCCAAGGCAAGTTATCAGAAACCGGTGCACTTGCCTCTTCTGGTCTTGGTCCCCACCACCAGGCAATCCGTGGATGAGCGGCTATACTCAGCAAAGTGACTACATTCTTTACTTATGGTGATAGTAAAATGAAGTTATCAGGTAGGAAATGGATGTCGAAGATTCAGTTATGTCATCTGAGACCCGGGGTTTTGGGGGTGGAGAGCAGCAAGCGGACGGGAAAGAAGTTGAGGGCGTATTATTGTCTCCATTGGGTACTGCGTAAGCGGGAGGGTGTGGGGGGCCAAATATAACATGACACGAGCAGGTACTGGATTGAATCGTCAATGATACTATGATGGTGGTCAGCAGATTGGATTTGGATGCTGCTGGTGCTGGTTGACCTCCAGAGTGGGAAAGGCAGCCTCCATACCACCATACCATCACGATTCCTGTCATCATGTTATGGTCTCGTGCGTGCTTGACACCTGACGAAGATGAGGTGGCTGCCTACCTCCAAGGACTGTCGATTAATAGATGTTGATCTTCTGAGAGGGCCTATATAGCGGGCAGAGGCAATGATTGGCATGTCCATTGATAGAGGGACGAAATGACATCCTACATGGATGACTATTCTGTTCTGGAAAAATTAAAATGTCATACAATTTCATATCTCATATCAAGTTCTCATTATAAAGACTTAAAATAACAATGTATAGAGAAATCAGAGAGGGTCGTCAAGGCATGTTCAGAGCTCCAATCCTTCCAGCGCTTCTAAGAATCCATCCAGGGCAAAAGCACCAAGCACGCCTTTTGTGGCACTACGCCCCAGGTTTTTGTGCTTCCGATTGCGCTCCGCCTTCTTTAGCTCTTCGATCGACCGCTGGCTGTGGACACTATGTCCAGAGTGCCGAGAAGGCGATCGGGGTCGTTTTTCCTCCCGAGAGAAGGGTCTCTGCTGAGGGGCCACTGGCACCCGATATCCCTGAGGTGGCATGTACCTGGGAGGATATTGTTGAGGGTTGTTGTAGTGACCTTGGTACGCAGGAGGGTGAAGGGATGAATTCGGATTGGGCGAGTATGGGCTATGCGGCGCGTATGGATTTGGTGCGTTAGAGGTGTGAACTGGTGGTAGGGGGGAAGTGTAAGCATGAGAGTATTGAGTCTGCACTGGAGTGGTCATCGGTCGATGGGCTCCCGGCGATCGAGGTGCGGATATGGAGGATCTAGGTGGCGACTGCGGCGTGCCGTTGGGGGAACTATTATTTCTACCACCAGCATTTGCTCTGGCATCGCCACCATTTCCGTACATAGGGGGTGGATTTGGTCTTTGAGCAAGATAGCGGGATCTCTTGTCGTTGCTGCTGTCTGCATAACTACTTCGTCTTTGACGGGGTTGATCGCGTTCCGAGTCTGAGGTTTCCGTGCTTGAATCAATCACATGTCGGCTTGGAGGAGGCTTCTTTGGCCTTCGAGGTCCTTGATTGTCCTCGGCATCACTGCTTTCCACACTAATGGACGGTTGCAGCCCAGCATACTTCTTCCTGAGTTTGGCCGCTTCTTGCTTCGCAGCGGCCGAGTGAGGCTTCCGCCAATCGGTGGTGGTGCCCTCCAGATAGTACCCTCCGGAGCTGTCTTCTCTGTCATGAAAATCGTTGTATTGTCTTGCTTTTTCTTCATCGGATTCGTAGAGATTATGGACAGACGGCATATAACGGGAACCAAGTCGAACGCCTTGTCGGTCACGAGCCTCCTGCCACCTGGTCCATCTCCCGAGAAGAGGGTCGATGACGCTCTCGGAGACCCTCAACATCTCCCTCGGAGATTCCCGAATCTGGTTCAAGGTGGCGTCAAGCTCGCCCAGTGAGACAATAGGGAGCTTGATCAATGCTGTGGATATGCTATATTCTGGCGGGGCCTCTATAGCGAGCTGCGAATTTTCGGCATTGCCATTGTTTCTCCCTTCAATCTGCTTCTTGCGGTCTTCGGCTTCCTCATGTTCTGCTGCGGTATAGAGACGATCTAAGCGATTGATCTGCCAGTAACGAACGATGACCAAGTTCTGCGTTTCCGCTCGCTCTTGGGCAATTATATCATTTTTAACAGCAACTTCTTCTTTCTGCTCACTGCACATCAGATCAGCCATATGCACATCAGAAGTGACATTTCCAAACATCGATTCAGTAGAACAAGTCCAACTTAAACAGGCATGGGTGGGACACGCATACCTTTGGGGTGTTGCGGCCATCAGCTTGCCCAGCTGCAGAATCTGCAGCATCAGTAGAAGACTCATTTTCAGAGACTCCAACTGCGCCAACAAATACTGCACGCGGGCCTTCTTGAAGCACCACTTGAATCTCTGTTGTATTGATGGTGATAAAGATCCATCACTTTTCCGGCTGGTGACCTTATCTAGCATTTCCCGTATCTCATCGAATACCTTTTCACATTCAATTGAAATCTCTTGTGCAGTTTCCAGGGCTTCCGAGGAGTGTACGGAGTCTGATGCTTGTAAGGCCTGTCCGACTTGCTTGAGCATCAAGGAGAAGAGAGTGACGCTTTTCGATATGCTGTGTATCTCCATGCCCGCCGACGCAATCTCGCAGCCAACAGCATTTAGAAGGAGGGACAGACGGAATCCGACGCCGGCAACGCCAAAGACAGAGGCGACGATTCCTTGAGGAACGAGGCATCAGCATCAGCGGTTTGCAAGGATGGCTTGGGGAGTCGTCAATACCTATTTCAGCCATACTTGGAGACGGCTATCTCGGATTGAACGAGCGAACTCTTCGACCCGCTTGGGAGTGGTATGCAGTCCTGAATATACTGGCAAGCTGGTAGTTGTTGATGAGGCTCTTGAAAGACATGACAACAAACAACTAACCAGCTGTTAAGAAGTATTGAACGGGGTTGGACTCGGGCAATGGATCGCATCACCAGCTGCATGGCTATGATGGGGACAGCCCTGCCGGCCTTGGGGCAGAAGAAGAGAATAGATTGGTCATAACTCCTCCACCCTGCGCCCCCCTCTGCTGGTGCGCTTTTTCCTGTATCCTTATTTGCAGTCGCCACATGCATTGACACGACAGCTCTGACATTCCAAGAAAGCTATTCGACGACCTTGCAGCATAATCCGCCGGCTATGAAAGTGTGCTAGTGCAGTCATATATTCCGTGGAGGCGCAAGGCAGACTCCAAATTTCTTGCCCACACTGTGTAACCATCACTTCTAAGTTACAGCAATCTGCAAAATTGGACACGAGCACTCCCCGCATCCGGCTAAATGAAGATACTTGCAGCCCTCCCTGTGCCCGACTTACCCGTGGAACGATTGCAACAAGATAAAAACACGCCCATCGCTCCCATAAATGCCTTACATTTACGAAGCAGTAGCTTGATAGTCAGTCAGCGATAGCTATAGCATTATTTAGCACAGCTTTTCTAAAGGTTTACGGACACTCCTTTCTCCATATTCCAGTCAGAAACGAGCTGGCTGGTATTACTGAGTCATTGATTTACGAGAGAGGAATGAGAGAAAATCAACAAGACTTGTGCAGCTTCAAATCACCGAAAGCAGTCCAATAATAGCAATATGCTCTAAACATGCACCGCATATGCTTGCGAGCAGCATTTGCGAAGCAGAATGACACTACCCATCTAAGATGACAATAAGTAGCACCAGACTACGACTGGTTCTTTCAATTCTTCAACTCCAAGATGGCTTCTGGTGGCGCATTCTCCCCAACAGTTCATTTGTTCATTCTATGAACTACTATCTCAATTGCTCTATCTCTTTTGGTTTGACGAAAGGTCCGAACCCAGAAGCACTCGCTTGTCCTTTCTGTCCTCTCCTAGCTCTGTCTAGCTTCCTTCATGCATCTGTCAATTCGGTACCGAACGAGTGTGGATGAGATGGCATTGTGGGCAATGAGACTCGATCCAGCTCTTCGCTCTATTGCCAAAGAAGGGCACTGTTCAAGGGAAGCTGTGCAGTGCGTTACTGTCATGGTCTGAAACATATCTATCAACGCCAGCATGCACAAACCGCTTCTCCATGAAGAGCCAGCCATTATTCATTATATCGTCATGCAAGAACAAATTGAACATCAAGAGTGGTTTGCCACTCACTATTGCATGTGCTTGGCGCCCTCTCGTTTTGACTACTATTCTGCGAAGAAGAGTGAGACCATGAGAGCGCTAATAGGAAGTGGACCCATTTCGTTTTAGCCTTTTCCAGGTGTTGCCTGTTATTGGTTTTCAGATACCATCTAGATCGTTTAGATGAGCCACATTATCCTGGTTCTATACGTGAACATTGGGCATCTCGGCATCTGATCTCCAGTAGCAGCCCCACCTTTTATTACCAAGCTCCAGGGTTTCCACATATGTGGCTCCAATCCAATCTGTTGAGAAGATAGATTTTGCATTGAGTCGATCTTGATATCTGCAAAGATGACATTACTCGCAGATTCTAGACCCTGCCTCCACGGGCCAACAAGACTATCAATGATCAGAGGAGCCACCTCGCTTACATGAGAGGTTTCTCTTTCAGAAGCGAGCTGTACGTCGTTCACGGTAAGCATCAAGGTCGGCATATCTCGTTGGAAACCTCCCTCTTCCCCCTCTCCCCCGAGTCTTCAAATTTTCCTGCTCTTGCCCTAGCACATAGTTTCGTTTACGTCTAGTCAGCATGCGAGAAACAATCTCGCGGCAGGATACCAATGGCATCAATGGTATCAATGGCTCAACAGACTCCTATGCCGACAACCTTGAGGTTGACTGCCTGATCATTGGGGCCGGCTTCGGCGGCGTCTATCTCCTTCATCATCTTCGCAAGATGGGCTACGACTGCAAGATATACGAGGCGGGTAAAGATCTAGGTGGCATCTGGCACTGGAACTGCTATCCTGGAGCTCGCGTTGATTCCCAAGTACCTATTTACGAATACTCCATGCCGGAAGTGTGGAAAGACTGGACGTGGTCTGAGGCGTACCCAGGTTCGGATGAGCTGCGAGCATACTTCAAACACGTCGACAAAGTGCTCGATATCAAGAAGGATGTTGCATTCGACTCGTGCGTGGTAGGTGCAAACTTCGACCAGTCAGCCGGTAAATGGATTGTGAGAACTGAAGACGGCCGCACTGCAAGGAGCCGTTTCCTTATCATTGCAACAGGCTATGCTGCCAAGCGTCATTTCCCTGGCTGGAAAGGCATGGACACATTCAAGGGCGTAATGCACCATTCGTCCTTCTGGCCAAGTGAGGGCGTCGACGTCAATGGCAAGCGCGTCGCCGTCGTCGGAACAGGCTCATCAGGTGTACAGCTTACGCAAGCAACGGCAAAGGAAGCCGCCTCAGTGATCGTGTTCCAAAGGACCCCCAACCTAGCCCTACCTATGGCGCAACGCTCGCTCACCAAGGAACAGCAAGAAAAGAAAGGTTACCCGGAACTCTTCTCCGAACGCATGAAAGGTTTCGCAGGATTCCCGTTCGACTTCGTCAAACGCAACACCCTAGATGACACCCCGGAACAACGCGAAGCCTTCTACGAAAAACTCTGGCAAGCCGGGGGTTTCGGATTCTGGCTCGGCACTTATCAGGACATGCTCTTCTCCCACGCGGCCAACCGCGAAGCCTACAACTTCTGGGCCAAGAAGACGCGGGCACGCATCCAGGACCCGCGGAAACGTGACCTCCTTGCCCCGCTCGAACCCATTCACCCCTTTGGCACCAAACGACCGAGCTTGGAACAAGACTACTACGAGCAATTCAACAAGCCGAATGTCGACATTGTGGATGTGCGCCCCAACCCGATCAAAGAATTCGTCCCTGAAGGCCTCGTTACAGAGGACGGCAAACTGCACGAATTCGATGTCATTGTCCTAGCCACGGGTTTCGACGCCCTAACCGGCGGAATGAAAAACATGGGCCTCCGCTCCACCTCAGGCGAGACCCTTTCTGACACCTGGAAGTCAGGGACGTGGTCCTACCTCGGCATGACCTGCCACAACTACCCGAACATGTTCTTCCTCTACGGGCCCCAGGGGCCAAGCGCTTTCGCCAACGGTCCAACCTGTGTCGAGGCTCAGGGCGACTGGATCAGGAGCGCTATTGCGAAGATTGACAAGGAGGGAATCAAGAGTATTGATCCGACGAGGGAGGCGGAGGAGGAGTGGAAGAGGAAGGTGAAGGAGTTGGGTGACAAGTCGTTGTTTCCCAAAGCGAAATCTTGGTATGTACTCCGACTTACGTCTTTTTGACTTATCCTTTCCTGGGTTTGTTTGGTCGCTCTATCATGTTCTTTGTCTGCTTGCTCTCAATACGGGGTTTCTGGCTAACGAGCGTTCCATTTTCAAGGTACATGGGAGATAATGTGCCCGGGAAGGCGAGGGAATTGCTTAGCTTTACGGGAGGGCTTCCGTTGTACATGGAGGAATGTGAGAGAACTTTAGAGGGATGGAAAGGCTTTACCGTCGTCAGTGCATAGACTCGATAGATGGAGTGAGCTTGTGTCTAGTCTGGTTTGTAGAGCTCGAATACACGGCAAGATGGGGTTGGTAGCAGCCTGGTGCTCCTTAAGATCAATGATACTCACATCGGAATAGTTCTGGGATGGATGTGGGTATGCGTACGCTGTCTTTGATCTGGACATTAGACCTCAGGTGTCTTGAGAGGAGAGACATGTCCGCGCCGTAGGGCACATCAAACCCACATCTTGTAAGAGCACCCACTATAGACTTTTGTTCAGTTCGGACCGACAATGTGTGACTAGTATGTTATATGTTGAGCTAAGTAGGGGCCAACCATGTCGAGGGGGGAGAGAATTGGGGTATATATATCGTAAGGGAGGGAATGTTGACACGGCTTGAGGATGCCTGTCCACGACAGGTTGTGGATTATGATCACAATCCAAGAAGGCTGAAGGTATCGTAGCTGGAGTAGAAATGTGTTGTGATACGTTGAAGCCTGTATATTAGGTCTATATATCAATACTAGGTGGTCGGCTTCGAACCTCATACACCATGTTGGTACCTTGGTCTCAGCTCTTACTCATGGCTCGAGCACCCCAAAGGTCATTGCTCGGAAGATGGTAAACGAGGGTGTTTCCTTCAAGGATTGGCCATTTGCTCGTCCAAAAATCGGGTCAGGCTGCTGAGGACCAAGTCCACCACCGGAGGGGGTGATGATGCCAGAGCAGCCACAGCAACAACAAACATCCCGAGGCGTACAAAAACTTACTCAGTGAAGCAAATACCCTCCCTCGATAGGCAGCGGCACGCCAGTCATCCATCTAACATCCTCACTTGCCAGTACGACCGCCATTCTCGCCACATCCTCCACTCTGCCCATCCCGCCAAAAGGATGCTTACCCGAGATTTCCGTCACCACCCCCGGTTGACTCTGCAGATTCTGTGTCATCGAAGTATGCAAGAATCCGGGACAAAGGGCATTGCAGTGGATCCTATCCTGGGCATAATCCAGCGCGACTTGTTTGGTCAACATAACCGCCGCGCCTTTGCTGGCACAGTAAGATGGGGTGCCGTAGTACGGAACTAGGCCTTGGACAGAGGCCGTGTTGATTATCCAGCCGCGAGAAGGTGGAGAGGTATCATCAGCAGATGAATTCTGCAGAGGGTCCTGCTCTAACATCTGCTTCACGGCGTATTTGCACCCCAGAAATATGCCCTTGGCATTGACTGCCATGGTATTGTCGTAGTCTTCTTCCTCGGTCTCGTGTATCCTCATCACCTTGGTATGGGTACTCTCGACCGATATCCCAGCATTGTTGACCATGATGTCGAGCCTGCCGAATTGCTTGATGCATGCCTGAATAGCGGCTTCGACATCTTCAGCAAGGGTGACATTGGCGCGAATAAAGATGGCGCGTACGATATTCCCACCATAGGTCTGTTGAAGGTGCTCGTGCGTCGATTGCTGGTCTGATAGGCGGTTGTGGAATGAGTCCGCTTTGCCGGTTGAGGCGTTAATCGGGTTTCGCGGGGTAGGGTACAGGTCAACGCAGCAGACGTTCGCCCCTTCACGGGCGTAGGCGGTCGCTATGGCGGCGCCCAGGCCGGATGAGGTGCCTGTAATGAGAGCGGTTTTGTTGTGAAGGCGTCCGGGCATGGCAACGAGATTGGGAAGGGATGACGTCGGGCTAGTTGGGTGTCACACAATAAACACAGTTAACACAGATAGTTATGGCTAATTGTATCTATTTTACTAAGGTACTAGATGGAGTTGATACGGTCTAATGTAAATATCTTCTGTTTATCATCCTAATCTATCCACACTCGTGTCCACTTGATACGTAGTACAGACCTTGATCGTCCCTCCTTTCTTCTGATGCGCTTGGTTGAGGATAGTCACTGCCCGAATCGCGCAGTTCTTAACCGCGCCTTTACCACCACAACTGAAAATCAATCTAGACGTTTGCTGGACATTCAAAGGAGTCCTTGGGCCGGTGCTCTCGCTGAACTTCTGGAGGCGTTGGAAAGAATGGAGTTCTGACGATATACGGCAGTCTGCAACGGGTGGATCACTACATCTACTGAATATTCTGATGACAATGAGTTATGGGATTGCTTGGACGACCTCAACGAGCCAATGAAACTGGGAGCAGAACGTACATCATAATGATGATTATGAAAGGGACACCAGGATAATGTAATCAAAAGTCTGTTGCCAACATTGCTGAGTATGGGATTTCCCAGCTTGGCGATGTGTCGTACGACAAAACTTGGCAGGCCCGTTACGTCACTTTCATGTGAATAATCCGCAGCTTCGAATGCCAGCCTGCCGCCCGCCTGCCGCCAGCCTGCTGCCACGTCTTAAAATTCGATTATTGGATCTACAACCTTCCACTCAGTGTCTTCAAAAAGTAGGCTCTCAACCTCCCCACAAGCTTTATTCTAGCTGTGAGATTGTTGATTACCTTCATTGAACAATCGAAAGGCCTTGCATCATCATTTCGCCAACTCAGGGCACACATACTGTAAACCACCAAAATGACTCTCTACTACAGTTTGGTAACACTTCCCATTTCTCCCCAGCTACGCACTGTTCGGCATTCACAAGGATGCCTTCCCTTATTTACTCGCCGGTTGTGCCCATCGAGACTTGTCTCTCCACATCGCTGACCGTGCTACTTGCAGGTTTTCCTCCTACTGGTGGCAGAGATGGTGGTCTTTGTTGGCCTCATCATCCCCCTACCCTATAAATTGAAGAAGGGGCTCTTCACCTTTATCTCTGAGAGCCCGCTAGTGGCTAAAATTCAATATGCTATGAAGGTGCGAGATCCAGCGAGATCCGGTTTTTTACCTAGACTGACAGCGCGCCCACGCAGATCACGTTCATTTTCATTCTCATTCTGTTTCTTGACAGTGTAAACCGAGTCTACCGAGTTCAGGTTGAACTCGCAGCTTATTCAAAGGATGGAAGCGGCGCAGGGTAAGCTAGACCTTCCTTTTCCCCGGCTTCACTTCCCTGTGACGATTAGGATGAGTCTAATCGCCTAACACCTAAGTCGTAGGGCCGCTGCTCTCGGATCTGAACGCATGGAAGTGCAAGCTCGAAAGTTCTATTCTCAACGCAACATGTACCTTTGCGGCTTCACGCTGTTCCTGTCACTCATCCTCAACCAGACTTATGTCATGATCCTTAACGTGCTTCGCCTTGAAGAGAAGCTCAAGATGTATGAGGGCGATCCACGAGCTGGTGGAAAGAGTGCCGAGAAGCTAGACCGCGCAGGTGAATCTGGTGAGATCGGCAGCCTCAAAAAGGATCTTCACAAGAAAGATAAGGAGTTGCAAGCTATGAAGAGTCAGGCAGAAGGATTGCAAAAGGAGTATGACCAACTAAGCGTCAAGTACAACCAAATGAACCCGGACAACAACACACCCAAGAAGGATAGGTAAAGGGCCAACCCAACCCGGAGCAGAGGTTTCGAGAGCTCGGCCATCAAACACTGGCTCTGCGCATTCTACGACATAGACACGGTCGCTTTGAGGAAACCTGACATGTGTAGGCCAACGGTACACTCGGATGATTGGGATAGGTAGGCAAGGAGGCTTCTTAGGACGGACTGCTCGGAGATTCTAAAGGTCTACATTGCGATGTACCAGGCATTAGACGTCACTAAAAAGCATGACTACCATGCGCAAAACACTAGGGGTCTTCTAACGACTCAATCAATGACTTCCAACAAAAGCCTCGATGCGCCAGTATGATGCCATTCGCAACGTACTTCGTCCACAGTGTCTGTTGCTGCATGTGCCTCGAACGATAGGATATTACCATCTAACTTCTACCTCGACCTTACCCTTAGCTTTGCATCCTGATTGTTGGCCAGGGTGGGTAATGGAATCATTTGAGGGACGAATTTAACTAATTATTACTACACCTGCGGAAATACTCTATCATCCGCAAGTCTTTTCTCGTCTCAGGCGCCAAGCCCAGCAGCTTTCCCGATGTCTTGGCATTTCCCCAGACGGCCAAAAAAAGGATCCAGGATTGAACACCTTCTGGCAATGCAACTATCGCCACCGATGCATTCATTCATACTACCGCGCATTCTCTCTGAAGCCTGGACCGTACGGCAAACCGAACGAACCTTGCGAGAAGTTCTTAAACGCCAAAATGCGGTTGCTTCTCGGAACCGAAATATGTACGGACCATTACATCCGCCCAGCCAGTGTAAATAGATGTGGTAATATCATGCCCTTTCCGTGTCACGATAGAAAATTGTGCTGTTCGTCGTCTCATCCTTTGTCCTCGAAAGTTTGCATGCTCTTGTCTCATCTTGTTGTTTGCATTTTACGAGTTTTCTGACTAGCCATTTCAACCTCTTGTACTGTACTGGCAGATGTCACCTAAATTATCCCAGGTCTGCTTTCACAAGAGTGAGACTGGATCGTCACCTAGCCCACCGAGAGCTCTATATCAGAGGTCGTCCAAATTTTTCATTGTTCTCACGGTTGCCTTTTCAATTTTTACCGTAGGTGCTACCCGAGCTTTCTGGTACAACCTATGGGCTAAGACAGACTCACCCAGGATATCTTCCTGTATGGCGTGGTAAGTACACCGTCGCATGCTTTGCCAGAGCACCTGCGCTCACCATCATGACAGATTGTACCAGTCATTCCTTTTGCGTTACACCATAGGATTGGCATTCCACCTGAAAGAGGTAAGATTAACCGCCTTCTCCAGATGTAGGCTTATGCTGTTGCAGTGCAAGCCTGGACATCAATTCTTCTCGCGACCTTTGGAGGTGCACTGCTTGTATGTTCTGGTAAGAAGTGTCTTATCAAATTCTTACCGCTCAACTACTAATCAATATGCAGTCTTCAGCGGCTGGCTTTGTGACAGGATCCATTTACGGAAATGGCCATTTCTTGGTGCGCTGTTGATACAAGGAGCAGCGACGTTGATGTTATGTCTGGCTACTTCTACAGCGGCACTGCTGACCGCTCGGATTCTCCAAGGCGCGTCTGGAGGCGTGGTATGGACAGTCTCCTTGACTATCATGACAGACAAGGTCGAATCTGCTGGATTGGGACAGGCCTTGGGCTACGTTGCCATCGCAAGGAGTCTTGGCGTTGTCATGGGCCCTCTGCTAGGTGGCGTATTATATGAGCGGACCGGCTACTACTCGGTGTTTGCCCTTTCATTCGTATTCCTCGCAATTGACGGCGTCTTCCGACTGTCGTTCATTGAGGCGCGCACAGCAAGCAAATGGTTGGCTACCAAGAACACGGAAGACCTAGCCGAGACCACTACCAAGAAGGAACCAAACAAGCCAGTGAGACGGGGATCCTCAATATCAGAAGCATCGCCATTCCGAAGATATGCACACCGAGTACATCGGCGCCTCCCCCCGGTCATTACTCTCTTAGCTGATCTTCGCCTAGATGTTGCTCTTTGGGGTAGTTTCCTGCAGGCTGTATTCATGTCAGGCTTTGACGCCACTATTCCCATCTTTGTTTCCCGAACCTTTGGTTGGAATTCCCTGGCTGCCGGTCTCATTTTTCTTGCCCTGGTCGTTCCCACGTGCATATCTCCAATCATTGGCTGGCTCAGCGACAAGCATGGGCCCCGATGGTACACCGCTGCTGGATATCTTCTCAGCGCAATCCCTCTGATATTGCTTCGATTGGTCGATCACGACAGTACCCAGCAGAAAGTACTACTTGGTGCTCTTCTCGCCCTCCTTGGAGCTTTTGGCACACTTTTCGAGATTCCGATCTGGGCTGAGATCTTCAGGTGTACAGAGATCTGGACCATGGCCAACCCTCGTCAATATAGCGCCGGTGGGGCTGTTGGCCAGGCATATGGCCTGTCAAACTTCTTCTACTCGCTTGGTTTTACTGTGGGTCCACTTCTTACAGGGTTCACCTACGAGGCTGCTGGTTGGAGCAATATGGTTCTCGTGTTAGGCATCACGTCTGTTGTCAGTACGATTCCAACAGTTCTTTGCACGGGTGGTTATATCTGGAGAAGGAAAACGGAACGTGTCGATGGTGTGTCAGATGGTGGTGTTGCTGGTAGTTAACAAAGAGGGAAAACGTCACCGTCTTATTTGAATGCTACTGTGCATTGCGAAAGTCTTGCGAATCCTTGGCGTTATATCGAACTGCCAATTCAGTTGCCGCCACAGTATTGTCAAACAGAAACAGCTCCATGAGGGTCATTTATCGATTAATATTATGTAACTCTATCAAATAAAATCTATATTATTATCTATTCATATCAAAAGAATGAAACGAAGCTCAGCATCATTTTGGTATATTGATACAAATCCATAGATGATCCTCAAGAGCTGTTTCTGTGTTGACAACGCTGTGGCGGCAATGTTCGATATAACGCCAAGGATTTGCAAGACTTTCGTAACACACTGTATTTATCCTAGCCATCCCCTCAGTAGGGGGTGCAGCATGCCTCGGTTACTCGAGTAGCGTGGTCGATCTTGTCACTTGATCTTGCCACAGCTTCTACACAAGCAGAGTAGTTTGAGCACATCTTTGGGAAGGAAGATCCCTAGTAGCAGGGCTTTTTCAGCTTTGTTGATCACCGGTTTCACATCCATGTACATTGAATGCTGGTGTGAAGGAGCGAGCTCCTGTAGGCAACCCCAATCTGCCTTCAATTTTGCTAAATACGCTAGTTGAGGCATTGGGTACAGAGGCGATAAGCACCAACGCAGATCGTGTCACGGAGCACACTGCAGTGTTTGCATGAGCATCTGACAAACAGAGAGCAAGCATCGAATGATCATTGACGATTGAAGCAAGTTCTTGGCCCAGCTAACTTCTCCATCCCTTTTGCCTTCGACTTGATATTGCCGACTTTGTGGCAAAACAGTAACGGTCACAGCTCTGCCAAACTGAGTCGATATACAAAGCATAACACAGGATGCACAGAGAATGCCCCATTATCTGCGGCAAGAGGCACAATCAAGCAGTACACCGTAGGCTCCGACACCCCTGTACGGACCAATTCCAAGCGACCGACATCATATCTGACTTCTCGCTGTTCACCCAGACCATCCAGTACAAAAGCGAGCGGAACAAGAGTCACTCCTTTCCACCCTGTTAGTCACTGTCGTCATTATCGGCATACCGACGTGCACGATGCCTTTTTGCTTGCTTTTCCTGTTCTTGTCGCATCTTGTAGGGATCAAAGTCTTCATCGGTTTCATCAAGCTCGCCCGTGGCCCAGTCATCGGTGTAGTCTTTCCGCACAGCTCGAGAACGACGTTCCGGCTGTATGCGCTGCTTGTTTGCACCTGCTTTGGTAGGTGTGTCACCAAGGTCGGCGAGTGAGTCTGAGTCCGAGTCTGAATCTGAACCATTCCTATCATTGCCAGCTTTTTTGTCGAGTCCGCCCGTGGCGCCAGCAACATCAGCGATGGTAGATCGGGATCTGAACCTGGTAATAGAGGGCGGGGTGGGATAACCGTCATTGGTCTTCGTCGCTCCTCCTCTCTTGGTCTAGATATGGATCAGTGATGACCAACAGCTTGATGAAAGACTGGCCGTACCTTCTTGGTTTTGACCACTTCGTCATCGGTCGTATGCATCATGTCGTCCTCATCTGCCTCTTTCCTAGCTCGCTTCTTGGCTAATGGTGCAGAACGCTGGTCTCGACCAGTCTTTTGCCCCTTTGGTGGATAGTAGTTGGAGCATGAGATTTTGAAGTCAGGATGAACCAACCCTCTCTCGACAGCGTCCTTGGCAATGGCTCTGAGATGTTCGCTTATCATGCGAGCCGAGGGAGAAGGACCGACTGAGGGAGCTAAGTGATGTTAAAAGAGTGAAGCATGAATGAGATCAGGATGAGAGAGAGAAAGGGAGAGTCATACGCCATTCCTCAACTGTCTTGGCTGCATCAAGTGATTTTAGAGATTGCTGGGCTTCGATCACTTTGAGAAGCAGCTGTAATACGAGTCAAACGACGCGTCAGTCGATCGATGCACAAGATGGAGAAGCTGGCGGTTTCTTACCAGATTGTTACGCTCGAGCTTTGCTATTGGCGTGGCCATGCCGAAATACCAGCGCAATCCGTTGGCAGAGAGAAGAAGCAGGCACAGATATTGAATAGTGGGTGTGGGAAACTGGACGAAAGAACTTGTCTGAGCTGGGCTGGAATGTTCAAGATGGGGCTCACAGATTCAGAATGGTCTTGACGCGGTGCGATGTCTGGAGTATCAGCCAGCCTAAAAGGAAAGGTAGCCGTCGTATGCATTTCACGTGAACACCGGTCCAGAGACGCGAAATATTATTTGTCTTATAGGCTACCAATTTCACCTGCAATTGCCAAGATCCGTCAATAAGGGCCTTCAAAATAGGCTGTTGCTGGAAGAACACAATTCTACCGTTGGGTGCAGGTTTCATCAAGTGGAGCCTGCAGAATGCATATACACGAACATTACCTTACTACAGAAGATGAGCATCGTTCTCCCTTGTTGGTTTTGTCCCTAGTATATGTGTGGTTGATCTGGTGAATGGTTTCCAGGCATTGCCTTGGTTCACCATCGTCCTCTGCGTATAGCATAACTTAGCTCCATCGAGGGGAGTCGACACTATGAAATCTGTCCCGGCGCCCATGCTACTCATGGCCTCTCCTCGAAACCACATCCCAAAGCTCCTCGGTGTTCAACCACCCTCATGGACCAACAGAGGGAAAGGAAAAAGAACAAACCTCTTCCCATACCCAGGCTCAAATCCATTACCACTCTCTGCATCAAGGAAGGAGAAACCAAACCCTGGCCCCGAACCTGGAATCCAGGCACCCACGGATAGCTGGTAAGACTCATATCGGAAAGTCCCCCCCCCCTCCACGCAACAGTACGCTGTAACATCGCTCCACCCAGATATTTTTCCTGTCCACGGTAGAATTCTGCCAGAAGGGACAGTTTATACCTATATTACCCGGGGTGGAAATATTCTCCGCGGTACACTCGGTTGTCAACCTTACAAAGACAATGGATCTATCGTACTGTAGATCCCCAAGGTACATTCTTGCTACAAGAGTGTCCTGACCGTTGGTATCTTGATTGTTTGAAGAATCGCTGACAAAACCTTGGCAAGTCACGATGCATTTAATGTCTGGCCATTATTTGAAAACGAGGTCTTCTTTGTCGATGCCCGCGTGTCACGTATGACAATCTTGACCCGCTCGTCGAAACAGAATTGTTGTGGTCAAGACAAAAACATGTCTCGGATATCTTCGACCGAACATTGTTGCACAATACATGTCAAGCAGTCACTGACGCGGATAGGATGCATACACAATAGTAGAAGAGGGCTTAATACACAGATTCCTACGCATGAACAGAGCAGGATGGCTAAATTGGTCAAAATGTCCCAAAACACCAAGTATTATACTTGTATAGACATGACGATGATACAGAACTTAGCGTCACGCCCTGTATTATGACCACTACGGGGGGAGGCATAGGTAGTAAGTACCCGTGGCCCAATGGGTGGAGCCCTGGTAGGGCCCCACTTGCAGGGGGGGGGGCCCCCCTGGCAAGCCCGCGCGCAGCGCGTGGCCGACACCATAACGCATCAACACGCGTAACGCTCTTCTCGATTTTCTTCCAAATAGCGTGTATTCTTTTGTGTATAGCTCCACCACAACATGCCTGATTCGAATGAGGAGATAGATGAGCGCGTAGCAAATGCCGTACGAGATATTCTTGCAGAGCGTGAGGCAGGGGAGCGTCCTGTTATTGCAGAAAAGGCGCGCGAATATCGAGTGAGCAAATTTCGCGTTCAACGTCGATTAAAGGGCATAGGACCTCGTATAAGTCGAAAACCGAAGAACTATAAGCTGTCAGAGATACAGGAGCAAGCGCTTTTGCAATATATCTTATCATTGGATGAGATAGGCCAGTCGATACGCTATGATCATGTTAATAAGGTCGCAAATGAGATGCTCAAGGAGGATCATACAGAGAATTCTACAGCGCCTGTTGTAGGAGAACATTGGGTCAAACGCTTTCTAAATCGACATCCTGAGCTTCATAAAGCAAAGCAAAAGCCTCTAGAGCTTGAGAGAAAGCTTGCTCATGATCCTGATCTTATATCTAACTGGTTTGAGCGTTTTCGAGCGCTTCGAGAGGCGTACGGCGTATTTGATGATGATATTTGGAATTTCGACGAAACAGGCTTTCGAATAGGAGTAGGGAAGTCGCAATGGATAGTAACGTCTTCGCATGCAAAACGCCATTACTTGGTTTCGGATAACAACCGCGAATACGTAACTGCTATTGAGGCTGTGAGCGCTACAGGCATTGTCATTAAGCCGATGCTCATTCTGCCAGGGAAGGTCCATTTGGAGCGTTTCTATCGAGATCTCAAAAGGATGAAGTGCTTGTGGGATTGTCAGATACTGGATACGCAAATGACGAGCTTACCCTTGCGTATATTCAACATTTTGAACGCCAAAGTCGACGTACGAGAAAGGGTGCTTATCGAATTCTACTTTGTGATGGTTATAAGAGCCATTTAACGCAAGAGATACTCGAATTCTGCGAATTCTGGCATATCCATCTCTTTGTGTTCCCTCCACACACTACTCATTTTCTTCAGCCACTTGATGTAGTGCTATTTCAGCCATACAAGCACTGGCATGCTCAAGCTGTCAATCAAGCGACTCGTACAGGATGCAGCAAATTTGATAAGCTTGAATTTCTTACAGCTATCTATGGAATTCGTCAATCAACGTTCAAAAACAGCTCTATTCGTTCGTCATTTCGCGAATGTGGACTTATTCCATATAATCCACAGCTTGTGCTTGAAAAAGTCAAGGAATACCAGCCTCCTCCTCCTCCTCGACCTTCTACACCTCCTGAAACCGAATTTCAGCCTCCTACAACGCCTCTAACGCCTCAAGCACTTAAAAAGCAAGCTATTCGCTTAGAAAACGCAACTCCGAGTCGCTATAAATTAATAGCACAGAAATTCATCAAAGGGGCACAAATTCAAGTCAATACTGCTACACAAATTAAGAAGGATTTAGCAGCCTCTACAGCAGCTGAAAAAGAGCGAAGAGAACGAAGAATTCAATCTCAACGTCAGCTACAAAAAGGAGGAGTTCTATTGGCTTCGCAGGCTCGAAATATGGTCACACAGCGCGTAGAAGAGGGTGGTACACAGCTCCAGAGGGCCCTATGGCGAGAAGAAGACCTCCGAAAAGAGTTAGAAGATGAGCGCCGTAAGCTCTCAAATTTGCAGTGGAGCGTCGAAAATGGCTTCCCATTCGTTTTGACGAGTAATAGTTTCCTAATTGAGCGAATTCTATGCTGCCTATACCCATTCTACGTTGATTGTACGCATTTTGAGGAGCGTTACGGGTGTTGATGCGTTATGGTGTCGGCCACGCGCTGCGCGCGGGCTTGCCAGGGGGGCCCCCCCCCCTGCAAGTGGGGCCCTACCACTGCTCCACCTATTGGGCCACAGGTAACCTTAATGTCCTTATTTCTTATTCTGTTTACCCTTATAAGTCTAGGGGCTGCTTTTTCTTAATCCTTTCTACTAGTTTCTTTGCTTCCCCCTTGCACACTATACGCTTCTCTATTTTATCAGATATCTTGATTATGATTTCCTTCTCCTCTTTTCTAAGGGCGTTGCCTGTCTGTGCTAGGCGATAGGAGGTAATAAGTCTCAAGGAGCACTATGTCCTGTCGTCGGCTATGTTTCGCTTCGCCGCTGCAGCGTATGACGCTTTTAGGGGGCGTGCTTCCTAGTAAAGGTTCGCCTGAGGTAATTTCTGTTCCTTAATCTTTGTTAGCCTGTCCTTTATACTTTGGAGGATCGCCTTAGTAGATCTCGTTGATCCCTCTTCATCTCAAGCGCCTCTGGCGTCCTGCCCTCTTCCTTCCTCTAGTAGCTCTCACGCTTTATATAGTATATGTAACACTCGCGCATTACTATCACTATCATTCTCTTTTTCTGTTAAGTAATCTGAGATACTACTGATCGCTTTGTCTTCGAGTGTCTGTCATAATAGAATATTAATTAAGTAAGATCACCCATTGGGCCACGGGTAATCGTAGCACGGTGCTAAGAACAGCTAGTATCAAATACATCGCCACCACACTTTCTCGAAGCTGCTCTTGATTCTGTCCACACGATCGACCTGATACAGTACAGCTAGGCCACTATCGGTTTAGCATGAAAGTATATTAGCTGTTTTAGACACCTAATACTAGCGCCATGCTACGAATACTTATGCCAGGTACGGTAGTACGTAATAGCGCATTCAGATCGCGAACTAACGACACTTAACCCAGTAACCGTTATAGACCCGCTCCGCTGCTAAAGGGATCCCCTTTACGTAGTAGCAAAGGTTGTTGCCAATGGGCAGCAAGCTTCAGACTTCCAAGAAGGCGTCCAAGGGGCCTTTCATCCTTCTTTCAAGAGCGGTAGTGTATCCAAAGATTAGCTGATGGACTTCAAGGGCATTGCTCAGCCAATGAAGGATGATGGCCTGACTGGCTTCTTACAGTCCAGTTCTACTCTCGCGTATTCTCGTATTCAAATGCGCCCATTTTAGGACAACGCAGATCAACAATTCCTGCTAATGAGTAACGAGGCATATTTCTTTGCAAGTGACAGCCGTTGATTCGCTGGAGTCCCTCCATTGGCCAGGGAACAATACGACAATGCAAGCACGGCTTCAGATTTCTCGAGCACTCAGGGGCGGCAGCCCCTCCGATGATAAACATACCAGCCGTCCACTGGAACTCCACACTCTCTTCTTATTTTGATCGTCGAAAAGTTCATTTTCATCAGTCAAGCCATCTTTTATCGCTCCTTCACCGTTTTTAAAAATGTATCTTCTCGGCTCTTTTGTGACGGCGAACTGGATAGCACTGGTAACTGCGCAACAACAGGGCTATCTAGGCTTCAACTCTGGTGCCACCCTCGACAGTAGCAAGGCCAAGGAACAGGCTGATTTTGAGAGGGAGTTCCGCACCGCGCAGGGACTTCGATCATCTCCAGGCAGCTTCAACAGTGTCAGACTCTACACAAATGTCCAATCCGGCACGACAGACGCTCCTATTTCCGCGTTTCCTGCTGCTCTCGCGACCAACACTTCCATGCTTCTCGGCATCTGGTGTTCAGGGACGACAAGCATCAGGAACGAGTTGACCGCTCTGCAATCAGCTATCTCGCAGCATGGGCAGCCATTCGCAGATCTAGTCGTCGGCATCTCAGTCGGCAGCGAGGACCTCTACCGCATCTCCGAGAGTGGAATAGAAAACGAGGCGGGTATCGGTACTGGACCAGACGAGATTGTGGACTTTATCCAGGAGGTACGCTCGAGTATCGCCAATACAGCGCTGAGTCAGAAGCCTGTTGGTCATGTTGATTCGTGGAGTGCTTGGGCAAATTCGTCCAACTCCGCTGTCATCGAGGAGGCCGACTTTATCGGTACTGATCTGTACCCCTACTACGAGAAGGACAAGGGCAATACCTTCTCCAACGCCACCACCATCTTCGAATACATCTACAACGAGACACTATCTGCTGCAGGGAACAAGCCTGTCTGGATCACCGAGACTGGCTGGCCAGCCGAAGGCCCCATGTTTGGCCAGGCAGAGGCATCCATTGAAAACGCAAAGACATATTGGGATCAGATCGGTTGCGGCCTGTTCGGCAGGACCAATGTATGGTGGTACACTCTGCGCGACTCCAATCCAGCCAACAAGGAGAAATTTGCCATCACAGATGACTTGTCGACGACCCCCAAGTTCAATCTCAGCTGCCCTGCTGACAGTGGAGCGCCGGCGTCGATCAACAACGACGCGCAGTCTGCAGCAAGCATGGTCGGAAGTGATCCGTTGTTGTGGCCTATGAGCCTCTGTGCAGTCTTGGCAACTGTGGGCTGGCTAATCTAAAGCAAACAGATTTTCTACAGGCAATTGAACAGTGCTCCGCCTCCACTTCTTTCGACATGGCTCAACTGGACTCTAGGGATCGGACATCTGTGGACGCAAATATCGATATCAGGGCGTACGTCATTGCTTTAGAAGTTCATGGGCTGTGTTATACATCTGGTGATGCAGCATAATCTGATATAAGGTTTTATTTCCTTATGATGTACATAGCGCAAGCCATTTCTTCTGAGATTACTATGGCTGCTTGATAATTCAATGGGCAATGCTATGGGCAGTCTGTCCATGCAAACCTGGTCGCCATTCGCGCACTCTTACAAGTAGCCTTTACAACTTGATTTAAGCTTCGGGTAAGCCCGATGTGAGTCGGGGGAGAGTCTACACGCATATAAGACTTCCATTTGACTAATTTGTCAAATCTCAGAATGTTGATTCATGGATTTGGCTCATTTGATTAAATTGATTCAACTGGACACCCTGTGTGGAGGGAATGTGGGTGTCGAAGACTTGGGAAGGACTCCGAAAGCTCGTGCGGCAGATATTGGGCTGACGTAATAGAGATGTATGATCCCCCCAAAAATGCGTAGGATATGCCCTTGAGCTTTCCACGGCTCACTGATACGACCTCCGGCTTGTATGAATCTGAAAGCGAACGTTCTTCAGACGGTGATTCTTGAGCTCTCCTGACTTTGGTGCGCGTGAAGATCTGGAGTTGGGATCACGAGGCTGGGCAAAGGCTTATATGAACGGATGGTCAAGACTGGTGGAAGTGATTGAGAGATGGGTAAGAGAAGCTATGTACATAGAGCCAAATCAAAGCTCTCGATCTCAGGCCAATGAAAGCCAGAGGATGAAGCAAGCCCAAAAATTCGCTAATCCCTCGCTCCAAAGCTCATTTGTCCCGCAAAGCAAGGTGGTAGTGAAGTCTTGATGAACTGTGCTGACTAATCAAGTGGATAGTGTGTAAATAGCAAGTTGTTCTATCTAATTCAGTGCGCAGAGCGAGCATTTATACGTACAGAGTTGCTATATCAAGCGAAATAGCGCGAAACGCGGATACCAAAAATACATGCGGGCCTGAGGCAAAGCACGTATCAATTCTGTAACAAAACGCTAGTGACACACGTAGCAAAATAAGCGCAAACTGTATTTTTGAGTTCAACAAGTCTTCTTGAGATCGTTCCAAGAGCACATAAGAAAATAAGGAGCTGGTGGTGACCAGCCCTCCCAAAGAGTTCCAATAGAAATGTCAGCCAAAAAGCAACCCGCATACGCTCCCCCGATTTAGCTCTGAAGATGACTCAGAATGTGTAGAAAAGCTTGCAGTGATTTGGAATCAGCTCAGATTCTTGCTCTCAGCCAATCTGACATCGCTCCGTCTTGTAAAGTTGCTGACCAGATTTTCATCCTAAACTTACTTTGGATTGAGACGTCGTTCTACCTCCACCAAGGCCGATTCACAGGCGGCTTATTTTGCAGTCTTCTGCGTTATAGCGCACTGGTCCCAGAGCAATAAAGTCTGATCGTCAGGCTGATCGACTCTGATCGCCCACTGATCGTATTGCCGTTCCATAGTGAAACGGTATAAGGCTCTATCCGGGTCAATTAGCTCCTTGTCGATCACGTCGTATAGCCCATCGTATCTGAACCCATTTCTCGGCCGCCACGTGTTCTTTGGTGGCAGCTTCCACGACCGGAAGACTCGGACGGGTCGATCCTCTTTCTTTCTCTCTTCTTCTCTTTGCTGGTCTTCTCCTTCAATCTTAATCTTGTTAGACTTGACGTACCAGTCGTGACTGTCGAGGAGTAATTGAGTGTATGTTGATGGTTGGTCTCTTGAGCCGACCGTGCTGACGTATCCAATCTTATTCCCCTCATCCCAATCTGCGTACTCACCCTGGGTATTAGGGACGCTAAGAACAACAGACACTGCTCCTTGACCCGCGATACCCGATATTCCAGCCTCAGGAGAGCCATGGCCCCCGTCACGCATGATAGCGATATAGTAACGCCAGGTGACGCCAGGTACCAAGCCATTGTGACCGAAGCGATTCCAGGCAGGATTGTAGAATTTCCAGTTCTTGTTCAGACTTCTGCTGATACAGTCATTCTTGTAAGCAATATTGAGCCCGCGAAGTGGATCTGCCAGATTCCAGTCACCCATTTGCCATCTTGACTTGAGCCAAACGACGTCCGCCCGGATGTCCTCAGGTACGCGGCGGTAACTGATATTGTTCTTCACAATCCAGCGGGAGAAATTCGAGAAGATCTCCAGTATGTTAGACAATGTTAGAATCCCTTCATCTATACTGAAGCATCGCATATCGCTTAACCATTTGCGCATATGTTGATGGATGTCGGGGAAGTCTGCATGACTGTCCTGCAATCTCAGGGCAAGTTTCTCGAAATACTGCACAGTCAGGATGATCTCATGCATATCCTTCGAAATGTGTGTGTTGATGAGAGGCCTAAAATATGTTAGCGAGCGATCCTGATCGTGGCGAAGAAAGTGAAGCAACCCTATGTGCCCCCAGGCACTGTCGTGACTTGGCTTTGGTGCAGGAACTAGCGAGCGGCAATCTTGTTCGCCCGGGGGCTTGCAAGGGCAATTCGTCGAGATCGCGCATATACATACGGCAGCCGGCAGAAGCTCGCCATTGTGCCTACGATAGTGTAGTTTCGGCTTCGAAACTCCGCAGAAATCGGTTAGTTTTCGAGATCTTGCCGCATTCCGTGTCTTTGAGTCCATTCTTCCAAAGGCAGAGTCATGAGCGTTGGCCGGTATTCCATAAATAGCCCGTATTTCAGCGAGGGTCAATCCATGGTGTGAACCTGGTGCTGCCATTTGGTGATGAAGTCCGGAATTTGGATGGTGTCTCAAGTTTATTTGACCCAGCCTGATCCAAAAGACAATCATATCAGCCTTACACGTCTATACCTTGTACACCAGACGATACATAGGGAGAGTCGTAGCCATCCCCAGATTCTGTGATCATGAGTACCCACCAATAGACAACAGGATAAGTGGTTTCCAAGGTAGAAATAAGAAATCATACGTGAAACAAAGGCGAATGTGCTGAGGCAGTTGAGTATAGTAGCATGGGTCAGAAGAGTTGTGCTTTGAGTACTGGGTGAGATGGTGGAAGCTCATTCACCAAAGGAGGGGTATGGTTGAAACACACCTCAATTGTTGGGAGTATAGTTTGGATGAGACGGTTTCTCTTGATAACTGCTTATGATGAAGCAATGCCAGATCGAGTACGGCAGCTCAGTGGAGATCAAGCGTATGTTGATGAACAGGAGAAGATAAGACGAACCGAATCTTGGAGGAGTACAGATAACTTACTGAAGTATGAGACGAGTAGAGATACTGAAGAAGATGAGATGTAATGAGCAAAGGTAGTATGAGTCGAAGTAATATGGAGAAAGAAGGGTGTGAGAATGAGAAGGAAGGAGAAGTATATCAAGGTCTTAATCAAATATGAAATGTGATGAGACCTCACTAGCCGGATTCAGCGATATCGGAGTAGGGATAAAAAGCAGTGGTCAAGTCGAAGACAATGTTCGAGGCCAACGAGGGCAAAGGGAGCCATGGACTTCACGAAGAAGTATTCGATCTTAGATTTGTTCGAGGGAACGTAACCTGAACAAAATGATATCCATAGGTGAATGCCATGTCATGCCACTTTAGCCATTTTCCGATGGAGATAAATCGTGGAGGAGAGGCGCAGTCACCGAGATAGCTCTTGATGATCCCTTTTGGAGTGATGGATCATGGGCCACTTGAGGAGGAGCGGTAGCCATCTCTGTCTTTCTACCCAAGAGCGTGGTGAGGTGTCTGAAGTAGACGTCACAAATGGATATCTCTGCTGATGGCAGCTACTCCAGACACTTTGAGCACCAAACCAACATCCCCACCCTCCCTTAGCGTGGTGTCTGCTTCACCACACAAAGTTCAAGATAGGGAAGACGAAAGTCGCTAGATATGGTTAGCGTTGGACCCCGAACTCTGGACCAGAACGCCAAGCCAAATCAACAAGCATTTTGCTTATCAGATGCTTGTAGTGCCAGTTCTCTTTGCCAGTGTATTTTGAGTTAGTCAGAGTAATCGCATGAATTGCCTGGAGTTATGTCGAAACATATAGCTAAGGACGTGACCGATTGATCCAGGCAGCCTTTCCATGAAATCCTCGATTGCATCAACATTGAGACACTAGCCGAAGAGGACATAATTGCACCGTCATGGTCAGCCATCAACAACTCCATGCGATATTTGAGATCAGTATCAGGGTCAAGATGTAGGTTGCTCAACACTTCAAGGCCCAACCGATATGATCAGATACCTTCTATCAGAGGCAACTCACCTCCTCTCCCTTCACAGCTCCGGACGTTGACCCTTTCTTCCATATCGGCGATCTTGCTCCCACCAGCCGTCTTCGGCGGCCTCGTCCTAACGCTATGGACATACAAATGCATCATGATGGTTGTGTTCCAAAACAAGATCATTTATATGCCCTCTGTACCGCCATTCTCTAGGTCCGACAAAGTGACAGACTATATCAACCAATGCAGGCCTGTTGTCTGGAAAGAGCATGATCTGAGAGCAGCGGATGGCACAGCACTGAAGCTGCTTGAGGGTGGTGTCGACCTGGCTGCTAAGCATCGAAAGCGTGTAACTGTTCTCTACTTTCAAGGGAATGCATCGTCTCTGCCTCCTCGGCTGCCATATCTCTCTGCCGTGCTCAAGGCTCTGGACGCAGCTGGAGACCAAACCAGCGAGCACAGAGGCTACAGCATTTACGCGCTCTCATACCGCGGCTTCTGGACCTCCCGTGGCAGGGCGTCTCAATCAGGCATTGAGCTGGACGCTCAAGCAGCCTTGACTTGGCTGATTCAAAACGTGCGCCAAGATCCGCACATTGACACCACGTTCGTCCTCTGGGGCCAATCAATCGGAGCCGGCGTAGCCACAACAGCACTTGCCACGCTGCTTACACAGCAGTACCTGAATGCTGCTGGACAACAACACCAAAAGCTGCTTAATATCCACAGTCTCGTCCTCGAAACGCCTTTCCTTTCCATCCGCTCTATGCTTACTGCCCTCTATCCTCAGAAATATCTCCCCTACCGCTATCTCTGGCCGTTCCTCCGCTCAACCTGGGATAGCGGACTCGCTGTCAAGAAGATTGCTGTAGCCGCCACCGCTGCTGCTGCTGGCCCCGCCGCGTCACACCCAAAGCCGAATCCCAGTTCCCACAACGGACCGTCAGCCATGGTTGTGACACCGATCGTAAGGAAGGTCCTCATCCTCCAAGCCGGCAGAGATGAGATCGTCCCAGCAGAGCAATCTGAAGCTCTGGAGAGGATATGCAGGGAGAACTTACCTAGCGCTATTGAGGTAGAGAGGGTGATTGTTGCAGGCGCGCTGCACACGGAGGTGATGGCTAAGCCGCAGGGAAGGGGAGCTGTGGTGCGGCATCTGCGGGCGGCTGCTGAGAACCATTAGGCGGCTGTTAGGGTCAAGTTGAGGATGGTCGAGCAGCGTAGAGCTTAGAGATGGAGCAGCAGTGGAGAGAAGGAGCTTTGTCCTACTAGTAACAACTGGCTTGCTCGTCAACAACGCGAAGCTCGGGAGGTAGAAAAAGGGCCTCAATTGAGATGGCTCCCATACCAAGGCATGGATATTGAACGTCGAGGTTCCAGAGCTGTAATGATATTGTGTTCGAAGGAGAGGGGCTCTATATACCTCAAATCCGCCAGCTTTGAGAAGATCGCTAAACAAGTACAAGTGAGTGGGAGTAAGTGCCCGCCTGGCTGTCAATGCTAAAGAGCGTTTCCTCCCATGTTTCTGATGTCATGCCATCAAGCCGCGCGGTACTCCGTACGTCAAGCGCTTTCTTCCTGAACGTATATCATCAAGTTTGTTGCCTCCCCTAAGATAGAGAAATTCTCGCCGTGCCCAACATTCCCTCCCGTACGGAGTAGATCCACTGCAGATAATTCATCTCCTTCCACCTCCCGACAGGCCCATAGGAGGTGCTCTCCGCAGATTCGGCATTCCAGCGCTCCTCACGTCAGGATGTCTCACCCGCCTATTACCGGATCCAGCTACAGTATTCACACGCAGTGGTCTGCCTTCTCCCCTCAACGTCAGCGTGTCCTGATCTACTTTTCCGTACCGATCCATACCTACACCGCCTCTTCTGTCGTTGCTCCTGCTCCGTCTCTCGGCGCTGACAGCTCGTCTCTCAAGCAGAGTAGCACCTCCGCTAGTTCGGTGCACGCGGCCGCGTTCATCAGAGCGATCTCTCCCCACTGGATCTATGATGCGGAGTTTAGGATTCACATATGCGTTATTAGGTAATTCTGGGCCAGATGAGGCTACGGGTCCATTGTTAGAAAAATCCTCGCGAAAGGGACCTGGCACTGGACCAGCCGCAGGCACGTGTGAATGACGACTGTGGTTCTGGTCTGCTTGGCCTCGTGGCGATGGAGGCGGAAAGGCTGGCATGTATTTTGGAGAGGCCTGGTAACTGGTGTCATGACTATGTCGTCGCTGGTACGAATTGTAGTCTGTTGGCGGAGCAAGGGAGCTTCTGCGACGCTCTCTGTCGTATCTTGAGACCCTAGGAATGGAGTCCTCGGAACTGGCTTCACTTCCAGTAGAAGCTGCCTCATAACGACTTGGCGATCGAGGTCTGACGCGAGTACGAGCAGCTGATGCTGAGGATCTTTCTCGACTTTTCTTTGAACTGAACGGAGATGAAATGAAAGGGATGTGGAAATTGTCAAAGTTCAGACTGAAGGACTTTGCCGATGGGGTGTTCGAGTTATGTGAAGTGGTAGCATGATGATGTGATTGCGATACAGGCCGTTGAGAAGCTGAGGAGCTTGCAGGGCGATGTCGCGGAGATTGAGGAATAGCCGAGTTAGGAGCGCTATATGCCTGGTCACTGCTCCAATGGTAATTGTCGTTGTGCTCAGGATTATGAAGCGGTGACGGAGCGGCTGGTACACTGCTTCTTCGACGCGAAGATGTAGGAAACACATGAGATGCATCTTGATTTTCTGTTCGTGGAGGTCGTGAAGTTCGTCTCCTGTGAGGACTGCGAGGGAAGTAGCCATCACCACGATCTGGCGCTTCATAAGGAGAGCAATATGGTGAGTTCTTCAGTCTACGGTGTTGGCCTTCATCAAGTTTCTCTAGTACAATATTATGCCATTTTTCCATTGCTTCGTCTGGCTTCAAAGGAAATGACTCCCGTGGGATCGTCTTCGGAAAGATCCCACCACTCGGCTTTGGTATATCGTAGATCTCCACAGCTTTTTGCAAACATTGGACATGTTCATCCGGATGTAGAAGGAGTTGTAACGTCTGCCATCGCACGAAACCGGCTGGTAAGAGGCACGGCACGGAAGGCGGCTCGAAAGGATTTGCTGTAGGTTGTAAAGAATGGAAGCATCCAAGGGTCTTGTACATCAGTGAAAGACCCGGATATCCTAATTCTCGGAAGACATAGTCACTGCCTCCAACCGATTGATAGAAAGCAGACAATCGCTGTGGAGTGAGATCGGTATCTGGGCCTGGTACCAGCTGCACCTGCAAGACATCAGCAGTCTACTGGCTTAGACAGCAATAACATACAATTATCTTTGTGAGTCCATCGCATAGCTGAGACAATAGAGGCGCTGCGCTCTTCGATTCATGATTGATCAAGTATCCCCAATAGCTGCCTCCATTATTGTGCGTTGCCGACATAATTGTAATTTAGTGGACACGGAGAGGGTAGAGGACTGCAATAGCAGATGGGTATTTGACAAAGGCAGAGCACTATAAATCAGATGAGACGTCAAGAGTCATCCTGGGTTGGACCTGAGTGAAGCACCAAGCGTGCTCAGGAGACGAACACTGCGCCTCTGGAGGTCACTGGGGTCTGCGAGTGGATGGCGGTGTGCCCTCCAGGTCATACGTTTTCGGTCTCACGATATCTCATGAACAATTCCTCCCGGCCCTAAAGTTTCAAGCCGCTGCCTTGCCAGGAACTGCCTCAAGCCCCACAATTAGCGCCCCGCCCCGCGTCTATTGTCCCAAGCTCACACCCCTGGTATATTTTCAAGCTGGACAATGGTTCTCTGCTCATTCATCTACGTAGTATCTAATGGCTTCGAGTGAGGCAAGAGAAATTACTGCATCGCAGAGAGCTATTGTATAAGGCACCAGCAAGGCAACCACGAGAGAGTTAGGCAGTGATGAATCATAGAAGTGATCTGCATCAATACCGTTCAGGCAACACTGCGAAATGGAGCACGAGGGAGGGCAGCGCGGTAATGCGTTGCGATTATGCTTTGGGCAGGACTCCAGCGTTTTCTGGTGCCGGACCAAAATTGATTGATCAGAGCATGCAATTTTACCAATTCTTCTTCCTGCTACAGGAAGCTGAATTAGTATGCGGTTTGATAGAGAAACATGTGTTTTGCTGTAATCTCCTTATCATTCATGTAATAAATAAGCTGGTCTGAGAAGTTCAGAGCTCGTCTTCGGATTCGCAGTGTCCATTACTTCCTACACTCCTGATGCCAAGGTCGTCCCAAGCTCCACTATCACTTGATTGCAGGGTCAGCTTTGCCGCTTGGTATGCCTGTTCCCGCATCTTGCGCCGGCTGCGCTGATCAGACGGATTACGTGAGGCGATGGGCATTAGCTCCTTCACAATGGTAGAAGGCTGTTTATCCTCTGTGCCGTCGAGTTGCAGGCCTGCGTTGAGGTCGCTATCTTGTGCTTGAGTGTCAAATGCAGATTGTGAGATTGATAGTTGAGAATCAGACAATTCCTTCATATCTGGCAGACTTCGAAGATCTCCTTCCGCTAGTTCTTCGGCGCACAAAGATGAGAGCAGTGGTTCAGCGGTAGCTTCTGCCATACGGGCATCGTAAACAGCTTTGATTGCCGCGAGGTATGGAGGCATCTCTTTGTTGTCAATACTAGTATCCTCCGTGCTTGGAAGCCTCACGGTGGCAGTTGGAGCCTGAGCCTGTGTAGCAGATGTTGCGGCTGTATTGTATTCTTGACTTGTGACATTGGATGAGCTCCTTGTCTCAGAATCTTCGGCGAACTTTCTCTTCAGCCTCTCTCTCGAAGCCCCTTGCGTTTCGAGTCTCTTGTGTAAAAGCATTCTCATCTCTCCATCATGAACAAAGTCTGTACCAGAGCACAAGTGACCAAATAGCGTCTTCATGGAAACGTCTTCTGTCCATGTCTGTTCATCAACGGTGCAAGGGTAAATATCAGCAGGATTGAACGCACCCACCAACTCACACAGCTCACTGTATGAGGAATGGCGAGAATAAGGGAAGTGTATCGTGTCTTTTGAGAGGCTGCCATTCGAGAATTGCCTCTCCGGATTGCCTTCCATGTGACTAGTCAACTGGACCTTGTCTACCACAAGCAGGCGTTCCACGAACTCCTGCAAAGTGATCTCGTCTTCGATGTCAAGGTTGAGCCTTTGCAACGACATCTTCGCGTTTCTCGATGATCGTGCAAGCTCGATGTGGGATAGCAGTCGATTCATATCATCCGGATCTTTAACAATCCGCTTGCAATACTCCTCTATTTCTGAGATTGAGCTGATATTGCTCAACTCCAGCACTGGAGTTTGCTGCAAATCTCCACCGCCACCTCCAGCACCAAGCTCTGGGACCTCAATACCATCCTTCGATCGAGTGATGATAGGTATAATCCACAGCACATGTTTCGCTTTCAGTAACTCAGTATGACATGGGGTACCGAGCTCACAGCTGTGAATCCTAGTAGTTGATTCAGTGGTTAGACATCCTGGTTTACAATGATTACCGACATAGAAACCAGTGAGTGCCGAGTATTCACCAATGCTGGTTGCGAAATCAGCACTGGATAGCGAACCATAAAGACGTGATTGATAGCTATCGATGTGCACCTGCAAAAAGTGAGCATGAATGCGCCATATGGTGAAAGATGTGACTGACACTAGACTTGAGAAAGGTCGACAGAGCAACCCACACATCCTCGTATCCCAATGTCCAAGCGTTGAGGTGAAATAATGTCTCTGGCGGATATTGACGTACCTTGGTGAGAAGCTCACAGATACCCTCAGCCTTGGAAGGGAAACTCCTGTAGATGTTTGCCTTCAAAGCAAAGGTTGTATCAAGATAAATTCGATCTAGCTGCTTTAGGCCTGTAGAATAAGGAAGCAGTACTGGATGACGGATTATTGAATTGATCCACCATGACTCTGATCTGATATCCCCAGTATAGAGGATTGCTGTACTGTCACACTCGAGCAGAAACATCACTGCACCAGGGCAGTGGTTGGCATCGAACAGTGTCACCCTGATCTTCTCCAGAGGACTGAGCTCGATTTCAGTTGGGCACTCTAGTGGAATAGCCTTGAGAACCAGTTTCAGATGTTTGTAATGTTGCTTCCTGCTCTCCAGAACGCCTCTCATAAAGTTCATTCGATGCGCGTATTTCTCAAGCTGTAGAAGGAGGTTCCGCGTGCCCACAGAGCAGTAGACAAAAGGCGCTTTCAAGGACTCTAGGCCTTGGAGATGATCGCTGTGAATGTGGGACAAGAAGCATGCCAGAGGAGGTGGCTGCAAAGGATGTATGCGGAAGTAGTCGATACGAATGCGAGGAAACTCGCTCACTATGCCATTGAATGTTGACATGGCGGAGATGGTGCTACCGGCTCGATATGAACGTTAGTTCCTTCAGGTCTACCAGATCGTTGAATCGCAGGCAATCAACCCGAGCGACATGATTTCAGGAGTGAGGTGTTGAGGGCTCTTCGTAACTGCGAAAAGTCACCTTTCGTAGTAAAGTATGTCAGGCAGGAAGAGTTAGTGAGATCCATAGCAATTATATGAAATTTACGTGTTGATCACCATTTTCGTTGGCGCAGCACGATTCACAAAATCCTTTTGATCTTGCTGTGCGGTAAGGCAGTTGACCGACAATGGGCCTTTGAGCTTCATATCTCACCAAAATACAGGTCCACAGAAACGAGCTATCAACGTTCTTTATGGAGCATTTGTCAAGGATTCATCCCTTGTAAACCGAGATGATGAAAGTGGTTTGAGCTGCAGTAAGTTAGTAAACGATAATGTATCTGGCCTCAGTTCCTAGTTCTGGCTGCCTGGGGAGTTTGTGGACTTTCGGACTTAGGTCAACTCATGTGTAACTGATATCCTCAGCCGTTACTCGAGGGCGACGGGGAGTTTGTTTTCAAGAGTCACTTCAACTAGTCCCGCTGGAAACCAGCACATCACTAACCTTGCATCGTTTCGTTTGCCGACCGGGAGTGACCCACTGTGTCAGATCCCCGATGCTGGCTTCCTCTAACAACGCCGCTTGACTGGAGAAGTTCCAAACACAACTTTGCAAGTGGCAAGACAAAGGGTATCCTGCCTCATCTTGCTCAACGCGCAATACATATCTGGTAGTTTCTCGGAGTAAAATCGTTGCCAGGCCATGTATTGCACCATGCTATGACCCTTCACCGTTCACCTGCCCACATATCTCTTTCAACCAAAGGGTAGCAACCATACTTATGCACCTCCGTATCAGTCAATCCCGAGAATCACAACATCTTTGTGGTTGCAAACGATTGTGACCCAGACCCATCACCTTACCACTGATTATTTCCTTCTCCAGTCGTTGGTTTTCACACAGTATTCCACAATGCACAAACCCTCCATCTCAAACCTTGTCTACAAGACCCTCTTTCCCCGACCACGACAAGGGGATCCGACCACCTTCTCCGCTCACATAAACCGCAATCTCGTCCCTGAAGTTCGAATCGAAACAGCCAACTTTTATGGCGCCCTTGACTGTATCGAAGCACAATATCCAGGTCTTGACTATTCCCACGCCCCACATCGCAGACGCCTTTCCCGCTTTCCCTGGCACAAGAAACTCTTCCGAGTGTTCGATGAGTTATGTCTGACCAGAAACGAGATATTAGGTCTATGTCAGTGGGAAGGGACAAAGAGTGCAAAGGAAAAATACGAGACGGATGTGGGAAGGTTGATCAGAGACACAACGATGGATGGCGTTGCCCCGGCTGCTCCAAGCAGGAGGCCTGTCGCCCACATGAATCCCGATCTAAGAGGCTGGCGAGCGGCAGCAAGGCTCCCTCCGGGAGATCATCCACTCGTTGAAGATGTGGATGAAGTCGAAGCAAATCAAGAATCCGATGGTGATATTGACATTCTCTCTACGAGCCACGGCAACAGCCTTAACGCCCACCTACGTTCCGCGGCGGAGGCTCGAGCCAGAGGCGAAGGTGGTGTGGTCCCAAATGAGCAATGGGAGCAATGGCTCAAAGAAGCAATGGAGAGGAACGAATTAGGCGTTGACGGTATGCTGGAAGCAATCAGGCAGGGAAGGCCTTTTGCCATCAGTCCGAGTCACATCATCGACGCTACAGTACATCCACCAGTTTTAAGCCTTGCAAACACGGTCTCGGAGACCCGGTCGAGTGCGCCCACGGCAGCCTCAGCGATGAACGATACGCAGATCGCAATAGCCAATGTGTGGAATCTTGGGAACCAGATCGTAAGGAACGTCAATGCGGGAAATGCCAGCGAGTGCTCAGCCAGCTGGGGAAGCGAGATAAGGATTCTCGATTATGTGCAACCTCCTTCGCCACAACGTTGCGCAAATATCAGTTAGGTTGGGGAGAGGACGGTCCATCAAGAACATGCTCTTGAGCCAAAAGCAATTCATGGCGTTAAGGGGCATTTAGGGAATCAGTGGGTGGTCAAAGTGTTTCTCTGTTACAAGACTATTTACTCGCTTCTCACCCCCAAAAGCGTCATGCGTAATATACAGCGAAAGCGAGAGGGGTTGCTTCAAAAGTCGTTCGCGCACTTATTATATCTGCGCTCCCTCTGAATTTAGAAGCTAGGCATGACGGAAGTGCAATCAATCAAGTTCATGGTATTAATTATTGCTTAGTAGCTAATAGCATAGTGTGAGGGTAGACCTAATGTATAATTATACCATTACGTAAATGCTGGTGCTGTGGCTGGATATATGATTGTATCCTGTATTAAGGTATCTTAGGTTTGTACAGAGTGGAGAATAGAAGATATTTGGACAGAGTTACAGGAGCCTAGATTGAACGTCATTGATATGGGACATGGAGTATGAATTTAGAGCGTGGCAAAATAAGGAGAGAGAACCTATGGCGCCATTAGAAGGAAATGGGGGCACTTCACGGGAAGGTTCTCTGTGGAAGGAAACAACGGCGGACAGGTGCAACAAGTAAATCATCAGAATGCACAGCGGTGGAATGGAGCTGCTGCCTGTTGGTTTTTGCTGCTGCGCCACCCGCGGGCCAAAAGGCACAAAGTAGAAAGCTGACAGCTTTCTACTACCAACTACTTATATATCAACACCGTCACAAGCGGAGTGATCAGAAGGGCGATGTGGAGCAGCCTGATATAGTAGAACACCCATGAATGCTTAGAGGTTAGCCTGTTGTCAACTTCGGCCCTTGACCAGCCGTGAGGATTATGGCAGCGAGCCTGGAGCAATGAGTAACTAACTTAGTGCAATCTCTGTGGACATCTAAATTAGACGAAGAGTGCCTATCCTCCGTGAAGGCTTGGGACCAAGTCACCCAGCATTAGGTGCGAGGACGCGCAGGGTCACCTTGCTGGCGAGTGCCCGTCAATTGAAGCCAATTTTCGAGACCATTGCTTATGCGAACCCCAAAGCTGTGGGCAGGTAAAACCGACTTACCATCAGGGACAAATTGCCTGTTTTGGGGCACTTTTCCGAAGCATGCAGGCCTGAGCCACGAGTCATTGTAGCTATGAGTACAGGGGAGGCTGGACTTCCAGGTAAGCAGCAAGAAGTCTAGGTAGCTTGTCACTTGGGCTGTGAAGGAAGGTTAACCGCAGACAAGCACCCTCCCCCAGTGATTTTTCAAGGTGGTATAACTAATAGAAAGCCCGCTGCTTTAAGGGACTTCAAGCATCTTTTAGCGTCAATGGAGGAAAAAGGCTCACCAAGACGTCCGGAGGATCATCAATCCAAGCGGGGCACTGCAGCTTCCTTCAGGCACGACCCAATGACAGCCCATAAAAGGATGCGTGCCAGCGCCTAGGGATGGAAATGGGTGGTTGGGGCAAGGCTCCAAGAGACGCAGCGAGGATAATCGTAGATCTGATCTCGAGCTGAACGAGTACAGACTATCGCAGAGATGTCCAGCCCTAGTTGAACAAAACACTCGTGTGCTCTCAGTTCATGTCACTTTCAAATTGTGGAAGAGAAGCGGCTTGAATTGAGGCTTCGGAAATTCACAGTTGGGGGTGCGGCGGTCAATTTTGCGGATGCCCTGTGTTTTGATTTTGACTTGAAGCACTCGGTCGCTAAAGGCGGCGCCCAAGTTACGGGCGCTAGTGGGGATCAACAACCCACCTTTTAAAGCCCCCCGACTCCCCCAAAACCCAACCCTTGAATTACTCCCTCCTCCCTTCTGTCGCCCGCCCCAAATTCCAGCCCTTCAGTTAGCAGAATAGGGCATCTTTACCATCCCTCGCATAATAAACGTCAACCATAACCTCCTTGCGCCAAGATGGCTCGTAAGGCGCAAGAGCCTGACTCAGATACAACTGTAGTCAACATCGCTGACTTCCAGCGCACGCGAGATTCGGTGTGTTTCTCTTCTTCTATCTGCCCTCCACCCATACCCTGCGCGTGGTTGCCTGCATTACGCGCCTGTAAACAAACCATATTCATCAAGCCTTACCTTACTCTTCTATGCCCACTGTCAACGCTTACCTTTGTCACAACTTTGTTCTCATTGACCTCACCTGCATTCACCTGGTGTCAAGATGAAGAAAGGTGGCTATGTTACCCTTTCCTGCGATCATCTTGCCATGGTTGTGAGCAATGAGCAACGTACGGTCGAAATGATACACATTCTCACCGATCAGCTTGCGAGTCTTATTGACACAGTCGTCTCAAGCTCAGTTGATCATGACTCACTTGCTAAAACATATGGAAAGGTCATCGTTGCCCTTGCAACACTCCAGAACTCGGTTCAAGATCTCTCCAAAGCATATATCAATCATGCCAATACTGTTCTCAATCCTGGCCGTGCTGGGACTCTTGATCTCAACCTGACAACGACGCTGCTTGACAGCGGCTTGTTGACTCACCGCGCACCGAGTCCTGGCATGAAGCCAGAGGCGCCTACAGAAGCCAAGAAAAAGCGCAAGAGAGCAGCTCACGATCCCAACGCGCCCAAGAGAGCTTTGACACCATACTTCCTGTACATGCAGAGTGCTCGTCCTCAGATCGCCCAGGAACTAGGTTCTAACGCAAAACCAAAAGAAGTTGCTGATGAGGGAACTAGACGTTGGAGTATCATGCCAGACGCCGACAAAAATGTGTGTCAGTCCTCACTTACCTGTCGTGTAATCCTGACGTTCTTTTAGGTTTGGAATGCTGCATATCAGAGGAACCTCGCCGTCTATCGCGTCAAGACTGCTGCCTACAAAGCGGGCAAACCTGTTCCCAGTGATGAGGAGGCTGAGAAGATCGCCCAAACCGATACAACGATCGCTGCTGTCCCAGTTGAAGAAGAAGAGGAAGAAGTCGAAGAGGAGCCTGAGGCTGTTGAGGAGGAAAGTGACTCCGAGTCATCTCCAGAACCAGTCAGGGAGCCTTCTCCACCAAAATCAGGGAAGAGGCGCAAGACGAGCGATAAGCCGGCTGCGACTCCAGTTAAGGAGACTCCCAAACCCACTGCTGCGGCGGAGAAAGACAAGAGGAGCAAGAAAGCTAAAAAGGAACCAACACCGCCGCCTGCATCTAAGACGGGAGAGAAGAAGAAGAAGTCCAGGAAAGCAGCTTGAGGAAGGGTCGGAAGTCGTCTTTCATACAGTAGAACCTGACAGCCTTGTTCGAAAGGTGTCTTTTTCTTCAACCATTATGTCCGGGTAGGGCTTATGTAAAGGTTGCTCGGAGGTTTTGAGGTTCGCTTAAGCTCTGTGTATGTAGAACAGCAACGAAGTTAATACATTCAGTCACTGCCTGTTGTTCTCTTAAGCTCTGTTCGACCAACTAGCCCCACAACGTGCAGGTTTAGCTTGCTGTTCCACCAGTGTCTTCTGCATCTCGCTCAGGCCCAGCCCACCCGTGCTGATCATCTTCTCGCCGACTGCTATCAGATACGCCGCACCCCACTCAGGAGGCCACAACAGACGTTTTTGCTATAAACGTGATTATGCGGGCATCTCAAAGCAGTTTTTATGAGCCTCTCGTCAGCTTATCTACACTTTTGAACTAGTCTACGGGTTTCAATTGCAAATAAGCACGTTCAGGAGTTCGCCCAGCATGCATCTTGTTCCCAAGGAGGTGGGACGCCGAAATTCCCCTGCCCTTCTCCTCATCCCTGCAGTGTAACTGGAGCTGACACATTCTCTCACAGCTTGATAAGCTCGTAATATCCCAATTAGGCCTTTTAGCCCAGCGTCGACTGGCCAGGGGAGTGAAATTGAATCATTCCGAAGCTTGCGTGTGTTATGTAACACCAAAATGTACTAGCGCCCTGGTTCTGACTCTGATAGGCACTGATCGCTAGCAACCTTCAGGAGGTTAGGATATCAAGAACTATTCCCGCACCTTGCTGACGCAGGTGATAGCTGGTTCGTGATGGCAACCACTCAGTCGCAGACCTCATGTCCCTGGGCAAGACCATGCTCGGTCGCCGTCATGTTCTTCTCTCCGTTGTCTCGACCCTTACCAGTATCCAGATTGAAGGGACATTTCCGACAGGTACATATCTTGTAACTGTTCACCATCCTATCAGCTCAGAGGACGGTGACCTGGAAAAAGCACTCTATGGTAGCTTCTTGCCAATTCCGTCGAGGGATGCTTTCACGCTACCGGACCCGAGCGAGTACGAGCCCGAAAAAGCACCAGGGGCTGTCATTCCTGTTAAAGATGGGAAGATTGCACTGAACCAAGGGCGCAAGCGAATCTCTCTCAAGGTTGTCAGTAAAGGAGACAGACCAATACAGGTAAGGCGGCATCAATATCTCATGCCAGTACGTGTGCTGAAGCGCTTTACAGGTTGGATCGCATTATCACTTTGTTGAGACGAATCCTCAATTATATTTTGATCGCGTCAAAGCTTATGGCTACCGGCTGGACCTTGCAGCTGGAACATCTGTTCGTTTTGAACCAGGTGATACCAAAACGGTCACCCTTGTTGAGATTGGGGGTCGCCGCTTCATTCAAGGAGGGAACTCTATTGCTTCTGGCCATGTCGAGGCTTCACGTGTTGAGGAAATTGTCAAAAGACTTCAAGAAGGTGGTTTCGGGCACGTACCTGAACCTGCTGGCGATAGTGCTTATATTGATCCGCTCATAATGAATCGTACAGATTACGTGGGCATGTTTGGTCCAACAATAGGCGACCTTGTTAGACTGGGGTCTACTGACCTTTGGATCAAAGTCGAGAAAGACCTCACTGTTTATGGAGACGAATGTGTTTTCGGGGGTGGAAAATCTCTGCGTGAAGGCATGGGACAAGCAAGTGGTCGAAGCGATGACGAGACTCTTGACACTCTTATCACGAATGCTCTAATCGTTGACTGGTCTGGCATTTATAAGGCTGATATTGGCATTAAGGACGGCGTCATTGCTGGGATTGGCAAGGCAGGAAATCCGGATGTTATGGACGGTGTATCATCGAACATGATAGTTGGTAGCTGTACAGATGTGATAGCTGGGGAACGACAAATTGTTACAGCTGGTGGCTCCGATACTCACATTCATATGATCTGTCCTCAACAAGCCTATGAGGCACTTTCATCCGGTATCACAACAATGCTGGGTGGAGGAACCGGCCCGTCTGCAGGAACAAGTGCCACAACTTGTACGCCTGGAAAGAATCATCTGCGGCAGATGCTCCAAGCTGTGGACACTTTGCCATTGAATTTTGGCATTACTGGCAAGGGAAATGACAGTGACCCGAAGGCGCTACGCGAGCAATGTGAAGCCGGCGCTGCAGGTCTCAAACTTCACGAGGATTGGGGTACAACTCCAGCAGCAATCGATACATGTTTGTCTGTGTGCGACGAGTATGATGTGCAATGCTTGATTCATACGGATACACTGAACGAGTCTGGCTTTGTTGAGCAGTCAATTCGTGCTTTTAAGGATCGCACTATTCATACTTATCATACCGAGGGCGCTGGAGGTGGTCATGCTCCAGATATCATTTCTGTCGTTGAGCATCCGAACGTGCTTCCTAGTTCGACGAATCCAACTCGACCTTACACCCGCAACACACTCGATGAACATTTAGACATGCTGATGGTATGCCATCATCTCAGCAGAAACATCCCAGAGGACGTCGCCTTCGCCGAGTCACGTATTCGTGCTGAGACAATTGCTGCTGAGGATGTGCTCCACGATCTTGGTGCCATCAGCATGATGTCTTCTGATTCGCAAGCTATGGGTCGATGTGGCGAGGTTATTCTTCGCACATGGAATACCGCCCACAAAAATAAGGTGCAGCGAGGCCCACTCCTCGAAGATAAGGATACAGGCGCCGACAACTTCCGTGTGAAGAGATATGTTTCCAAATACACTATCAATCCTGCTGTGGCGCAGGGAATGGGGCATGTTATTGGCAGCCTTGAGGTAGGAAAGCTGGCCGATTTATGCATATGGAGTCCAAGTCAATTTGGAACCAAGCCTAGCATGGTGTTGAAGAGTGGAATGATCAGTTATGCGCATATGGTATGCCACTTACCCTTATCTTGTCCTCCATCTATCTACGAAATAGTATTGACATTGTCATCTAGGGTGATCCCAATGCATCCATACCAACTGTGCAACCTGTCATCATGCGACCAATGTTTGGAGCCTTCATCCCACATACCAGCCTGACCTTTGTCAGCCAGGCCAGCATTGATTCGGGCATGGTTGACAGCTATGGGCTCAAGAAGCGAGTTGAACCAGTGAAGAACTGTAGAAAGATTAGCAAGAAAGATATGAAGCTCAATGATCTGATGCCAAAGATGAAGGTGGATCCAGAAAGCTATCGTGTTGAAGCGGATGGGCTGCATTGTACAGTGGAGCCAGCAGATAGACTGCCCCTGAGTCAGGAGTACTACGTCTACTAATTCAGGTACAGAAGGGAGAGACGAGTGATCTAAGGTGTTGGAAGGGAAGGAGAAATTGTATTGAACAGCCACAGCTTGGGACAGAGCACGCTGTATATGGACTCTGTGGATGGTGGAGCAGCTGTGTCCTTCGATTCGATGCCTCACAGAGTCTTCTCCGGTACAGTTTTCAAGAATATAGTGTAATTTCCTTATGATATCTATTACATTCCGTACATTGGTGATCAAATCTGCCGAGCCCTGTGAGGAGTGCTATTCTTGTCACATCAATCCTGAACTCACGAGCAAAAGTTGTAACATCGCACAATTTTAAAAATAGCCTAAAGGCTGGGCTGCTCTTCTGCTGCGAACCTCGTCCCTGCAGGTACTAGTTACTCCGACTGAAGCTTGTTAGATCAATCGAACTCAATGAGTATTTTCTCTGTCAACACGTCTGTCTACACCCTCGAAGATGTTAGCCCGATCAATACTGAGGTCAGCAGGACCGCTGCGACAGGTAGATCTGCGACCCTGACCTTCTTGGGCAAATCATTGACAGTATACTCTAGAACATGCGATCTTATGCCACAGAATCCAGACTAGGAGCCGCCAGGACTCCCCTCATTCTCGGACCTAGTGCAATAGTAGTGGGTATCACCGCTGCAATCTGCTATACTCTATACACCGATAGCAAGGCGCCAGCAGCAGCAGCAGAAGCGGCGACAGACAAGGTTAAAAGCGCAAGCACAGAGCCGCCCAAAACCTTCACCGGCGGAGATCAAGGCTTTATCGACCTGAAGCTTTCCGAGGTATCAGACATCAATCACAATGTAAAGAGGCTTAGGTTCGAACTGCCTGATAAGGATGCCGTGAGCGGCCTTACTGTTGCCTGTAAGTAGCACGGCTATCTGTTTGATTGGGAGAAATGCTTACGGCTAACATGATAGCTGCGCTTATCACAAAGTACAAGTCGCAAGACATGGAGAAGCCTGTGATCAGACCATATACACCTATTAGTGATGAAGGTAGGTCCATCTCTAGGTCTCTTACCCGGGCTGCGGACTGACCAGAATAGATGAACGTGGCTACCTTGATTTACTCATCAAACGCTATCCGAACGGCCCAATGTCGGAACACATGCACAGCATGACGCCCGGCCAGCGCCTTGACTTCAAAGGCCCGATTCCTAAATATCAATGGTCCACGAACAAGCATAACCATATTGCCTTGATAGCCGGCGGTACTGGCATCACACCCATGTTCCAGCTCACGAGACGGATCTTTAAGGACCCAGCTGAGAAAACCAAAGTGACCCTGGTCTTTGCCAATGTGGGCGAAGAAGACATCCTCTTGAAGAAGGAATTCGAGCGGCTGGAGAATGAATACCCAAACAGATTCCGCGCATTCTACACTCTTGATACACCTCCCCAGAGCTGGCCCTACGGGACTGGATACGTGACTAAGGAGCTGTTGGAGAAGGTCATTCCAGGTCCCAAAGAAGAGAATGTGAAAGTCTTCGTCTGTGGACCACCAGGAATGTATAAGGCGATTTCCGGCATGAAGAAGAGTCCGCAGGACCAGGGCGAACTGAGCGGTATCCTCAAGGAGCTTGGGTACAGCGAGGAGCAGGTTTACAAGTTTTAAATGGTCACAGATCAGAGCGCTGCTTGTACAAAATAGACGACAATAGACAAAGACACGGGGCCTGTACAGGCGTCTCTTGTCAATGAAAGGTAGACGATGATTCAATAATTGATAACACAATCATTTCTCACGCAGTATTCTTACTCACCACCCCTCTAGCAAACTCGCCAAAAGTAATTCCCCTCTCACGATCAACCAACTCCCCCAGGTTCGGCTGTGTAAACACGGCCATTGTATTCCTCGCTATGCTCCCAGCCGCATCAGCCGAGACTCCCCTGACGAAATGCGGCACAGCCTTGAATTTGCCCCGGGTGATCAGCTCCAATGCCTCGCCGGTTTGGAAAGCTAGGCAGTCGCGAGGTATGTTGATTTTGACGGTCTGGCCTCCTCGGGAGCGGATATACAGTCCTGAGGATGGGTCTGGGGATCCTGGTAGCTCGTCGATGGGTTTGCTTGGATCTGGATTGTTCAAGGGTCTGGTTGATTCGTCGACAAACATGGCGGAGGTGAGGCCGGTGAGACAGCCGTGGTCGAGATGGGTGGCGCACCAGTCGTCTTCGTCCACGTCCTTTCGATTGCTGTTATCATCACAACTTGAACACTCGACATCTCCGTTCGTGCCAACCCCTTCTTTCTCCTGGGCGGGGAAATAATGCAACAGCCTCGCCTTTGTAGTCGTGCTCGTCTTCACCACTCTCTCCAAATACCCGTCCTCATACCCCTCAACAGCTTTAATAGCATACCGGTCACAAGCCTGTGCAACCAGAACCGCAACATCAATGATCAATCTGATTAATTCCTCGGCGCTTTCCCGAAATCCAGCGATGTCCTCCTCGTCCGGCCAAATATTCGGGGCTGTGTACTCCTCAAATCCTTCCCATTGCTTCTCTTCGTCATCATGTTTTCCCGATACAGGTGACGGTTCGGCTTCTGTAGTTGTGTTTCTGTTTTTATCCTGATAGAACCCACAGTTTACATAGTAACTTCCCTTCCCCTGATCCACGACCCCAGGTCTCAGCGTCTCTTTGCCATGCGACCAGCCGACTAAATACTTCGCTTGCGCATTCGTGAGGCGTTCTAGCTTTCGGGCGGAGAGGTGTGCGAGGTGTGAGGCGTTGGATAGAACGCGGGTGCGGAGGGTAGGGAATTGTGGGGGCAGGTCGCGGACGAGGAGGATGCCGAGGGAGGTTGGACCGAACGCTGAGACGAGGGTTGGAAAGGGGATTCTGCCTTTGAGAATCGGTTAGACGAAGTGTGGGTTCAAGCTAGATGGCGGAGATAGACCTGTGCGGAGATCTTGGAGGCTTACCGTCACCGGGCTCAGGGCTGGAGCGGGATCCTTGACTGGGCGCATTGCGCCTCTACTCCATGACAATTAACTGACACGAAGAACGGCAAGAAATATCGTGTGGTAGGACTTTGTGGCCTCCGGATCACACGAAGATGGACAAAGCCTCCTGCAATTCCCAACAAATGGCGGCGGAGCGGAAGCTAGCATTTCTTGGCAACAGCGAAGCTGTAAGCTTACTGAGTAATATTGGAAGCTCCATTGGCTCACACTTTAGCACTATCTAGAAAGGAAGATGGGCGACGTTTTGCTATGACACTGACCACACCAAGTCTATGGCACACGTCGTGCAAACTGTGTATATGGCCAGGTGTGAGAGAAGAACAGTCCGGTCGACATGTCGATCAAAGCTATCTTCTACAGCAAATTTGATACCCAAGAGGGCAAGTTCCATGTCCTAGAGCTGCACCCCTAGACTAGGATCTGACCATTATACAGGGTCAAAAGTGATTCACCAAGTTCCAGAAGGATCCATCGTCTCCTCTCCAGACTCCCACGAGGGCCCTCCATTCTTCTCCTTCCCTTCCATCTCCTCATTCATCATCCCTCGCCAGTCTCTTTGCGGTAATCCCATCTCTATCGTCCCACCACCCGCCCAGACCCCCAATCGCTCCTCCTCCCAATCCTACCGTATACTCGGCCACCCCATCTGCCTCACCTCCCCCACCTACCTACGCAATGAATTCATCTTCAACTTCTGCCTCGTCCTCTCCGCCAACGACCCGAACTTCAATGCCTACAAATCCGTGGTCACGAAGCTTGCGCACCTCATGCAGAGTCTAGAAGAACAATCGCACTTCCTCTCGCGCGACACCTGTCCGCCAAACACCGGAAAACTCTATTCCCTCTGCGAAACGCTCATCTCAGATCTAAACAACTACTGCGAATGCATGATCCCGATCGACGAGCTCAACACGCTCAACCTCAAACTCTTCCCCACCTACGCACCTCCCCCACCGGTAAAAGGTTGGCACGTCCCCATCTTCACCGTCCGACCCGAGTCGCTGATGGACGAGAATTGGGATCTGACCATGCAGCGGATCGTGCCGCACATCAACGGCGTCAGCTCGGTGAAACACATCTCCATCCGCGCGGACGCGGACCTGGGGCTCACGAAAGAGTGCATCAAGCACCTGCTGTATTACGGTTGTTTGCTGCTGCTGGATATCTTCTCGTTTACGGCCATCTACGCGCCGACGGCGGAGTTTGCCGGCACGATTGCGAGCGACGAGGAGATGCAGCGGGAGTGCGCGAGCTATGTAAATACGGCGTTCGCGCCGAGTAGCACAGCGGACAGACTTGATCACGTCGTGAAGCAACAGCAGAGCTATCCGGAATCGGCGATGCCCACAACGAGCGACGATGATGTCTGGCCATTGGACTCGTCTGGGAGACCGGTGGATGGTGTGGGCATTGTCGAGCTCTTTGCTGCGCTCAAGCAGGGCCAGAGCGTGCGGGAGTGGTATGCGGCCAATTCGGATATGCTTGCCAGTATCGATTTGAGGAGGTTTATCACCTTCGGGGTCATCAAGGGGTTCGTGTACCGAGTGCATAAGTATGCGTATGCCAGCGGCCAGGGTGCGAACACTGCAAGATCGAACGGTCGGCGGATCAGTAAGAAAGGGAAATGGATCAGGATGCCAAGGGCCCAGACACGGGGAATCCCAACCGCTACAGCTACAGCTCTACCCGTCAGAGGTAAGGACAGCGACCTCCACCTCACCGACCACGAGGACAACCCCCATGCAGGCGAAGACGAAGACGAGAACGAGAACGAGAACGAGAGCCATACCAACGCCCCCACCATCCTGCCCACCAACCCCCTAAGACCTAAACATCACCCCCACCGACGGAAATATCCACGCAATCCCGACCCCCTCTCCTTCCCCTCCTCCTCCTCCTCCTCCTCCTCTTCCTCCAAACCCAGCCGCATCGGCAAAGCGATCAAGCTCCAAATTCCTCACCCGCCTCTCCCGCTACCTCGACGGGGCGCACTGTTTCGACCAGATCTGCACGGAGCTGGAGATCAGCGAGGTCGAGCTGGAGGCGCTCTTGCGGAGGCGCTGGGGAGGGAGTCACAACAACGGTGGCGGCGCTGCCCGCGAAGGAGCAGGAGCAGGAGCAGGAGACGCAGCTGGAGCTGGAGCTGGAGCTGGAGGCGAGGTCTTGATCATCCATCGCTGACTATTGAATCATTCATCATGGCTGTTACGGTTGGGGGCGACATGACGATGGTTTCGAGGGCGCCGCGGGGGGGAGGGAGTTGGGAGGTTACATGGTACAGCGTCGTCGTTCGTTGCTGGCGAACTGCTCTTGCCTTGCCCCCCGGCTTAAGCCGCTGGTAGTGAGAGTTACCCACTTCCGAGTTCAGCGGGTGTGTCCGGAATCACTTATCGTTGGTAACAGCGACTTGAGACCGCGTACTTGTGCGCATGATGGAGCCTGGCTGGTCCCAAGCTCAGTCATTCCCGACCCAAGCCCGCTAGGTCACCGAGTCACCACGGGGAATAGTATACTTTCTCATTATTCTTGCGCGCGCATATCGCGGAGTCCTCGCCTGTCTGTCTGCGGACTGACGAGTTTCTCCATAAGAACAGCAACAATGGATTTAACTCTTCCCGTTCTGTCTGTCCGCCCGATCATAGTAAGTACCCAGGGCCTATGCTGAAGTCGATGCCGATGCCGATGCCTATGCCTCTCCTTCCTCCAACTCTGCCAGCGCCAACTCCATCGCGATATGCCTTCTCAGATAGGCGAGCACCTCGTGCCCTTTGAGCTGATGTCCAGCCCTCTGCTCCTCTTTGTCCGCAAACCTGCTTCTCCAATCCCAGCCCCTCTCCACCTTCCCGGGTACGAGGACTCCACTACTGCCTATACTCTTCCCTCCTCCTCCTCCTCCACCATCCGCACCGCCTGCGCGGCTTGCCAACATCTCACTTCCGAGCAAGGAAAAGCTGAAGGCGGTGCCGGTGCTCCCGTCCTCGGTCGCGCTGCTGACGCTTTTCTTCAACATGGCTCGCGGGCTGGGCGGCGCGCTGCCGCGATAGTTCCTCAGCGCCGCGCTCAGACAGTCCTCGGTGGCCTCGAACACCCTCGGGTTGACCGTCTGCAGGTGCTCGATCGCGGCAAGGATATCATACATCTGAGCCGCCGTCAGCACTCTGGCGTCCTGTTCTCCCTCTCCCCCCACAAGAGCGGTCACTTCTCCCAGCAGGGTGAGCAGCCCGTCAACTTGAATGGCGGATTCACGCTCTGCGTCGTAGAGACTGCCGTAGATGGCATCCGCGGCGCTGTTGATGACTGCAGTCAGCGCTTTCGCTGCGGCCTTCCTACGAGCAAAACGTGATTTCGGGTTGGGTGTCCGCCCCTCGGCTTTGGCGAGCATCTCTTCGTCTCGGAGGTTGTAAAAGCGTCGTAAGCACGCGTAGCCGGCGAGATAGAATTGCAGCATCGCTGCTGCTTCGGCGTCGACCTGATTCAGCTTTGAGAGGGCACGCTTGGGGTTCTCTGCCAGCACTCGCAGGTCTTCATCAAGTTCCGAGTTGGCGGGATAGGCGGCTGATTGGACAAGGCAGTATGAGACGAGGAGGTCCATCAGTTGGCGGATTTTGCCTGAGGCGTGAGAGCGAGCGTAGCAGAGGAGGGCTGGCCCGTAGAGCGTCGTGCTGGAGGAGAGGTGGTCGGCGAAGCGTTCCGAGACCTTTCGAGCTTCGGCTTCGAGGCCGAGGGAGGAGCAGAGGGCGAGAAGTTTGTCGAGGCGGTCTTGGGAGTCGAGGTGCAATTGGTTGAGGAAATTGGTAATGGTATCCGTGACGAGCTGGCGGTCATCGATGCGACTTGCTACGGAAATGGCGAGCTCCCAACCTTCACAGGTGTCTTCGTCATCTACAAATTCCTGCCGGTCGTAAAGTTGTCTCGAATAGCGGAGGATGATATCATCTTTGGTGATGCCTTGGGATTTGACGCCGTAGCTGAGCACTATAAGATCTTCCTGGTCGAGACCAGGCGCATTATTGGCTTGTGGTGGCTCTAGCCACCCTGCTAAGCTGCCAATCTCCGCCACAGAGGCTGCAATCACAAGAGAGAATGTCCGAAGGGAGCTGAGAACAGCCTGAGTATCGCCTTGAAGGATAGATGCGAGACCAACTTCTAGCGGACTGAGAGAGTTGATGTAGAATGAATCTTCATAGTCAGGATCGGTAACGCAGAGGAAAGCAGCACTTATACGAGCCAGGTAAGGATCCTCAATACGATCTGAAGCATCAGCTCGTTGAGCGCGGCTGACATTGATACTCCACGTAGCGATGTTCAAGTCTTCAGTACCGTCCCACCATACCGTCAGCGCGGCAGTGGCCTCAAGCCAGTCCTGCGATTGAGCGATGATCTCATCAGCACTGCCTAGAAGTATACCATAGAAAACTTTGAGCTTTTGATATATGCTCCATGGAAGCTGACGATGTGCTGCTTGGGCAGATCGAGGAAGCAGTCGTCCGGTCTTCTGAAGTCCAAAGTTCTCGGCTTGAAAAGTATTCGAAGAATCCTCTTCATCGTCCACTCCGCCACTGATTGCCAGGTGCTCTAATTCCGAAGACACTCTCTTCCGGAAAAGATCCCAGTCTGAGCTGTGAATTTGCCAGTCACCTTTGGTCGCAGGGCACCCTCTAAGTAGCTCCCTTGCCCGATCCACAGCGCTCTGCACGGCCTGCAATTGTGCGCCATGGTAACCTGGCTCATCTTCGCCATCATCAAGCGCTGAGGCGGCATGCTGAAAGTCCGCGTCGGAGAAGAGCTGAATGACATGTAAGACTTGTCCGCGAACAAGCATGCCAAATGCTACATCCCAGAATGACTCATGTGCTGTACAATTGGGACGAGTAGACCTGACAGCATCAAGCAAGTCATCGTACGAGATATGGTACCGATTCAGCCAGTCAACCAGGACTTTTGGAATTGGGATTGGTCTTGTAGGAGCTGTTAGGGCCTTGGAACCAGGTGCACGACCAGTAGCACCAGCTGGCAGATATAACAGAGGTGGATGTCGAAGAGCTAGAAGTAGTGAACTTAGATATGTGGCATTCTGCAAAGCATTCGCGCCTGAGCCAGGACCAATCCCCTCACCAAGGTTCTGTTCGGGTGGAGCACAAGAGTTCCATAACCGCATAAGTTCTAGGGAACGTACTGCTAGAATACCTCGAATGACATCTTCGTCTTGCGCACTGTCCATCTGCCGATGGAGTTCGACTAGGATATCTTCTGTCCTTATGATCATTGGATCTGGTTCCGTCAAAGTGGCTGGCTGAGTCCGGCTTGCCAAATCTCGTGCTATGTTGGAGATCACATCAGGTTTGCCCTTGCGCGGAAGCTGACGCGCCATTATGGCGGAACCTTTGCTTCTTATGGACCGCTGTAGCTTCGACCGTTTGGTAGGGTTAGGTAGGCTGTCTAGAAGAGATGACCGTAGATCGGATGGCGCATCTCCATTGTTGATAGCCGTAAAGCCTTTGAACGCTGGTGACCCTGCCTGACCGTAATTGCCAGCGCTCTCGCCCAGTTGCATACTCTCATCATAATCTCCCCCAAATTCGTCTTCGTCTTCATGGTCTGGTTCCTGGGATTGACTTTGATCTAACGAGTCCTCTTGAGAGAGGATACTGCTACTCGCAAGCCCGAAATTGTTCTTGCCCAGTAGCCCTCCTGGTGTTCCATTCTTGGTTCTCGGAGGCTGAAAAGTCGGAAACTGACGTGTTCCAGCCTGAGGAATCGGTTTGGTAAACTTCAGCTTCCCGACATCTGAGCCAAAATGTGAGCTTCCAAAAATGGTGGATGGAGGCGGGCCTGCGGGGGTGAATGATGCGGCAGAATTCGGTGGAGGACCGGCAGGAGTCGTTGAAGGATTGTCCGCCATGTCCGAGAAAGTCGATAGGCCCCTTGAGAACTGTGATTTCGTATCTGGCGTCGCAGGCGGGCTGGACGAGAACGGCACCTGAAAGGTAGACATGGCAGGCAGGCGCAAACACAGTCAGGGGGTATAGATTCCCCAAGTAAAGATCTATCCAAAACACAATTGGATGTTCATAGTTGTGAGAACACCAACGCTTCAGGGAGAGTTGCCTGTCCCAATACTCTGCAATTGTTCACACTCAACACACAGAAGCATTACTACTAAGATCGCAGCTTGGCGCGTTGGGTACGCGAGAGCTTCTACGGGGAGCAGAACGAGCCTTCAATGCAGCGAGTCCTTCGCATGCTACCAGACTTTCCAAAAAAAAATAAGAATTGGGCCCTATGCTAATGAAGCTGGAGTGTGATTATCTTCTATCTCGCGCAGGTTTGCCTGGATGTCTATTTCTGGAGCGTTCCCTCAGGCGTGCTTTTCATTGACCAGGACAAATCTGTATCGTGGCTTGCCCTCGTTGAAATCCACCACCGCCTTGTTGGCATCCTTCATTGAGTATTTGTTGATCCAAGAGTGTACGCCCTTCTCTACCGCGAGCTTGAGCACATGTCTGATTTCCGCCGGGGAGCCGATCATAGAGCCGCCAATTCTCACCTCCTTTTGTATGAGTGCGAATGCATTGAAGGGTGGAATTGAGTCCTCTGGTGCGCCGACCTGAATGAACTGCCTACCAACACCAAGTAAGCTCAGATATCCCATCAATGGCATTTTTGGAGAAGACACAGTGGAGACAATGAGATCGAGAGAGTTCGCATGTGCTGTAGCCCAGTCTTTGTCTTCCTCGGTCGAGACGAAACCAGTGGCGCCCATCTTCAATACATCTTGTTTCTTTGCTGATGTTCGTGAAATTGCACCTATTTTGTCACAGCCCAATGCTTTGGCAAACAGGACACCGTAACGGCCCAGACCGCCAATGCCAACAATTCCTACTCTCTTGCCTGGCCCAGCACCGTTCCTCATCAACGGCGAGAAAGATGTGATGCCACCACACAACATGGGCGCAGCATCTTCGCTTGAGAGCTCGGCCGGGATTTGAACACGAAATGGCTTGGACCTCGCCAACAATCCGCATAGCCGCCATATGACTTGCCAATATCGCCAGGATATCTGCTGTCGAATGTGGCCACCATGCCGTTCTGGCAATGCTGCTCATTGTTATCGGCGCATTCTGCGCAGTCTGGCCTGAGGCACGAGCTCGACTGAGCGCCAACGCCAACACGATCGCCAACTTTAATGCCACCCTCGGCTTTAGAGCCGACTCGGACCGCCTTGCCAACAATCTCGTGACCGATGCAGCATGAGTAGTCGGTCTCGCCCCAGCCGGGTCGAAGAGTATGAAGATCAGATCCGCACATACCACAGTGTGTGATCTGTGAGACTGGGGTCAGTATGAACGATCTCCGAAGGTCTGACCTTTAACTCACTTGGATGTCAACATCTGTCTCCTCCCACTTCTTTGGCTCATATTCCTGCCATTTCATGTTACCCTTGTCGGCAGACTTGTCGAGGCCCATCCATCCCTGGAACTGGTAGTCGGTAGACATGGTGAAAGAAAGTTTTTGGCGGTGCTGTTGCTATGGGTAATCGTGATGCTTTCAAGAAAAATATCCAGAGGGTCTGGTGGGAAAAAAAGGTCTCGGACAATGGCCAGATTCACTGTTTCTTATATTCTGTTCTAGCATCAACGCTACTCTATATCATTGCGTCAAGTGCAGCAGAACTGTAAATCGCTCTCTAGGCGACACCGGCAATTGCATCTCTTCAGTAGCCTGCTCGGCCATGCTTACCCACGGCAGAGCCATGCAAATTTTTACCCTCCACGGTGAACCATGATATCATTCCCATCTAGGAAGCATGCTATATCGCCCAGGCATATGCAGGTTTACGAGTAGACCCGAACATCTGTGGAGGCTGTAAATTGACTGGTATAAGACTAGCCTGAATTGTACGGTCGTCGTTCATGGTCAAACCATAGTAGACGCCAGGAATGACAATAAGCGCAAATTGAGATCAAATCATTACTCTGTAGTAAAGATAGGTGGCGGGAGTACGGAATCGTGCATCAAAAGTCATCAATATACGCTAAAATTAGAGCGCCACTAGCATACTCGATCTACGTAGTAAGGATTAGAGTCACGTAAAAAATGTGCTATAAAGGTGGAGCCCTAGAGCTGCTATTATGAACCCCCTTTCTCTAGAGACTCCTAGGGCCATCCTTAGATCATTTAATATGGCTCACAGACCTGTCTCAGTTAAGCTTCAGCCATCAGCCCCTTCTGACCATCCCTACGCCTCTATGCACTGCGACCTCGGGTATATCTCGGGCTGTGCACCACTACAGCACATAGCAGACAGCACATAATGAGGTTTTTCGGTCTGCCTCTTCTCTCCATCCTTCCGCTGCAGCTGCCTGCCTGCGACAAGCTCAAGATTGTGTCAAGAAGCCGAATATTTCATGCAAGGTTTCATATATGTCAAGATGGTCCCCTGGCGACCTGAGGAGGTTTGCTTATCGAGCAATCAGAACAATCCTGTCACACTCCCATAAGTTGAGCTAGCTCTTCCGGACTGAGAGTGCTTCTTCTTCTGCTGACCTTCTTTGGCCTTGAAGACTTCAAAGCTTTCCTTTTGTGCGGCTCTCCTTGCTGTTGTCTGTTCTCTTCCGCTTCTCGAGCCTCGGCCTCAACTTTCGCCAACTTTTCTGCTACTGACAATAACTTTGTCTTCTTCCGACCCTGTCCTGGCAATCAGCAGAGCACTAATGCAATCTCATGATTGGCTTACCTGGGAAGAAGATTTTAGTGGTTGGCTCGTATTTAGGTCGACATCGAGGTCAACACTGCTGTCAAGACTACCAATGCCCGAATCTGCACTTGAAGAGGTAAATGTACTCCGACTAGAATTGTATTGCTTTCGTTGCACCTGGTCCATTTCGCTAAAGGCGGCAACTGGTGCTGGGAGCCGTACGCCTCTTCTTGCGGGTGAGGAAGCGAGTCGCTTTGCGGGTGGCGGTGCTGCAACCTCATGGATCGCTTCCGGCTCAGCATTGCCAATTGCTTGGTCACTGGCCCTACCCGTGTCTTCTTCCACTGCCTCCGACTCATCATCATACATCCCCGTTGACAACTCGTCCTCGTCCGTGGATGCTTGAACGTCAGACATTACAGCCATACTCTTACCCAATCCAAGGCTGCTAAGTTCGTCGAGGTCCACAGTGTTGCCGCCCTCAAGCATTCGTTTCCTCCATGTATCCATCATAGTGACGGCATCTTTCCATCTGCTGGCCATCTTCTCCCATCCTTCTCTCAATTTGATGATTTCGTCCTCTCGGATTTGTACCTCCTCTATTGAGACGAACGAAGGGTCTTTTAAGATTGCGCGGCAGTGGTCTACTACCCCCTCCATCTGCTCTGCGAGTTCTTCGCATGATACCAGCCTTTCAGGTTGTGCAGACTGTGTGTTGGCTCTTGACTGTTTGTACTGGCCAGGAATTCCAATTTCGGGATCAACATGTGACTTTTCTGGAGCCTGGTCCAGCCCAGTCAGCTCCTTCAGATTTTCCACTGTTTCGCCAACTATATGTCTCAATGCGACATTTTCTGTACTTGTTTCGTTCACCAAAGCAGCCAAAAAGTCGTTAGTCTCTTTTTCCAGACTCCAGTTTTCATCATCTACCGGGACACCAGACCCACCCCCGCGCTCCTTCTTCGGCAGGGGTGGTTGAGGATTCAACTGAACTATCTTCATTCCGCTCGAGTGTGTTGCGCCCCGCTGCATCCCCGTGACATGCTTCTTCAGTTTCTCAAGCTCGATATCCCGCTTTCGAACGTCATTCACACATTTTGCCCGCACCTGGTCCAACGTTGACTTCATCTTTGCCATCTGTTCCTTGAGCTCTCGCGCGCTGACTTCCGCCTTATGCGCTGATGCTTCCAGGGATCTTTTCTGAGCGTCTGCGAGTGCTGAGTTACGCAGCAGCTCAGCATTTCTGGCCTGTAGTTGCTCGATCTCCCTTGATCTCCGCACCTCCTCTGCTCTCAGGTTGCGAATGTTCGTAGTAAGGGATTCGCGCTGATCTGCATCACGATCACGTCGTATAACAAGGTCATGGACCAGGTTAATGATCTTGGCCATTGTATGCTCTGATTCACCGCTTCCCTCCTTGACGCAGGCAAAATCAATGGACTTGCCATTGCGTAACAGGCCGCGTGCAAGAAGCAGATTATTCAGGTAGGTGGAAGCGTTGTGCAGGCTGCCTGAATCCATTTTGAGGTTGTCGCTAAGTATTAATGTGCAAAGTTCTTCATGGCTGAGATGCATGGGCCGAGATAGGCAAATTGTAAATAGACGAGGCGGCTAGCGCCGACGCGTTCCCCACGATCGGTACCAACTTTGAAATACGGAGCACATCCACAGACCTCGGGTGCCTGAAATCTTTCAGGATTGGCATATCTTTCCAATCTCGAAATAACAGCAAACATGAAGTCCAACAAGTCCACGGCTGCTCCTAGCAGTGCGTACCTTCGTTTCCAACAGGCAGGCGAGAAAGCTCTACAGGAGAAGCAATTTGATTCTGCCAAACGTGCATTTGATCATGCTATTTTACAAGTCTCCCACGATCCCAACCGGGATACATCGACCTTGATCTCGATTCTAGATCTGCGACTTGAAGCGCGACTTAAGTTGGGAGACTTTGATGCTGCTGTCAAAGATGCTCGCACCATGTTACGTTACGATCGAACCGATGCTCGTGGCTACCTACGATGCGGCCAGCTGGCCAGGCTGAAGAGTGAATTTGCTGGAGCACAAACGTGGTATCAGCAGGGACTCAAGAATGTTCCTCAGAACCACGAAGGCTATCGCAAACTGGCATCGTTGAGCGCGAAATCAATTGACAAAAGCGCAGCACCACCAAACAAATGTCGAGATCCTCTCACCGTCCTGCCACTCGAAATCATCCACATGGTGTATCGGTATCTAGATCTGCAGGAGGCAACGTCATGCTTGAGGGTATCCAGGTTATGGCGCAACAGTCTTCTTGCCACTCACTGCATATGGAATACATTCGATCTCACGGGAATCAAAATACCCATGATAGTCAGGCACCTCAAGGCCTGTATACGGCGTTTACCAAATCCACCCACCACAGTTCGTTTGAATAAATTGACTCCTACTGCTGTCACGCACCTGTCAGAATACCTTAGGGCGCATTGGAATAACACTCTAGAGCACCTTAGTATTGACCTCCCTCACCTCCTGGATTTGGACTCATTTCGACGGTCGGCACGAGCAGTGAAGAGCTTGCACCTCGGTGTGCGGTGCCCGGTTGACTTCAAGTCGGTTAGCGATCTACTTCGCAGTTGCAATACGCTGCGATACGCTCGTTTCGATGCTATCCTAAAGAGCCGACAACCTTCGGACCCCATCCACGATGATTTGCGTTGTGAATGGGAGGAGAAAAGACAGAAGACACCGTTACTTCTGGCCCATCTTGCACTGACCGCCGTGTTTAGGCCATGGGAGGGAGACGAGCGCTTCATTGACCCGGTAAGTCTGTCTCCCTTGAGAGTCATCTATCGGCTGACGTTGGAAGTCTGGTCTTTTCCACGACCTTCCAAACCTCGAAGAGTTACAGTGTAGCGGCTTTGCTTTTCGAGGCTTGGATGCAGACCTGTCCAAGGCGAAGTGCTTGCGTCAACTGATCCTACGAGATTGCAGGCCTCAGTGTGACCTCAGGCTTCCCAGCTCACTAGAGGTCCTAATATGCAAAGAGACTCACTGTCCGCCATGGCCAGTGCCGCATCCACTGCTAGGGTTCCAACAACACGCTGAGAACGTCCAGACGTTATTCAATCTCAAAGTTCTCGAAATGGATCTTGATGGTCGGCATCTTTCGCGCGTTTTTAGACTGATTAAAGATTCTCCTACAGCAACATTGACGAGACTCGATCTCAGCGGTAGTGATATGGCGCCGCAACATCTGAGATCGTTATTAGCGGCGGGGAAATTGTCTCAACTTACCTTCCTCGGCCTCCGTCATATCGACTTACTCGACGAGCATGTGCAAAGCATTGCTGTTGGCTGCCCCATGCTGGAACACGTCGAGTTTTCTGGCCTGAGAATCACAGGTGTTGCGATCAAGGAACTCTGCATGCGCACCCAGATCAAGGAACTCAGATTGTCGGCCTGCTCTTGTATCTCAGCAGATGCGATCGCGTGGGCAAGAGCCAGAGAAATCACCGTTGTTATTCAAGAACCCGAATGCAGACGCACGTCAGCCAGGAGAGTGCGCTATGGCTGAACACTTTTGGAGGCACCATCATGCGTGGATTTCTGCCCAGAAGTTGCCCAGTGCGTCTATCAGGACGAGATCGGGGCGATTGGGCCCACCCACCAGAGCGAAACGCAAACTTCATAATGATTTTGACTCGTGGCTCTTTTTTGCAGCCAGCGTGGTCGAGTTGCCGCCTCCCCTCCCAGCGGGGCTGACAACAACGAAAGAACGCAAAAGTCTCATCGTCTACGTGGCTCACCATCTAATCAGAGGGTTCAGGTTGATATAACGCCATGAGCGGTAAAAATAGTACTTGCCAGGACCGTTGAGCATACATAGGAGCGGGATGATGTCGAAAGCACAGTAAAAGGCTTGAACATGGCATCTGCTGAGTCGTAGGAACATGCCTTGCTGTGACTATCTGGATGGCCTGGAACAGGAGGCTGTTAGTGATTGGAAATACTCAATAGTGAGTGGAGGACATGAATTGGTCTGGCTGCTACGTACGTAGTAGTAGGATGCTCGTACGCGGCGGCTAAGGCCCTTTCGATTGCATGCAGGGCTGTTGGCTCGCCTGAAGAAAGTCTATGCCTTTACGGATACAAGGGCCGGTTTATCCAAAACGAGACCTCTCATCGTTCTTCGTTCTTCGTCCTTCACTCCAAGTACAGCAGCCGCCAATTCCACAATCTCCTCTACCACTGTATTCTCAATCACGGTCAGGTTGCTCCTCACTCAGCCGCACCGTGCATCCAAGTATCCACGTCACCCGTGACCTTGAATCGATGCGATCCCTCCTTCCCCGCCCCGTCTCCACCAGCCTCTTCCACCGTCATCTTCATCCTCTTCTTCTGCGGCTCCGCGTCCTCGTTGGCATTGTCAGGATCAACTTCCCTCTCCGTGGACGCCTCCGACGCAGCATCATCCTCCATCGTGGTGTCGTTCTGCTTGTCCTCAGCTTTCCGCTTCCATCCCTGAAGCCCAGCTCCTCCGCCCCCAGTCTCGACAACCTCCACAGTCTCTGCCATTTCCGTTGAAGCCGGCCCTGCCTCAGCACCCTCAGCCACATCTTCATTATCGGTTCTGTTGGGCCCAAGACCATTACGGCCGACCATTCCTCGAACCCGTTCCATCATCTCCTTATGCCAGATTTCCTGCTCAGCCAGTTCGTTGATCTGCTTCTGTCTGATGTGCTCGAGGCGTTCCAGCATATCTGGCGGCACTTGCTGGGGTAGGAGCGGGGTCGGTGGGGTTTTGCGTTCGGGTGGGGAGGGGATGGTCATAGTTGGTGCACCCTGTCTTGCTAGTCTGCGTGCCATGATGACTGATCTTCCAGGGCTATGACGATGAGCTTTGTGGGTGAGAGGGTTGAGGTTGCGATATTCTTTGTCTCCTCTTGATTGATAAGTTAGTAGGTGAAAAGAGCGGTTGGTGAATTAAAGAAGGATACGGTGTTGATTGCACTTGGGAGAAGACGAATGACGGCGGATTCCTTCTTCTTCTGTGATGGCGTAGATGGATGTATGTTTAGACGAACGACACGTTGGATGTCTGCAGTGCTGTGTCTCGATACTGGCCGATCTGAAAGCTGGATACGGGTGTGGGATGGGCGATGGATGTTGCTCGACGTCAATAGAGGAAAGGGGCCACTGACACCGAAGGTGATGCTGTTTTGCTTACGTCGCTTGATTGGTTCGAACACAGCAAATCCAAGAAGTTCAGCCCCTGAAGAGTATCCGGCTGCGGCTTTTTGTCTTCTGCCCTCTGAAATGGGAGTTGAAAACAGTACCTGTGCAACTTATAAGATTACGATACTGTGCGGTTGCAAGACCGTCAGCTGGGATAGGAGATCCGAGAACCCATGCGAAAGGAGAAGATCCCTCGGTGAATGTGTGACGGCTTACCTGTATTGTTTGTCGAGTAAATTTGGCTATTGTGATGCTTACTGTTCTGCTTGGAAGCCGATTGACCGCAGAGAGGCTGTCTTTCACTGATTTTCCTTCTTCTCAAGAACGAGATGCGCTAATACATGAAGGGTTGGAGTCTGAGTATTGGTTGCTTTGTCAAGGAAATAGAGTATACACCTGAGTGGCTAATGGCGGAGCATTCAAAATTTATGCCGCTCTGCCTGTGTGTGCCAGGCGGAAGAAGGCCTTCGGTGTTTTCCGGGCGGTCTGAACACCGGTAAAAAGTGGCCAATTTTCCATAGGCAGCGAAGCCCGGACAGCCATTTCAACATGTGCCCGCGTTCCCGTTCCCATAGCTGGGTATGTTCCGGCTTTGACCGATGAACAGATGATTGATCGACTGCCCTGCATCTAAGAGTATCCAACTCGATCAAGCAACATAAGCAGATAACCAATCAACCCAGCATGTTGCAGACAACAAGAACAAGAACATCACCTCACTGGCGATGGAAGAGGCTGGCTAAAAGCTACTTGCAGGATGGGTATGCGCACTTCAGAGGCATAGCTGGGGTTGAGAGACCTCACGACGGCGATGATAGCAAGAGAAGACAACGGACTGGTGTTTAAGGAGAGAAAGCATGGCAGCAGAGATGAAGCAGACAAGGAAGAGGAGGGTACTCTCTGCCAGTGCCTCTGCCAGTGGTCATAGAAGGGCTGACTAGCTTCAACATATTCGAGCCCCAAGACTCCCGGGCAAGGTAGAAAAGGATTCGAATCTGTGGGTGGGATGGGGATGGATCATTGCCTGTGAATCTGTTATTGTTCATTGGTAAGAGAGGCTGGAAGAGGTGCAGAAAGAGATGCAGGAATGCCTTTGTCACGTGGGACGGTTATCCGCGGATGATGACGTACTAGTATGCCAGTGCAAAGAAGCACATACTACTGCTGGTACTACTCCTACTTAGCAGCATCAGTATGTCAACATCTTCACTTTGGCTAACAAGTCTTCAGGCAGCTCTTCCTTCTTGACCAAACCCAGCTGCAAACAGTCACCCCAGAAGAACAGTGCTCTATCCTGAGCATAGGCCAAATAGTCGAACTCCTCACTCCCTCCCTCCCCTTCCTCGTCATCCCCCTCCCTATGCGACTCCTCGATCTCGCGGCCCTCAGGTCGATCCGTTTTCGATTCCTTCTGTTTGGCCAGGACCTCCGCACCCAGTGGATCTGACTGGGGCTTTAAGTGTGCTCGGACTTTTCCAATGAGTCTATCAGTCTTGCTCTTCTGTGGCTGGGGTTGCCCCATATCGGGAACCTTGGCTTGTACAATGCCCCAAGCGACCCAGTGAGCACTGCACATGCCTCGCCATAGTTTCGCATCTCGAATCAGAGCCTCGATCTGCCCTTCCAACACTTTCTCTCTGGCTCTCTCCTCTGCCTGATAATTAGGGGCCGATCCCGCTGGTGCACGTGAGTCAAGCATGAAGGACGAAACCGGATTCACGCTTGGTGAAGGTGCGCTGAGCTTTGGTGTGCTGGTCAAGGAACCTTCCATACTGAACACCGGCCGGTGTTGCACGTAGGCTTGAACGAATCGATGCTGCTCCTCTAGGGTGGGATAGTAAGCCGGATTGACTGACCAAGGTCGTTCCGGATGGTGGTAGTTGTAGCACCACTCTGTGAAGTGGTTGGCAAATTCGAAGCCTGGGAGGTTGGCACTAGCATACTCGAAATCAATGACAACGAGCTGTTTATGCTCATTCTCGGGATGCAGTAATGGAGATTCGCCAGACGGCCGCAGTCGCAACAGATTCCCATATTGCGTCTACAACTATTAGCTTAGCCTGCGCATTCACGAATGTGGTACATACATCGTTGTGTGCGAAGACCAGTTGTTCCTTGATGCCTTTCTTGCCGCCGTGCCTCTCTATTATGTACTTACGATACTTGTCGACAGTCTTCCTGAAAAAAGGCCACTCCACTCCGCAGACAAGGCCTCTCGACCTCCATGGCTTCGATTTGGAGACAGGCTGATCCTGGCTTTGAGACAAAATCTGCTTGTCGACCCAGGTAATGACTTGTTCACAACGATCGACCCATTTGTCCCAGTTCACCCACACGAAAGGTCCACTATCCCTCTCTTCTTCAAGTAGATCAATGCCATCATGTAGCTCCCTCATTCGTTTAGCAATCTGCTTCGATGTCTCCGGAACGCGCATATCCTCGGGGGTGAGAGTGCGAGCATACAAGAACTCTTCGAATCGACCATTCGTAAAGGTGCCAAGCAGACGTGGTCCAATACTCTTTCGGGAAAGTCGCCGAAGAATGGCAAGTTCTGCCTCGCGATCAATTAGATGCTCCACCTGAGGTCCATATATTCGCAGCAGCAGTTTAGGTGGAGGCTTCTTGGTTGTGAGAGATGTACCGCTCTCAGTTGTCGCAGAGGCTTCTGGCATTGTCTCCGGAGGAGACACCACATATACAGCATTAGTCAGTGCTCCACTCAGTCTCTCCACTAAGATGTCGCCTCCGTTCTCAATGGGCACCCGCTTCCACCGCTTGAGCTTGAGAGTGTGGGTAAGCCGTACAATCTCACACTTGAAACTGGTCCAGTTTTCCTTGTCTTTTGGACTACTAGTCGGATCATCGCTACCATCTGCCTTGCCGCCTGTATATGCCATGGCCTTCGAATTATCGAGTGTAGCTTCAACGTTCGGAACCAGCAGTTCTCCATTCTGCTCGGCATCCGATGCAATGCTCATTGAATTTGGCTTCAGCCTCCTAGCAATTGAGCTTTTTCGTAACGCTGCAAATGGAGTGCGTTGACTGCTTGTGTGGCCAGGAACGCCCTCTTTAGTTGCTGTGGCGGCATACCCTGCAAGTATGCGTTCGAGCTTATCAAGAGCGAGGGCACCCTCTGAAGCTTGTGAAGTACTCCTAGGTCGATAACCAGCACCTCCGTCCTGGGTCTTACTGACATCCTCTGATGAAGTGGTCTCCTCTTGCTTGAGTCTTCTGCTGACTTGTTTAGCCTTTTCATCTTGCAACCAGCTTGCCACCTGAGATAGCAAACTTTCTGCGTCTTCCGTTGGTAGTGGCACATCCGCCGATGTTCCTTGCATCTGATCAAGCCTTAGACTAGAAATTTGGCGGCTTAACGAGTGAGTGGAAGGATTTGTAGAGAAGGGTGGGCGACCAGTCAACTTCCTCCCACTTAAGCTTGCACGATGGACTTTGGTACTCTCACGAGCCACAACAGTAGGGGAGATCTCTTCTGGCTCTGCTTGAATAGTCACCACTGAAAAGCGTTAGCCTATGGCAGGATGGGATTCTCAAAATGAAGGCTTCAAAATGAGCGAAGACAAGGTTCAGTGGCTATTGTGCTTCTCATTCTCAGGTGTATGCATGCTCATAGACTTGCGTTTATGACCCTGAGACATTTGTTCTCAAACAGTTGTGAGTGCTGTAGTACAAATGAAACTGTTCTGGTCTTTAAGATAGCAAAATTGGTCACAACGCAAACATGAAATCGCAGCAGAGGCAAACTACCTTTTGTCGAGCTCGCATCTGATGTTGCTGAGCCAATTTGTGGCCTTTTGTCGCTTGTCGATGCCATGCTGTACGATCGATCCATGTTTGTCTAACCATACTCTTAAACAGCAGAATATCAGAGCAATCAGCTTAATTTTTGGTTGTGAGGCATAATCTGAACAGTCGCATGTACACCATGGAGATCTGACATGGGTTGTTGACAATAGCAGTATCAGTAGTTGCGAAAATACTACTATAAAGATACCCAATTCCCATAGGTCATGGAATGAAGTGTTGAGGAATCTCCAAAACAGGTTATCAGGTACCTGATAGTGGGAAAGGGCTAATTCGGTGCTAATCTATAATCTGGATCTAGACAAAGGGTTTGTGTCAAATTACTGTTCAGGCCTACATGGCATGTGCGTACCTTACATATCGCGCGGACATCTTCCACCGCTCAACAAACTACGATAGAAGTTGAAGACAAGCAGAATGATGGCGAAATTATCAGAGCTTAGCTCGCAAGCCTGCAAGCCTGATTTATTTGGATTCGCGATTTGAGGTTCAAGCGACATTTAATGTCTCCGCTCACGGACAACATCCCGTGAGCACCCAACCCCTTATATTGTGGCTCGAGATATTGTACATGGTGTGTATGCTTCGCTAATGTCACACGCACCGTAGGACTGAGTCTAAACAAAGTCAGCTTTTCAACGCCCAGCAATGCCCGCCCCTCTTGGATCCAAAACATTTCCCATACTAACACCACGCTGTACAATAAAGGATTTGTGTCACCGGTTCGTAAGCTTCTGAGATCGTTGAAACGTGTGTAGTCGATCATCGTCATTCTGCCGCTGGCTGGCCTCTCCATTCCCATCTGATTCCTCCTCTAAATCTGTGAGGCCAAAGGCGCTATGCTCAACATCATAGTTGTGTATCAGACCGTCACTCTCTCTACTTCCCCCTTCGCCCACGTTGAAATTCAGACTACTGCTCCTTCGATGTGGGTCGGCGCTGCTCCTTCTTGCCTGCATGCTCCGTCTTGTCTGCAAGCTGGCCACAGGATCTGTAGGGATGCCCTCGTCGCCGATCATTTTGCCATTCATCATCTGATGGCCGTCAGGGTCTCCGCGGGCAAGGTTTAAGAGATAGACTCCCGCAAAGATGACGAGAAATCCGCACAATAAAGAAATTGTGTTGACAGCATCCACCGTATTGAATCCTTGGAAAAGAATGAAAGATGCACAGAGCGTGGCGGTAGTGAAGGTGACGTAGTAGAGGGGATTAACAATCGACGTCGAGAACTGGCTCAGAGCCTTGTTGAAATAGTTCATCTGAGTCATGATGGCCACTGCGGTGACGATCATGAATACATACGTCGAGGGAAATTTGAACTGGTTGTTGCCATTCAAAGTGAGTTTGAGGGCAATCCCGAATGCCTTGACAGACATGACTGAGACGGACCCCACCGTTGAGCAAATGGATAAGTATATTAGGGGGTTCTTCTTGCCGTATTTGGGAGCCACCCTATAGATCATAACGATGGAAAATGCGATTACAGCAAGACAATATATAACGAATCCTGAACGTAGTCAGCTAATACGCTTATCTCCAACGAAGCTGCGCTGACCTGGTCGGAGGGCATGATCCAGAATTTCACCAACATTCTCGATCTTTTCGTCTGGAGGAGCATGGAGCACAATAATCACAGAGCCCAGGAGGCAAATTGCGCAGCCCAGCTTCCCCAGCGTACCAAGCTCTTCTTTGAGGAAGTACGCACCAAGTACGGCTCTATGCAGATTTAGCAAGGCTTAATCAGACGTCTCTGGACGTCTTACCCGATGAGGACACTCAATGCACCCAAGGGTGTGACAAGTATAGCGGGCGCAAAAGCGTATGCAGCAAAGTTCGAGATCTCTCCCAGAACCACTACAACTTGTTCAGCTCAGCGTCTTGCAGTTGCCCACGGATCATCTCACATGTTGTTATTCCTGCCCACCATAGCGGCATCTTCAAATATGCGTATCCTTCCCCCTCGAAGCCATGCTTATCAGCTGCATCGTTGAGGCCCTGTACGTTGAGGTCAGGTTGAGAAGCTCAAGGGTATCTAAAAGCGTCTGAGATTCCCAGACGAGGGGGAGCTGATTGTAGTCTTTCGGAAAGCAGTCGGATACATACCTTCTTGGTAATGACAAAGCTCGTTCCTATGAAGACAATGGTCAACCTTTTGCGAATACCACGAATCGAAACTGCCTCACCTATTGCTAAGGTTGAAGTGATGGCCAAGGCCAGACCAACATATCTATCCCTTGTATCAATTATATGTCCATAGATATCGTTGCATATCGACGTACTTGTCCTCTATCATTCTTTCCCAGGCTCAGCTGAGCTGGCCCGTAGAGAGGTATCGACCAAAGCGCGATTGGATGCCCCTTTGCCTTCGCAATTATCGCATACAACGGCGCTAGAGAGGGGAAGGAAGCAGCCGGTCCGTTCGCAGGACTGCTGGAGAGGACGAAGCCGGAGGCCTTCTTCGAATGCTTCTGCGAGCGCAGGTACGTGGTATAAGGCTCGATTTCAAGATGGGCCCAAAACGAGTGACAAGGTGGCCGCTACTGAAAAGCGGGACTACTCAAGTGGCGAGCAGGTGAGATGTTCGAACGGCCAGGCGATTGTAAGGAGTGTTCTTTGAGGGGCAGAAAGAGTTTCAATTGAATATCCTTTGTATTCTGTGCATGTCCAACACTTCCTCAAGGAATGAATGGTTAGGACAGACGTCGCAACTGGTTTCACCCAAGTTGGCTAAGGGGGGCCACCAAGCAATCGATAAGTACTACGTACAACTCGCCTGCAGCCCAAATGAAAACGCGCGCCTCTTTCCGCAACCGTCCAATGCGACCCCATCTACAGCCCTGGTCAACCCATGCATTGATCACCCTGCTGCCAACCAGCTCGGCTTGATCCGCAACCCACAGCAGATCTCTCCTGACTCCTTACTAGAACGAACCTCTTCGTCGCTGTCCTCGATCTCGATCAGAAGAAGCGGAAGAGAGGCGAACCGTAGTGTGCCACGATGTTCGTGCTCCGGCTGCTTCTGCCTGGGGCTTCGGCCACGCTGCATGAACGCTTCTCCTCAATTGGACACCGAGCTGCCTTGCGGATGCCTTGCCAATGACATACACCTACACATCATTCCCTACGATTTTTTCCTAGTTGTTTTTTCCTTCTGCCTCTTCTCATCAATTTGAAGTAGCATTACAACATTCTCTACTACAAACCAGACATTTAACCCGTTTGCTAAGAAAACTTCTGTGACTCTGCCTACGATACGATGTCTGCCTCTGACCTCCCCACGAAAACGCAGCTCACGAAGAGCTGTAACGCTGCGGAAAATCTTCTCGATTCGCTAAACAGTCACACAAACATTACTCTCATCAATCGATCAAGAATCGTCCCCTTAGTCAAAGCGTTATTCACCTCACTACAACGCCTTGAGGACGACGAATCTGATCCGGACGGCGCTTTCCATACTGCAGCCACACGCGCCCGACTCAACTTGGCTGTCAACTTAAGATATTGCGACGTCGTTGCAGATCGTGTACAGGAGCGCATCGATTCCAATACACTGCGACGTGACGACGATCTCGGTTTGGAGCTGTTGGCCGTAAATGCTGAGATTGAACGATTCCTGAAGCTTCGTAAAAGAAAAGCCACCGCCACAGCGCAAGGCAAACAAGGATCTACATCAGACTCGTCAGCAATCGTTGAAGATCTTTTACGAAAGCAGGAGAATCATGAATCTGTGGTGGAAGCCTTAGGTAACAACTGTTATGGACAATGCCGGTGCTGTAATGCTAATGTTGGAACAGAGGCCGAGCTCCGTACCCTGTATGCTCGTGAAAGTACCTTCGAGCAAGAAAGTCTTGCCATGAACCAGGAGATAGGCGAACTAAAGAATCGCAACGAAGCGAAACTCTCTCATATTCGTCGTTTGCATGCTGCTATTGCGAACCTTGGCCTTAGACATCCCATGCCTTATACAACACAAGACTGGGAGGAACTGAGTGTTGAGCTGCCAGCCATGGTTCAAAGAATCGAGAAGATCAATTTCACGCTCAAGGAGCTGGAACTGGAGCGCGACAAACGATATGACCAGGAGTGTGATTCTGAGGAGGACTCGATCCATGGCCAAGTGCCAACTGTACCCAAGGCACCATCAGCAGGGACTGGACCTAAGTCGGCAACCAAAGAGAAAGACAGGGAAAAAGATAAAGATGGCGACAAGAAGAAGAAGGAACAGCGAAGGTCAGTGGATGCTAAGGCCACCTCGAAGATTAGGAGCCCAAGTCCGACCTCGAGCGAAACGAGCAAAGCCAACACAAGCAAATCAGTGAGAAGGAAAAGCCGACACCACCACCCCGGATCAGGCTTCTTTTTTGGGACATGAAGCCAGAAATGGGTTCGCCCTGCTTTCGTCGTGGCCTGATGCTGGTTCAGAGCCTCTCTTCTCGGGCGAGGCGTTGGGGGACCTCTATCCTGCAGGCTCTTTCAGAACTCTGCATTCCATATAATTTATTTCCTTGTATAGCGCTGGTGGCCATCTAATGTCTGATGTTCGGATGTGTACATCTGTATTTAAATACCCTAGGCCAAGATTAATACATCCGAAATCTGGTTCCTTCCAAATCAAGTCTCTGCCACGCATGTTAGGAGACCCCCAAGACCCCTAATTTCAAAGGTAGACCGGAGGATTCTCTATCCACCTGAGTTTCTCTTACACATTTGATTGCCATGCCATCATTACTGAAAGAGGTAGTGTACTACCACAAATCGACGCCTTGGACATTCTGCCGACTAGCCTGATTGCTTGAAAGTGGATATTTCTTTAGAACAATACCCAGAAAAGTAGACAGCCAGTTGCCGGAACAGAGTGGATGTCTTCCATGGACATTCAGGTAAATAGTGAATGGACCAGTCCCACGTGACAGAAGGAACTCTCAAGAGAGGACCGAGATTGTTTAGAGTATTGCCTGAAAGATAGGTGCCGTCGATGTAACTTGCAGCACTAACTTACGGAGCAGGAAATCAGCTTGCTGAATACTTAATGCGGAAAAGCAACTGCCTTCCATCGAGCAGAGCTTTCTAACCCTAAGCGCACCTCTGCCCAATGGAGCAAAGGATGGCCTTCCATCCATCAGGATTTCTCTAACCCTAAGCGTCTTTCTACCTGAAACGGAACTTTGGGACTTTCATCCACCAGAGCTTTCTAATCCTAAGGCTGAGCAGCCTCCGAAACTTCTTGAAACGGGGTCGTTTTGGTCTTCTTGCCAAGCTGCATGCCCTTTCCTCTTGTAGCCAGGGGCTTGTTAAGTGTCTTGTTTTTCTCGGCTTCATAGCTACCGTGGGTTTCTCTCACTGTGGGTCTGGAAGGAGGTTCATGCGTAGGGTATTGAGGAACTTTCGGTGCCACACCGCGACCAAATGCTGCTGATCGAGCCGCCTCTTTACGCTGCATCTCAAGCTGCTTGGCCTTACGTTTCCGTTCTTCTGACACTTCGAGCTCTTTGTTCCGAGCTATTATCTCTTGTATCCGTTCCTCGTGGGACTCCATCTCTAGAAACGTCTTGATCTGAGTAAGGGACAGATTCTCGCGGTAGCCCAGAGTGACGAGTTCGTCGAAGGCGCTGAGCAATTCGAAGGCATTGCGGGATATCTCTCGCTCATCCAATTTCTTGCAGATGCTCGTGACGACCTGCGCGAAGAGATGCAGACTGTCTATATCTTGTAGTATATTCGATTGGCGATTTGTGATCAGGACCATGTAGAGCTCATCCAGAGGCTGGTAGACGAATCGCACATTGTCTTGTTCGACCGTTGTGTGCTGGGTGCCGGAAACGGCGAGCTTAGGAAAGGAAGCCAACAGAGCTTCGACTCGTGATCTGGCAATCTCTCGAAACTGGCGCGAGAGTACGGCCTTTCCCCCGCGAGTGCAGATCGAAGCCGCAAGGACAACCTGCACAAATGCCTCAGTATTGTAGTATATTGGTGTTCTTGATAGACTTACCATAGCGGAATTGGGTACTTTAGAAGCACTGAACTGTGAGGAAGTGGTTTGGAGTATCACCTTTCATTCAGCAGCCCACAAATTGACGGAAATCGCGGTCAAGGCTCTTCGCAAGCTTCTGATTGTGGAGTGTTGAAGCTGTCCTCTTCACCACCACTGCATTGTGGTCCGTGCCGTTATGCGGGCTTGGCTATTTCCGGATCCTCAGCTTTTGCTTGCAAACATATTGAACTCGCATCCTCGCACCTGCTCGTTTCTCTATTTCCCCATCTAATCGCCACCTGATGTTCGTCATTCCAGCACTCCGTTACAGCAAGTTAAATCTCTTCTTCCCCTACAAACTTGTCAGGAAGATTTTCAAGGCTAGAGCGCCTTGAATGACGCGCCATTTAGCCATCCCTTTCACTCCAGGACAAGTTATTGCAGGCCACAAATAAATTCACAACTCATCTCCCCAAAACCTTCTTACTCTTTCACCACTACGTGATTGTAACCACTGAGGTGATGTGCCACCATTCCTGAGTACAAAGCTCCGTCAAGTCTCTCCCTGCGGCCGGGTTGAACCTTCGCGCAAGCTCACTAGAAAGGGCTACTGTTATGACTGCAGTTGCCTCTCAATACCCAGACATGGACTTTTTGCAAGCCGAAGATCAAATGGATCTCGCGTCTACGCCAGCGGTGCCGCTGGAGGACGTTGACTTTGAGCTCGACGACATTCGCGAGATTTCGGCAGAGCCAAATCAAGACATTATGGTGCAGGATGAGCCCGAACACCCACTAGCAGATTCAGACCTCATGCAACCATCGATGAGTGATCATGTCGATGATGATCTCATGCTGGATGAGGATACGATAACTCAGCAGGATGTTCAAGCAGATCTACCCGAGTTGCAAATGGACAATCACCTAGACGATGGCGATCAACTCGACGAAGATGACGACATATTGTACGAAGATGAAGAAGGTCTAGTGGAGGATGGAGGCACAATCGAAGATTTGACGAAAGAACAAGGGATGGTAGAGATGGGTGCAGGACATCCAGAAACAACCCAGGAGATCCAGAGCTTCGATAATGTCAAGACTAAGCTACAAGCAACAGCAGACGTTGGCCCATATGCTAATGAAGAACTCCGAGGAGCTGAAGAGACTAACAACAATTTAGAGGAGCAACAAGCATCGCCAGCAGGAACGATTGTTGATGTCAGTCAGGATGGTAATGCGAGTACGAGGCCAGGCAGTGATATTCTAAATCAACAGCCAGGCCTGACATTCTTGGAACACAACCCCAACAACGGCTCCGAAGCCCAAGCTGACATCGACTTTTACGACGAAAGTACAACTAATGAGCGAAACCAAGCCGAACTTGAAGTGAATTCGAGCAATGTGTTGTCACTTGAAGAGAATACTGCTAGCAGCGATGAGTCAAGCGCACATGCAGAAGCAAGTGAGAACTTGTCCCATGATGCAGCACACGATTCCGAATCTCGTGTCTATCCTAATACAAGTTCGACCCCGAAGAAGGATAGAGTAGGATCTACTCTCCCAGATTCATTGCTCCACACCGTGAAGGTAAACTACCTAGGGACTGAGATGTGCTTGTTTCCACCCACCGAAGATGACGATTCAGAAATGTTCTTTCTTGAAGACCAGAGCTTAGCGCAGGAGAGCCTGAATAAGATGCTTGCAGCTTGCAGAGATGTCCTAGCAAACACGATTGGCCAAGATGATGAGTTGGTATTGGACGTTGCATCGCTTGGTCTGCACATAAGTGAGGTCAGTGTTCTCGGAGGTTCTCGATGAAATTATGTGCTAACAAATTGAGCAGGACTCTAGTTACGCAGCGCGACTTACCCTTTCACAAATCATCGATGTCTACATTGCTCTGGCTCATAATGACAATGTCACTAACATTGAACCACTATCTTGCTCCCTTAGCAGTAGAATTTCCCTTGCTTCTCAATACGCCTACCTACAAGCCGCCGCGAACGATGGCAGGACATTGACACAAATCCTGAGCGAAAACACCTTCGCGCCATTGGAAGAGAGGGAAGACGGAGAAAATGAAAGAGATGGGCTTGGGTACCAACCGGCTGAAATTCACCGTGAAGACGTCTTAGCAATGTCCAAGGGCACGGATGGAGTGGCTCTTGAGAACCAGCAAGACAGCGATCTGCTCAACTCACAGCCAGACGCGATACATGAATCTATGAACGCCGGAATCACTTCTCCCGCAGGGGTCACCCGCCATGAATCCGAAATTGGACCGTTTGAAGGCAACGGAGATGAGCTAGGAGTGAACAAGAACGCCGAGTCAAGGGACTCAGTGCTACACGATAAGGAGCAGGAGTCAAGCTCGGCAACCAAAAGAGACATCGAAGATATTAAAGGTGATTATGACACCTCCCTAGACTTTTGTTTCGGGCCTGGTATTTGTTCATGTTCCTCGTGTGCCAACAAGATTACAGATACCACCACCTCACCGTTCGACAACCAAAACAATGAGGAATCCACCGAAGACCTCTTTCACAGTGATGGCGATGCCGCGAAAGATTTCAGCCTGGTCGAGTCAACGTCTGCAGTGGCTCAGGACGACGTGGAAGAGTCAGATATCGGAAGTAATCCGCAGGATACGGTAAGCTCAAGGACCGTAGAGGCCGAGGACAACCAGTTTGAGGAAGACATATTCTCTCAAGAAGGTCATACTTCTGGATACGACAACAGCAACCTTACAGCAAACCAAGCCGATAATGTCGAGAATTTCGAGAACTTCGAGGTTGAAGAACAGGACTTAGATGAGCCAGATTTCAGAATCCATAGCACTCATGGTCGTCAGCCAGAGACAGGGAGTAAAACAAATTTCGGCCAGCCAGCGGCGGTTTCAAATCTCGGTGTAGAGGACAATGTGGAATTGCCTATGCAAAAGCGTGAGGACAACCAAGGAAATATTTATGCCGAAGCTGACGATAAGCTTCTGAATTTCGACGATGAACAAGGGGACAATAGAGTCAAGGAGGAAGATCGAGAGTCATCTTCGTCCGCTTATCGGTTCGATGCATCAGAACACGAAGCAGTCCCAAAACGAGACGCTTTAAATGGCTTCACCAATAGTCATGACACGACCAGTGCAAACCACAATAATCCTTATCGGTTCGAGAAGGACGCGTCATCGAAAGCCCTCAGACACGACAGGAGGCAATCGTCCCCCGGGCAAAGCCAAATCAATACTAAAACAGGACCTCAAGAAGCTGCCCCAGCTATCCCATCGGGAGGTATGAATGGTTCCAAGCGCAAAGCTTTAGAGGAAGAAGATGATGATGATTTCGACCTGTTCGACACTACACCAGACAAAAAGCGGCGGCGTCCATCCTGAATTCAACCATGATTTATGACCAGCTATCTGTATCTGGCCAGGTATCTCGACACCAGCCATGGCTGGGGGTGCCATTGCTAACGGACCGTGTTGTCGCTGCTACTCTTCATGCCTACCGGCTGCCAGCCGCCTCCTTCGTCTCTTTCCCAACGCTCCTCCACGGAAAGCTCAACCCCGAGTCAACCTGACCGAATCAGGTTAGGCCGCTTCACCCTTTGGAAGCGCAGGTATGTCGCCTCAATCGTACTTCCGTACCCCCATTTCTTTATCCACGGATACTCCCCACCCTTTCTGTCCTGTTTTACTAACCTAGATCTTGCATCACTGCACTTGACACGAGATGTGATTCACTTCGACTCGCTATCTTTGCAGATGGTCCACACGGACGTGATCATCTAATCGCTTCTAATTTCGAATCGAGTGTCGACAAGTGAGATAGACTTGTACGGTGTGGTTTTTTTGGCAGAATTTCGAGATGCAGCGTCTTTAGCATTTGCTATGATTACTATTGCTACCACAGATTTCTGCTGGTAGAAGGATAATACTTCTTCCAAACTTTGAGGAATTGGCGCTGCAGCACCAGCAGCAGAATTGGAAGCTCATTACTGTATTCTAGCACTTCAGTACCTATCCCAAGAATATAAGATGAGAACCACATCCCTCGTCAAGCTCAATAGCCTTGGAAAGGAGGCAGCAAGAGGGACGGTGTAGCTCAGCCAATCACATTGCTTTGATTTGAAATGCAAGTTGTTAGCGTGAAAGAGTATTACCTTTCCTACGATGCATCCACCTTCCTGACTGCCACATTCGTGCCTTCCTCAAAGCCAGCGCCCTTGCCCACGATCTCTCCTGCACCACTGCTGTCACTTTGTGTCCGTGAGAGGTCTTGCGGGCTTCGAGATCGCAACCTCATCAGCGGCCAGTGACTGTTCTGCTCCTTGTACCGCATGGTCACAAACGCAACGATGACAGCAAGCCAGTACAGATTGTAGGAGATGACACTGCCGTAGGTTGCGCTGTTCTGCCATCCAAAGATGGAATTGAAGACGCCCCAACCACCTCCGCCATTAAGCGATGGACTGCAGCAATTCACATGCCAAACAGACTGGCGAATATCATAAGTTCCTGGGCCATTGCCACCTTCAGCTGCGTCGCCGCCGGTCAGAACATTCCAGGTATTGGCTTCGAGGAACCAGACTCCGCGAGACATCAGTCCGGCTGCAACAAGGTAGAGAACACAGGTGGAAGCAATAAGGAAGATGCGGATGGGTGCGTACATGCCACCCCTGAACGAGCACTGGTCAGCAACGGTGAGCATATACAGAGGGGAAACGTGTGCATACTTATACACAAGATATCCGATGAGTGCACCAGCTATCAGGCCGCATACCACAGCCAGAGGGATCGAGCTTGCCTTGAGCCCCAGGCCAACACCGCCGATAAATACCACCGCCTCCAATCCTTCTCTAATGATGGTAATGAACGGCAAGATGAACATGGCATACCTCTCGCACCAGGTCTTGAAGCGGCTGCGCATGGTGCCCGTCTTGTTGTCCTTGGCCTCCAGCGCTTTTGCCAACTTAACCCGCCATTTAGCTTGGAGCTTCGAGACACGCAGTAACGCGGCTCCCATCACGGAGATAATTAAACTGGCGACGATGGCAAAGACGCCCTCCCAAATTAGTTCGGCTCCGCTCCAGCTGTTTCTTCCCAGCCCATAGAAAGCCCCAATCATACCAGCTCCAATCATGATGCAGAGTGCGAGACCGGTTCCTGTACCTAGCCAGACCTGCACACAACGTCAATGCCACAACTTTAATAAGCAGCTGTAAGTACGGAGTACATACCTGCTTTCTGAGCTTTTTATACGTTTTAGCATCCTGCTCTGGCCCAATCTGCTGTCTGAGGAAAGCAAGCAGAATGGAGACCACTAAACTTGTTTCCAATGTCTCACGAAACACGATGAAGAAGACAGGGACGGCAAACACGTCAGCCATCTTGATGTTGATGAGAAGCTCACAATGGTCCGCAAAGGCAAGGAAGTGCTTCGAATGGTGAGCCGGTGGGTATCTAATATGAATTGATGTTGATCTGATAAGATGGATGGGTCTGGTCTGATAAAGAGAAGAAACGCACTATGCTAGCTGCCACACACAACATGCAGCAAAATCTTCTCGTTGAAGCTCGCACACAACTTTTCGTTCGAGCAGCACCCTACCCCGGCTCCCTGGTCTACAATGCGCAGGACTAGTATTGTTGGCCGATGGCGGGGTGCACAGCTCACCAAAAGGGCGAAGTTGCCGAAGCTGAAGCTTTGACAGGTGGGGACTTCAGGAGCTTGATTTTCACTTGTACGCCAGTACGTTTGTCTGCTCATTGTTGCCACGGTGGACAAATGATGGAAAAGCGTGAGATTCCTTGTCTTCCAATACTCTATTCTATTGTTGTAGCTGCTGGTATTCACATGTTCAATTTCGTCTGTTCGAACCCTTTTCCTTTTCTACATCTCCGAAGTTTGTGCAAGCACGATTGCAAATCATAATCGTCTAGATTCCAGGCCTTGCCTGCAAGTCCCTTTGTCATCTATCTCTCTGTCAAGCCTTGGAACGGCGCTCTGAGACACAAGCCCTGTTCATGCATTGCTCGACATCCGATCTGATAAGGTCGAAGGATCCCGCTTGTGTGTGGGGCTAGCCATCGCCAAGTCTTAGTGGAGGTCGCGCGCGATCACCTCGGGCTGGATTGGCCAGCACAATTTTATCTGATCTTGCTCATTTTTATTTTGGTACTGAGGAAGAGCTCCATGCTTGAGCGAAGTAGCTGACTATCAGATCGATAACAGCAGAACAGCGCACTCGCAATCGTTCTGACTGCCACATCCAATTCCAAGAAGTCCAATTTTGAGCACACCGCCTACCACTATACACCCTTTCTTTGTGTCACGTTTCACGAGTTTGCTTCAAAGGCCAGACAATCACGAGGATATTACCTACGCTAGCTCGGGCATAGTTCCACTGCGGAACAGACACAAGCTCCGGCTGAAGCTACTGCTTCAAGCTTTTGTCAAGCCGATCTAGACCAGCCCTCGCTCCATGTGCAGCCAGCCTTCACTAAACTGGTTACATGCCGTTGGTTGTTATTGGATCCAAAGAACACTCTAGAGCCTATTCGCCGACAGCAACATTAATGGCTACCAGCTAACACCAGCGGATCAGATAACTTTTTCTTGACGAATCCAATCTCTTGATTATCAAATCTGATCGGCAACAATATCTCCGTTCATCACTAGCATTTGAGCAGCATCGGAAGCCGTGCAGACTGGATAACCTCCATGTCTTTGTTCGGCGGCTACTTCTAGACGATCTAAGCCAAGGGGTGCTACTATGAACTTTCTACTTCCAAGATCTTATCAGATTTTGAATCCTTGATGGGCAAGCAGCCGCACACCTTGACACAGACCCTTTTCATTGAGAGCAATGGCGCTCTCACTTTCCAACTACCTCATCTGTTTTGTCCTCACATTCTGCTCTCTCGCTGAAGCCGCCACTCGTGTCTACAATTTCACCGCCGAGTGGGTGAGGGCAAACCCCGATGGCCTCTTTGAGAGGGCCGTTATTGGCATCAATGGACAGTGGCCCATTCCACGGATCGAGGCTATCGTTGGTGATAGACTGATCGTCAACCTGAACAATAATCTCGGCAACCAGTCGACATCTATTCATTTTCATGGGCTCTTCATGAATGGCACAACCCATATGGACGGCGTGGTTGGCACAACACAATGCGGAGTACCACCTGGAGGCTCCTTCACGTACAACTTCACTGTATTTTTCCGATAATGTCGATCTATCTTTACAATACTAATTTAGCATAGGTGAATCAAGCAGGCTCTTACTGGTATCATTCGCACTTAGACGGACAGTACCCGGATGGGTTTAGAGGTCCACTTATCGTCCAAGATCCTGAGTCACCGTACACTAATCAGTATGACGAGGAACTTGTGATCACGCTCTCCGACTGGTATCATGATGAGATGCCAGGGCTTATCAAGAGGTTCCTAAGCGTTACCAATCCTACCGGAGCAGAACCAGTGCCAAATGCAGCCCTGATGAATGACACGCAAAATCTCCAGATTCAAGTCCAGCCAGGCAAAACTTACCTCATGCGGTTCATCAACATGGCGGCATTTGCGGCGCAGTACCTTTGGATCGAAGGCCACACCTTCCGCATCGTAGAAGTAGATGGCGTTTGGACTGAGGAAGCAGAGGCCGACCTCATCTATGTTTCTGCAGCTCAACGGTACAGTGTACTGCTCACTGCCAAGAACGACACATCTACCAATTTCGCAATCAATGGTGCCATGGACGCCGATCTTTTCGATAAGTTTCCTGAAGGGCTCAACCCAAATGTCACTTCCTTTCTTGTCTACGACCCTTCTGCTCCCTTGCCAACTCCATCTCTGGTCGATGAGTACAATGAGTTCGATGATCATTTGCTTGTACCCTACGACCGTGAACCACTTCTTGAAAATCCAGATTACAGCTTCAAATTGGACGTGAAGATGGATAATCTGGGCGATGGTGTCAACTACGCGTTCATGAACGACATCACATATGTTCGTCCCAAAGTACCCTCCCTTTTCACAGTTCTTACCACTGGCGCTGAGGCTTCAAACCCTGCCATATACGGCATCAACACCAATACTTTTGTCCTCGAGCAGAACCAGGTAATTGAGATAATTCTCAACAATCACGATCCAGGCAAGCATCCCTTCCATCTACATGGTCATAACTTCCAATGTGTGGCGAGAGGCGAAGAGAACAGCAATGATTACAACCCCGAAAATGTGACCTTACCAGAAATCCCTATGAAGAGGGATACATGGGTTGTGAGGCCCAATGGGCATATCGTCATGAGATTCCGCGCCGATAATCCTGGAGTCTGGTTATTCCACTGTCACATTGAATGGCATGTTGACAGTGGCCTGACTGTCACTTTCGTCGAGGTACGCATGTCTCATCTCTCCTTTCCCCTCTCTAACAGTCAATACTAATTCATCATTGTACTAGGCACCCCTCGAATTGCAATCCTCTCTCTCCATCCCAGCAAACCACTACGCCGCATGCAATGCTGCTAACGCGTACCCCAAATTCCAAACCCAGGGTAACGCCGCAGGCAGGACGACTGATCTCCTCAACCTCGAAGGAGCACACGTTAGCCCGGCACCACTGCCAGAAGGCTTCACGGCGAGAGGTATTGTGGCGTTGGTCTTCAGTATCTTGGCGGCGTTGCTGGGTATTGCGGCTGTGATATGGTATGGTGTTGGTGAGCTGGCACAGACAGGGCAAGCCTCTGGGATGGAGACGGTGGGAGTTATCACGGAGAAATGAATGGAGTCGAGGAACGTTGCTGCTGAATAGCTGGGTAGGAGGGCTTATGACGAGGAGCTATACTACAGGATTCGGGTTTGCTTATTGCTTCGTACTTTGTGTTTATATAATTAGTGAGGAATATACTTTATGTTACAATACTGGCCTTGTTTCACAAAATCTCATATTTTCACTTTCTTCCGGTAAGACTCCTAGGTAAAACTACGAGTTTTACCACTAAGATTGTCTGATGGTCTACCTAAGAGACTAACATATACTACCTGCCGACATCCTCCCTGTTTCAGCACTTTGTCCTTGTATATCTGCGGGTTCGGTCAAGTACTGGCAAGAGACACCTTAAAATCAAGACCTTCCCAGTATTGCCTAAGCTGCGGATACTTCGTCTTCCATGGATGTCGGGAAAGTGCACCGACATAAAGCCCAGCACACTACATATCGCAATCTCGGCCAAAGTGATGGAATTTCTAACCAGGAAGTGGCCATTACTCTACGCAGCCCCGTCCGCCAGTTGTCGGAAAACCACCATCAACCTTGCGCGTTTGCCTAGCTGTCCATGGCTCGCTCTGCTTATCCTTGCCTCGCATCTTCTCCAAGATGCTGAGTTCCAGAGTGGCGCACATACCTAGCAGAGGTTCGGTTGGTGCTTCAAGTCTTTCGGGGGGTAGACAGACCATCCGTCACCACCTCAACTTGCTTAGCAGATAATCTATCGTCCTCATCGCTAGGCAGCATAGGCAGATCAGGATGCTTCGCTTCTAGCCATTCACGGATAGAGTGGCTCTCGTAGACAGCTTGTCCGGTCTCATTGTTGATCAAGACTGGAAGTTGCCTTAATGGACTGTACTTTGGTGTTTCCGTGTCTGAGTCCCATGGCACTTCGGTCTGAAGGGTGAATGGGATGCGGAACACGTGACTTCAAGGCTCCAAGTATCCCAGTACTCCGTACTGTCGCCTCTGCTTAGGCGCCGCCGTTTTCGACGGCAAGACGATCAACCCTAACTACCTTGGTCGCGCGGCTCGCGAGATGGTTGACTTCGTGGCGGCCATTGAGGTAGCGCAGGCGCTGGACATGATTGATGACAAGACGTTATGGGTCGAAATCGGGCCGCACCTTGTCCGCGCGGGCTTCGTGCGTAGCCTAGTGCCGCAGGCGCGCGTGGGCTCTTCGTGCCGGCGTAACGAGGAGAATATAGCCACTGTAGCCAAAACCGTTGTTACGCTGCATCTAGCTGGCGTGACACCATGTTGGGATGAGTACTTCAAGCCTAACGAACAGACTTACTCTTTGCTCAACCTACCCAAGTACTCTGTACATGCTATCGCTAAAAACCTGACCTCATCAAAGGCGAGTTGCGTTTCCAGACCTGAGCACTTGCTGTTTTAGCATAAGCGACGAGTAGACTAAGCCGACCTGAACCGTGGATGTGTGCAGCCCTGCTCCAAGCTTCCACGTGCCTGAGCAACCGATCTATGTTTTGTGGATCCCAGATTACGCCCTGGACAAGCTGGGAAGGTCTTCTTCCGGGTGACTAGCCCGGATGGGACTGGCTAAAGATTGAACTCCTGGGTTCCATGTAATAGTAATTTGTATGGTAAGGGGTAAAAAGTTGAGTGTGGTGTGATCTTGCAAAGTGGCCAAATGCTTTTGCGTGCTACGGAGGGGGCCTAAAGTGATCTTTAGTCAGGCTCTAGTAGCGGCTAGTTCTCATACCAGATTTCAGCACTATGATTCGTCAGTATGAAGCTAATTTTGTACGCAGCCACTCAGACGAGCTAATTTGTTACATCTAACTTCTTTTAGACGTAGCTGTTTTGTGTAAAGGACATTTATCAGAAAAGATACAGAGTCGTGCTTCAAAAGTCATTGATATACGCTAAAACTAGAGCGCCGCTAGAAAACTCTAGCTGAGCTTAGTGCTGTGTAGTTCGTGCTCTATAGAGAAGAAGCCCTGTAGTGACCCCTAATTGTTAGGCATTCGGCTTATTAGCTGCTCTAACATCCTAATAGAAACTAGCATAACACTACTGACAAAATAGCTAGCCGTACTTTATCATAGTTAGCGTATATTAATGACTTTTGAAGCACGACTTTGTACTAGCACTGAGGCTAACATTACTTCAGGCCTTCCCCGTAGTAGGGACTTGTTAGATCGCCTACTTGGCCACCCCTTACTACAATACCAGGCATACGTACTACGGCTACAGGCCTAATTTTTCTACCCCCCCCTTGGTCAAAATATCTTACAAACGCCACTTTTACATACGCATCCCTGTCAGCATCCCTGTTGCTATTTTGCACGAATTTTGTCAATCTGCAAATTCTGCAAATGCTGCGAATTCTATAAATCCTGCTCATTCTATTAATTCGATATGGATACTAATGAGTCTAATAGACCTTCTACTCCTCCTCATTCCTCTCATTCCTCTCATTCTACTCGAGATCAACGTCTACAAGTCCAAACTCTACACGACGCAGGCTATTCGTACAACGAAATTCGTCGGCAGTTACCAAATCTTACTCGAAGTCAAATCCAATATGCTATTCGCAATCGATTAACACCTAAAAAGCATACTGGGCGACATTCAATTATTACTGAAGAAGAACTTGAGCAAATTATTGCGTGGATTTGTTCTTCTGCAGCTAATTGACGTACTCCATGGATCCAAATCCCCCTTGCTATGAAGATCAATATCGGATGGTATGCCATCCGAAATGCTCTACGAAGAGCAGGCTTTTCACGTCGAGTTGCTCGTCGTAAACCTCTTATTTCTGAAAAGACTCGAAAAGCGCGTTTTCGATGGGCTTCTGAACATGTCAATTGGACGTATGAACAATGGAAAAAGATACTATGGAGTGACGAAACATGGGTTAATGGAGATCAACATACTAAAACGTATGTTACTCGTCAATCTAGCGAGGAGTGGGATCCTACGTGTATTGTTGAACGTTATCAACGACGTAAAGGTTGGATGTTTTGGGGTTGTTTCAATGGTGATAGAAAAGGTCCTGGTATCTTTTGGGAGAAAGAATGGGGTACTATCAAAGAAACAACATATCGAGAGCATATCGTACCTTTTATTGAGAATTGGATACGAACAAATAGCAGCGAAGGATTGATATTTATGCAAGATGCTGCACCTGCTCATGCTGCTAAGGGTACTATTCAAGATCTTCGTCAACGTGGCATATCTTGTATCCAATGGCCTGCATATTCGCCTGATTTGAATCCAATTGAGATGGTATGGAATTGGATGAAGGATTGGATACAAGAGCGTTATGGCGATACCCTGCACAAGTACGATGAGCTACGAACAGCTGTTAATGCTGCATGGGATGCTGTGCCCCCTGAATATCTCAAGGAGTTGCTTGAGTCAATGCAGGAGAGATGTCAAGCAGTTTTAGATGCCAATGGAAAACAAACTCGATTTTAGTAGACTAGTCCTAATTGGGCGATTTTGTGTATATCTATACTCAATTCTGCATAGTAGGTTTTGTACGGATACTAGCGTTTTCGACCAGGGGGGTAGAAAAATTAGGCCTGTAGCCGTAGTAGTAAGTATTCGAGCACGGCGCTAGTAGCAACTAGTTTTGATACAGCGCCACATCAGTGTCTAGAAGCTTTTAAGACCTTTGTTCATATTGATTGGACAAAGCAATGCCGCTTAGCTGTTCAAAGCTAGCTGTCTTGTTTGAGGCCTGTTTTACTACGTATTATACGTAGTAGAGATACTAGCGCCATGGTAGAGCACTTCAGAGCAATGGGGCCCCAAACTTGCTCCGCCACCTGCTTGCCAATTGCACTGCCAGAAATTTTGCCAAAAACGGTTAGGCATCAAGGCACCTTTGTACTAGAGCAGTGAAGCCCTCCAATAACCATAATTTATAAGATTTACCGCACTCCCTGCTTTCGTTCCAGTTATCAAAGTCACTGAAATGACGGCCATTCTTCAAATTTATATTCAGAGCTTGAAAAATTGCATATGAACTTGATCCGATCGATTACGTAGGAATGAAGAGCCCACAGTGCCACCTGTTTCTTAAAAGACTTGCAATGGTATGGAAGCTAGCTACCACCGCCAAGCCCGATCACCACGTGACAACCCTAAACATTGCGATCAATGCCATGATTTCCAAAAAAGGTTGCTCCGCTGTGGAGAGCAAGTCCGCGTTGCTTTCGATGTTGCTCCCAGAAAGCTTATAGTATCAGCGTCACAATGCTGCCGCTGTGCTATTATCCTTAAAGCTATTGAACAGTATGTTCCAGAGACACGAGAGATTCAAAGGTCTATCGCTCGCATTTATGCTCGAGGGCCAGCCAAGCTTCCACCCAATACATTGTCGCTTGAGATATACTTTAAAACTTCGCGACCGAAGCTTGAAGTGGAGATCTACGCAACGTGCGCAAAAGTCCTCCCAGGTATGAATATTCCAATTCAATTGCTGTATACAATAAACCTGGGCCTTTCTTTGCACTAGATATGTAAATGCTAATGACTCTATGATCCAGAATCGGTTGCGACTAACGGGGTGATCACCAATGCAGACCGAGTATTTGAACCAAAGGATGCAATATCGGACGAAAGCCTCTCTTGGGTTCGGTTGCGCATCAATCAATGCTTGGAAAGTCATTCGAAGTGTTCCAAATCGTCCAAAAACTTGCTCCCCACCCGAATTTTATCGTTTAAGAAGAATTCGACTGGGTCCATCGAAGTCTCACTCAAAGAAACCAACAACGCACGCGGCGTCTATGCCTGTTTCAGCCACCGATGGGGTGCATCAGATCAATACATGACTACACGCGGCATCTACGCCGACATGCTCCAAGGGATTCCTTGGACGTCTATTCCACGAACCTTCCAAGACGCAATAAAGTTCTCGCTATCCTTGGGGATCGAAAATATCTGGATTGACTCCCTTTGCATCATCCAAGATGACCCTTCTGATTGGCAAGCACAAGCTGCACAAATGGCCAGTATATATCAGAACTCTTACATTACTTTGGCAGCGACCGCTTCTTCAGATAGTCAAAGTGGCTGCTTCTGGCACTCCGATGCTTCCTACGAGAAGGCTTTCCAGACAGAAATTGGTGATTTTTCGGTCCGAAAAACTTTGAAGCATTGGGAAAGGCTATGGGCGTCAAATTCATCGTTGGTGTTCCCACTGCTCTCAAGAGCATGGGTTTTTCAGGAGCGCCTGTTACCATCGAGGGTGCTCCATTTCTCCCATCATGAGCTTGTTTGGGAGTGCATGGAATTTGCCGACTGCCAGTGTGGAGGATATTATGTGCCGTCCAATCCAAAATCCAGTGACTGGACCAAGGAAGAGTCCTGGTGGTTAGCTGTTGAACTCTACACGTCGTTGCACCTTACACATCAGCAAGATCGTCTGCCAGCCTTCTTTGGCTTTGTTAGCTTTTATGCTCAGTCCACTGGTGCTTCTATTCAGAAGGATTACTTTGCTGGACTATGGAGAAAGTCTCTCCATAAAGATCTACTTTGGAGGATAGAGTCATCAGCCTTGGATTTAGGGACTCCACCTACTCGTCTATGCCTCTGCTTCGATGGCACCCGAAGCATAGATGGAAACTGGAGATGCCAGTACTCATATTCGGCGGCTTGTTCGGCGCAGTGCCTTAGTCAACGACAGTTCTGCCGATATGGGCAATCAGATGCAGCTGTTCCATATGACTTCGAATTTGTAGGCTCATGTTCTGGTCGGGAAGACGGGTTTACCTCGATACCACTATTGCGAGATATGTATGGAAAAGAAAAAGAACGTCTGTCTTACGACAGAAGTCCCTATTTGGCACCATCGTGGTCATGGGCTTCAGCTCGCACTCGGGTCAATTTTTGGAATGACGTAAAAGGACAACGCCAAAATGACTGCGAAGTCAACCATATTGAAGTTAACCACGACCATCAGAATCTCGTTGGTTCGATAGCTTCAGCTTTGCTGAGGGTTAATGGTCACATCACTGCCGCACTTCTGCACTATCAAACTCTTCCAGATCCGACCAATTCAATGGTCCGAAATCACGACATTTTGACCTACGGCTTGCAGATTCGGGATGATAAACGCCTTCTTGATTTTCATCCTGATTATGTATTTTCCTTGGAGGGAGAAAAGTGGCTTCCTGCGGGTGCAAGAGTGTTTCTGCTTCACATTACTTCCGGTGTCCACATGGTTCTGATAGAAAAGAGCTATTTTGAGTTGGATTGGGAAGAAAGACTTACGATTGCGGAGTCGGGATCAAACCAAGGTAACCGCTTGAAGGATAATGAAAAATACGTGCGTATTGGAGTTTTTAGGATTCCTGACGACAGAAGTGTCCGCTACACTACGACATATTGGGCGAATAATATCGAGATTGTATAGTGCCGGTTGCCGCCTGTGTATGCCTTTGCAAATTCCTGCTCAGGAGGAGCATTCCTCTTGCAGGCTAGATAGCCACTGTGCCTGCAGCCAAGTCCGGAAGCACTCAATGTTTGTCTCGTATATACCTTTCGGAGGGCAGATTCTGGATCCATATCGGTTGGGCAAGAGACGGAAGGTAGAAAACGGGGGCGTGGCTGAGCTCATCACGAAGCTGCATGAGCTGCTGTGGCGGTGCAGTCTGAGCGCGACTGAGCCGACTTACATAAAGCGGCATGGGGGCCACCCAGAAGCGGCCGTCCAGATCGGTCAGTTTTGGTTGAGTTATAACGTCCAAAGGAATCCAGCAATACCAGTTAGAGTTACCGATTACAACCATCACCGCCCGATGAATCAATACCCACTATCGTCACAGCCTTGTTCTTACCTCGTCTTAGTTGGTACGACTTCTACGTTGGTCCTCCAGAACGCGTATGTTGGCGAGTTGAACTGTAATTAATACAGCTACAGTGAGCTTGAGAGACGTTCCAATTTAAGTCTCCCGATATGAGAATAGTAAACAAACGGCGGAGTCTGGGGACTTGATTGTAGGATTTCAATAACATGGAGATCAATGTACAAATGGACGATAATGTCCATCTCAATAAGAAAGGGAGCACATGGGAGCACATTCAGTGACAAAGGGAACAGATGTCATCTGTTTTAGAGAACATAAAACTAGAGTTAGAGAGTGGCTCAGAATCCGGCTCTCCTAAGAACCCCAGAGTAAAATTCAATTGATGCTCATTGTTGCTTAGGCTTAGAAAAGCCTTGCACAACTACGGCTCTGGGCTGCTTATTCACCGCTCAGGTTACGGTCGTATGCGCTCAGGTTTCAAAGTGGAAATAGAGTTTTGGGGAGGTCAAGATTCAGATGCGAGTACAGTGGGGTGGGGGGGGGGTACTATATGCAAGATCTTCTTGATAGAATTCTAGGACAAAGGAGGGAAGCGAGGAATGGGCAGGAGTAGAAGAATGAGAACTTTCGATGTGGGAATGGAGAGATTACACCCTTGTGGAGATCGGGTGGGTATGGGAGTGTGGAAATGTTTCGCTTTCAGAAGGCAGAGAAAATAAGGGTATAAGTTCTCTGGAATAAGAGCATGACATCTGTGGAAATTTCAAATGGGATTTTGCATTACTTGTCCGGGAATCAGCATGCGGAAAGTTTCACACTTGGAGATACCAATGTTGCAAAGCGTATTGTAGAATTCGGATCCCTTTACCTAGAGCTTTGCATGTTGAGCAGGTGATTGGCCACATCCTTCTCTCCTCAGCTACCACTCCAACAAGACATGTTGTTCTGTAGACTGTACAAGGCCATAGCGTCAGTATGTCGACTCATAAATGAAATGGAGGGTGTTGGAGGCTCTTACTTGAAGTTCCTAGTATCAGAGTTACTCTTCATCGTCGGTCTCCGGGATTACCTCGAGCAGCCTCGGTGACTTTGTACGCGAGACTCTAGTGTCTGTGCTGTCTCTCTCCTTGTCAGCTTGAGCGACGGTGTTGCAGGGTTTGCCGGTTTTGGCTGTCGAGCCTTCGACCTTGGTGTTTTCATCCTTGGCAGCAGTTTCGGATGCTCGTTCCCTCTCCTTCACGCAATCTGGAGCAAGTCTCTTCTGAACTTCGATGTACTCCTGGATCTGCTCCTCGGTCCATGCTCCATGTTTGATGTAGCCGACAAAGCTTCGTGGAGAAGTCTCGCCCATCAAGTAAATGCCGCTTTGCTTGGGCGTCAGGCGTTTTGCCTCGATCTTGATTTTCGGTGGGTCTACTTTTGGCTCTAGATTCTGATCCATCCTGGCAAGGTGTCCTAGCTGATCAGATGGAGAAGGGGGTGTGGTAGCGTGTAACTTACTGAAGAGATATTATGTTATTGCGCAGTTAGATGAAGACACAAAGTGGTGGAGAGAAACAAAAACAAAGAAAGTAGGTTTTTGAAAGTAGAAGCCGTAGGCTGTGACTGATCAGAGATTCTTTGGGCTGTGCGGCTTAAGTGGTTGTGTTGTTGTTGAAGATGTGGCTGAAGCTTTTTCAAGGCACTGAAGGCTCGTATCAAAGTAGGAAATAATTTCTTCACCTGCTCTCCAGAATAAGGCCAAATACAGAAGCGTCATGTGCTGGAGGAACTGAGCGAGGTTTACCACCAATCTCAATCACGAATGAAGCAACTGAACAGGGGAGGGGTAGTAAGGCAATCAACTCTCGTCCCTTCTAATCCGAGATCTGCAAGAAGGTGAGCCTTGATTCCCATGTTTTTGGGTTGTCATCTTGTGTGAATCCTTGTTGCACAATGAGCGGGACTGATCACCACGAAAGACAGGAAGTGTGTGATAGCACTGTTTATGCCTGTGCAGAGATGTGACAGATATATTTAGGTCGAGAAGCATCTATGAATGAAAAAGAGACAGCCCTTCACAGTTAGACTTCTCAATTATAATGGGACTTCGAGAAAGATAGCAACAAATTTGGGTCACTCCTGCATGGACGCGTTTTAGGTCCTAAAGCTTTCTGTTGTAATTGTGTAGACAAGCTCACAACTGCATCAGCATTGATCCAGCACGTATGACTTTTCTGAAGAGTTGGAGATTGTTGCAGCTTACGACTCGACTGAGATGTGGTCGGAGGTGGTGCTTCGGCATCTACGGAGGGGCTAACGCGATAGGGTAAAGGCGCCTTTTGGCAGATTTGGACGTACCATACTAGTAGTACGCATTACAATCCCTCCGGCCTTTTACCGTTCTCCCAGACTCCCACTGCCTAGGTGGAAATATTTGCCTCCTTTCTTGTCAGCACCATAACCCACAACAAGACTTCCTACGAGCTGCGCAGCCCATCCTCCTTGCATCTCAAACTCGAAGGCTATCCTACATACCGTCTGCAAATCGTGCGCTCGCTATTGAAATACATCTTTTATCGCCTAAGAAATCAGCATCATCGCGTAAGGAATCAACATCATCTGTCATGCCTGGACGGACACTTCCTACCCTTCCTCGTTCAGATGTGGCCTCGCACAATTCCTCCAAATCCTGCTATGTCACAATCGGGACAAAAGTCTATGATGTCACCTCCTTTCTACCAGACCACCCCGGAGGTGGTGACTTGATCATCGAATATGGAGGAAAGGATGTCACACAAATATTGAAGGATGAATTATCGCATAGCCATTCAGAAGCCGCCTATGAGATCCTTGATGATAGTCTGATCGGGTTTGTTGCAACGGAGCCGGTGATGAAGACTGTCGTCGAAAGCTCGCACCCTGATGAGATTGTACCCTTGCCTCCATCGGCGACTGGCGAAGCTGAATTGCGCCACAATGGTGTTGATGGTGATCTGAAGCAGCGACCTGTATATGCGGCTACAGGAATGTCTTCAGCGGAAGACCTGTCAAAGGAGACGGATATATCTATAGATTACAAGACACACAAGTTTCTTGACCTAAACCGACCTCTGTTTCCCCAGATTTGGTACGGAGGCTTTTCAAGGGATTTCTATCTGGAGCAGGTTCATCGACCGCGCCATTATCGAGGTGGCGACTCTGCACCGCTGTTTGGAAACTTCTTGGAACCGCTGAGCAAAACTGCTTGGTGGGTAATACCGATAATCTGGCTGCCACCCGTCGCATACGGCACCTACTATGGCTTCAAAGGTCTCTCCGCTACTTCTGAAGCTGTAGCGTACTGGTTTCTGGGTGTCTTTTTTTGGACCCTGTTCGAATACATCCTGCACCGGTGCTTGTTTCATGCTGACAAGTATCTTCCCGATAACCGAGTTGGGATCACGGCGCATTTTCTGCTGCATGGCATTCATCACTATCTTCCAATGGACCGATATCGTCTAGTAATGCCTCCCACGCTGTTCTTGGTCCTTGCTACGCCATTCTACAAGCTTGCCCACTTAGTCTTCGCGTACAACGAGTTTGCAGCCATTGAAGTGTTCTCAGGTGGCATCTTCGGGTACATTTGCTACGACCTCACCCACTACTTCCTCCATCATCGCAATCTACCTTCCTACTACAGGGAGCTGAAGAAGTACCATCTCCAGCACCACTTTGCAGATTACGAGAACGGTTTCGGAGTAACAAGTCGGTTCTGGGATCGGATTTTTGGGACACAATTGGAATATGTGAAGCCGGTGAAGGCGGCATAGGCTGACGGCTTTTTTAACATGCCCTTTTATGTCGTTGTCCATAATCAATTGCATGGCATGGTGTTGGCAGGCATGGGTAGATGCATGACGGCAGCAAGAGCACGTCTCATAATTTCTTTCAATATGCAAGGTTATGCATATTGTTGTACAGCATTGTATGTGATAGTAAAAGGAACATGTCTTGAACCTTTCACCTCAACTGACATTCTCGCTACTTGCACTTCCCACGTGACCCGCTTTGCTGTAAGACGTACGCTAACCTCTATTTGGTCAGGGCCACAACTTCCACTTTCCCCTCAAATTTTTCAGCCTCCACTTGTCCAGGAAGAAGACTGCAAGTGAATCCGTATCAGTTCCTCTTCAGCGATATCAAAAGACGACAACTGCTACATATCTCTGCCGTAGAGTGTTGTGCAAATCCAGGAAAACAGGAAGGGTTCGCTTTGCAAACGCTCATCTGCGCATCGAGTCTAACCTGGCGAAAGTGACTTCACCCTCCACATCAATTCTTGATTCCTCAAGCAGCCTTCCAACCAATTATCATCATGTCAGGTCTCGATGTCGAAGCTCTTCTTGATTCCACGGCAGCAAATGGCGTCAAAGAATCAGAGTCTCACTCCAAAGATCGTGATCGCGAAGACCGACACAAAAGCGATCGCTATGAGCGCCGTGACCGCGACCGACATCGAGATGGCTCACGAGACCGGGACAGAGACCGAAAGCGACGTGACCGCAGCAGAGACCGTCGACGAGACAAGGATGGCGACGAGGACATGAACAGCCCAAAGAGCGACCGTGCAAGTGCTAACGGGAGCTATAGAAGCAGAAAGAGAAGTCGATCCCGAGATAGCGATCGACGCCACTCTCGGCGTGATAGGCATGGAGATGACAGCTACCGAGGTGACTTCTATCGGGGAGGGCGTCATGGAAGATCCCGATCAAAATCTCCAGCGGACGATAGATACTATCGGCCTGGCGTAAATGGTAGAGTCCGTCGTGACGAAGTGGAGCCAGAAGGTGATAGGCCTAGGTCTAGACGTGATGATGATAGGAAACGACGTCGATCTCCAAGTCCTAAGAAACGTGCTAAGAGCAAGACTCCAGAGCCTCAGCTTACCGAAGATGAACGTGACCGACGTACTGTCTTCGTCCAACAGCTTGCGGCGCGGCTGAGGACCAAAGAGCTCATCCAATTCTTCGAAAAAGTCGGACCTGTCAAAGAGGCTCAGATTGTCAAGGACCGTGTAAGTGGTCGATCCAAAGGGTGAGTCTCTTTTCTTTGCGGGTTGTGACGCTTTGACTGACTTTTTGTAGTGTTGGCTACGTCGAGTTCCGTCAGGAAGAGTCTGTTCCGCTTGCGATACAACTCACTGGACAGAAACTGCTCGGAATTCCAATCATCGCACAGCTTACTGAAGCAGAGAAAAACCGTCAAGCCCGCAACCCAGAAGCTACCAGTGGCAACCATAACAGCGTTCCTTTCCATCGGCTGTATGTTGGTAACATTCATTTCAGCATCACTGAGAGCGACTTACAGAATGTTTTTGAACCGTTTGGCGAGCTAGAGTTCGTTCAGCTGCAGAAAGAGGAACAAGGCAGAAGCAGAGGTTATGGCTTTGTACAGTATGTTCTTGGACCTTGCAATGTTGTTCTACCTCTGACTCTTGGCAGGTTTCGTGACCCGAACCAGGCACGAGAAGCACTCGAAAAGATGAATGGCTTTGATCTTGCAGGCCGACCCATCCGTGTAGGTCTTGGCAATGACAAATTTACCCCTGAGTCTACAGCAAATCTCCTCCAACGCTTCCAGGGTCAGGGCCCAGGCCCAGGCCCGAATCAGCTCAACTTCCAAGGATCTGCCTTCTCTGGCTCTGGAGGTCGTGGTGCTCAAGCTGGCGGCTCTGGAGGAAATTTTGACCGTGCTGGTGGCCGCGACAACGAGAAAGGCGCTGGTGGTGCTAGCGCTCTTGATGACACAGATGTTGCCGGTGTGAATTTCAATAACTACAGCCGAGATGCATTGATGAGAAAACTTGCTCGCACAGACGAGCCTGCAGAACCTGCTGAAGACAGACGCAGAATGGCTCAGCCGAAAGCCGAATCGAAGCCACTACCTGTTGCCGTGAGCCAAGCCAGCCGCTGTGTGCTTCTCCGTAACATGTTCAATCCGGCCGAGTAAGTAGCGTTCATACATTTCAAGTACTCCGCTAATCCATGCACAGAGAAGAGGGTGATGCCTGGGTCAAGGAGCTCGAAGACGATGTGAAGGCTGAATGTGAAAAGAAATACGGTCATGTTGTCCACATTGCCCTTGATCCAAACACTCAAGGTGATATCTACCTCAAGTTTGATCGTGTACAGGGAGGCGAAAATGCCATCAAGGGACTCAATGGAAGGTTCTTCGGTGGTCGGCAGATCAGCGCTCAACCTATCGTCGACGCTGTCTACCGCAGTCTTTTCTCTAAAGCTATCTAGGGACAGTGGTGTTGGTGTGCAGCCGGGGAGGGTGGCTGGTGGCACTGACACATGATAGACTCATCTGCTTCAACAACCATATTGCGCTTTACAGGTGATGGAGAGACAGCGACGTGGGAGACATCCTATTCAGCGGCAGCGGTTTCAGGTGGCAGAGCATTTCAATAACAATTCCATGGTAGGTTCCAAATTCAATCACTACCAGTGAATCGACGTAACAGACTCCTCCATATTATCTAAATTCTTGAGCATACTGAACTTCATGAGAGTACTGTGACCCATCAGCAGTCAGTTCGAATGTCAAACCACTGGCAGATCCCTCCATCTATCCGTCATGTTGTCCGCCTATGTAATACCACGCTTCTGAACATCCACTGGAGCCTGGCGGATGATGTTTGTCCGTTGCAAAATGATATATTACGCAATCGGGAAGGTGTGCAAATGCGGTGGCATATGGTTGTTTAATGGTGAGGACGTCGGTCCATGTATACTGATGTCCTGCTGGGTGAGGCCTCTGTGCCCTGCACAACTGGTTGCCTATGCATCAAGTAGGTAAGTGGATCCGGTATTGTCAGGTTGCAAGGAGAAGGCGTCTGTTGGCCGCTTCATGGCCGCACATTGTTGTGCTTTTAAGATATTGATATCATGTTTCAACTGACATTTGACCCTGGAGTCGTCTTGGGTAAAAAAAACGGGTAGGGCATTATGCTGCAAGAAGCTGAATGTGACTACAACATGGTCAGTAGAGGTCTTTCATGTATTATCCTCACCCCTGTCCAGGTCCCATATGAGGTGATTGTTGACCACGTACTCTTTCATAACCAATATCCATTCTTGACCCTGCAGCCAGCATTCAGTATCGTCTATCGCGCCTGGCAACAAGTGAATAAGAGTCCAGGCGGGCTGTTGTGCCCTCGTCGTCGCCAAGCTTCACAGGCACACCCCAACCGCCTTTTTAAATTTGCCCTTCCCACTCATTCTTCATCCACCACCAACCCACCACCAACGCTTTACGTTTCTGGTCATCATCAAACCTTCTCAGCGATGATTCTTTCATCCATAGCTCGCGATGTCTTGCATCGTTGATGTATTTCAGGACTGGTTGGGGTGAGAAGTGGGTCCTTCAGTTCAGGTAAGAGATCCACCCTGGCATTCCTTCTGACCAAACGCTACCCACTCACCACCAACATTTCACGTTTCTGATCATCATCAAACTAACCAGAGATGGTTCTGTCATCAACAGCTTGCAATGTCTTGCATATTTGATACTTTTCGAGACTTTTGGCGGTCATGCCAAGTTCATTTGTCTCAGGTACTAGAGGAGATCCACTGCCCCCAAGCTTGACCCATCCACCACCACACCGTACTTGGTGTACCATCCTGCTGGGCCTTGGGCAAGGTTCGAGAGCTGATTATCTGACTAGATTTTCATATGAAAGGACTTCCATAAGCTCATCGCTCATTCCGAGCTCATTTTCCTTGATCGACCTCCCTCCGTCAGATCATATCTCGAAGGTCAAAGTGAAAATTCTTTCCATACAAAGCTTCGCGTGATCAGCGAACGTGAAGCATTTATATCAGCTTACTCCCCTTGAAGGCATCGAATCTTGCTCGGGTGCATGTCTGTATCACCGTTCCGATCAAATATCCCTGTGCTGACAACGCTAGTGGTCACCTAGTCCATGATCCAACTTCTTGAATGTAGTCGAAGCTGTACAAGCGTGCGTTCTCGGTCATACTCAAGACCTTCTACCCTCAAAGATCCCTGGAACCAATCTGGAGATCTTCGAGACTTTTCAGTCGGGTCCAGATAATTTCCTGGCGTCTTTGAAGTTGCCTTCCAAAGCATACCAGGTCCACAGATGCTGGCTCATATCTGCAGTATCTCTTTACTTCCGGTCGAGATCATCTGTCCCAGCCGCTGACAACGACCTGCTCGCCAATTTCAAGCCTCGAAACCCGCAGGCCCTGACCTCGGTCGATGGAAGGTATGTCCTGCCATGTGTTCTTCTTAAGCATAGCGGCTAACAGTTTGAAGTCAGTGGCGAGTAAAACACAATTTTGAGCGTGGCACTTGCGGTCCATGACCAACAACGGGCTGGACTTCCTCCTGACAGTGCGTCTTACTGTCAACCTGACGGATCATCACCATAGCTGGCTCATACATCCCTCAATATGATCCAGTACCTTCATGATCATGCTTGCGTCGATGTCTTGGGTTTCTCGGCGTGAAGGGGTGAAAGGTGCCAGCATCCACAGCCGCCTTTTTGGTCCAAGGACTCGTTGCGATGGTACACTCTGGACTTTGTATGGTTCGGATGGCTGCACGATCGAGATGGCTCCGTTGGGCAACGAACAAGAGGTCTATGCACTGCCAGCGATACACTCCTTCGACAACGTCTCATGCCAGGTCTTTCACCCTATGCTCGAAGATTGGTTTTGTCTTTCCAACCATTTTTCCTCCGGAATCTTTCGACGTCCATCTTTGGCTGTGTACTGCACACTACTACCGCATTGATGAAAGCTGCCTTGAGACGCAGCCAGAAGCCTGGTACAAGCTCTGACTTGTCATTCGGCATGACATTGTGGGTCTCTCATCCTCCCTGGGTATAAAGAAGAACATGATTGTCGGTCTGCCAAAGAGCTGCGGAAAGCCTGCACAGAGTGCTTTATCTCATTCCTCTTTGACACTGGCAGCTTCAAGACCAAACAGCAAACTATCAGGACCTTGGATTCTTAGGCTGACCTGGACACTGCAACCCCATAACAGACGGTTACTCTTCCCCCAAGGCTCCGCAGCGGCATGGTTTGCTTTCGTTGGACCTGGCAGAACTAAGCTTGAATAGAATAAGCAAACCAGTGCCTGCTGCTTCGCTGCCCTCGTTGCAGAGCATTACACTATCTGCGCCTGCTTTTGCTTTGTTCTTCAGATAAGCAAACATAACCCATCCGATGCGCTTTTCATTGGGGTCCGGATAGGCTTTGATGCGGCCTAAAGAAAGGCGCTCTGCTGAAAGATGACACAGCTTTGGCGTACAAGATCCACATATACGATTGGCTCATCTGCAAACCAAGCCGGGCTGCTTTCTTCCACCCGGTAACTTGCATAGCAAGACGTCACAACCAACCTGATATCACTTTCCAGAAGCAAGGTCTTGTACAGTATTGGAACGACCACTGTTTCAGTCATTACCCAGCAGCCCTCGGTACCAGCTGGATGGAATACTGTGTGGGGCCATTTGTGGAGTGCCAGGCCTCCAGCTGATGCTCAGGGACATGTCTGGTTCGTGGTCGCCTTCATCTCTGCAGGTTTCTCGATCCGCATCGTTGGTTGACTAGGCAGACTGCCTATCAACTCCTCCGCAAGAAGGCCAACCTAGGGCGTTCACGTCTTTTCAACCTGAGTCATACTGTTGTTCCTCCGGGAACGATAGTGAAGGAAGAGGCAGCCAATTATGGCTGCTCTTGGCTCAGCTATTTGAGATGCGATGGCTGCCCGGCCCAGTGCCGGTGGAGTCAGGCTTGTTGGTGGGGTTATCCCTGCCTTCGAGCACTTGATCCTTGAGATCAATGCTCACGACGGGCTGTAAAGCTCGTCGTGTATAGGAGACTCGGTCTCCAAGTCCATTTGGTTCGTTCTCCTCTCTGACTGCTTTGATTCGCGCTTCCTGGCGTGCGGTCTCGCAAGCATTTTTGTTGGATATGCAGCTGAGTTTGAACAGGCCTTGTGCCAAATTCAATATTTATATTGGTACGCCGGAACTCAGCTCAGTTCTCTGGTGGTTTGATGGTGCTGACGCTGTATGGTAGAAGAGTTTAGAAGAAAGAGAATAGAGAGAAGTCCTCAGGAAGGGGCTCCCTACCTTGCTCGCCTCCTCCGTCAAACTCGTGGATCGGAACGCTCAGGAGGAGGTGAGCCAGAAGGGGGCCCCACATAAGTTGGTGCATGTAAGTGAATAATCCGAGTGAAGCCTTTGTTCAAGACTAACCAAATATCTCAGACAGGTAAGATACTTCCTCCCAGGGTCCAAACTCCACACACAAATTCCGAAAGGGCCACCATTTCTCGGCAGTGTCACACTTTCTTGTTTTTGAAAAAAGATATCCTCACAACCTCCACGAAGTCCACTTCTCTCATCCTGTCGCTTCGCTGATCTCTATTATTCTAGCACCAACAACATGTCTCGACCAGCAAGAAATGTTGGGTCAGGTGGTCTTGGGAACCAATCAAGATCACCTGACCCAGCATTTCAAGTGCTGGGTGGAGCATTTGCTGGCTTGGGTCCACACAACGTGGGCCCAGAGACGCCGTCGCGTGTGGGTCCTGGCATCGCGCCAGGACGGATGGAGGAGTCGACACCAGACTTCCTCTTCGAAAGGAAGATACAGAAATTCTTCGACATGGCAGAAGCGTACTGCTACGCGCACATGAACTTTCCGAGCACCGCGGGAGATGCTCTCCTACACCCGCTGATCAAAGATCGGCTGATGAAAGCCGCGACTCGAGAGTCTGCACATCAACTCGCATCGACTGGACACACGCGATATCTGTTGATGACCAAAGTTGTCCTTCAGTGGATCATCAGGCATATTTGGACGGAAATACCACCATTCGAGGGCTTTGACGTGGAGGCTGATCGGCGCATTACCAACTACAAAAGGCAGATCTACCAGAGTATGTGAAGCCTAGGAAAGCAGTTCCTGATACGTTACTAACATGCTCAGCTACACCGCCGCTTCTAAGACACCACTTCCTTTCTCAGATCGCCAAAGATGTTCAGCGGATACGAGCCCATCCAGACTTTCTGTCTTACTTCCAGCGCCTAGTCTGCAGTCAGGCCACCAAGCTTTGGGCAATAGTTCATCCCTTGATGCATTATCCCACCCTGCCCTCCGACTGGCAAGACTTGTTGAGCCTCATCTATACAGCATACTGCATTTCCGGTGAGATGTGGGCGACACCATTCGACTGGCGGTTTGACTTCACACCAGTTGGATACCCTTATCAGCCCAGCATGATCAACAAGGACCCATACATCAAGGGGACCCCGGAAGAACTAGCACGACGAAACCTAGTCGTCAAGCTCGGTTACACGCCAGCAGTGTATTTGAGAGACAGCGCGGATGGATTTGCCAGGATCGCACAGATTGCTTCGCATAAAGTCCTGGTCAAAGAGGCGTAAGAATGGTGGTACAATCAGCTCCCTGGAGGAGGACTGGAAAGAAGAATCGGCGGTGATCTACCGGAGCCATGAAAGCGAAGGAAGGATTTTGTGGCATGTTGTTGTCACGAGGAGGAGGCACGTCCATAGAGAGATGTTTGCCAAAGCATTATGCTTTTCGTGAACCTCGCTGAAGGTCACAGATACCACAACTTTTTGTTATTTGCTACTGGCGCTCCTGGTTGATGGCGTTCACGGTTTGCAGCATCCACGGTTGGAAATGGAGATGACTTGCACTTGCACCCCCCATAGGCGTTTATGCTTTTCCTGACCCTCGGTTGCCGGGAGACACAGATAGTTGAGCTTTTTTCTTAGTTAGCCACTTGCGATCATCCGCTCCATGGCGAGATCAGCAGAGAGACCTGCATGGGCGGTCCCAAGAGAACCATAGCAACTTGGTTACTCTTCACAACCACATCAAGTTAGTTCACCACTCCCTCACCTTTTTTTGTTTGGTAAAATGTGAAATGCCTCTTGTGTGCTTTGGTAATCATAGGGCTAAGTCTAGAAGCCCTAGGGCAGACTGGCCGGTAGCTCTTTCACTCGTCACTATCTTTCACCTCACCATGAGTGGCTTCTTTGCTGTTCACCTGGCTTGCTGCTGGTGACACACGTTTCATGAAGAGCATGAGGAGCAATGAAACGACGAAGGAAGTGTCATATTTATGTCCAATAGTCAGCAGTTGATCGAGCATTTGTATCAACTGATCTATCACCCAACCTCCACACAGACCAGTGATCAGGGTAGGCCTATCTCATCAACCCTCTTCCTTCTTCTTCTTCTTCTTCTTCTTCTTCTTCTTCTTCTTCTTCTTCTTCTTCTTCTTCTTCTTCTTCTTCTTCTTCTTCTTCTTCTTCTTCTTCTTCTTCTTCTTCTTCTTCTTCTTATATGGGCCCCAGTGGACCAACGCACTCACCGGTCTGTACACCATTTTGGTCGCAGAATCTAACACCAGAATCCCCTGGAGGATGGCTAGGAATGCTACTTTCCGCCGCTCCGTCGTGATTGGTGAGGAGGGGTCGATGAGGACGGAGGCGAAGTGGTTGAGAAGGGTTTGGGCGTGCATGCCCGAAGGGGGGATCAGGGGGAGGATCTGTGAGGGGGTTGGTAAGGGCGGGAGGGTGGCTTGTGTCGCAGCTGTGGGCGCGGCGTCGGTGGGCTGCTGTGGCCCATGCTCTTGCCCTTGCCCTTCCGAACCTTCGGTGGCGCTGGGGGGCCCAGATGGGTCCAGGGTCTGGATCCGGGTCCGCTGATGATAAGGCCAGTGGCCCAGTCCCTCTCTGCGACTCTGGCTTGACCATCTGCCGCCTGCGAGATGCGAGCTCTGGCCGGAAATCCTCGTAGCCAAAAGAGGCAAGCGCACTCTCGATGACCGGCCTGGCCTCCCTCCAGTCCATTCTCCCGGTACGGGCATTCTCCTTCCACGTCTCCACCGCGTGTTTTCTTCGCAACACCATCGCCGGATCCTTGTTCCGCGCCTGCCGCTGACGATGCCGTTGTTGCGGATTCGTGCGCGTCTCCAGTATCGCTTGATCGGTGAGGACCCTTCGTTCCTCGCCTCGGGGCTGGGGCCAGGAGAGCTCGCCGGAAGATCGGTCCATGCGCGTGAGAAGCACGTTGTGGCGTTCCGTGCCTTGGATGTTGGAGAGGAGCCGTACACGGGCTTCGTTGAGTCTGGACTGGGCTCGGAAGCGGAGATAGCCTTTCAGATCTAGCTCGTCGTCGGTGTCTGCTGGTGAGATGGAACCGGAGTTGGAGGGTTCGGGCTGAGCGTCATCGGCTTTGGTGTCGTTGTGGTGGTCAGGCTTAAGGGCATCAGAGTCCGGGTTCATGGTGGAGAGGTCCGCTGGATAAGGCGGAGGGCGTGGTGAGTTTTTGGTGGAATGATCGGACGAGGTGACTACCGTGATAGGAAGCGTGCTTGAAGAAGTAGAAGAAGGAGAAGATGACGACGGCTTAACAGAAGAGATCGGTCAGAGTTGGAGAACCAAGGTGAATACCTGTATACGCTCAGGTCCGTTATTATCTCTGCTGCTGCTGTTTTTGTTGTTATTGTGCCAGGTCCCCTGCCTTGACCGCCTTGTCACAGAACACATCACGCTGACAGCATTGAAAATATGATATATACCGCGCACACAAGTCATCTTTCTAGCTTTTGTGGTTGCGGACAGAGAACCTCAAGCCTCGCATATGGAATAAGAGGCGCTTCATTCCCCCGTTCATGGCACAAATGAGCCACAACCATTGCCTATACACTGTGAAGACAACTTGTGTCCTTGAATACAACTTGCGGTCTTTTGGCGTGAAGGGAAAAAGGGGGAAGGGGGGGAGAGCACATTCCTTCTCCCATGACGACCTTCAGCCCATGAGCATGTCCAAGTGAAGTGTTTTTTTTCTCTTTCCCCTCTGCAAGAGAAAGTATGGAAGATTTGCAAGGACATTACCGCATCATTCTTGATACAGGTCAAGACGAAGAACCAAAAAAGAGGGAGAAGAAGATGGGAGATGAAGAAGAAAGAAGACGACCACATCCCACATCAGCAAACGAAAAAAAATACATACAAGCAAAGCCTGGGATGCTCAATATCTCTATATACTTACCCAGTATACCTAATCCAGAAGCCGCAAGCAACAAGCAACCAAGCATCAAAGGAACATGCTGCCTTAAAAGGAGCAGAAACAATACATGCCATGCTCATGCCATGCCTTGTGGAGATCACCTCCCTGTCTGTTCAAAGCCCCTCCTCTTCTTTTTCTCATTCTCATTCTCATTCCCATTCCCTTCCCGGAAACAAAGCCGCAGCAGCAGCAGCAGCAGCCCCCTTTCACTTCCCTCCTTTGCTTGCTTGCTTATCAGCCAGCCAGCCAGCCAGCCAGCCAGCCAGTCGGCAAGCTTGCTTCCTTCCTTCCTTACCTCCGTACTTACTTACGCATGTGGAAGTTGGAGCGCCCGTCCTGCCCTGTCCCGTGCCAACAGTTAACCACACTTCCGTTTTTCTCTCCATCTTCCCATTTTCCGTCTCCCGTCTTCGTCTTCACCTTCACGGGGGAGGTGTTTACCTGCCTGCCTGCCTACCTACCGAACTACCTACCGACCTACCTACCGACCTACCTACCGACCTACCTCCCTACCTACCAGCCAGACAACAAAACCCTCTTCATGACCGCACACAACGCGTTCCAGTCGCTGTGTATACAGAGACGGTATTGTTATTGAGGTTGGTAAGAAGTATGGCAGAGGGAGAAAAAGAAGGAAAGTGCATGCAGTGAGTAAGGATTAGAAAAAATCCATCTTTCTTGAAAGGGGGATTAGCTCTCTTGGCTCTTGGCTCTTGGCTCTTAGCTCTTAGCAGGAGAAAAAAGAACCTCCTCCCCCCTTTCTTCGATGCATAATGCACGCATGTACTTTGTACTGCCCGTGCAGTTGCGCAAGAGATAGTTTCGCCCTCCCTTCAAGTTCTTCATCGGCCTTTCTTTCTTTCTTTCTTTCTTTCTTTTTTTTTTTGGCTCTTTTCATCTCTTAGGCGAGGAGATTGTGGTACATACAGTTGATTCAGAAACGTGGAGGAACCTGGAATTTAACAGTCACAATCACAATCCTGCGGTAGAAATCTACTCGCGCCGTTCAACATGGGGCTTTCGCAATTCAATTTATGTACACGTGCCGGGAAACCAGACACACACGGACTAGCTATCCCGCCACATGTTCAACTCCTCCGTGCGTGCTTAGATCTCCGTGATCGGGGTCCAAGTTCCTTCCCGAAGCGGCGACTTCATCGACGGCTGCACTGGCATGCGGTTGACCCATCTCGATGTTCTTGCGCTTCAGTTCCTCGGTTAGGGGCTCGAGATCCAGGTCGAGATATTTGGCGATGAAGTTGCCGATCTCGGTGTTCTCGTGGTTACCGACCAATTGTGGTGCGTGCTGGGGTGACGAGGCGTAGATGTTGACATCGACGGCTGTGGTGGGGTAAGAATCAGCTTTGCTTGGTCTTCATTGGAGGGGAATGAGGTCTTTCTCTTTTGTAGGGATCTGCTTACCAGTATGACCATGAGTAGTCCAGCCCACGTGCGCCTTTCGGCTGATCATGTTCGCAAGCAGATATGCAGGTGGTTTGAGGGGCGTTGCATGTATGATGGCGTCAACCTCCTCGTCGCTCACATCAGAGATTCCTAGTCCATCCTCGATCAGCGTCTCGCGAATATATTGTGCCTGAGTGAATAGGTCAGCGTTGGATCCTTCCTCCCTAAGCCATTGAAACCATTTGTGCTGTAGATATTCCGCCGAGTGGGAGGCATTGGCGAGGACTTCAGGGAACCAATGGTAAGGCGGGTATTCGTCGGTAAGCTGGACACCGACAGCAAGTCCACCTGTTTCATGGTCGGATGTTCCGACGAGGACACCCTCATTTTCATCGTGCTCCAGGAAGTCTAGCACTGCCTCGAAGGCTGCGTCGTGGGCAAGCACCTCATGGACTTGAGCAGCAGGATCGTTCCCGTGCCCGGTATGGTCTATCCTGCTCCCTTCGATCATGACGAAAAACCCCTTGTCGCTGTCTTTGGTAGCGGCAGAAAGAGCCTTCAGCGCCACTCTCGTCATCTCGGCTTGGCTAGGGTGCAGCTCCGGTGCATGTACGCGGTCGATCTCGTATGGAATATCGAGCAATGCGAACAGGCCAAGGAGAGGTAGCTTGACACCGGTTCCAATATCGAGATTGTCGAATGCTTTACGGCTGTCAATGTATGAGAAGCCATTGTCCTTCGCCATGGCTACCACGTCCTTATCATCATCACGGCAGCTTCCCTCCGTACTGTTCGGAAGAAAGTGACACCGTCCTCCACCAAAGATCAGGTCGACAGTGCGGCCTAGGGGGTGATTGCCAATCTCCTGTTCTGCAATAAGATCCTCGTATTCTCGGCGATTTGCATGCGATGCGAAACAAGCCGGTGTCGCGTCTGTAATGCGTGTCGTAACGACCAGCCCTGTCATATATCCGGCCTTCTTCGCAGCCTCAAGAACAGTAGCGCAAGGACTGTGATCCGGCAGAACCGCGATAGCACCATTATATGACTTTTTCCCACAACCGAACGCAGTAGCCCCAGCCGCGGAATCCGTGATCAAACTACTGGTCGACCTCGTCCTCGAGCTCCCGATCAAATGCTTATCCAGCACCAGCGTGTCACCAATCGGAAGCCCACTCTCGAATTGTCTGTAGCTTCTTGTCAAGCTCAGAGATGTCGGGCCCATCCCATCCGAGACCATAAAAATCATGTTCCTCTTCCCCGTCGGTCTGCCATCTTTGCCCCACCCACCTGACGTTTCTCCTCTCGAGTGAGATACACTGTGCTCATGTTGTACAACGGTTGCCAGAACGATGATGACGACGGTAGCGATGAGTGCCCATACGAAGAGGCCGATCTCGCGCCATCGCTGGTGTGTCGTAGAGGTTCGATTGGAGCGCTGGCCAGTCAACAAAGCGTCCTCTTCCTCGTACTCGCGCTCAGAGGAGTGTTCTGAAGTGGGACGCGCGAGAAGCGGTTCGTCTCCTGCCATAGTGAAGGGTTGAGGCTGGCAGGGGCAGATTGCGTGACCGTGACGCGTGTGGTATTTGTATCTCCGGCCACTACGTCACATGCTTCAGGAGCGGCGTGCCAAGAAGATCCCAGCTGCAGTTTCAATTGTTTTCTGCAGATGACTGACCCAGATGACCAGATGCCACTCATTTAGTCTACATTGGATCCACCCCGAGTAGTAATTGAAGGCTACACGACATCCCGAACGATTACATAGTACGCCAATCCATTTACGGGCCCCTGATCTGGAAGCGAGAAGGTGTAATTGGATGATTGAACACTGTGCAAGCTGCCTGCTCCGTCAAGCTCTTTTTAAAATGCATGCACATACCTCACCAGTGAGATACATGAACACAGGCCCCACTTGTACATGTTCCACTCATACCTCTCCATCGAAAACTTCCTCTCGTCATCCTCCTCGGTACTTCCACATTTCGTGAAAATGTTTCGCTGAGACCAATACTGATTGACATTCACTCTTTCCCATTGGGAGACCTCTAACCCCGTCTGGCGGCCGCCGTGTTGAGGTGTTGGTCTGCATCGATGATGGATTCAAAGTGGAGCTGTGAATGCTTATTAAATAAAGGCAGAGAGTTTGTCAATCCAGGGAATCCAGTCTATGGCATTAGAAGTTGAAGACTCAGCCGGATATGTAGTCTGCTACTGTTGTTCGTGACAGTGGACTGGTAACGTTTATTGGTCATATTGGAGAATGGTCTCTAGTTTGGCAAAGCATGATCAGGTATTATAAACATGGTTTGACCTGGCTGACCGATGGCACAGGTCTGTAAAAAAACAACATTGCAGCCAAAAGAAATCCGGGTGGATTTGAAACTCGGAAAACTGACAGTACCTACCCAAACTTTGCGTATCATAAAAGATATTCACTCCCCTGTTCCACTCCGAACTCCTGATTTTGGAATGTCGACGCGGGAATACTTTTCCTCTTTTCAGTCACATCCTGATATGCATCCTCTCATGATGCATCTCCCCAATGTAAATTCGCCTCAAAATCGTAATGCGTTTCAACCAAGTAACTTGTTGCTCCTGGATAGAGCGCGAAGGGGAGTTTCTGCTCAACAGAAGCGTAGCGATTGGGCGCTTGCTCGTTGTACACGGTCATTCATGCAAAAGGGGATGACCTCTGCAGAAGAACTTTCGTTTTGAGCTTCGCATAATCAAGAAAAGTATGAGGTGGAGTGTAAGACGGTATCTGAACGCTGTTGGCTGGAATGTCTTGCATTATGCCGAGAGCCTCATGTAGCTTGTTCGACTACTACGAGGGAACATGATTTGAGCGGATTCGTCCGGGCGATACCATCTCGGCTGTCTTCCAAGGTCGTGATGAGAACGTTCTAAGTCAGACGGTCTAACTCTGCAGATCTGTTGTTGGCTATCGCCGGAGGACAAGGGACCATGTGATATTGCAATAATGTTGCGAATATGGTGAGAATCGTAAGAGCGAAGGTGTACCGGGTGCATTGCACTGGTTCAGAGGCGCGTATTGGAAGTGTGGTTGAAGATGTGCTACCTTGAGGACGGCCATGCTCCGCTTTAGACGGCCTCATGCAAAAGTTCGGAAGACAGAGAACACGGCAAATATGGGCCAGATCTTCGATCAGAGTTTCCAAAATACCTTCGGCAGCGCAAACATGCTGGGAAAGAACCATTGGCTCAATCGCACACCTTTTCTTACCTTCGCCCACCACAGGACCATCAACGTGCCAAGCTGGCAGCATTTGAAGGCATGTTTGTCTAGATGCTGGAGACCTCAAGCAGCATGGCGGCGCAGCAGTGACCTCGTCAGAGGATTGGAGAGATAACACACATCACGAAAGCTGGTAGAATGCCTTTGTAATGGTTTTAGATATACAGGTTGTAGCCAGGGAAAGGAAAAGTCGGCAATTGGCGCTCTGACGTTCCTGGTCTGACGACTGATTCATTCAGGCGAGAGAAGCAATGAGTTTGTGTGGGATATGATTTGCCTCTTATGCTAGGACGAAGCCAAAACGACCGGCTTGATTGGATACTTTTCACAACTTATTAAGTCAACAGGTATCTTCGCGTCTCGTTATATGCCTTGTTGTTCGGATCAAGCCTGGATTTGCAGCTTCATCATCATCTCAGCATTATACAACGGTGGTCGAGAGCAAACTGACCATCCTCATCCCATCGGAAATCAGCAAGGCATGCTGAAGTCAATCGATTGGTGACCTGAGCAACGGCCTGTAACAAGTGCAAATGTGCTTGCATTTGACGGCAAGTCTGCTGTCTGGCATCAGCGGCCATTCCATCCGATTGGCAGCATAGCAGCTGCCACGATATCCGTTCCCCTCTCTGTCGCCAACAAATTGTAAGCAGCAGACGCATGTCCAGTGTCCATCACGTCGATCTTGATACCAAGCCCATTGATGTATTCCCGTGTTTCCTTACTCAATGGCCAGACCTTGCCTCCTGTACCCACCATGAGCAGATCCGGCTTCGGCCACAGAAGCTCTAGCAACCCCCAAGCGCCAGCGCTGCCTCCAATCTCCAGGGACCCGGCTTTGCTCAGCATTGCTGCCGGCTCTTTGGATGTACCTTCCCAAGGCCGCCAGGTGAAGGCTTCTCCTCCAACTAATATTATTCCACCGCCACTCGATGTTTTCAGACCGTTGTTGAGATGGAAGCCATCGCTAACGCAAGCATCAATGCTGGTAGCTGGTGTACCCATGTTGCCTAGAATGTTCATCGCGCCGAAGTCAGTCCGCGTCGCTTCGTCTGACTCGGGACCACGGTCGCGTGATTTGGGAGGGCCTGTTGTCCGATCCTTTGGTAGAGACCCAGTGCCAGATAGACATCGAACATGCCTGCTACTCTTGGGGAAAGACTGTAAACTGTAAGGCGTCACGGCATGTCGACGGGTCAAGTAATGGCAGGCAGGTTGTCGGGTAGTGCTAGCTCGCAAAGCTCTTAATAGCTGCAGGGATGGAGAATGCATTGTGGCAGACGCTATGAAGTTTGTTCTTTTGGTACGATTTTCGAAGTGGTGCTTGCTCAACCGCGGGAGAAAACACCTTACGAGCCAAGCTTGCTGCAGAATTGTGGGTAAGGCTTGTGACAAATGAGGTTCCCGTAATCAGCTTGCATATGGACAGCAGGATATGCTGGAATTAGATCTCAGTAGATGTTCACGACATCTTGGCGATATGTCACTCAAGTTGTCAGGTATGGGCTCCACGGGGAGCTGTATGTAGTAATCTAGACTTCTTAGAGGAAATCGTTACGAGCAAAGTACGCAGTACCAGTATGACGTCAATTGCGTCAATTGCATCTCAGCATATTTCTTGGCGTTCCCTTCAGTCACGCAGCATGCTGAGACGATAATCCACGTGCTGGAGTGCAAGTAGAAGAATGATATTCTGGCTGAGCTCAACTTCTATAATACTGATACTGTACAAGGTGCATTTGCAGTTGTAGAGTGATCTTCAGCTAATGGGCCAAGATCAAGCGCGTCATGGGCTGCTCCTGTCTGATAGTATATATCTTTTTCGAAGTAGAGCGCCTGCACCTTTTTCTTGCTGCCTCTTCCTCACCTACAGACTGGAACAAGGACTGATCCTGTCCGCCACGATCTACAGCTGCCATAGCAGACCGGCTGTTGTCTTCCCCCTGACCACATTCTGGAAACTCGACAGTTTTGTTCTATAGCAGGTGCTGTTTTTCCTTGGTCGTTCTTCATGTTCCTCGCTTCTGCAAGTCTGTCATAGTCGGTTCCACCAATGCCACCAACGTTCCCCTTCATCCGCCAATCCCCTTTGGTCTGGGTTCATCACCTTCCACGAAGTCAAGCCACTGATGCCCTGCGAAGTTGGCGTGTCTCTTTCTGCGGTGCATAGCAGGCACCACCTTCTCGTTAGAAGTTCCTGACTTCTTTCACAGCTGCCACAAGGGCTTGGCGCGAGCTGATAGTATCCGCATTGGAAACCCCACCTGCCAATTCGATTCATCACAGTGTGGTATTGCTCCCACGCTCGTTCGCATAGGATGGTGTGGACAGGTGGGCCCCATCTGCTGCGCTCCGACTCAGAGAAGGCGTGCCCACAGGCCCATAAAGGATAGATGACGCGGCACATTTGCTCCGCGGTGCTGGAAGGATCTAGTAGCTAGGTGAGAAGGGGAGGTTGAAAGACTGATGATTCGCGGGGAGTTGGTCCGTACCAGCAAAGGATTGTGCGTAGAAGAAAGTGCAATCAAACCTCTGACAGCAGAGAAGGGCCGATCTTTCATGTATTATGATCCCAGGCAATTAGATCGTTATAGTATACGACGACATGTATACAACGCAAGATATTCCACTAGAGAAGCTCTTCCGATAAAGAAGGAGTTAAGCGCAGTGACTTGGAAGGAGGGAACTACCCATGGAAAAGGGGTCCTCAGTTGCTCAGTGGTATGCAAAGACCTAGACGTTCCTACCTTCCAACGTATCATGGTAAGTAGGTCGACTGCAGACGTGGTGGGCTTGTGATATCAGAAGTCGATCGAGAGCTAAAAGAAGCTTGAACGCGGATGAAGTGTAGCAATGCAAAACGGACACAAAAAGCGGCTGCAGAACTGTTCTTGAGTAGCTGTTGGTTGGCCACAACTACACCTATTCCACAACGGTGAGCACCACACCGACCTTTAGTTATTAGATCTTCAATCAAATTGTGATCTTTATATTATAGCCGTATTCAGGATCAGTGTAAGATCAGACCACTCCGAAGGAACGGTGCCACCAACAGTCCCGGTAACAACACCTATAACACCATGCAAGGACTCGCATACAAGGGAACGTATGTGCATTCACACGGCCAAGAGGCCGATAACTGCCATGGCCACTGCAAACAACGAACCCTGGAGGATTATTTCCGGTCGTTGCACTGCAGCCCCGTTACCGCTTCCGTTAGAGCCACCCCCTTGGACGAAACCGGTGGCGGCCGAGCTGGAGCTATCAGTGTTGCTGCCATCACCAGAGCCAGACTCCGAAGAGCTTCCGCCAGATTGGTTATCTCCACGTTGGCCGTTCGTGCCAGGGCCCGCTCCTGTCAACCCGGGAACTGTCGCAAGCTCGCTTGTCTGGGCAGAAGCGGATGCACTTGCTGCTGCGGATGGGTAATCCGCAGTCATGTTGGTACCGGTTCCGAGCAATGACTTGAGCACCGTGGGTTTGTTGCCAGTAATCACGGTGTCGTTTGTGGCAGCCACATCATCGTAGGTATAGGAAACACTACCCTGGACGTTTGCGCCAGGGGGTGGGTTGTAGCACTGCATCTTGACTTCGGAAAAGGCGGCAAAATAGTATCCATTGGTTACGTACTCGCTGCTCCAATCGACAAGACCGCCGCCCCAACTGATCGTACCTTCACCGTTGGTAGGCAGACCGGCAGGCCAGAGCGACAGTTGGACTCGGGCTGGTGTTTGAGGGTAGTCGTAGCGATTCGATGTTGCGTTCCATGTGTCTGACTTCTGTTGGGTTCGGACCTCTTTGCCATCGATTGACCACGTGATCTGGTCTGGCGTCCAATCAATTTCGTACTCGTGCTCTGTAGTAAGAGTATTCGCAAGGCCAGCGTGTTTCTCGCCATTGTTATCTGGATAATGATTGTCAGCATCCATATCATGGAAATAGAATCCGTATACTCACAATTAGTCACCCCCTGAGAGTAGAAGTTGGATTGGGCTGTTTCCAGCTCGGTACCAACAAATTCGAAATCGATTTCGTCCTTGACATCTGAGAGGAGAATAAAGGCAGTCACAACACCTTTACCGCCGCTCGTCGTGAGTTTGGCAGAGACCTTTCCATACCATAGGTAATGTGTGCTCGCAAGAAGTGTCCCTACCGACCCTTCTGCCATGGTCAAAAGAAGTTTTCCATCGTAAGGCAGCGGAGCACCGCTAGAAACCCAGTCCGCCTTGCTTGCGTCTCCCAGATACCTGGTGTTGGATACTACTCCATCAAGTTCCGCAAATGAGTAGTCTTTGCTTTCACAGATCGGAGCAGGCACGCAGGATTCTAGAGAGTTCGAATATTTGGGATCGCACCCTCCCAGACAATATGCTCCCACACCACACTGGCCATATTCTGGTAGCAAGTCAGATGCAATCCAAAGTGATCGCTATGAAGTTGAAATCACTCACGAGAACAGCAGGGTAAGTCCTCCGGGCAGAGAGCGCCCTCCCCACATCTGATCTGCTGCTGTTCCTGGGCCAAAACCCAATTTGCGGTAACTGCCAGAAGTAATGCCGAGCTGATTAAAAGACCCATCATTTGATTGCGGAAACAGTGCTTAGGCTGAATTGAAATGTGGATGTGGGAAGGTGGGGATAGCTAAATGCGCAACGAATCTGTCGTGTTACAGTTGGATCGGGCAGGGGGGCAAAGTCGTGAGGGATTAAGATATGTAACTAATGTGGCAGCGAGAGTACGCAAACAAAGAAAAGAGTAGAAAGGGACTAAAACGAACGTGATCACCCCGACGGCAAGAAGGTGAAATGCTACCTATGTGTTGTCGTTGCCTTGTGAAAAAGAGGAGAGAAGATGGAAAGAGTGGGAGAGCTGTTACATACTACCAGGAGGTAGGGGTGAGAGCTAAAGCTCTTGGAATGCACACATAGTCCATCGTAGTCCATCGTCCGCCCCAAAAGACACGAGTCTCTAGACCAACAACGGTTAGATGGTGGCGGTCATCGCCACCACCAGGAAGAGGGGGAGAAGCAATAGAATAGGTCGTATAAAAAGTAACAATAAAGAAGGATTAAAGACCTGTGACACAGGACTGTGACACATAACGGTGCAGGATGCAAGTTTTTCCTGGGCTAAGCAATCTGAGTTCAAGAAGTGCAAGATCGACTGCCAAGCCATACTGCGAACTTGGGTTCAAGTTTCAGGTTTGGTGCTGCACCATAACCACGGGCAAGTGACATTTGGAGAAGCTTCCCATGGCCGCTGGAATCCCTTCTTCTGAGCTCATCGAGCTATCTGCAATGATTTTGAAGCCGTTCACAGCTCTAGCAATTTATCGAACATGCCAAGTGCCTTGACTCATCTTCAAGCCCTGCGTAACGTCGGATCGCATCGGATCGGTCATGCAGGCTTTGTCCTACCCGAATCTACCTCTCGTGCTCATGATAGCTGGCTGTATCCCACGAAACGCTACACTGAAGCCGAGCAAGGCCTTTCTCTACTTGCGTCTTCCAACCTTCTGCCACCCTTCGGCGTCCACAGCTCGACACTGACCTCGACTCGGTGAGGCTGTGATGGGCCTACCGAACGCGCTGCTGGCAATAGAATTCCCATTCGACTCGCGGTTGGACATTCCACTGTGTGGCTTTGCTTCAACAGCGTTTCGAGAACCTGGCATCTGGGTGATAAGGTTGAGGGGCCGCTCACAGGGATCATGCGAAAAGGACACCATGACATCCTGATACGGGCCTGGATATGCGGCCCGCCTCAAAAAGTCTTCTCTCACGGTTCGGGCTATGACTGTGGCAGAGAAGACGACAGTCGCTAGATCACGTCAGTCACCAAATTCCCTTCATGACAAGAAGAGGAAGAGTTGATGGTACCATTGCCAGTATTAAAGAGCCATACAAGCTCCACATTACCTTCGCCAACCATACTAAAGATGTCATTCTTAAAACGAGCCTCCGTCATGCCGTTGGTGAACAATCGGCCGCGGGCAAAGGTTAGGCGGCGTCTTTCATTTCTCGTATCCATGCGCCTAATATCCTCAGTCGCAGGATATGCTTGCCCTTCGAGAACTTCACAGCCAGGGCCAAACAAACTTTGGCCGTATATTCTTGAATACCGTATATTGGCCTCCAGGAAAGCTCGGGCATGGTAAGCGTGCTGGAAGATGACACAGACAGCATTGTCTGGTTGTGAATGCGCAATAGAAAACAGAGGACCTTGGTCTATCTTCTCGGTGATATCGCTTAGGGACTTCTTCTCCAAATTCCAAGGCTTGATCCAAATGACGCGTGCATCTTGTGGTCTGACGGGGATAGTCAAGTCCTCTGTCACGGTTCGTGTGATTCCGTCCGTGGGTCGAAACTTGACGATGCAGTTGCCTTCATAAGTTGCAGTCGCTGCTACTGAAGCCCAAGTGCCAGATTTCATCTTCTTGACGTGTTCGCTGATCGCGTCTACACTCTTCCTCACCGCTGCGCTTTCTCCCCCAGCTACTGAAGCGTTTGCTGTGATTGCCTTGATCATGTCAGACAAGCCCCTTTTTCCTGCCAGCCATCTGAACATACCGGAACAGCCTTCATCAGAAATTTTTCGATGTCCCAGTCAGCTATTGCGTCGTTAAAGATATTGAGGATGGAGATTGTATTCTTTGCAATTTCATTCGCTGCACTGTTGGAGCCCTTTTCGCGAAGCTAACCATTATCAGCCACCAAGGAAGAGTTGAAAGATCAGGATGATATCTGACATGCTCTGTGATTCGCTCAAGGTGGAAAAGGGCTTCGCCCATGACAACACTGACGTCCTGTTGCGCCATGGCCAGGTCGGAGGTCTCCTATTTATTGGCTCAGGTAGGTCAGCAGTGTCACCTCTTGTGTAACTTGACTGCGGATACAAGATGAGATGCAACTGCGTCGCTGGTACTGTCTGCGCTTGTCGAATCTCACCTCCCAAGATGCACGGTCAGAATATGAGTACTGACGGGTCAGAGAATCAAAGTGACTGCCTCCTTGCACGTAGCCGTTGTGCTCAGGGCTGAGATTTTGGAGACTTGAAGGTGAGCTTGCTGAAGATGCGTAAGAGGTCATTTTGAAGAAACAACAAAAGTGTTTTCCTAGACAGATTAGCAGCACGAGAAACACGTTTCTTTGACTAGGAAACACTTCAGAGACAATAAGATGGATGTGACTCAGGGTGTCCAAAGAAATTGGTAGTCGACCAGGCATCTGTTTCACGTTGGGTGAAGAAAGGGAAGCTGCAGCAGCACACCACCAGATGCGAGCACCCTCAGCTAAGTTTGATTTCATTGAGTTTCGGTTGCATCTATTATTGTTGCAGCAGTCTTCCATGTCCCATGTTTCGAGTTCTGTGTTTTGATTTCAGTCATATCCAGTCATACCCAGTTATATCCAGTGTTGACTTTCATTCCTACCATACATCTTTCAAGCCAGCTTAAACGTTGACAGCAGTGGTAGCAACCGAAACGTAAGACGGTCTCGTTGCATCTATTCTGCCGAAATCCCCAACCGTCTCAGCAATTCTTTTCCCAAAGCTTTTCTGCCTTCCTTAGTCCTTGAAAGCGCGTCTTTGTTCTCCTCAGCACGTCTGACAAGGTACTGGCTACATTCGCCCACTGTTCCCCATACAAGATACTGATATGCCTTTGGAATGTCGAACATACTCCCTCTGCCCTCTTCTTTAGCAAGCTGACCAGCCACAATGAGACCACAACTGATATTCTCAGCCATGCCCATCAGTTGAGCATAAACTAAACTGACCCGCGGTTCGTTCGAACAGGCTTGAGAATTGCGGATCTCCTGTGCCTTCGCAATACTATCCTTGTTGTGGCCTGCCAAGACAACATTGATGGAAGGAAATGTTTTCGTGCCAGAAGATGTTGGTTTCAAGACGTCATTGTAGGTGCGACGCATCAAGCTCTCAGCGATGCCGTCATATGCCTTGTGGGTCTCCTCGATCGTGTCCCAGAAAAGATGTCGAGGATCGCTTCCAAGATAAGCTCCTCGAACTAACTTGACGCCAAGTACAAAGGTATTCTTGTGGGCCAATGCCAGATGATTGGCGAGTACTCCAGGAGTGGACTTCTTATACGCCTGGTAGGTGCCATACACCAGCGCTTTTTCCTTGCGGTTGTACTGCTTCATATAGGAGATTGTCCAGGCATCTATGCCTGCTTGCACGGCATCTTGTTCCGCATCGAAGAGCAGTCTCACATTCCTCGTCATCGCCAGATCACAAATCTCGGTGATACTCTTTGCCAGCAGCGGTGGCGGTGGCTTCACTTCGACCAGATGTTGCAAGGCCTGCGTCCCAGCACCTGTGAATTTGATGGCCACAAAGTCGCCCGGTTGGGCCAATTTGACTGTGGAAATGGTGCCTCTTGCCCAGCTTAAGATCGTATTGGCGTTTAAGTCCTCTCGGCTCCCTGTGCATTTCATGTTCTGGGCCTCATTTCCGTCTAGGCACACCTCCCGAGCATAGCCAAGCAGAATTCCTGTGTATCCCATGCGCTTTAGCTTGTTTATTGTTTGATCGACTTCATCGGCCGTTTCTCCACCACAAAACTGGGCATATATCGTTCTTTTGAGCAGGAAATGCAGGATTGGGTTTCGATCAGGATTCAAAATTGGCGATTTGCTGTGGGCAAGGAACTTGAGGGCTCCCAGCGATGTACGAAGCAGCAGGGGAGACGAGGACACAGCTGTAATCAGGTAGGATCGGATTAGGTTGGAAAGAGGAAGGATGGATAATGGAGAGGCACGCCTGGGCATATTTGGTGCTCGGAAGGACGCAAGCTTCTCAATCTCCTCGACCTCTGCTGCAGTGTACGAGACATTTCTTCTAGAATGGGCACAACGAGCCTGTTGCTGGCAGTTATAAAGTATTGGCGATATTTGCCACCGAACAAACGCAGGAATCGAGGGAAAGGGAGCAGCAGATTTATGCACAAAGAACAGTCGTACAGGCTGGAGAACAGTGGTCATGTTCATGTTTGCTTTCCAACGGGCTGTCATTGGAACGCCTTGTCTGAGTAGAGCTTACAGCGGCTGGTAATCTGAGATCTGTATCCTATATCAGGTCGAATAAGACCGTTTTGTAGATAGACATCAGTCTCCATGCTGGATGACTAATTTCCACCCAATCGAACAAAGAAAGTTGCATCAGAAACGTCCCCATCCTCACACCCTGGCAGATAACGGAAGTGGTAGATAACAAGAGGGGCCCAGATGTCAAGTCGGCCGGCCACAGAGAGAGGGGCATGATAAGACCGCTTCTAGCCGGGAACATGGATTTTAGCAGCACCGATGGAAGCCGCTTGGAAGTCACTTTTCCCTTCTGCTTTTCCGGCCAATGGATTCAACTATCGTGATTGGCTGTGGATGTGGAAGTGGAAGATCGATGATGCAGCTCCTAGGTTGTCTTCAACATTACTATTTCACCTCGTTGAATTTGTTATAAACCAACCTCAACAGTAATATCCGCCTTGCTGCGTATTTTTCAACTGCAAACGGACTCACGCCGTGGAAATATGTCATTCCTGGCTATCTGCTTCTTGCTGGAGAACCTCCAGCATGACGAGGCCGGGCATTATTCCGGCCTTTTAGTCATTCGCCAAACCTCGTGAGCTTATCTTCCTTGCCAATCGATCCGCCCCTTTGGCTGTGACGGAACGGCTCTGTGGGTAATGTTTGTAACTCGGAGTGGGATCAGTTAACCACAATGGCCCATTGTCTGGCTCTTAGCCGCGAGTTGCTTCTTTCCTTGCCAATTGCATGTTTCGTTATAATGAAGAGAAAATCGCCTGAAGCAGTCAAGCGCCAATTCAGACGTGCTACCAGAGTCAACACTAACCTTCACAACTGATTTAAGACCATTTCATCAACCTCTACATGTTACGAGGACGGTGCATGTGACCATGATCCGTTTCTTCCTGCTCCAACGATTTCTTATCCGTTTCGTAATGATGGAGGGGAAGGCCGGATTCATTCCGGCCTCTGTCTATATACACGCGGTTTTTGCTCTTACTGTCGTCTTATATGGAGTTTTGTGCATGCCCTGTCAGTCTCAATTGCTATACCACATCTATGTGTCACTTATAAATTCTCTGTTCGAAAGCATTCATTGTATCATTGTCGCAAGATGTCCGTGACGTGTGAGGAGAAGCCATTGCCAGATACATCTACACTCTTCCCTTATCTGCATTCCAATCCTGCAAGTCTCCCATCATCTCTGGATCCCTTTACCATTACTACGACAACAGGATTTCTTCCTTTGAGGCCTCCTCGAGTGGACCTTCCTTCCAGTTTTGCAGCTCTTACTAACCTCCTCGAGAAATTACCCATCGTTCGACAAGATGGCTCACCAGGATTGCTTGCTAACTTCCAACTGGGTAACACTATCGATGCTGGCGCCCTCCCAGATCTCAGTGACGCACTTGATGAACTTACCGTTCAGGACGGTAAACCTGACCTTGAACTTATCACAGCAACCTTTCGAGACTATGCTTTTCTTGCCTCGGCTTACCTTCTAGAGCCTTGCTGGGAAGCCTGGAACGCGAATCGGGAGACAGGGTATGGACTTGGCAGGCAGGTGCTGCCAAGATGTATCGCTAGACCTCTACTCAAGACGGCAACGCTGTGAGTTCCCACTTGAGCCCCCTTATGCCGCCAGCTAAGTAGATCCCAGCATCGATATTCCTCCATTCATGTCTTATGCCGCTGCATATGCTCTCTACAACTATTGCTATCATGATCCAGCCATCGGCCATTCTCGGTACTCGAACTTGCGCCTCATACGCGCGTTTGAGCAAGGCTTGGACCCAAGATCTTCCGAAGCAGGATTCGTCCTGACCCATGTAGACATGGTCAAGCATTCTCCAGCCTTGATCCAAGGTGTCACTCGCATACTTGATATGATTGAAGAATCAACCCGGACACCCTCTTTTAACAACCGAGATGGAGTCAATCAAGGCTTCGAGATCCTCTTGGGCGCTATGGAGAAAATCGAGGCCTCCATGGAGACGATGTGGTCCAACTCGCTGCCCAGGGATTATAATGCCTATCGCACATTCATCTTTGGGATCACCAGCCAGTCAATGTTTCCCAGTGGTGTGGTGTATGACGGGCACAACGGCAACAAACCGCTATTCTTCCGAGGCGAATCAGGTGCAAATGACAGCATGATCCCGTTGCTTGACCATTTGCTAGAGATTCCAATGCCAGCCAACCCACTCACTGCGATTCTCGAGGACTTCCGAGCATACCGTCCTTTACCACACAGACAGTTTTTGAGTTTTGTAAGCGGCAAAGCAGCAGAGCTTGAGGTTGCAGCTTACTGTCGGGCTGATCCTACCACTGCTATCCTCTACCTACAACTGCTGGATCACGTCCGAAGCTTCAGATGGAGACATTGGCTATTTGTAAGAGAGTATATCCTCAAACGCTCAAAACATCCTACCGCAACTGGCGGAAGTCCTATTGTCACATGGCTGCCTAATCAGCTTCTGGCGGTGATGGACCTAATGGTCGATGTCTACGAAGGAAGCCTCTCAGGAAAAATCGAAGGGTTCAAGAGACTTCAAGAGATGATGGATAATGCGAGAAAGCAACGGGCCAAGCTTGAAAAGGAGGTGCAAAAGTGGTGCCAGGAAAGGGGAGTGTGATGGGTCCAATGGATGTTGAACCTTATAAGTGCATTTTGGCCTGTTTTGCTATGCGTTTCATCTGCGTTTTGTTACATATTTGTTATGCGCTTACCCGGAACTCCGCATGTATTTTTGGTATCCGCGTTTCGCGCTACGCAGCATCTGTACGTATAAATACGCTCTATGCGCACTGATTTAGATAGAACAGCTTGCTATCTATACTCAATTGACTTACCCTGTTCATCAAATGGCAGTTGGTGCAGGACCGGGTCGGTTTCGTTGTTGGTCTAAATTCTGCAATCCGGTCGCCGATGTTCTGGTAGAATTGTTAGGCCATAGTCTTTGTCAGCCTTCCCTTGCGTAAATATCCCGAGGCTGTCGCTTGCCAAAGGATCAAATCATTGTTTGTCTGCCCTAGCAAAAGAAGAATGAGCAAAGAGATGCTAGTTGTCTATACCACTTTCTACAAATTCCGCCTCCTTAGCTGTTGATAGTCACTCTTGTTCTATCGTGGGAACGAACGGACCAAACTGCTCTACAGCCGTGTTCCGCCTCAGAACCCCATACCAGAGCAACATGACTTTCGACAGGATCTGCGACGTTCTGATAATTGGCTCTGGCCCGGCGGGCTTAAGCTCTGCCTTGGCTCTCGCCCGTGCTCTATACAATGTCATTGTCTTCGACTCCGGCGTCTACCGAAATCAGTCATCGCCGTACATGCATACCCTGCCCACATGGGATCACCGCGATCCAAAGGAGTACCGTGACGCCGCGCGCGCTGAGGTGGTGACCCGGTACGATACGGTCAAGTTCCATGACTCGGCGGTCGAAAGCATCCAGAAGACCGAACAAGGCTTTGAGGCTTTGACCGCGGATGGTCAGACCTGGACTGGCCGGAAAGTCATCCTGGCATCGGGAGTGAAGGACATCATGCCAGACATCGAAGGGTACGATAGCTGCTGGGTCAAGGGCATGTATGTAACAGTTACCCCCAGTGGCATCCTCAATTGCAAAAAGAAAAAGAAAAGAGGGGAACTTGCTCATCATGCTTGACACAGATACCATTGCCTGTTCTGCAAAGGCTATGAGGACCGTGGCGCCGCCTCAGCCGGCGTCCTCGCCATCGACGACGTGGCTGCTGTTCCTCCAGCCCTCCATCTCGCCCGCAGCGCCAGACGGCTAGCCTCCACCGTGACGCTCTACACTAACGGCGCCGAGGACCTAGCTCATGCCCTCAAGGCCGGACTGCACGAGCAAGAAAAAGCCCACATCCACACCGACACGCGCCCAATCGCAAAGCTGATCAAGACCGACCAGGGTAGCAGCGTGACCATCTGCTTCCGCGACGACAGCAGCCCGCCGGCCACCGAAGGCTTCCTCGTGCACCGGCCCAAGATGCAGCTCAACGGGCCGTGTGCCCAGCAGTTAAAGCTCAAGCTGACGCCGCAGGGAGATATCCAGACGACCCCTCCATTTGGGGAGACGAGTGTCCAGGGCGTCTTTGCCGCAGGCGACTGTGCAGCATCGGGCAAGATTGTGGCCAACGCGCTGTCTATGGGCGCGTTTGCCAGTGCTGGGGTTGCAGCACAATTGCAGGCCAGTCCTTTTTGATCTGCATCTCGGGGAGGCCAATGTGCGAGTTAAGGAGAGCGCGAGGAACGATATTGTTGGTTGTGTGTTGACCTTTATCCTGTAATCGGCTGAAATTCCTGCGTGCCAGCAACCTCGAGTACCAGTGATGATAACAGATGCGCATCCACGGAAATATGAATACAGCATGGACATGCACGGCTTCGCATACTATGACGTGTATATTGCAGAGGCGACTCTTGAGCTGCTGCGCACTACTTAGACGTCGCGGTTTTACAAGGAATTTTATAAAATTTCAAATTTTCAACTAGGATAAGTTGCGAGCCTAACTAATTATTGTTTCACTAACACTACGCTAGTCGCTATCAAGAAGACTCTAGTCCTCATTCGGGCAATTCTGGTCATGTGACTGGAATACCACCTGAGAATTCTCCTCGCTGTTGAATTTAACACCCTCAGCTTCTTCGACGAATATAGCTCTCTTTTATGTCAAAAACGCTCGAAATTCGCTGCCTTAAGCATATTAATATTACAGAGCACTTTAAGCTACATTCCAGCATTGCTGGGGGCCAAGGGAAGCTGCATTTAAATGACTCTAGCTGAAATCTATCTCGAAATCTATCATAAATTTCCGTGAATTTCGGCCAAAATTGGTTTCATTTCAAGGATCCGAAAAATTTCAGCAACCCCTGCTCCGCCCTTGCTCCGCACCCACGACAAAGCTCGGGTGACGAAAGAGTGCTATCCGATGGTTGAAGCGCTCATCAAAAACAAACGGGCGCTAATAAGGTTGTAATTTTCGAACATACCATCAGACGTAGAGACGTTTCACTTAACTCAAAGGACAACCCTATCGGGAAAGAGCAGCCTGCAAGCTTGGTATAGTCTTGCTGAGCGTGGGAGATTTGCGATTCTTTTATCCTGACTGATCTGGCACCAGGTGCACTGCGATCAGTGAAGTTCATGGGAGCTGGTTTGAACGCTCACCCCCAGCTGACCCAACAGGTCTTCGGTTGGTGCGATCCGTCGGGTAATATCGACATCTCGAAGATGAAGCGGCTGAGGTTCTCCAAGGCCGGGCCCAAATCATCAACGTCTGGCGGCCTCTTCGAGGGCCTGTTGGGGAATGGCCACTGGCGACCATGGACTACCGGAGCTTGAAAGCATCTTGCATTCATCCGACAAACATTTTCAATGAAGCAGTATGAGCTCCGAGGCCAGACTGTAAGCATCAGCTACTCCGAAGACCAGGAGTGGTACTACCTTGATCGTCAAAACACGAACGAGGTGACGTTCATTAAGATTTGGGACAGCAAGGAGGATGTAGAGGCACTGTGTGAGTTCACACGACGACCTGCTCATGTGTCTCCGAGAGGATTAGGCCACGCCGGAGCGTGCAAAGCTAACACACAAATAGTGTATGCACATTGTGCGTTCCCACACCCTGAGACCCCGGAGAATGACTTAGCGCCCCCCTGGAGACTACCATTATAATAACCTGGACTTCCCGGAGCCAGGCTCGCCGCCGGTAAGTGCACTGATGGGGAGCCAGGCTGCGGAAAGTCGTGGTGGTTATAGTTGGTAGTCTCCTGGGGGGCGCCTTTGCACCTAGTTACTCTGTAAGGGTGCGAAGCTTGGCTTCACCACCTGAAATTCCAATTGAAATTTCTGCGCCCTTGAGAGAAAGTATGGAAGTTGGTTGCCTGATTTCTATGACGAATGAAATGATGGGGAGATACCATGGACTGGTGGCATTGTAAACTAAAATAGGACAGATTAAATCAGGCGGGTTGGTGAATGGTATGATTCGACTCGGTTGTTAGAATCAATGTTATGGGCGGCAATTCCAACAATGCGTTGCGGGGTACCGTCAATTTCTGCATTCAGGTTGGCGCTGGAGTGCCTAAAGGTGGGTGGACAAAGGGCGAGTGTTGTTAGGTGACCGGTAAGTGCTCACCGAGTCACCATTTACCGGCCTGTGAATATATTAATAGGTAGTGTCAGAATTGATTACGTAACAGATGACTACTAACTAATTAGTATTAACCAGAATTGCACCTCGAATTGTTGAATTCTGACACCCTGTAAGACTAGGCTCTCATAATCGAACATCCATATTCACTCCAACCCGTTTTCGCCGCTGAATGGGAAATACTGATGATGGCGTTGTTCCTTCCTTCCACTTCCATGCTGGTTGTGACTACTGAGCCACTTGCAAAATGAGCTTTGGCCTATGTTTGGGGCACCCTCTCGCTTAGAGGTTTCCAAAAACGAAGAGCCGCAAGCTAGCTTTGATTAAGGTACCAGCACTCTTGTTCCATTGTGCACACCCCTGAACATCAATTTCACAACCTCCTGCGCTACTCGTCATTATAGCCAACTCCCAAATTTCATTGGAGGATGAACAAAGCTAGTCTCGCTTCGGCGCGCTATGCCTTGCTTCCTTTCCTGCACTGCTTACCCTTCGTACCAACTCACGGTTACCTGGGTCCTGGCGATCAACGCAGCTCATAGGGGCCCAGATTACTTTGATCATGCTCTATTATACGACAATCAGCGGGCATGATGATGTCGTTGCCGATCTCGCTTCTTGTAAGGCAGATGTGCTTTACGTACATCCTGTATATATACCTACACGACGACTTCGCATGGTATCAACTTCTTTAAAGATCACATCTTAGCTTTGAATTTGTCACGCTGAAAGTTCTCCTTGACTCGCTCTCATTCAACCATATTCTATCAACATGCACAGTTCCACGGTTATCGCGTTTCTGGCATGTACTGCTTTGCCCATTGTTGCTGCTGAGCAGCCACAGCCTGCGCGATCAACAGTGGTCAGAAGGGCGAATGCGTGGCTACTGCTGCCTGCAGAAGCGCAGGTGGCAAGTCCGAGGCAGGGTAAGGATAGTGTTAAGACCTAACCTTGTTGTTTCATTCGGATTTGTTCTGACATGCTTGATATTCAGACACTGTCCAGGCGCAGTAGACATCCAGGCAAGTCACATTATACTGCCGTGCAGAGTGGTGCTGACTTTCCGTTGCAGTGCTGCACATATGGCACTTGTAACACTGGCGGGAACGCGGGGCTTTGCCAGCCAAGTACAACGTGCACTGGCACGAGGTACGTCCTATATTGACTATCAGAAGCGTTGCTCATATGACGTGTCTGACAAATTCTACCACAGCACACCAGGGTAAATACGGACCCTCACCTTTTGCATCACGAATCAACTAACAACGCTACAAAGCCTGTGCCCCGGCGCCGCCAACATACAATGCTGCACCTCTTCCAGCCCAGGAGGGGCCAGCTGTGGTCCCCCTGACGTGAACGCCGCAACCGTAGCCCTGATTAAGGAATTCGAAGGTTTCGTCAAATCGCCGGCACCCGACCCTATCGGACTACCAACAGTCGGGTACGGGCACCTATGCAAGACGAATGGATGCTCAGAAGTGCCCTACCCATTCCCATTGAGCGAAGCGCAAGCCGCGGCGCTTCTGCAGACAGACTTGAAAGTACGCAAATCCTCCAAATCCTTCCTTTTCCTTAGTTCAGCTTCTCTCCCCTCGTTCGTCCTTTCTTTCAACGGTCATTGTCACCGGATAGAAACCGCTGACTAGGCCGCAGAGCTACGAGAAGTGTCTCGCGGACAAGGTCTCCGATTCCGTCAAACTCAGCGATAACCAGTACGGGGCGCTTGTCTCATGGACGTTCAACGTCGGTTGTGGAAATATGGGTGGCTCAACACTCGTAACACGCCTCAACAACGGAGAGAGCCCAAATACGGTTGCGGCACAGGAGTTGCCGAAGTGGAACAAGGCAGGTGGGAGTGCTTTGGCTGGTTTGACGAGACGCAGAGCTGCCGAGGTTCAGTTGTTCCAGACGGCGAGTGGAACGCAAGCGTTGCCAGCGAAGTGCTGATTTGCTTGGTCTGTGGGTATTGAAATTAGTATGTGGGAGATTGACGGTGGAAGCTTCTTGCAAAGTATGTAATCTATGTTCTTGATTTACACGCTTGGGTCAACCCAATCTAAGTAGCTGAGTACCTTTGAACTATTGGCTGAGACGGTTGAAATGAATGGTACTTCTTCCGTTAAATTCCAAAAAATTATTGGGAGTCTTCAAGAGATACTGCGTCCTCTCAGCCACCGGACTATCCCCTGTGTCACTCACCGTATATGTGCTCCTGCCGTATTGAGAACAGCGTTCCCCCGTGAGCTTAAATGAATTAAAGTAGATCCTTCTGCTGCAGCCTTAACAAAAAGGAACACTATAAACTTGTCAAATGATATTACAATGATTGATGTTACTAAACCTGATAATCATATTTTATTAAAATGGAAGTTTAAAAATATTCAAAATTTCCAGAGCTATAAATAATAAAATGGTACTATTTCTAAGCAAACAAGCATTAAGTAATCTTTTGATTTGTATCATACGCCTACTGTGCGCCAAATAAAGGCCTTATAAGCGTCTACAGAATCTAGATAGAATCTACACACATACCACACACAGTGTCTGCCTCTTTCCTACGCCATTTCTTCGCCTTTAGCCGTCAGGGCTGCTGACCCTGATAATTTTAGTGTTCCTTTGTTAGGGCCGCCAAGAGGTGCAGATACATGAGATGGTTATAGATCTTACGAGGAGAAAATTCCTAAAGCATGCTTCGCTAGCGGGAAGCGCACGCTCCTCTGGTCCATACTCTTGACATCCTTTTATCAGGGCTGCAGCAGAAATATCTACTTTAAGTCATTTAAGCTCACGCGGAACGCTGTTCTCAACAAGGCGGGGGCGCATAATTTTCTTTCTTTTCCCTCTTTTCATCATTTTGCCTTCGTACTTTTTCGGATTTGTACCAAGAGATTAATCATCTTTTTCACCTCATTTTACAGATGCCAGCCTTAGGCTAACAATATCCAAGGGCCCTATTGTACTCAAGTAGATCGACAGCACGAGAAGGCCACATCGGTTGCAGGAGTCATAATGGAAAAGGCTGAAAGAGCCTTCCGTTCTAGTTGGGTGACTGTTTACCATGGGTACACTTCTTGCATGCATACGAACACGCCCCGGTAGGCTGTGGTGTCTCATGAGGCATCTGCATATTGAGAGCACATGGATAGGCATACTCGTACCTTTTGTGAATCCGCAGTCTTCACTTCCGCATCAAATCTGGATGCACGACACCTTAGCGCGACTTTAGCTGGATAGCGCCATATTGGCGTCTGGTATGGACATGATCGGTTGCCTTCTGGAGCTCCGTGCTTGGGGTGTTGTTGGCGGCGCTGTCAGCAGCGTTGTTGGGGGCGGTGTCATCGTTCGACATCGGTACAGTTTATGCCTAAAAGTAGGTCCAGGCATCGACCACGAATCAATTTCACACTCTCTTCTGTAATAGAGAGTCATTGCCCTCCTGGCTTTTAAATTACAATCGATCATGCTCAGCGCTACCCGCTAATATGTCGCCACCGGATGTCGCTGAGCCTAGCGCCGAGCAACGTGGAGGTGAACCTCGAAAGTACCGATCTGCCTGTGATGCTTGTCATCAAGCGAGAATCCGATGCTCTGGAGATGGTAGCCCCTGCAAGGAATACGAGAGAGACTTCATGCCTTTCGAAGCTTCGGAAATGGACTGGGATTGATATCTTCGATAGTCAAGTTCCATGCCGCTACAGTTACACCGCCAGAATCGGCAAACCAAAAGGCAATAAAACAAGAAAACGTTGGAAAAATTAGAACACCAGGCTGGAAAACCGGGAGTTAACGATGACGAAAATACGAATGAAAACAGCCCGGCACGAAAAAGCCAACATTTCAATACAAAAAACTTACCGGCATTGTCAACACTGCATCGTGATAACTGGGTACATTCTACGCACATGGACGAGCCTTTGGTCATCGGTTTTATAACAGAAGCTTCAAGGGGGCTCCATTACTCACATAGTCCGAAGCTTTAATGTCATTGCCCACCACTGGACAAACTCCGCCTGGTTAGCTTGATGCATCTCTCAAGCTGGCGAGCTCTAACATGGCATCATACAGATCAAACAAAACATCGCCAGCAACCTCATAGTGATCGCAATGGTGTTGAAGAGAATTATGGCTTGATTCACTCGAAAACCTTGCCACAATTAGTCGCTGAAAGGCCACTGAATTGCTTTCTATACTCGCATAAGCATGATATATCCTGTTCGTACTGCGCTGTCTTTGTAGGTTTCATTTCCTATTATCAAAGACTAGTCGCATCATCCGCTGCGTTCAGTCGTGGTGCTTCAGTCATGGCTCGGGAATTTACATTCGCGAGTAGCACCCAACTGGTTCTGCAGGTTTTGCCGTGATTTCCTTTGGCTCTTGCTACCTTAGCGACGGTATTACGGTTTCAGGCAAGACATATCAAGAAAATGAAACCGAGATGGGATGATTGGCTGTGTTTGGGTGGTATGTTATGTCGCAATGCACATCCATTGCTCGAATATTAGCAGATATCTTAACAACACCAATAAATTCTTGCTTGGGGCCTTCAATTTCGCAACCTCCTCAGCCTTGTCATTGGAGGGAACACACTGCCTTCAAGACGCTTACTCCAGACTAGAGAGTCAACTATATGAGAAGAATGTGGAAGGCACTACTGCTAATTGAACGACAGGCAGACCAGCTTATCTCACGCCAAGACATAATGCTCCTCCTTGCCCTTCCTGATGCAAATAAGGACTGTTGCAATGAGCTTTCAGTTGCGCATGTCCTACGGTCTTACCGGATCAGTGACTGTAGGCTTCTTGCACGCAAAATGCGTACAATATTAGGAAGTGTGGTTTCATTTCATTTTCTACCCACCAAATTCGCCTCAGATCTCATCTTTTCACTATCTTTCTTCGCCTTTCACTTCCCTGCCTCATTGTGTTGGTCATGCCGTTTGGTGGAAACTTCACTAGGGTCAGTCAATGGCCCATGAATCATCTACTGGCGCACAAGGCGATAGCAAGTTGACCTGCGACTGTTCTCAACAGTGGGAATCACCATAGTCACTCCCAGATTAGAGTAAACAGAGAGTCACAGTCTTGCAAGAATCGTCTATAAAAGCCTCCGCCCTCGCCTGCTGTAGCTCTCTTTCTCTTTGTTCAGCTCTCCGCCTCGCCCTTCTGGTTGAGTATCTGTCTTCCGCTGCTCATATCTGTTCTGGCACTGGCTGCTGTCCAATTGGTGCCACAATTCCTATATCTTTTATCATTTCATTTATTGGCTATATTCACCGTACCAGTCATTATCAGCAGATCGAGAAACCAAGACGCCCAGCTCTGCTCTCGGCCATTGACATGGCCTCTACTTTCTCATCGGCAAAATTCGAGTCCAAGGACGCTGAGGGCTTGAATAAGGTACTTCCGATCCCCTTCATCGTCTCTACTTCCACTGCCAATAATAACACTTCGGAGCCTTCATACAAAACTTTAGAGGCCCAGATCATCGACGAAGAAGGCTTCATCACCCCTCATGCCATCAAAGCAAAATAAGACCCTAAGGAGCCAGATTCCCGAGACATATTCGCTCCAAAGTCCCAAACCCCCTCACAATCTCAATCTGGAAGTTCGTCCAACCGGGCGAAGAAAGGCAGCACCAACGGGCGTCCGCAGCAGCATCGTGGGCCAAGTGATGAGATCAGGATCGGCTCCATGCATTCCATGAACAAAAGACCTTCATCATCCAAGATTCCAACTGGGTCAATAGCCACCATCATCCCTCCGAATATCTCAAACACGACACCAGAGAGACATCGAAGAACGTCCACCGAAATAGAACATCAAACCCACAAAGAAGGCTGGACAGTTATCGGCCTCTCAGAACCCATCCCCTCCAACTCCAACTCCAACTCCATGATCGAATACACCCAAAATCCCAAAACAGGGACCAACACCGAGACCAACTGCCGAAGCAACAAAAGGACCCGCCCAATCATAATTTTCGATTCGAACAACAAACTCTCCTGGGCCGATGAGGTGATTGAGGAAGCAGAAGAAGAACAGAAACAACAAATAGCCGCCCAACTACTCCCCCCGTCCTCACCTCAAGCCAAACAAATCATTAATAGCAAATCAACCAAGACGCATACCCATCCCCATCTTCTCTCAGCAGAACCCCTCTCCACCTCCGTCTCCAAACAAAAGCAGAAAACCAGAGACGAACAAGTGCAGCGGCGGCGGCAAAAGAACGCAGAGAAGGAACAGAGACGAACGAGGACTCAGCACGCCAACTCGAAGCTAGACGTTGATCTGATGACTACTACCACCACTACTCTGACCAAGAAGCTGAAGGTGGCGACGGGGATCAATAGATTTTCCGTGCTGGGGCGGAGCGTGGATTGTATTTGATCTGATCTGAATACGGAGAGAGAGAGAGGGGGGGAGAGAGAGTCCCCGACCTCTGTCTGTCTGTCTGTCTGTCTGTCTGTCTGTCTGTCTGTCTGTCTGTCTGTCTGTCTGTCTGTCTGTCTGCCGCGCCATGTACTCTGCTCCCCTTCTCCTCTCTCTCTCTCTCTCTCTCTCTCTCTCTCGCACCGAGCATGTCGTGCAAAGCTCCAGACAGGGAGAGCCGTCTATCCAGCTGCAGCTACCAAAGATAGTGACGAATTTGAATTGCGGAACGGCTCTGTGGCTTGGACGGAGGGAGGGAGGGATAGCCATGCATACAAGCATGCATTCGCATTCGCATTCGCATTCGCATTTCCGTATCTATCTTCAGGAGGGATAGTCCGTGGACGGGAAAGACGCTGGGGGTTTGGGCAGGCGGGAGGTTGGGGAGCTGGGATCAGCCAGTCGACGTAGGTGCGAATCACACAAAATACTTTGCCTGATGGGACGTAGAGTAGTTAATTCCTGAAGTCAGACCTCCCTACAATACTGTCGTCAGCACTGGTTAGTCGGCGGGATAGTGACTGGTATGATGTGCATCGATTCTGCAGATTGGGCAACAGTCTGTCTGTTTTGTCTTTCCATGACTGGCTGATCTCATTATGGTCCAGGCCAAGTGATCACTCTTGACTAGACTGAACACTGTAAGGTGGTGATGTGGCATACTGGATTCATCGTGTCGCAAAACGGCTTCTATCTTGTAAAGCTCAATGATGCACAAAGAAGTCTCTGAAGGGAAAGTCTCTAATGGTTACGTATTGAGGGATACGAACAGGGTCTAAAACTGTAGCTCGACGTTCAGTCGGCCACACTACATGAAGGTGTATCGTGTTGATGCTAAGGTGGGGAAAGGGTGCTTGTGTGTTTGAACAATGGTGTGAAATCCTCCACTCTCTCGAAGCGCGTTTCCTCCTTGCCAGGATATGAGATAAGATCCGTCCACAGGTCTTGGGACAGTCTCAGTGTTCTCCGTGGCGGAGTCGTTGCGTGAAGGAGGATCGGTAGGACTGGGTGAGAGGATTATTGGGTGTATGGAGGTCCAGAGCTCGGAATCAGATCCCTAGGACAGCCATCAAGTAGCCCCTGGAGCCGATCTTCAATGCTTGTTGCAAAACCAGGAGGAGAGTTGACAGGTGTGTTGGGGTAAAAATTGCCTATTTCGTCACAAGGGAGTTCGATAAGTCCGTGATGCTCGTGATGCTCGTTCTCGAGCACACGGTTGAGGCGGTGCTGCTGTAAGACTCCATTCTTGTGAAGGATCTCTTTTCGAGACCGTGGTTGTAGGACGGCTCTGGTAGTGTAAGGGCGGTTCGTTGGTTCATTGTCGGGTTGCAAACCATTCTCATGGCAGGATGGGCGGAAACGGTGGTTCCTTCTAAGATCAGCCAATGCGTCGGACGCTTCGAAAGTCAGCTGAGCATTGGCCCGGGAGGAGCATATTGCCTTCAATTCGTGCTAAAGTAGAAGGGGCGTAGGCGGGACGACGTTTGCTGTGCTGGGATAGTGGGTTTAGACACGGTGCAGATCAAGGCGAGGCTGTGAAGGCTGGGTTGGGGTGAGGGATTAGGCATCGTAATAGATATTGAACAAGGTATACTCTGGGTTCTGACAATATCAAGGTCATGATCATGCAGCCATAACCGTACCTTGATGCTGTGCAGCCCCGAGTTGACGCTTAACCTGTTCTCGTGCCCAGCGTGCTGTATCGATTGTGCGAGCGGAAAAATCACGGTTCGTACGGGTTTCTTTGACCAATCTGGTAACCCATTCGTGTTTATACCATTGGGAGATCTCGCCGTTTGGAAATGCGTCTGCAAGGTCGCTATGAAGCCCGTGTTAGCCTTGATACAGCCTCAAGAACGGTAACAATGAACTTACCCAACAACACCCATCGCAGCGCGAAGCAAGCCCTCACTTTGGTTTTGATCTTGTGCAATCATTTGGAGAAGAGCGAAAATAGGTTCCACGTATTGTTGCAGCAGGTTTGCTTTTGGTGTTCCCTTGAAAGCTAACAAAATCCCGCCCCAAGCATCTACAATTCCTTCTCTTAGCGAAATAATGTAGTCAAGCATATCGTAGGAGACGTCTTGCGCAACTGTTACTCCAGCTGCTTGTTGGAGAACTTGAGCAACAACAGTAAGATATGTCTCGAAGTGAGTACCGATTGCTTGCGCAATATCGCCGAACGTCTCAAGGATGCTTGGCTTGAGTTGGTTACTCAGAGTGTTAGAGCGAAGATTGTTCAAGAGGTAGTTCATGAAGGGGTCGCAGTATGGCTGGGATTTTTCTCCCAAAGCACGAACAACATCGCTGACAAGTCCGATTGCCATTGCGCAGAGGCCTGGTTCTTCTTGGTTACCAAGAGCGTTGTAGAGGTATGGTGTGAATGACTCCATGTATTTTAAGAAGTCTTCCTCGAGAGCGTTTGTAAGGGCACCCACAACTGCGAAGGTCGTATCAGGCACGCTAGACTTGGCTGGAACAGTATTCAGGACTTGCAGATTGACTTGCATTATGCGATCTGCTTGAGGGGCTATGTTCTGCTCCAGTCGCTGGATGATACAGAGGAGCACGCTTGATAGACTGGTTTGGAGCTCTTCGAGGGTGATTCGGTCTTCCACACTCACAATCTGCTGCTGCATTGGAATGGTAGCCTCAAGTCGTGACAGGATCACTTCCGACAGGCCAGCAACAATCTGCAAGCTGTCATTAGCAGCGTTCGTGACAAAACCACCCAGCACTTCATAGGCAGCCGTTCGAAGTTGGTTATCTGCGCTTTCCTTCTCTGTCACCGCCAGAAGTGATGAGATACTGTCTTGAAAGTGCTTAGTAAGAGGGTTTGAAGATGCTCCATCATCGCCAACGAATCTTTCTGTTAGGTTCATAAGTGCTAAGCAGCAGGACGACGCCATCTTAGGACTGCTCATCAAACCATTGAACAAAGCAGACATTAGTGGTTGGAGATGAGTATCCGGATCGATGGTATCAGAACAAAAGTCGCATATCCTGCTCAGAGCAAAGGCAGCTGAATCTTTGACCATAATAACCTGATCGTCCATCATGCTGATCAGGACCGGAAGTGCTTGCTTTACGAGTGGATCCAGGATCTTCACATCGGGCCCGTCCATAATGGCGCCAAAGGATGAGACTGCAGCATCGCGTCTATGCCAGTCTTCACTCCGAAGGTTTGCTTCCACAAATTCCAGGACCGGAGCAATGACTTCTCCTCCAATACATTGTGCGTAGAGCTGTAGACATTGATACGCAGCACGAGCGACATTGTAGTCATCCTCTCCATCGTCTTCGTCGACTTTAGTGAGCAGCTGTAAGAGCACCGGTATGACTTCCCGACCAGCGACTCTAGCAAACTGGAAATATGGTCGCAGTTCCTGTGAGCCTTCTTGTTGCGCCTGAGAGAAGTTAGCAAGCGCTTTGCCAGTTTCATGAGGACTGACCTGTTGGTTGTCATCCTCAATGCTGATTTCTTCTTCACAAACAGTGCACCAGAATTCGATTGCCAGTTTAGCCACATCCTCTTCGTCGCTCTTCATGCCCATGATCGTCAAGCCGAAGAGCGCCTTCTCCATGTAGAACCGCATCTTATCGTAGTATACGCCCATAATCCTGTTAAGACAGCCAAATGCACCTGCTTGTATCCTTGAGTCATCGGACTGTGTAGACTCGCAAATGACCTGCATAATGTAATTTCGTTCCCCTTCGTTGTCAAAGTTCGTTCTAATAAATTCTGTAGCGTCACCCAGGGCAGAGAGCGCAGCATTTCGGACGTCGTTATTCGGCTCCTCTTTTCTGGCGCCCTGCACAACAGCGGTCAGAATGGCATTAGAATGTGCCACCAGAGCATCCCTCAGATCGACGTCGTCGCTCTCGCAAATGAACCCGATTGTGGTCAAGCTACTCTGCTTCAGACTGTCTGATCCGTTACCAACGTTATGAACCAAAGCGGGCATCAGCTCGGGCCATTCATTCCGCGGCAGCTCAATGGCGGCTATGGAGGCTATCAGCTGTGCTGCTGATGTCCCTGCCATCGAATTTGCGTTGAGAGTCTGTAATGCTTGGTCCTTGACTTGTTTCTTGATCGGAGGCTCTAGTTGTTGGATCCATCGTGCTTGTATTTCACGCAGGCGCCCAGTGTCACGAGAAGAAAACGCGTTCTTGAGAGCAATACCAGCAGCTTGTCGAATGTGAGGGCGAGCTTGTTCGTTAGCTAGCTCGTTTGACAAGGTAGTCAAGTAGCCGGACTGAGGGAGGGATGGTCAGTCAAAGGTCTGAAATGCGTAGCAAAGGCACGACCCTAGGAAGGACTTACGAAATCAGCTTCTGCTGCTCGAGACAACTGCAGCTCCGCATTCTGACGAGTAGTGGCATCTAGACAGATGTTAGCATGTCAGAAGGCTGAAGATCCGCAAGAAGTCCGATACTGACCTGGAGAGAGGGTGGCCTCAAGGACCTGATTTACATCCATATTTGCGGCGGCCTGGAAGGGGAAGTGGTGCTAGAGCTTCGAGGCGGTTCTCAAGCGTTCTACAAAGGGATCAGATATACAGATATCTGCTAGTAGTGTGACAGAGCGCAGAATCAAGGAGCGAAAGGAACGAAATTCCACAGGTGAGAGTTTGTGGAAGTTGCGAATCGAGTTGGCTATTCAGGGCTATTTCTGGGGTGATGCGCAGTTAAGTTAATATTTTGGCCGCCCACACCACAGCCAGGCCCTACACAGCCAATCAGCAGCCAGGAAACACTACATCAGCTTAAGCATAGAGTAGCATGGAGCCAGGCGTCAACACCTGGGGAAAATGCTGTCTTGCAGTTTCACGCACACCACAATCTATTACAACAGCTTTTCTGCCCCCTAAATGTGCCAGTACGGGTCATCATGCTCCGCAACAGAAACAGTTGTGGGTTTACCCCTTCCGAGCTTACGTGTACTCTTACTTATTCTATGCCCGGCTTCGAGTAGAGCTTTGATAGCTCTCACTTTGAAAGCTTGATCCCCCTCGGATGTCTGACGATGATCTGCTATCAAGTACTCTGATAACGTTCATTCAATCATAGTATCTTCATCTTGGGCCGTCTCCTCGTCAGGCTGTCCGCTGTCAAGATCAAAAACAGTGAACTTGATACCATCTTCAAGTACACATGCCGCTCTCCTTCCTTTCCGCCCGTTGACCTCTAACTCCGAAGGAATCTTTGCACCACCGCTGAGGTCGAAGACATGCCGTTCTTGCCAGACCACATCTGGAGAAGTGTAGCTCAAAGTGTAAAGATGTGCTTTTTCTTGGCCCGAGCTGAGAACCATCAAATCTGAATCGTCAACGAACTGTATGCCCTGTGCGCCCTCGTTATGGGGAATTGTAAAGTCTCTGACCCTGGGTACTTGGCTTGGATGTGCTGGGTCCCATGGGATATAATGTAACGATATCTGGCTCGCCTCCGTCCTATTAGTAGTTGCGAAAACGACTTCATGTTGGCCTTCACTTTTGAGTACCATCCTCGCCGTCGTGGCATCTGCATTGCAGTCCTGTTGCAGCGTGCAGACCCTGCCATGCAGAACGCTCTTCCTCAGCGTTTGAGCGATCCCATCAAAGACTTTCTGGGCTTGACCTGTGAGTCTCCGTAAAAGATCATCCAGATCTGGGCGCTTGCCTGGTCCTAGGTTTATCTTCAGCATTTTCTTGAACACCTCGTAGAAACCAACATCCGCTTGATTCTGAGACCAGTCGTAGGATGGTCCTTCTAGTGAAGTCCCCCTTGCATCGACTGATGGTCGGACGAAGGCAACCATCGCACTTTTGCCCATTACCCCTTGTATATAGTCAAGCACCGTCCTCACATCCAAGTCATCTCTCCGCATGCATAGCTCGTCCAACCTCTCACTTCCTGGTCCTCCAGCATTCTCTCTTTCCAGACCCTGAATCTCAACCTCAAGCCTGAGCCACTTCATGAAAGCTGTGAACTGCTTGATCTCTTTGCTAACAGTCTTGAGCAGGTAATGCCCTAGCAGATTGAGGCAGTCAACCATGTCCATAACTCGATCTAGGCTCTGTAGGTCGAGCCCAAGCACCTGAGCAGATTTCGTAAATCTCGATAGTCCTTCCAGACGAGAAACAACAACTTGGCACCTCTCCAGAGCTGGTAGCAAACACTCATGGGTGAACCTTCGAATGTTCTCCATACCGAGAGCGGAAGCTTTGTCCCATCTCTTGATGTTCCTTTCCCCAACTTCGTCGATCATCCAGTCTCGTAACTCATCACCACAGTCCCCCGTCACAACAAGTTGATACGCCGCAGTGATAAAATCTGTTTGCCCGTCCGCACTTTGTGCCAGAGTCTCATTAATGTTCCTAACAAGTTTACTGGGCAGATCGAAAGCTCCTCTAAGCTCAATTGAAAGATGGGTTGATACCTGTGTCAGATACCGCAATAAGTTAAGCAATTGCGTCGACTTTGTAGCAAGCGTGGAGAGGTAATAGGGGCTCGTTTGCGGAATGAAGTTAAGATCCAGCGCGATAACGTGGAGTTGACAGGCGGCTTTCCTTGTTGTAGTCTGGACAGCCAGAGCATGTGTTGAGCTCAGAGGATGGGCAACGTGCCGTAACACTTTGCATATCTTGCTGTCTTTTGGTAGCGACGATGTAAGATCAACACTGCCTATATCGAAGCAATCGAATATCCTGATGTGAATTGTGCCATCTTCGAAGCCAGTAAGAAGAACATCGACCTCGTCATACCTGCTTGGTCGGTTTGATGTGCTACTGTAAGAGTGAAATATGGCGTCCATGGAGGCCCTCGTGCTGAAGACATCATCACTGCCGGACGCGTCAGTTTCAGCCGTCCATCCAATACCCGAGCACAACTCACTCCCCACCTCCAAAGCCCCAACCTCCCCCGGCCCCCGTCCCGGGTGGCAGCGCACTCAACTTGGGTATACTCGTCTCTACATCAACCCCGCAAGCCAACTCCCTCGGTAGATCTGCCTTGACTTTTCCCACGGCCTTTTTACCGAAATCCAGTGAAAATAGTTCATCCAGCGCTGACCCTTTGGCCTCCTCTTCCAGTAAGTCTTTCATGCCTTTCACATCACCAAAATTGGCAGTCCAGGCCAAACACGATAATCCCGGCCGCACCGTACTTTCGACGGGTGGAGGATATAAACAATGCACCATCTTCCCTGCATTCATCACGTTAAGTAATCTGATTGCTCCATCACTTGTCCCCAAAGCAAGCAAACGACCATCCAATTTCCACTTCACAAATTGAATGGCTAAGCCAGCCGGTGCGTCCCATCCAAACACCTGCTGCCCGTTCAACCTCCACACGCCCAGCTTCTGCTCTGTCTCTGCATCATCACCGGGAACGTTTAGAATAGTCACAACGGCGATCAAGTCCATAGACGGACAATACGATAATGTCCCAGGGTGGCACCGGAAAGGTAAGAATTTCTCGCCAACAACATCCAACATTGAAGGAGCCATGGTGGTGTCCAAGTGGGGCGTATTTGCTATTGAGGAAGGTCATGGAGGCATTGTAGCCATTGAAAGAAGATCATCCGCAGATCAGAGCCATTTTATGGTGACGGAAGGAGGGAATAGATAATAGGCTAGGAAAGGATACTCTATGGACTTATGATACCTCATCGAAAGTGTTCTTCAGCGGTCAATGAGTGCGATCACAGGCCTTTTTGATGATATAGGAGTCAATCACATATCAGCCAACAATTTTGAGAATGTTTCCTTGAGGAGAAACTATCCCTAGAGATGTAAATTTGTGCCAAGATATTTTGCATTGCAAACCGCAATGCTCTGCCAGAACATCATCAAATCGTCTATAGATACTACAGTTCGTGAAGAAACCCTTAGTGATTTCGCGGAATCTTCAGACGAGTGTATGTACCCTCTCGTCCCATGATTATGGCCGTGAACCTAAACAAGAATAATATCTAAAAGTCTTCCATGTCCATGATGGGAACTGCCCCCTAATAAACCAATTGTTCTTCCACTGCAGCAGGCTCACAAGGCAGGAAACGATAGGCTCATAGCCAAATGTAATCGAAATTATTATCGCCCAGACAGTCCTTCGGCAAACTTGAAATACAGAGAAGTTAAGCAAGTACAGCAGATCTAGTAGGGTATCTTGAGAATGTTGCGGTGCCAAAACCGAGGTAGAATAATCCTTGTACATGAAGAAAGACTTGCGCAACGTCCTCTGGACGATCAATCAGTCTTGAATCATGTCCTTCAGATAGCTCAATTCTTGCATAATTTGCTGCATGGTTGTTGTGTGTGGAAAATCCTCCGCGGTAACTCTCACGTGGTCAGAGACATCGTCTTGAGGTCGACCATCCACATAATAAGGAAAATGAGGTTTGAGTGTGGCATCTGGTGCCCCAGCACCGGCAGGGAGCCTGTACGTGTCGAAACTGCCAAGCATCATTCCGTACCGTTTCTGTAGCAAGGTGGATTCGTCTTTGGGAGCGCGTGTGGATCCAGATGTCTCAGAAATCGGAGAAGAAGGTGAGGGGTTGTCGTAAGAACTAATTGTTGATGAACTGACAACGGAGGGCATTCTGTTCGCTTTCAGCACAGAGGAGCTTTCTCGTTGCTTCACAGCCTCTTGACTCTGCCCAGCAGAAGTAATCCCGCATGGCGACATTGATGGAGTCGAGTGCTCGGTCTCTTGTGTTGAAGCCGGCGATTTGCCATCAAAGAAGATGCTAGACCATTGAGACGATGTATATGAGGAATCAGTGGTAACAGTCCAATGCGAGAAGTGGGTTGAGGGACCGGTTGTGAGTCCTGCAAGATCTGTGGAGCTGCAGGTTAATCGCATTTTAGAGTTTTTATTTGGAGATAAGGTTAGGGGAGTATTCGGCAAAGTTGGCAGTCGCTTTTCAGAGGGCTGCGAAGTACTATCGGGTCTGCAAAGCTCGTTAGCTGGAGCAATCAGCCCAGATGACGGCCAAATGGGTGTGTTCTGAGCCGAGGTGACTTCTTTCAGAGTCTCCAGTGGTTGGTACGGTGGGCAAGCGGCGTCTTGCACCTTGCACCCTCCGTTGGGTTGCTCTGGCTCGGTCAACAATGTGCGCAAAGGAGAAGGTTCCCTCGATCGAGATCTCTGCCTCCTGTGGCTCTGAAACGAGGAGACTGCGAATGCTGCTTCGGCATTATGGAGATGCTCGACGCTTTGCCGCAGCACCAAGCTTGTTTTCCGAGCCTGACCACCTTCCCGGCCCACAGTAGGTGTTGGAGACCTGCCTCTGGATAAGTTGGTAGAGCTTTCGCTAGAGCTTGGCTTGTCTGTGCATTCAGGGGCTGCTCGGTTGGAGCGCCAAGCCTGGTCCAACGACAGGCGCTCTCGATGGGAGGTGGGAAAGCGAGCACGGCCTCTCCCAGCCTTAGCTTCAGGACTAGGCGGCTTCAGAGGAGCGAATTGGCGGAATGCTGCTTTTAATCCTGTTGATATATGGTGAGGCGAGACTGATCGACCTCTGGAATCAATTGAGGCCTTCCGTGGCAAGCGGAAAGTTCGTAAGGAAACAGCGCTCAAGGGAAGGGAAGCATTGCGACCATGCCTGGACCGGCCGGGGGCAGCTGCAAGATTCAAAGGCGAGCCTTCCAAGCTCGGGGCAGAATTTTGTCGTGCTGAAGTATTCAAAGTGGCAAGGGCTGGCTTCGGAGCGGGTCGAGGATTCAGATATCTGTCCTCGGGATTCATAGTCATCAACTCGGAGCTTGTAGAGCTGACACTTGCGTTTCGGTGTCTACGATGGCCAGTGCTGAAATGCATTGGGACATCCAAAACATTGACGGGCTGTCCAGGGAGCATTGGACAAGCTGTCGTGGACGGTTCGGCTGGGTTGTGAAATTCAATGTCGTTGTCCAATTGATACTATTGGGAATATCAGCAGGGCACCTTTGGTGACAACATAAAAGACTTCCTTACATGATACCAATACCTACCGCCCATCTTCAAGCCTCCTTGTCGCCTGCCACACGCTTGCTCAACACGACCGTCACAGACAATGTTCTCAAAGTTATAACAACCGGACCAATGCTCAGCACCAAGTCGGCTATCCCTTTTCATTGGATATGGCTTGGAAAAGTTGTCCCATGAACCGAGTAAGTTGACGGATCGTATAGATGGCGGAGTTTGCCTGAGTCATGTCAACGTAGGAGATTGGAAGAGTGGTATGTGTGGCTTACACTAGGAACGTCATGAGCGTAGTTGAGGAAGTCATGTCTGTAAATATTGAGCCCGACTAATAACTCCAGCACTTCGATCGACGCTAGGCCGAGGATTGGGGCCAAGTTGGTTGAACGGATGTGTCAAAAGGACCTCCTGCAGTAGGGCAGGATGGGGGCCGGTATCAACTAAGGACGATCAATTGCAAACTGATATATCTATATCTTTAATAAACACATGAGGAGCAAAAGCGCGCTGGAGGTTCGCATTCACCATATATACATATGGGATACATGGCGATGAAATCATCTGCTCGTTTATCCAAAATCAAGTTTTCTCGTTCAATCTGCTCGAGGTTGGCAAGTAGGCTCAGTGATGCGTTCAGCAACCGGGTAGCGAAGTCTTGAACAGCATCAGGCTACGAATTGCGTGTCACTAAAGCCAGTTGAATGGAAGCTTCTTGCAGATAACCGCTTTGGTTCGCGGTTCTTGAGGAAGGCGGCTGCTGAAGTTGAGGCTGCTGGGAGTTCGACCAACAGAGAAGTTGCGTCTCATGAAGTGTTCACAGTGATCGGCGTCGCATGGATTCGCACGGTCTTTCAAGTCCTGGAGATTAGACAGCTTTATGCACCTGCAGTCGCAATAAACGTGTACACGCTAGGAGTGAGGTCAGTTGTGCGAGGCTAATTTCGTGGAAATAGCACTTCTTCGCAAAGCAATCCGTTTGACAGACCTGACGAGAATCAGCTGGTGGCGCTCCGATAATCAGTCCAATCGAAGCCATGCTTTTCGGCTGGCTTCGTGGCTAACAAGTCAATATCGATCCACTTTTTCCCGATCTGGTCGGACACATTATTTATTGAAAAGCTCAATTCATGGGCGACAGAGCTGCATAACGGTTGCATCCTGTATCAGATCTTGACATCAGTGCTTGTTAATGGCCAGAATGCTATCAACTGGGTATGCGCCCCATCCTTGCTTCGTCTTAGAAGATGGGCAAGATGAGCAAGATGGCCAAGGTGGGCAAGATGAAATCCCCGGCCCCAAAGTTTGACAGGAGACCCGAAACTTAAATTGGTTCAGGAAAAGTCGCACCAGCGCACCCAGCCGCCCTAACTAAGCGATGATCATCTCTCTCTTATTGGCTCACTGTAACCGGTCAAGGCTTTATCATCGTGGATGCATTAGCGAGGTCGTCTAACCCCTTTGATGTCATTGCTGCCAAATTGGGACTTTTATTTGGTCCGAGTCATACTACGTAAAGCTCACGACATCTACTCCGTACTATGTTACTTCTTGAAAGTTTTATCGCTTTTGCTTCCGTTGTGATTGGTAAGATACACTTGATCAACTTGAGCCAGGGTAACATCGTCAAGAGCAGTCAGAACCCGTTACCAAATGTCCGTTGGATCGTGTCAGCAACAGCTGATTTGTCTCTCTTACTTCTGTTCAATAGGAGAGCAGAAGGGGGTGCGCTACGCTTTCTTTCACTCTGGGGCTGCCTTCTACGGTTTCTGTCGAATTATTGTTCTCCTTTCACCCAGCCGATCAGCGGTGTCATCCCCCCCCATATAATGGCCAATGACTAGAACACAATCTAGGGAGCTTCACTCCCAGCCATGTTCGGTTAAGCCAGCCATCACCTAGCTGCTGATAAATTCCTGGATGCTATGTTGAACTGTTATGAATTATTCAGAAATACTATCCTTGAACGAGACATAATCAAGAACCCTGCTTCTTATGTAGCTCTGGGAGTATCTGCCTACAGCTTACAAATCAAAGGCTAGGTAGTTGTAGAGGGAGAGCGTGTCAAAGCTACCTTTCTTGGTTTCCACTTTCTTGCCAACGGAAGCCTCAAGCTATGCTAGACATGTCACTTCTCTCATTCCCTGTGGAATTTTTGTGGACACTGGCCAATTAAAAAGCCTCCGAGACTTTGAGGTTGAGCTTAACTTTCAATACTTGCGTGTTCTCATTTATAATATTGAAGAGTTCTCAACAACTCGGTCGGCTAATAGTATTGTTGTTTCGCAGAACTTATTGACACACCAACGTCCAGAGCGTCGCACAAAGATTTACCGTGGTGAATACTATACCGGTGACGCGTTTCTTGCAGTCTCGAATGAAGATCTTTGGCGATGGGCTGCGCATCAGTACGCACGGAAGCCGACCTGTGATGGCCAGCTCCTTTCGGCATGGGTGTTGAAGCGCACCTTATACCAGTGTGCCTTGGATTGCAAGTCGGCTGATGCCCGAATAGCAACCTCCATCACGGAAGCGGTGGACGAGTTGCTTCAATCACAGATAAAGCGAAACCTTTGACATCATCGTAACACCGACTCGTTACCTTACAAAGTCCTGGAACGAATAGTACGCGCCATTTTCTCCCTCCACTAGGCAAGCCAGTACAGGAAGGTCGCCTGCTCAATAGCTTCGGTCATAACTAGGACTTGGTGTTATTGCAGTTAGAAAATGCCGATGCAACAGAAAACAGAAATACGGAGTCATGCCTCAAAAAAGTCATCAATATACTCCGTACGCTAACTAAGATAGAGTAGAGCTAGCTGTTTTTGCAGTAGTGTCATGCTAATCTCTATTTACGATGTCGGAGCGGCTGATGGACCGAATACCTGAAGCTTCGCTGACATAGGTTTGCGAGTCACGCCCAGCAGCCTAAACGAAGGCCTAAAGGCCCTAAAGATCTCCAGAAATCATGGGTATCGTTAGAGGCAAGTATAGGGGTTTTCTCTCTATTGGCCACGGATTACGCAATGCTAAGTTCGGCTAGAGTTTGCTAGCGGCGCTCTAGTTCTAGCGTATATTGATGACTTTTGATGCACGAGTCTGTACCAGTTATCCAGTTGCTGATTAGAAAAAGGAGTCCGTTTCAATTATACTTCTGATCTCTAAACTCCCGAAAAGCAAAGGGACTAGCCAAGGGCATGGTCCACACAAACGGGGCTTCTGAACGGACCGCATGTTGAAGGCCGCGAAGATGGCTTTTCAATTATCAGTCATGGCCAAATTGAACAAATTCCTTTTTTTAGTAGGGGCCCAAACGAGTCGAAGAAATGGATGGACAGCTACAAGCTACCTCAATCTTGATACTCATCTGTGCAAGATAATGATAACCCCTCCGTAAGTGCGATGAACAAAAAGACGTGACTAGGAATCTCCAATCCTTGTGCTTAACAAAGGACTCAGTGTCTCGAAATCTCTTCCCCCATGACAGGGCTGCAGAGAATTGTCCGCCAGCCGCTCATGCTCTCCCTCACGACTCCGAAACTATAAGCAATTCTATTTTTCGTGCTTCGATTGGCCTCGCTCGTGTGTATCAGATTACCATGCATGAGCACAAGCGTCCCGGCCTTGACCTCGAGCTTTTTGTACTGGTACGTGCCGTATGCAGACTTTCTTGTGGAGCGTGGAGTCATCAACGCCGTTCAACTGTGCAAAAACTGGATTGCCCACCAGCACGAAGTTGGGGAGACCAGTGCTGTCTTTCTCGCATCTTCTCGCGATGGGCTCTGTCTGATGGCTTCCAGGGGCGACTGCTAAGCAATCATTCTCGGCAGTTGCGTCCTCCAGTGCATACCAAAACGTGACGCAGCTTGCTGGATCAGTGAATCCGGTGCAACTGTCTTGATGTGGCACTACTTTCGGACCGACAGCTGATGCTTTGGTGATGATAAGGCTTTGAGTTATCCGAGGGTCCTTGAAACCAAGCGAGCGGGCAATCTCGCAGTGTTGTGTAGTGAACGTCGCCCACCGGAAGGCTGGAAGAAGACGACGGACTCCGCAACCGAGGCGGTCAATGCCCTAAAGGGGCGTCAGAGAAGCGTCGTGTGCGTCTGTACATTCAAATCAGTTCGCTTTTCCATTCATTCGGCCTACCGAGAGCGTACTTTCTCCCAGACTAGCCCATATACTTACTCCGGTTTTGGTGATTAGCTTAGACTCCGAATATTCTCTCTGATGTTAGTCTTGTTCCCCATGATCTCTAGACAAGAAGCTGCAAGTTGTCTTTCCGGGTGGTAAACGAGAAGGCATGAAACATGCAGAAGTCAAAGACCAGTTCAAACACACATCCACAACTTTCTCGGTCTGAAAATCAAAACCATCTCACTGCACGGCCACAAGCATTTCAGGGCGTAGGAGTGGGAGATCAAATGTAAGGAAATTAAGGGGAATGGGAAGAAGCTGTCGAAGGATGAAGCACCTCGCAAGAAACTCATTGGATGCATCTTGCTGTGGTGGAACGACAAAGACAAGACAGTCAAGAATCATGACTATGTCCAAACGCGGGCCTCTAGTAGGAGGTTGAGGGCAATGGTTGAACCTGCCGAAACTGGGGATTTTTACCAAATCTCCATACGTATCGTATACTCCGTACTCCGTCCATATGCGTCTGTATTCAAACCCCTAATTTCTCCTTGGTCAACCTAGTCTTCACACAGCACTGGTACTACCATCGCAGGATTTCGCGGCGATTACTGAGAACCTCTGTCAATACACCTCAAAAGATGTCTTTGAGGACTTAAGACCCCTCCATAACGTCAAGGTGGTCATCAAGAAATTGTAGATAAGTGAACTGTTTAGTGCTCTATGTAAGGTGTGGAATTTTAGCTTCAAGGACCTCATATAAAAGTAGTAACAGGAAGATTCTATATGCGTTGACTTAGTGATGGTAAAGGCCGCTCGGCCCCGTTATAGGCATGGAGACACTTGCATCAACCTTACATTTCAAAAAATTGATACTTGTGCCACCTTATCACTCATTAAGTGGTAGCGCTGAGGGGTTCCTCATGCTCTCATACAAATCCGGGGAGCTCCATATCGCTTTCGACGGACAAGGATACAGCGGTACGGTTGAGCAGATGTGTTGCAAAATTGCTCAAAAGAGAAGTGCCTGATGGCATAGACGTAAATTAAAAGATCCATTGAATATGGTTGTGAGTAATCTATATAAGCCAGGGTCTGCGCCATCTTCTTCCAGACCATGAAAGTCCAATTTGGGCTTGGGTATCGGGCCGTCTCATGCAAATTTCTGCCCGAGCTGTTTGGGCAAACCGAACCAAAAAAAATACATGTATACGAAGTGAAGCATTCTGTGCCACTGGCACAAAAGAGGCAAAATGAAAAAGCGCCAAGATGATCCTTATCCACCCAATATGTATCAATTCCAGTCATTTTCTCAACCTCTCATCAGATCCTCGTCGGCGATCAAGTTTGCGGTTGACACTACCGAGTACAACCTTAAGAATGCCGGCACCGGTAAGTATCTGTCCGTCGTCCCCTGTCCATGGAACTGTGTCAACAATGTCTCGTATGTCGTGTGTAGTCGACAGAGCGTCGTCCAGGTCCTGTAGATCTTCGGCTGCATCTGGTTCTCTTCCGACCTGAAAGAATTGGATGCCAATCTGCCATGGCTCTGCCCCCCATGCGTCAAGCTTTCTCGCTGCCTGAACAATGACAGATTCAACATCGTCACTGGCAACACCGTCTGTGATGACAATGATGTTTAGTGGCTTCACGGTGACTTCTTGGCCCTGGGCTTGGCGTTCAATCATATCCTCGACTTGCGCAAGGTATGGCTTGAGAATGTGTTGTAGACGTGTGCCGGTGGGGGTGCCACCAAGGGGTCGAACGGAGTTGAAGATGCTTTCAACACCAACGGTTGCGGAAATGTTTCTATATGCGCCAGTGGAATCCCGTCGATTGCGATGATTCAGAAAGTAGATGTCAATTCCGTCGGAGTCATGATCTGTACAGATAGGAGTGATTGCAGTCAGGGCAGCGGCGGTTTCACGCCAACTTCTGCCTGCCATGCTACCGCTGTCATCGATGAGGAATACGGTGTCGAATTGCTCGAGAAAGGAGTACGGAGAATCCTCATTTGACAGAATGGGAGCAGTTTTCACTGCGGAATTGGTGGGTGGTGAGTATGCTGGTGGTGCTGCCTCGTCGAGATTTTTTGGTCGTCTGGTAGGCGTTGTCACGGGAAACGGGTTTGTTGTCTTGCTGTTTGCTGCGACCGGCGTTGCTGGGGATATCCTGGAGGAGAGGGATCGTGACGATGATAATGATGACTTAGGCTCTTTCTTCGAGGTGAATCGCTTGAGTCTGAGAGGCATGCTGCTGAGTTTGGAGGATGTGCTCTGCGAGCAGAAGGTGGTAGCAGGCGAAAGGGTGGTCATTGTGTCAGATGTTTGTAGCAAACGTGGCAAGAGCGCCTTAGCTTATTTGTGGAGTTGTATAAGAATGCTACGTGATGTCTGTGAACCGTGGTATGCTACTTCTTCTTCTCCACCGAGCAAACTGATTTACTTTATATACACACTTACACATGGCATGCCTTTTGAAAGTGCCTCGATTCAGCCTGGAAGTATCCTCATCTGTCACAAGGATTGAGAGCATATAGATGGCACAGTCTCAAGGCATAATCCATATCTGGCAGCTGTTTGGCATGAGTTAGAGTACGATCAAGGGATCTAACGCTGTTATAGCGGCTGAAAGGTTTGAAAAGAAAGTTGCATTGCCAGTGGGTTGTAGGCGGTGTGCCAATGCTAGCAGGGATGAGCAGAGCCACAATCCGAAACCACTTCAGATCAGCTGAGCCTCTGGAGTCTAGGCGGTAAGTTAGCACAGCCGCAGAGTTGCTGCCTTATTCCCTATTGGGCTTAGACCATCTCCACAGCCTCGTTCGCTTTCTTTCTTTCTTTCTTTCTTTCTTTGAACAGTACTTGGTTGGAATCAGCGTCTATGCCTGGATCCGTTTCGATAGTCGCCCCTCAACTGACACCTTATCACGTCGCTGTTTTGCGACAACGGTGGTTTTGTGTACCTGAGTGTTGCTACTCTCGCCTGAGCTTGTCATGTTCATGAGGTGATTCTACAGAAGGTGGCGGAGTGGCCAACTACCCACCGTTCCACTAATTAGAGCATCTGCTTCCTATCTGTGTGATCATCCTGGGCAGTATCTCAGATTCTGCAACGGTGGAGTAAGCCTACTGATACGTGATACATAGTGAAAAAGAGCAGGACATAAGGAGCTTGCGGCGATGCAGAGAACTACGGTGACTAATGGATACATTCGATGCTCTCCCCCACGCCGTACAAGCATGTCGCAATGCTGTTTTCGACGATGCCCATGAAGAGGCTCTACTGGCCATGCCTTGCTAGCTGAATCTTGACCTCCTCTTGATGGAAAAGAAAAAAAGTTGTTACTGGCAATACTGCAGAGCCATACATGTGCGAGCTCATTGACGACGACGACGACGTTAGGTCAGAGACAATATTCCATGTGCCTTGTCATGGAATCGGGCTATCAGATTTATCTTAATCAAGGCATTGCAAAGAGACGGAATGGGCAAATTCATGGACAACCTCCGCTGTCAACACATCGTAGTTGTTAGCGGCACATCGGGGCCGGCCCTCAGAACCGCACCAACACCGCTGTACACCCCTTCGATACTCCGAAAGTCAAAGGTGTGGCAGCGGACGTGCGCGACGAACCAGCATTGATCAGAGCCCTGCGGTCCCTAGCGTCAATCGACCACATTCTCTTCTCCACCGTTGACAAGATCATTCGCGGCATGCTGGAAGAACTGAACCACAACAACGCAAAACATCTCTTTGGCGTGAAATTCTGGGGCGCCGTTGTCATGTGAAAGGGTATGGTTGGCCTCCGCAAACAAACCCAGCTAAGTGGAGTCGCGCTGCTAAAATACGACATCATCCGCCCGGAGGCTCACTAGCCCTTACATCCTGCGTAGCAGCCATAAGCCCGGAAAGGGAGCACCAGGAGGCAGAGCGCTCAACGGCGCCATTTTGTCTCTCACTAAAGGCGTGGCCAGTGACCTAGCAGAGAAGAGGATCCCACTAATATGGTAGCTTCGGGTCTGGTGCAGAAGTAAACGCGAGAAGAGCTGGGAAGAAGTGGTAGAAGTCTCTTAGTGGGCTTCGTAGCCAAACCGGAGGAGATTGCCGAGGCGTATTTATGTACTATTTGCGCGGGTTATGCTACGGGTCGCTGATTGAGATTAGTGATTGGGATGTTTGGTCGAATGGTAACCCCCTGCCAACGTAATGTAGATGGCGAGCATACTCTACTAGTACGTACGTACGTACGTAGTATATTGTGATACATAGGAGCCAAGAAAGCTAAATTTTACTTTATACGTCCTAGGAGCCATTATGCCTCGAGTGTTACTTTCACAACCCGGCAGATGTGTGCACACAGTGGATCAAATACGAAGATTGGTAATTAGTTGCATTTTCCCGAACTTGTCTCGTGATGGCAAGAGAAGACTCTGAGGAGCACCAGATCCAACAGCCGCGCCACCAGTGCAGCAGTGCTTCCCAACCTCGAAGCTAAAGATTCACATCTTTCCCTCCATTCAATCCTTCGAAAGCCAATACAACTCATCATGCTTCTTCCCACAACCCAGCCCCCTCCTTCCGATGCCCCGAAATGTCCGTAGTAGCCTTCACCCCGTCCGTAGTAGCCTCCCGACAACACGTCAGATACCTATTTCCGACCAAAAACCTCTGCAACTCGCTCTCATCCAGCTCTGCCACCAGATTCGTATTCACAGGGATCAACTTATCCTTCTCATACCAATGCCTCACATATCGAGCCTTCCACTCCCCACTCTCCATTATTTGGAACAAGGAACAGAACCGACGGTATTTGCTTCGCAGTTCTTTGCGTCAGCGGTCTTAAGCAAGAAACGCTGCGAGATGGTGGCTTTCATCTTGGAGACTGCGCGGGTGGCTTCGGAATTGATGTCGGTGGTTGAGCCAAGGATGCGGTGCACGATGAATGCGCCCTTGTCCATGCCAGTCTTGGACATCTCGATAAACTCAGTATGGTGAGTGAGGCAGGTGCAGGTGGTGTAGATGTAGGCGTTTGGGTGGCAGATGGAGAGCAGGTTCTTCCATTCTCATGTATCGCTGAGAGGGACGTTGATGAGTGACAGACATATTTTAGCTCGTGAGCGTTTACCGATAGCAGGGCCAGCCTTCAGCTAGCTCTCGCAGCTGGTACCGTTGTAAAGCGAGGTCTTCGGGGCCGTTGTTGCGGATGGCTTTTGGTGGCCATCGTCCTGCTGGTACACTTTGAAGATCTGGTATTTTTGTGGCTTCCGTTGGGTAAAGATGACTTGGACCCTTTCGTTGATAGTATCCAGGAAAGCGATGTCCGCTGTGATATTAATGGCAGGGAGGAGGGTTGCACCCTCTTTTGTATGATTTCACCACATGAAACCAATTAGTAATAATACTTGAAGGCCTTCATGCATATAAACAGTCAGCATACAGGAGAAGTAGATCGTTAAAAGATGAAGCGACGTCCCCGAGTAGATAGCCAGGAATCTGCTCACGGCAATAGAGAATTGCCAACCGTTCTCCCTGAAGAGCAACTGGCGTAATGGTCTCAATAATATGGTCAAATCCATTCTTCCTACCTTCTTGCCTCAAAGGTTCCTTTGATAATCACCCATGACCTGTATTTTCATATTAGGTATATATCAGGGCGAATATAGCTATGATAGCCTTTGTCAGAAAGGCTCTGAGCCAGTTTGGGGCCCCTGCTGCTCCGAGGCCTGCATGTAGATGGTAGTTTAGTAGATATGCGATCTAGAAATGCTGTCGCGATATCAGGGGATGAACCAGAAGAATGATTTCGCAAATGCACTGTCCGCTGCATGTTGATGACGATGGTATTGCGTCAAGTTATGCCAAGTTGGCTGTCAAGGACAATAATTTCATGGCGACAGCACTCAATTACGTGATAGATGTGAAATTGGACACGACTGATCTGCCTCATTGTGGTCGAAGACGATTTGATAAGCCTTAGAACTTACACAGGCCAAGGGGGTCTGGCTCGGCTGATCTTCGGCATATAGTAATTCTCGATGGTGGCCAAGTCTCCAGCACAGCCCTGGTAATCAAGCTTTAGATGATAGAACCCGTTGGCTCTATTTCTAGTTGCCGTATTGAGCAAGAGCCTGCATGTGCCCCCCTTGCCACTTTCATGATCTGTTTTGAACGTCAAGTTGCTACATCCGTCCACTTAAGGTCTCACCAGCGGACAAAGAAAGTAGACTCCATGTTCGAAAGAAGATCATTGGAAAAAAGCGTAAGCTATATATATTTCGTATAGGGTAGATCTATACTACATACTCCTGCCCTCGGGCCTTCACTTCCCACCCCTCAAGATCGGTCGAGGCAGACGTTTCCGAGAAGCAGTCGAGTGCTAAAGAGCGTTCCAAAGTCCAGCTTCACGAGGGTAGAGTAACTGCACTGCTTCGTGCAAGTACAAGCGTCCCACGGCAGGGGTTACGCAGTCGTCTTCCTTGACCGTGGATGGCAGACTTTGAATTCTCCCGTCTCTGACTCGCTCCCATTTAAACTCCTCGCGGCCGTGCGCCATGGCGGAGCGGAGCGTCTTGAAAGGCGCTTGTGCGTGTCCCGTCGTATTCGCGTTTAGCTGTTCGTTTCCCTGCCCTTCTGTTGCAAGCATAGAACGTAAAGTTACTCACTGATGTTGTTCGGGACCCGACTGAGCCTGGGCCTTGGAGTAACCGTCGTGGAAAGACTTCACGTACGTATTCCTGCTCTGGCGATCATGCTCGGTCATGGCATCACAGAGGCCGTTGACCTAACTGCGAGAGGATCATAAGGTGAAGTTCGATTTGCTGGAGCTGCAGAGGCATGATTAGCTTGAGTTGTACTTGAGTAATCTGATGGTAGTGTGAGACACTTACCGCTTAGAGATAGAAAAAGTATTCAGTGATTAAGACGGTGTTTTGCAGGTCTAGCCTGAATACAGATTTTGAAGCAGATGTGTAAAGGGCAAATGAAATGAGGATGTTGCTGCACTTTTCCTTTTCAGACGAGATCTGCTGGCCTTTCTATCTCCCAAGATTTCACGCGAGTAGCTGCCCATCATGGGCGAGTACAAAAGCCCTTGCTTCTTGCGTCTGAACACCCTTCTTTGCAGGGTCTCATTACGACGTCGCGGTACTCAGACGTTGTACTTGGTGGCTTAATCGCTGGCTTAATCGCTGGCTTGCCACCCACCTGGTCAGGGTGATTAACATGGTAATGATGCTGGAACAGCACTATACATGCCAAATCGTCTTAGTACGAATATCAACATGTTAGAGTGCTTGACTCAGTGCAAGAGGATGCAACCCTGCACATGTTTGAGCCATGTATGTTACCCCCTGAAGGATTTTTTCTGTGCACTTCATTATTATTTAGTGACTCCGTACCTGATGAAATAAATCAAATTTGTGGCGTATGAATAGACTAACACACGAAAGAATGTCTCGCAACATCTGAGACCTCATATTTCTGGGATTGCTGTAGATATGAGATTGCTTACATGTTAGAATTGCTTGGTTAGTGCGCCTGGCACAAGTACGAACTCATTAGCATGAGGGCTGATCTAGGGGAAATCTGCTCCGCAACAAAGATGAATATAGAGAGCCAGTTGTTACTTCAGATAGACAATGTTATTTCATACATACGAGAAGGTGAAGCAACAACGCACTTAGTAATTAATTCAATGCTAACTAGTAACAGTTAGACTCAAATCTGCCAAGGTCACTGCCTAAGTCCGCTTCGATGCGTTTCTTCTTCGATGAGCTCGTAAGATGAAATGGATTACATCCAACGATGGAGTGACTGATGACACACTGACACAGCCGAGTCGAGATTCTTACATCCATTTCATGACGCTCCGATCTACCGCAGTCAGATGAACCAGGCATCAATCAAGACTTAAAAAGGATTAGACCGATCTTCATCTCGCTTTCTGAACATCGATACTATGCCCTATACCCACGTCGGCGCCGTGACAGGCGCTAACAAAGGCATTGGACTCGCAGTCGTCCGTCAACTCGCGCTTCAATACCCTAAAAGCGCGCTCCACAAGAGCGACCCTGAGAGTCAGGGCTTGCTCATCTACCTAACAGCACGGGACAAAAGTCGAGGGGAAGCAGCTGTCAGATCCCTGTACGAGGAGGATGCTCAGCTCAAGAAAGCCAAGGCTTTGAAGAAGGATGGAGGGTGGGCAGATATTAAGTTTCACCAGTTGGATATCAGGGATACAATGAGTATTAGGGGGCTTGCAGAGTATTTGAGGGGTGAGCATGGAGAGGGGGCGGTAGATTTCGTGGTGAATAATGCTGGTATGTGAATTGATTAGTGAATCTTGGTCCTGGTAATGAACTGGAAAGTATTGGTTGGCTGAGCTGACGTCCGTCATGAAAATAGGTATTGCTATGGACGGCTTCGGTAAGTCGTTCTCTTCGTCCACTCGCACCCGGTGCTGGAAGAGTGGTGTTGCGCGTGAAAAATGCCCCAAGCTCGTAATAGCTCGATTTGAGGAAAGGCCAAGCAGGCACTAACTCAGCCTTGTACACTGCTGCAGACAACAACGTTGTCAAGACTACTCTTGAATGCAACTATTACGGCTCTTTGGAAGCGACGCAGGACTTCCTTCCACTACTCAAACCCAACGGCCGCCTCATCAACGTTTCGTCCATCGTAGGAAAGCTGAATAAGTATTCTGAATCCATCCGCTCTAGATTTCTCAATGCCAGGTCTGTTGAAGAGGTTACCGCTCTGATGGAAGAATTCAAAGCCGCGGTCGAGGCTGGCAAGGAGAAGGAACAGGGATGGCCATCTGCTGCTTACGCTGTCAGCAAGGCGGGAATGACCGCAATGACAAAGGTAATCGCCAGGGAGGAGCAAGACCGGGGTGGGAAGAGGCTAATCAATGCTTGTTGTCCTGGTTATGTCAACACGGACATGTCGAAACACCGTGGGTCGAAAACGCCAGACCAGGGCGCACAGACGCCTGTGATGTTGGCAATTGAGGAAATCGGTGGTGCATCGGGGGAGTTTTGGCAGAATGAGAGAGTCATCGAGTGGTAGATGACCTTGGACTAGATTTACAGGACTTCTTCTTGTGGGAGGACTAGCCTACTGCTTGCGATTTAATTTTGTTTATTATATTTTATATTTTTTTAAATTGGGGACATGCACCTGCTAATCCAGGAGGGACCCGAACCCCAACCCCCCAGTTTGCTGGTTGGTTTAGGTCGTAGCTGCCTTTCCCGTCGACAATACTGGATTTGGAGGACTAGCCTACTCTCGTGGTTGACTTTGCCTCCAGCCTTATCAAAAGAGGCGCTTAACCCGGAGTCGATATCGCTATGGTGCATAGGCAGGTCTGGCAGGAAGGCTCTGTAAGCAAGATTTGGTAGCATCAAATTACGGATCATTTTCTCTCACTTCGTCTTTTCTCCATTGTACTGTGATGTTTCATTTGTCATTCTCGTTCTTGAGCTTGTCTGCTGCTCGGCAGAAGATGCCTCGCCTTCTCGCTGGCTTTATGACGGCAACACGGCTTCCTCGGATGTAACTGCACTATTATAGAATCTTCCTACAACATAGCAAATGCTTGGTAGATAACCTTATCGTCATAGGACGTGTTGGTGGTGTCAAGTCAAACATGTCAGAGAGAGCACATTTCCTTTGCCTTGAGGTGCACCTAGGGCTTTCGGAGTGCAGGCCAGATTGTCCAGTCACACATGCGATCCTTTTGCGAGTTCGCCCTTTGTACCCCACTGAACAGTTGAAATGATGGACGTACCTTTTATTACCTTGCTTCGTTTTGATCATGAACAAAAATGGACCATTCTGAGTAGAGAAATTCAGCCTACACCGAATCGCATGAATGTTAACATGCTCACAGGGTGGGGGCAGGGTGGGCACCCTGCCTCATGATCTCAATAGTAAGGTTACCCACTCATGACAATGACCGAGGCAAAAGATCAACTTGAGACTTACCCAAAGCAAACTTTTCATCAAGGTCTCCAATTAACTTGGGACCCGAATTGTGGGGATGCCCTGCCGAAAGGAAACATTGGCGAACCACGAATCGTCATTCAGCATTCAGTAGTTGCTACACCAGGTCATGCTCGACGCTGGATTTTACATAAGACTTATTTGGGTCAGGCCTTGTGATGTTGCACAACCTATGATAATGTCGATACTACGTAGTAGAAATTGACAAGTGGCAGCGGTTGCTTTTGATACGGTGCGCATTGATCAGCAGCTTCATCGGTTAGGCAAGGCCAAATGAATCAATCACTCCACTCCATCTTTGATGATGAGCGCCGCAGTGTAGCTCGTTTTTGCATGACCGTGTGATTCTCACCCTCTTGCCACTCAGTGTTACACAGGATGAAGCTGATGGATCTGCAAGACTAGTCTCATTTCCAAAGCAGCAAGTGAAAGGGGCTTCGCTACATCCTTTGCTACCCGCAGCTCAAGTGCCTTGTTTGGCCAACGCAGCTCAAATAGTAAGGCAGCTGGCAGTAAGATTCGCCCGGTTTGTACTGTCATTTTCTTCTACTCGAAGTAGGGGATCATGATAGAGTTTAAAAGCCAAGTTGTAGATCAATTTCAATCCCGGTGTGGGGCCTCTTTCCGGATTCGGAACTCTTCCCCATCACTCACTCAGCTATGAAGGGTATCAACCATAATCATGTGAATTTCTTGTTTGATCTTTGCCTTGGGACCAGATGAAACACGCACGGCCAGTTATTGGCTCTAATAGTTCGGCTCTAACAATGAACAAGCCTTGGGAAAGTTCGGGAGGCTGATACCTTGCCTGCAGCAGTCCAAACCTGTTTGTGCTGTTGATCTCCATTTGGGCCGCGAATAAGAACTGTGGGGCGCGAGCCTTAGCCCGACAGGGATGAGGCTCTAAAGTTAATATTACGTATATTGGCAAAAGAGCAAAGCGCCTCCGCAAAGTCGACTTCCCGAACGCCACAAGCGGAAGCATAGGGTCCACATCCAATGCATCCTACATCATCAGACATCCTGGTCAGCCTCTTGTTTATATATGTGGAAAGGGGCAATGATCAACAATGTCACAAGCTCATACAGAACAAGGGGTGGGGTACATGGTACACCTGCCGACGTGGACGCCGCTGCGAAGTGGTTGGAGCCCGAACTTGTATATCATGGACATGTCCCAGCTTCCACGTAGATCAGGGATGTTCAGAGACGCGTTGTACACCTTTACGCTATCTAGGGACAAAGTCCACCCAGGTTGAGGACAGTTCTCGCCTTACTCCTAAGCACTCCTCCAAGAACCTCATACTCATTGCATGGAAGCGAGAGTGATAGCAGAGCATACACGGATTACCGAGCCCGTTCCGTCGTGTCTACATTCATAAGACATGTCTCCATATTCCCTTCTTCAGAAAGCCGCCCTCGGGCTGTCAATGCTCAGTGCGCTGAGCAACGCTGCACCAACACAGGGCTTGTAAGTTTCTCCCTACGCTTGAAGGGAACCAGGACTGAGCCTTATAGCCGGCTGGAAGCTCGTGATCTCTCCTTTGACTACAATAGTCAAAAGGTTAGAGGTGTGAATCTTGGTGGCTGGCTTGTAAGCGAACCTTGGATCACGCCTTCACTGTACGAACGAGCCGGAGGTGGTGCTGTTGATGAGTACACACTCTGTCAGACACTCGGAAAAGATGCTGCTTTATCCTTGTTGTCGGCGCATTGGGCTTCGTGGATCACCGCTGGCGACTTGAGCAGCATTGCAGCTGCCGGCCTGAATCACGTCCGAATCCCAATTGGATACTGGTCGGTCGCGCCGCTTGAGGGTGACCCGTACGTGCAGGGCGCGCTAGAGTATCTCGACCAGGCCATTGGCTGGGCGGGAGGTGCAGGTCTCAAAGTTATTATTGACTTACATGGAGGTATGTACAATTCGCGCAACTGCCATGATTCTTGTCCTCATGCATGAAAGGTCCGGGTTCCCAAAACGGGTTCGACAACTCTGGCCGTAGAGGAGCAGTGGGCTGGGGAGGGGGTGATACCGTTGCCCAGACACTGAATGCCGTACGAACCTTGGCAGAAAGATACGCCAGCAACACCGGAGTTGTCACATCGATTGAACTTCTCAATGAGCCTCTCCCTCCAGGTGTAAATATTGACACCCTGCGTCAGTTTTACAACGACGGGTTTGGTACTATTCGGGCTGTCAATGGTGATACTGCGGTTACCCTGTCCGATGCCTTCCAAGGACCTTCTGCTTGGAATGGTTTTACACCCGGCAACAACATTATTATCGACACTCACATCTATCAGGTCTTCGACATCGGATCACTCCAACAAACCCCAGATGGCTTCTTTGGCACCGCTTGCAGCAAAGCTGGTCAGCTCCTCCAGGCTGACAAATGGACCATTGTAGGCGAATGGTCCGGTGCCCTGACCGATTGCGCCAAATGGTTAAACGGAAAGGACAGGGGCGCTCGTTACGACGGAACATTCGGTGGTTCACCAACCATTGGTAGCTGTGCAGGAAAGTACAGCGGGAGTGTTGCTGCTCTTTCTAATGACGACAAGTACAACATTCGTCGATACATCGAGGCTCAGCTTGACGCATACGAGGCCAGAACCGGATGGGTCTACTGGACTTGGAAGACTGAAGGTGCGCCAGAATGGGACATGCAGCAGCAGCTGGCAGGTGGTCTCTTCCCTCAACCATTGACCGATCGTCAATATCCAAACCAGTGTGCGAATTCGATGGGTTGAGCCTTTTGAACGGGAACAGAAGGAGTCTGTCATCTTTTCCCACTCACCTACCACGACATCGCTGTACAACATACCCCATCACTATCGCCATAAATACCCTTCACGCGTCAGCACACCTCTGATGTGCTCGTATCTAGTCACGAGTTATGACCACCTTCGCTATTTGAGGTTTTTTTTTTTTGGCTACATTCGACAGCCATACTTCCCTTCGCTCACAATGATACCCCCACAAAGAAAGAGCAGCGCAGCTCCAGAAAGAAGCATGCCAAGATAGCATTGGGTTTGCATTGGAATAGCAGCGATGTTAAATTAGGGACATTGTTCATGTATATTGCACATATCATAGCATGTCGTTGTCTACTATTGTGTCTTGTTCGTTGGATGATCATGTTGCGTTGAGAGCAGCTATAGCAGCAGTGCCAGCTCAAGGACAGCAGCAAGATCGTCAGCTTCGATCTACAGTTATTGATTAATCATTTCTGGAGATCCCTTCTTACCGAGCCGGATCCCCGCACTTTGTTTCCTCCTCCAATCTCATCCTGCGAATCATGAAGCTGTGTGGTGTGATACCCGTGGGGCCAGCGGTCCGGTTGCCTGAACTTAGATTGCGATCCACTCTTCCCCCTCATCCATGACTCCTCTTCGGTCCATATTATCGGCTCCGCACATTTGTCAGATCTCGTCTTACACATGGATGAGCTTGAATTGCACTGCTCGGATCATGATCAAATCTATCAACACGCTGGCTAGAAATGACAGCTGTGGTACAGCTTCTGACCCATTGCCGCCACTTTGGCTATCATCCGCTGCACAATCCACCTGACGATTCTTCAAATCTGGGATCCATCAACGTGCATCCATGCAGGTGCCATCGAAAGCATCAAGCCATATGAGATACCGACCAGGAATTGACTGAGGGCCAGCCGGCCGTCCTCCATCAATGGAGCGGCAACAGGGCAACGCTTCAACGATTAAATACATGGGGTCAGGTCTAGGTCATCTCCATTTCAAACTACGTTAGACTTCATTCTTTTTCATTCACACGTTTCAAAAATAAGTCCTAGCCTCAATTATATTACGTTACTACTCTTACCCACTCCCCTCGTAAAGCATGGCTCCAGAGGTACTCAAGAAACAGTGGGCACAGGTCATCGAGAAGGTCGGCGGACCGGTTGACTACAAGGAAATCGATGTTGCGCAACCTGCTCCGGACGAGGTTCTGGTGGACATCAAGTACTCTGGTGTTTGTCATACAGCGTCTACCTTCACGCAGTCAACGGTGGTTGGCCAATACCGACCAAGTTGCCCTTGGTGGGCGGACATGAAGGTGCTGGCATTGTCGTTGCAAGAGGCGAGCTCGTCGATGATGACGTTTGCCAAATCAGCGAGGCTGTGGGAGTGAAATGGTTGAATGGTCCTGTCTATCTTGTGACTTCCGCCAACAGGCTGACGAACCCTTATGCCTGAAGCCCGCCCTGTCTGGCTACACCGTCGATGGCACATTCCAGCAATACTGTATTGGACAGATCAAGGCGCCTCTCAAGACTGTTGATCTCAAGGAACTATCAAAGATTTATGATTTGATGAAAGAGGGCAAGATTACGGGACGATATGTTGTCAAGATGCCAGAATAATCGGGGGGAGCATATGTTGGTGGATCACAGGTGAAGAGGAAACTAGTTAGGGCTGCAGCGTCTCGTGAACCCGTAAAAGTGCTTGATAGAGTTGGTTTAATCTATATGGCTGCTTGTTAGAAAAGTTGGTGCCGCCATGCGTCAAATGAGATCGATTCCTCCCTCCAATCGAAAGCCTTCATTCCTTTGTTATCGAGATGACGTAAACGTTATGCTCCCTTGCTCAACTCTTTTTCCACTTCCACGAGTATACTTTCTCGTTCTCGTTCCTCCCACGAACACGAGAGAATAGCGGACCTGGCGGTCTCTGTTAGTTTGCTCTACATTATTCGACCGAGTGCATGACGCCATCATTGCTCATTGTGCTTGTTGTTCTGGTCGCAGAGTGCAGTGCATGGTCAGACATTCGCCATCGTCAAATGATATCCCCTTAATATGACCAAGGAAGTGAAGTGATGCTACGAGATCATAACGACCGAGCGGCACTGGGGTTAGCTCCTCAGGTCCTGCCCTTGAATGGATCAGGTGGTGAGATGGATATCGCACATGAATTCTTCGCTCCACTGACAACGGCTGACCTGCACTTTACATGTTGCATGCTTCGAAGATCGCGGCTTCAGCAGCTGGGCTGTCAAAGCTGGCTCATGGACTCGGTGTGCTCGTTGGTGGACGAAGCTGCTGTCCCAGATTGGAAAAGAAAGGCGTTCATCTCTAGGGATATCTTTAGTCCTTGATCAGAGCGCGAAGAAGAGCAGTAACATCAATTCATGGTGCACGCAGGTGAGATTGATGATGATTTCCAGAGTGTCCAGAGTGTCCGGAGTATTGAGTATTGTTGGCTTCGGTGGGTGAGCCGAGGTGGAGATGGAGGTGTTCCTCGTTCCGGCTCCGGTTCCGCGTTCAACCCCCCCACGATCGCCGGTTGTGAATCCCAAACAGAACAAACGTAAACAATCGCGGAAAGTACGTACTTCCCTTCCTGCAGCAGACTCTTCCTCGGGTTTGGGGGATGGACAGGACAGTTCATCTCTGGTAGCCTTTCACTTCCCTTACAGCTTTCAGTCTTACAGTTCTTTGGGTGCTGGTGTCATCCTACTGCACAATTACTCCGTACATCCCTCCGCCAATCTGAGGAATGAAACCAATCTAACCGCCCATTCACAATACCCTTTTGGGAAACCCAAGTCCACCAATGATATTCACAACTGCGCTTAACCATTCTGCCGGCCCAGGATTGGTGGTGACAACAGCATTCCTGGTATCATGGAACATGGTCACGCTCATCCTTCCCATCTCCCATCTCCTGCGACCGTCGCGGGCCATGACTCCAACCGTCAACAAACACCTAACCGCCCGCTATCCTTCCTTGGTGTGACCAATACATCCTCGCCATTACGAAGATCACCACAGACCCCCTTCGAGACGCCCTTGAGCTTACCGCAGAGACGACTACAGTTACGAAATGCTGGTTTCCGAGCACCCCGGTTGCCAAGTCACCGATTGAGCACCAGATTATCGAAATGGTTCTCGGATAAAGACGATCACAAAAGCCGGCGCCAGAAATCACCGGCGCGCAAGCAGGAGAATAGCCCACCTACGGTCAGACGGCGAGCTCCACAAGGTGGCAATACCCCCAGCAGCATTTTACAGGAGATCACAAACTCCACCCGAAGCAGACCTTCAGTGAGGAGCACATTTGGATCAATCTACGAAGACGGTCAAGACGACTCACCCGCCCATTCGTGGTATCACGACGCTCCTAGCACACAACAGTCTCCAATCACACTTAATCCTGTCCATGCTAAGCCGAATGACATGAAGCTCCGCGAGATCAGTGGCAATGCCAGGCGGAGTCCACCGCCGCCGAGTTCACTCTCAGCACGGCAGGTACGAGGTCGCAGCAAGAGGGGTCTCAACTTGCACAAAACAAGTTTCCCGGCATCAGAACACATCGTCTTCCTGGAGACCCAACTGGAGGAGTTTGAAAGATCGCAATACTCGCCAAACACTGGCTTGCCTCTGAAAGACAAAGTCAGTGCGCTGACAGCAGAGAACAATCGGCTTCAGGAAATGCTTGCAGAGCTTGAGCATCAATTCGAGACACGATTGAGGGATTCTGTGGAGCACAAGACTGGTCTAGAAATGAACCTAAGGAGAAAAATCAAGCAATTGGAGGAGGAGATTGACATCAAAGACAGCACGATTCAAGATCTAGAAGATCGAAACAATGCCTCTCAGCGCGATCTGTCTAATGCCAATTCTTGGAAAGCTGCCGTTGAGAGATTGGAATCGGAAAAGAGGGATCTGGAAGAAACCAGTCGGAACCTGGAAAAGAGGAACGACGTCCTTACAGAGCTCTTAGGCCAGTCGCCGACGAGGTCACGTCCCGAATTCGAGTTTCCGTCGCCTGTCAAAGAGCAGCACAGGAGGACACCAAGGCCAAGATCGATGATGCCTCGAATTCCCTCTTCTCCAGCTCGCAGTGAATTGAAGAGACGCCGGTCATTGCATACGTCTCCTTCCCCCTTCCAGCATGATTACTTTAGCCCGCTCTCTGCCCTTATCAGAGAACATGATCATCCATGCCATGACGAGAACGTCGACCCACAAAAGAGCCGTGATGACTTCCAGTCTGTCGACTCTGGCCTAGGCGATTCATGCTCTGTCCGTTCAGGCAATGGAACTATGTCCAAACGATCCTCTATGCATTCATACGCGTCTGCCAGCCCGGCAGCGTGGGGCCTGCCCTTGCCTCCATCTCCAACGGACGACGTTACAGAGAGATCCAGCCGGAGGAGGAAGACTCGACGTTTCGCATCGGGCTCTACTCAGCTCAAGTCTCTTGTTCTGCCAACGTTGAATTCGACCAACAGTTTTCCTCAGTCCGCTCCTCTGGTAGAGTTTAAGTCTAGTCCAGAGCGTCGCGATGTCTCAGAACATTCAATCGACCCCACCATTGCGTTCCTGTCCCAGCATTATGATACTCCAACTCAGCCAATGCGAAGATCTCATGCTTGGGCCGCGGAAGATGCTTTGAATGCTTTAGAAGGCACTGCTGAAGCTCGCTTTGTCAGCCTTGACGAGAAGATAGCTGATCAAAAATCCTTACCTTCGACACATGAGACTGCCCTGACCTTCCAAGATCGGCAAGCATACCCTGACTACAATGCCGACTCCACTCCTTTTGCTCCGAGCTTGATCGATGAAGTGATCATGGAAGAAGGTTCCACAGCATTCTTGAGCAACCAGTTTCAAGATGCTGGAGATCAATCATTCTCCAGCTTGGCAGGAGAGGTATCGATGACCGAATCTGATATCGATGGGGCGCAGGCTGAGGAACAGATCTTGACGACCCGGTTCTTAGAATGGGAGCTACCACATCCGGTCAGCATTCAGCTGCCGAATCTCTCTGAAGCGCCGTATTCTTTGGAGCGCAACACGGACCAGAACAATAGTCTAGAGGATCTTGGTGACTGCAAACCAGTTTCGGAACCAGACTTTAGTGCTGCGGTCAGTGTTGAACAAGAGTTTGCGAACCCTTTGGTATCTCCCTATCCTCCACCGACCACCATCGTGCGGCACACTAAAGCATCCCATTCCGGAGAACGAGGGTTGGATCACCAAGACGAGCAAGAAGACGCACATCCTCAAACCTCTTTAATAGCGTCTTCGTCTGGAAAGTTGGCTGAAATACGGAGGCATAGCACCAGCATTGGCCTCCAATCGACAGAACTGACGATGCCCAATCCCCTCAAAACTGCATCCTCACAACCAATCTGCAAGAGACCCAAACGCCCGAAGAGCCCTCTCGAAGTCTTGCAACGCAAGGGCAGACCCACAATCCCCATGACCTCACTGAACAACCGAACCATATTTGGGACCATATCACGCTATACATCCTACATGCGCGAAATCCGCCGCGATCCAACCGCTCTCGCTCGTCGCGTAATAGCCAATGCTTGGTGCAGTAATTGGAAACGGCTTGGCAAGCTTAGCTGGTGGGTACTGGGATTGTTTCTTGGGCCTGGTTGGAAGCAGAAGATAAAGGAGAAGACGGAAGGTTGGGAGGTGTATGATGGCGAGAACATTGCGGAGGTGGAACATGAGCGTCTGAATGGTCGCGATCTCGATACGCCTCAAAGATCCTGCAGATCATTAGAAACATTAGCACGTCAGTCGACAAGAGCGCAACAGAAGAAAAGGGTGGAGTTTGATGATGGCAGAGGAGTACCACGTCCACCACGACCCGATGCCGAAGATGCCCAGCATCAGAAATGCAAAACTTGTGAGCAAAGAAGCAAGAAAGTATCCTGGGGTAAGTCGCTCTATCTTTGGGGTAAGTTTAGTGTCGCTATCATGCTTGCCGTGGGTGGAGCTGTCATCAAAGGGCCGGAAGAAATGATGAAGGATTGTGATCTGCATGGGGATGCTACAGAGGAGACCCTTCAGGAACATGTCCGAGACGCGCATGATATAACTGAATCAGATCACAACTATTCTCTAGTGCTCCAGAGCGACTATGGCTACCCAGAAGGAGACGACGACGAAGATGATAATGAGACCACCGACTCGAGTTTGCCCCATTCCTCCCAAACCCAGCCATCGAACCAAGCAATCCTCTCGCTCTCCCAGCACCCGCCTTTGCATCTGCGAACCCACCCGAGAGACAACTACTACACCTTCGGCGTCCCCTCCACATCAGAATACGGCCAAATCGACGACAACGGCCAGTGCAGACCTAGCAGGAATCGTGTCTCCCACCATCGTCGCCGACTGCCACCTCGGTTCTTCGATACCAGATCTCACGACGACGATCTAGGAACGCTGCGATGGATGCAGAGTCTGCGTGTGAGGGACTTTCAGAGTTGGGAGCCCATGGATGAGGTCGGCCATACGGATGTGGAGAGCACCATCAGGGTCATGCCGATTCGAGGCCAATTGAGGAAGAGGGTGCGGTCGTTGTCGAGTTGAAAGTGACAATGGAGAAACAAAGGAAGAGGGAGTTGATTACTATCCTTCGCCCTTGATGATTGTATGTATAATATGGTTGTATGAGTATGAACGGTTTATCTGACGGCCTTGGCTCGTCCCGTGGGACCTGCCTCGCTGCTGCTGCTGCTGCTTGCGGGTTGGATAATGAGAGTGAACTTTGACTCCTCCGCCCAAAAAGGCATAGGCGCGGTCGATGTCCAAATTCACCTGATAGAAAAAAAAGCACAAAAGTACTGAAGTAGCAGTTAGTTTCTGCAGAACCAGTTTACTGCGTAATGGTGAGCTATATACACTGTACCATTCAAGCTCTACACGTAGTAGGTTCCACTCAACTCGAGAAAACCCCCCCCCCCCCTCCCGCTCCCTCTCTTAATAAAAAGACCCTTGGAGATCTGATCTATTCTCTTCCCCTTCAGACGCTCAATAACCAAGCCGGAAGACGAATCCATCCCAGCACTGGCCGGCGCACCTATCCCCTCAATCATCAAACCATCACCATCACCAACGACTTAACTACTGTAATTCGTGATCGATCTAATCGATCCGATCCAATCAACCATACTACGTAAAGCAGAGAACGACGACGGCGGCGGCGGCGCTGCCATCTCCAATCATAGTTACAAACTCCACACCAGGACTATGATAGGGGACACTCTGTTAATAGTCAAAATCCAAAAGAAGTATATCATATCATTGCCAGGAAACTGGGGGGACGCATTTGAATTTGAATTTTGAATGGGGACCTGAGTGAGTCGAGAGCAAG